ACACACGATTACTAGGATTGTATCACAAAGTCGTCCTGATCCTGGTTCTAACGATTTCGGGAGCTTCACTATGAAGTCCATCGTTACGCTGCTCCATGGCTTGGTTGGTGGCTGTAAGGGTTGTAACAGGCCGTAGGGCTTATGTCTCTTGGGCTTGTTCTGATGACAAGCCAAACAGTTGCCTAGGACATCCTGCACCTTCGCTCGCAAGCGTGGTATCGCAAACACCCTTGATAGTCGCCTAGCCATTTCTTCCAGCGATGCGTGTCCGTATTCCTTGGACTCATGCAGTTCTCTGATGAGTTCTTCCCGTATGGGTGGAGCCACGTACGTTTTCCCGACTTGGGTCATCGCTCTGAGCTCCAACTCATCTTCTTGTATCTCCCGTGGGATTGGCCTTGGTTCTAGTTGCCAGTGCAACGCTTTCCTCTGCCATTGCTGCTGTAGTGTTTCCACCTGCTCGGCCACCTTAGCTACCTTAGCTAGTTCCGGCTGGTTGTATCGTAGTGTGCCATCGGGCATCTTCTTGAACATGGCGTCGTGTGGTTCTTCATGACTTTCTTCTCGTAGGTCAGACCTCCTGCTTAGAGCGTCTGCTGCTCCGTTAAGCGTTCCGGCTCGATGCGTTATCTTAAAGTCAAACTGAGCTAACATCTCAGCATATCGGACTTGTCGTCGGTTGAGTTTCTTGGTTGTCATGAAGCTTGCCAAGTTCTGGTGATCGGTAAAAACCTCGATCGTATGTGGTAGTCCCAGCAAATAGACTTCCCATTGTTCAAAGGCAGCTACTATCCCGAGTAGTTCCTTATCGTGAACGTCGTAGTTAAGTTCTGCTCCGGAGAACTTCCTTGAATGGTAGAACACTGGTCTCCATTTCTTGTCTGGGCACTGCTGTGATAATATAGCACCGAGTGCATAATCTGACGCGTCGGTCTCGACTCGCGTTTCCCGTCTGGGGTCGTACATTTCTAGTACGGGTGCTTCGAGGAAGATCTGTTTGATTCGAACAAAAGCCTCTTGATGTTCCTCGTTCCATTTGAACCCTATTTCTTTCTTCGTGATCTCTGAGAGGGGTGCTGTGATCTTCGAGTAATCCTTGATGAACTTCCGGTAGTAATTGGCAAATCCTAGAAAGGATTGCACATCTTTGACTGTTTTGGGTTGTGGCCACTCCTGTACAGCCGCGATTTTCTTTGGGTTCATCTTAACTCCCTCTGTAGATATAATGAAGCCTAGGAATTCCGTCTCTTTGACGTGGAATTCGCACTTTCCTGGCTGCAGGTACAGCTTGTATTCCTTGAGCTTCCTGAGCACTTTCTTGACATGTTCCACATGTTCTTCGAGCGATCCGCTGGAGTACACTAGTACATCGTCCAGGTACGCTGTGACAAAGATCCCAAGGTACTCGTGGAGAGCGTTGTTGATGACTGATTGAAAGGTTGCCGGCGCGTTCGTCAAACCGAACGGCATAACCGTATACTCGAACAGTCCGTATTTCGTTTTGAACGCTGTCATCCATTCGTGACCTTCTTTAATCCTGATTCGGTAAAATCCTTCCCGAACGTCGAATTTCGTAAACCACTTAGCTCCTTGGAGTCGATCCATGAGCTCTGTAATGAGTGGTAAGGGATATCGGTTCTTCCTCGTGACGCTGTTCAACCTTCGGAAGTCGACACATAGTCGCCACTTTCCGTTAGGCTTCTTTACGAACAAGATGGGTGAGGCCATCGGGCCTGATCCCGGTCGGATGAATCCCTTCTTCAGATTCTTCTGGATGTAGTCCCTTAGCTCAGCATCGTGCTCGGGCGCTATTGGGTACATTGGTCCTGGGCTTAGCTTAGCTCCTTCATCTAGGATGATCTCGTGATCCCACTCCTGATGGTCTGCTAGATCAGTAGCCTCGTTTTCCTCGAAGAGTTCCTTGAACTCGTCGGTTTGATACTCTCGTGGTATTTCTAGTGGTAAGGGTCCTTCCTTCGTGGTCGCGACTTTCCTTATCCAAATGACTCCTATTTTCTGAGGGTCCTTCGCATAGATTCTCGCGATCTTATGCGGTGAGATGCTGCCAAATCTCCCGTCCTGGGGTGAGCTCTGATTCGTCGGGCGTGTCTCGTGGCGTACTCCTGCAACCTTGTGCACAGGTTCTCTTTTGAGTATCGTCCTCATTCGCCAGTCGATGGCGGGGTTATGGGCGTCCAGCCAGTCATAACCTATTAACATATCTAGTCCTCCTAGATCCATGATATCGATGTCCATTTGGCATTCTATGCCCGCTATCCGTAGCTTGGTGGACTCGGTTTCCATTCGTATCATGCCGCTTCCATATTCCATGGGTTTTTCGTCGGCTAGTATTATCGGAATCGGTTTACTCTTGATTCGATATGGTATTTCGTGTTTCTCAACCACTCGTGGGGAGATTAATGTCCGTGCGGCCCCGCTGTCTACGAGCGCCTGGATGTTCTGACCTTGTACAGATACGGTTGTGAGCAACTGCCTTGCTTGACCATCGGTATCCTGTACTTTCCTAAGGGTCGTTTTAGGTATGCCCTCGCCAGTGTGACCCTGTTTCTGGCGGCATCCTAGTTTTTTGCCTGCTTACCTTTCCTTTTCCTGGGAAAGTAGCCTGTGTCGGTTTTGGAACTGTAATGGATTATGCATCTGTCGTCGTAACAAAAGCTCCAATGAAGGTTCTGATGAGGTATCTTTTCCTTGGTGATTTTCTTCCTTGGCTCCGCCTTCTTGGCTTCGTGGATGGGGCAGTTTGTTACTTCGCAGATGTTTGATGACAGGGTGACATGGTAGTAGTCGTCCACTTGTCGTGCTTTCTCGAGTTGGTCGCGGTGGAAGGAACATCCGTTCTTGCACTGTGGCCATAGGAGTCTCTCATGGATTCCTATTTTCTCAGGCTCATGGAGGTGGCAGTTGTCCGCTAGACACTCGTCTGCCCACAGGTTTAGGTGACAGCACCTTTCCTGGTCCTTTCTGCAATCCTCTTTATCCTTTTGGTGGAACTCGCACTCTACTTTGCAGTCGTACCAGCACAATCCTCGGTGTTCTCTGGTGTCCCTTTCTTCGGGTCTTTCGAGGTTGAGAACCTCTGTTCCTGGGTCCTCGAAGTACGGTTGTTGGTGTATCGCCTGATACCCAACTTCTTCGGCGTCCGGGCCGGTTATTACAATTCGGTCCCGCTTCGCACAGTCGTTGGCGTGATGTGCGGCGTCTCCGCATACCCAACACTGGTTCTTTGCTAGTCGTTCTAGTACGACTCTGTCCTCGACTTTCCAGTCGGTTTCCTTAGGTTTCTCCATCGTGAGGATGTCGTCGGCTCGCTTTGGTTGCTGGATGACCTCGTAGTCTTCCTCCATGCGGGCTTCCTCGTAGAGGTCCATGTCGCTAAGGTTGTCATCCGGTTCTATCTGAGCCGGGTAGGGCGTGCCCTGTCTGACCATCCCGATCTTGACAGCTGCTTGCTTACTTGCTTCACCCGTAGGGCAGTCTCGGGCGAAGTGTCCAACTTCACCGCATCGGAGACATGCTTTCTTGTCATAACGCCTCTGGCGTTCTTCCTTAGAGAGACCGTCGTGTCTCTTTCCTCGGGATTTCTTGTCTTTGGCCTTCTCTTGTACTTTGCCGGTCATGATGGCATCGCCATCCCTGTCATACCTTCCACGCTGTCTCTTTATGTTGGCCATGTTAGGGCGGAAGTACTTTTTCTGATCGTTTCGCTCCCATAGCCTGTTGTCGATGCGTGTAGCAAGCTCGATCAACGCGTGTAGTGTTCCGGGCTTGTCGTGGTGTACAAGGCCATCCTTGACATTTTCCTTGAGGCCTGCTTCGAAGACCGTTCGAAGTGCCGCATCATCCCAATCGATCCTAGCCTGTAGTTGCTTGAACTCCGCCGTGTAGGCTGATACAGACTTGGTTTGCCTCAGTTGAGTAATCCGTTTCTCAGCCTGATTCTTCGCGTCTACTTCTCCGAAGATGCGTCCCATTTCTTGTTTGAATTCCGTCCAACTCGCGAACATGGTTCGGGTTTCTTCCTTAGTTCCATGTTGCGTGATATCCGTAAGGTAGTCGTCCACGTATGGCTGCATCCAATTGGAAGCCTTTCCTTTCAGGTACGTGCTTGCCATGAGGATCTTTTCCTGGTCGTTGGGTACTTCGTTGAACTCGCAGTACAAGTCGATGTTGGTGAGGAACGTTCGCAGTTCTTCTCGACTTCCGTCGTACTTCTCGGGTGACGCCATCTTGGGTTTCTTCGTAGTAGATGATCGTTCGTTGGGGGTGGCCATCAGCTGACTTGCAAGCTGATTGATCATGTTCTGCATCTCGAGCATCTGCCGAGACTGAACTTGGGCCTGTTGCCTAAGGTGTCTGAGCTCCGTGGCACTGGGAGTATCTTCTGTCTCCGAGTCGGATGCATCCAGCATCTCATCGTTTGCTGGTGCTGGTGCCGAGGGTCCCGGACCCTGGGCCGCGTTGTTCTGAGTGACTCTTGGGGCTGACATCTTCCTTAATCGGGCAACCTGGTTGTTATTCACGTCCACTGAATCCGATGGTGGTCAAAGTGTTACACGGGGTTAGGCTATACTTCTCTAGGCTCGGTCCGTACTAAGGCGAGGTAGACTAAAGCGGTAGTCCGTGAGGTTTGTCTGGCGATTCTGTGGAAAAGAGTTATCGTGGAATAACTGCAGGTAAAGACAATCCAATTCTATAAACGATAGAATAACTAGTTGACAATCTGTGTAAGAGATGAACTATTTGAGTTGACCACAATGAGTGTAATAATGAAATCCAACACATTCTTATACCCATTGCCTTAGGTCCTGTCCTCCCTGGCCTCCCATCCCAGAGGGAGGTTTGGGAGGACCGTGGCTTCCCTAGCCCCACTGGCCTCCCGGAGGCCTGGTCTTGGCGGGATGCCAATCCTGATCACGTGACCCCGAGCCCCGCGATCATCGTTGCGTTCTGACTTGGTCGTGGTTGGCCTTCAACCCCTTCACCCCATGTCAAGGAGAGAATCCTTTGTGTTACCTGTAACATAACGCTTCCTATAACTTCTGCGAGCAAAACGAGCACGACGATGACGATAGCTTCGATACTGCCTACCCCTCCCAGTAGTCCGCCTCCTTCAGCTCGCAAGCCAGTCGTCATCCCTATCGCATCCGCTGCGGCCTTTCCAACTGCATTGTCCCCACAGCCCGTTAAGGACGCTCAAGTCTTATCGCAACCAAGATCTACACTAGCAACAAATGCAACATCAACCACGAGTACCAGATCAACGCCGCAAACCACAACCACAAAAACTCCGGCAGCAGGAAGACCACCATCACGCACCCTCGCCGCACTCAAGAGAGACCTCCACATTGATGGCTGGCAATGCGGCGCCCAGACGCGCAGGGATACAGAATGCAAGCGCTTTGTGAAGGAGGGCAACAAGGACTTCATTAACACGCAGCTTGCGTCCATGACGGGCCTGACGCGCGCCTCTCCGAACTTTGAACCCGCTGTGCTCAAGCTCGTCATGCTGGTGCACTGCTACCAGCACGATGCGGGTCGACCAAAGGAGCGCCGACTTGAGGCATGGAGGCTTGAATTTCCGCCTGGTAGCGCTGATGGCACCATGCCTAAAATTTCCATTGAGCGGCTCATCAGGAAGGCTCTCGAGCCGCTGAGTGCCGAATGCATTGCCAACGGCAACGGACATGCGTGCGAGGTGAGGATTGGTGGATGGAAGGTTCAGAATTGCGAGAAAACGCTTCAAAAGCTCATCAAGCAGGAAATATACTCCGACCACGTCACGCTGGAGTTCTTGCTCAAGGTGCTAGAGTGGAATAGAACCTGCAACGCCCATCAAAGCTCGAGGCAATTCATGTGGGTCGCGGCGTGGAAGAAGAGTATCATGGCGGTATTGCCCTTGCCAATGCCACTTGGCGGCCAGACCCTTGCCAGCAACGCACCAGACGACCCTCAATACTCTCCACGAGTTCAAACAGATCCTCTGGTCGTCATGACTCCGTTGATGACGAGGAGAGCTGTTCCCATCGTGCAGGCCTTGCCGAGCCCACGAGCTCCACCAGGCCCCACCATTAGCCCAGACGCCGACCCGGCATCGTACTGGCAAAAAGCCTACGACTCGAGCTGCTTCAACATTCTCCAACATGCCAACCATGACGCAAGTCCTACACGCTCGCACAAGCTGATCCGCGCCGAGATCAGCAGACTACTAGATGCCCATGACCTTTGTGACGGGTATGTCTACTCCTACGAGGTCGAGGGCAACGAAGGCTACGTCAAGATTGGGTATACCACGCGCTCTGTAACGGAACGGCACGACGAGTGGTCGTTCGACTGCAACAGGCAGACCAAGCCGCTATACCCTTCCCCCGCTCAAGCCGCTGCTACCATTCCAAGTGCAAAAGATGCCCCAGCTGCGCCGGCCGTGCTCGTCCCGCACGCGCGTCGCGTTGAGGCCTTATGCCACGCCGAGCTCGATCACCGTCGCATCAGGATATACTGCGGCGCGTGCCTAAAGCAGCACATCGAATGGTTCGATGTATCTGCTATAGAGGTCACGGCCGTCATCCAGAAGTGGTCGAGGTGGATGGCCACTCAGCCGTATGAGCTTCTGCGGCTAAAGAACAACTCCAAGTGGACGCTCAAAGCGAGCGAGGTGCAACGGACGTTGAGATTTGAGCAGTTTATGCGAGAGATTGCGGTAGTGCCCGCCCCGCCGTAGAAGGGGCGAAAGGGTTGAGTCTGGTCAATTCGTGTCCTTCGCGTCTAGGTCGCTCCTCGACGACAGCCCTGCAAAGACGTGCCGCTAGAACAGATCATGCTTTTGATATGCTCGGGCACTAGGCAAATTGCTATTTCAATGGCCTGTAACCTCTAGGTGTTTCACCAAAGGGACTGCCCGTTGGACGAAGGTTAGAGGAATCCACGGGAGGCGGTGGGAAAATGACGCTCTCGAGATACTGAACGGCAAAATCGCCGCCCTCGCGGATGAGATCCTTGAACACGTCCTTGCTGCCTAATTCTCTGACGTGAACCTTCGCTACCTCGACTACAGCAGATCGCATCGCACAATTGTTCTTAGGAGTAGTCGCACATATTTCTTAAATACATTCTAGAAAGGAGTTGCTTCTCTAGAGATCTTGTAACTTTTATTAAAGTTTTGCTGTGGCAACTACCTTCTAGTCCTCTAAAAATAACATGTTAGCAAGGGCATATAGTCGAGGCTCCTTTAGCAGCGCGGGGTTATCTAGTAGCTGTTAGGAAATTGAGCGCCTAGGTAGTGGAGTCCGTACCTTCTGAAACATGCGACAGCTTGTCCGAATAGCCGCCAGTGTACAAGTACTCAAATACCCTCTAGTGGGCGGCTCCTCTACTATTGTTGAATATGAGCACCCCTGCGCTTCCCTTCACGAACTCGTTCTAGAATGCCTTCTTGAAGTATTCGCTTTGCGTGTAGATGATGGATTTGTGAACAGATAGTGTTATGCTATTGATAAGGACTGTAGCGTTGGAATAGCTCGTGTCGTTGAACAAACTGTGCAAGTTAGGCACAGTTGCGCGGATCTAGAGGCTGCGTACCTGGCGATGTCCCGAGCCAATTTGGTTGGGCGTGCTTCCATTATGGCGACAAGCGATATGGTAGACGGCTGCCCTTCTGGTACGGCTGCTAGCAGGCTCGATTCGCAGCTATTGGGATCACGCGGGTACTCTGCACAAAATGGCCTGTTTGAAAGATCTGCCACCACGTTAGACTGCGGTCAAAGTCTACTCCTTAGTTCCACTCTCATTTTCTTATCGCGTCTTATCGCTCGCACCTAAAAATCAAGAGTCTATTGGAACCTAGGGCAGTCGCTTGGAGGTAGAAGTAGCTACGCTTTTCGCCTCTAGAGACAACCTAGCTCTGATGTATTACTACGGTTCTAGTAGATAGTATTCGAAGTTAAAGTAAGAAGATAGCTCAAAGTATACCTCTAAGGTTTGCAGAAGCTATGTTCTTACACTACACGCGCTCCGTAATGCCGCTCACGCGTACACGTAGCAGAAGGGGCCTCCGATCGTGCTCATAGCTTCGCCTATAGTCACATTCGGATATCCAACATACGGACCCATAACCAGCTTGTCCCCCAGCGTAGCGTTCCTGGCCGTAATTTCGCCAATGGCGCCCGCGGAGCCCGCCACCGCCCTCCCACGGCTTTCGAGATCTAGGTTCTGCCAGGTCCACCAGAGGCGATCGATCATCCCGTGATGTGGATAGAATGCCGGATCCGCAGGGCTGTTGTAGAAGTCCGACCCTGCATCGCCGCCTATGGTGTAGTGTCCACCTGTGTGTACGCCCATCCGCCCCTCAGCGAACGCACCCTGATACTCCGCCTGGAAGGACGCGATATCCGTGTAGTTCTTGATAAGTCGAACGACCTCGGAATCCGACGTGGCGTTCGCAGCTTGTAAAGAGATGTCGCGGCGCAGACAGCGAGGATTGTACCCCAGGCCATCAGGCTGCGGATTCGGCGAGAGACCACCAGGAATCTGAAGCATAGTCTGAAGTGGTCCCATGTTGATCTTGAAGCTGCCAGAAAGTCAGCTGGCCTGTGCGATACCAGTAAGCGATCAGAACGTACTCTTTGAAGGGGCCGGAAGTCACGCAACCGCCGCCTGTTCCAGGTTGGAGGTGCATGTAGCAGGGGCCAGCGACGCCGTCCCAGGGGAAACAAGAAGAGTTGCGATCGGGGATATACTCCCCATCGCCAGACATGCTCGAAGCGCTACCGTCGAAGAACGGACCGCTCTTCGGGTCCTCGGCATAATGAGCCCAGTTGTAATATGGAAAAGTCCCCTGGAAACCACACTCGTCTCTAAGCATCTGTTCATAGACCCAGGTGAAGTAGCGGTGCCACGACAGGAAGTTGCCGGTGCCGTGGATAGAGAGCGACTGCTGGATGTGAGTGACGACCAGGTCGTCGTAGCGACTTTTTGCGCCCGGCGCGACAGAAACCGGGGTCCTCGCCGGTAGCTTGTGCAGGCAATTAACGGCATTGGTGTAGGCGACCCTCTCTTCGCGGGGTAACGTTGCCCTGTATCGATCTCAGTGGTGTGGTGCTTTCAGCTTCGATATTGACTCACCATTCCCTGCGGATCGACAACTTCTCGGATGTGCAAGTTCCTGGGCTGGGAAGACCGCGTTTCGCCACGTGGAACATTAACTTTGTGAAGCCTTCAGCAGCAAGAGCGTCGTTTTCCATGAACTTCACATGGGTGCGGCCAGCTAAGGCGAAGGCCGCACTGAGTACGCTGAAGAAGCAGACAGCCTTCATGGCTGAGCTTGTTTTGGTTGTCTAGCGTTGCTACTGCTCAGGATACAAGAACAAAAGTGACACTAGCTCAGGTAGCGTAGGCACGCTGGTCAGCGAGGCCAGCATCTAGTTTTATAGGGTGCAGAATGACACGGTGGCGGGCAAGCCTCGGGAGCATCCAACCGCTGCGAACTCGACCGCCAGGGACCTAATAGGCAGTGCACGAACGTCCTCCAGGACGCAGAGCCAGCGGCTTCGAGCTAGCTCCGCGGGTCTGGGGCGGCCCGGTGGAGCATTGAAGGGGCAACGCCGTTGGTTGAGTGGGACTGGGACCTACAGAGATAAGGCGCGATCAGAGATGGACACTCTGCAAGACGCGGCATGTATCGTTGCGGGTCAGCGACGTGTCGTCCGATGGCTCTTTTGTGTCCAGTGCAGAAGAGAAGAAAGACGACGTCGTTGGAGTATCGGCCGCGCAAGTCGCGAGAAGCTATCTTGCAGACTGGTGCACCGAGTGATTGTGGCATCTCTCTGGGCTGGTCTAGCACGTGGAGCTGGGCGGAGGTCTGAGTCTCATACGGCGACTGTGCCACATTAGAGGACGCGAGGCGGCGTGGTACAACAGCCCTGTACGCTCGTCTCCGATCGGGTGTAGTCTGCCCAACCCCCTGCCGCACCTGCACGCGACATTCGAGCACGAGGCGCTTGGTGCGTAGGAACACCACCGATCCCGCCGCATATTATCGACCCACAGGAGCATAAGCAGACAGGTCTTTGCATTGCGTATGCAAGGATGTACGCAAGTGCCAACTCCGTCCCATGCTTGCTTAGAGCACAGCAAACAGACTCAACGACCCAGCAGCTACCATGGCATGATATCGCTCCGCACAGCAACACTGCAAGGCTCGAGATATGTGCCAGACCAGCAAGCATACGCGCATACCCTTTTCAGCCACGACAGTTGTCTGCGGTGGTAAGGAGCTTATCGTGCAGCGCATGGCAAAGGATGCCGCCTTAAATTGGGCTCCCTTCATCGGTTCCATTGCTACGGGATGGACGAGCATCGAGAAGTCGGCCCTGTGCCGTCTTTCCAAAACACGTTCATGTTCGTTGACCGCGCCGTAAGGAACTGTGAGATGACGGAGCAGCAAGAACATGTAGGGCTTGCAGCATCCATCACGACCCCATAACTTCACATCCCTTCGCTACCTCACCAACATGCCCGCTGCGCACTTGCTCGCCCACTCGATACCACAGTACGTGGCAGCGCTATCGGTCGTTCTGACCCGCTGCTGGGCTCGCTCCCAGCGTGGCCGACCATACGGCTCGTTCGGGTCCGACGACCGGGTGATGATCAGCGCGCTGGTACGCATCGTGTGCTGCAAGCCGTTTCGGGACTCTGTTGACACGATGTACCCAGGTGTTTGCAACGTTTTGTTTCGTGTTCTACATGCTCCAGATCGGGCTGGGGCTGGGGAGTCGCGTCGAGCTACTCGAAGCCAACGCGGCTATGTATCGTCAGCTGCTCATGTTTCGCTTTTTCCACCAGGTGTCGGTGGTAGTTGCACTCGGATTGGTGAAAGTGTCGATATGCCTCTTTCTCCAGCGCCTGGTAGTGACGAACAAATCGTACACTCGGGCTCTCTGGCTTGCTATTGTGCTCATGGTTGTCTTGACCCTCGTCAGCGTGGGGACGATAGTGAGTGAGCCTGTTCACGTCTAACGCAGCTGCTCGAAGCGCCGACTTTGTCCCATCCATCTATACTGACCGATGGTGCTGTGCCAGACTTTCCAGTGCGTCCCCGTCACAGCGGCATGGGACTACAGGTTGCGTCCGCCGCCGTTCGGAGCGGGCAACGCAAAGTGCTTCAGCCTTAGCACTTTCACTATCATCGGGCTCGGAAACGGGAGTGAGTTCCACTGAAGCCACTTGCGTTCTTTCGATCTCGTTCCTGACCGTGTAGTCTTTCACATCGTCACAGATATCCTGCTCGCCCTCCTGCCGATCCCAATCGTCATCAAGCTCAAGGTCACAATCCGTATTCGTATCTCACTGGTTCTAATCCTCTCCTTCGGCGCATTCGCGGCCATTGCCGGCATAGTGAGACAGATCAAGGCCAGTCCGCTTGATGAGCATGACGCTTATTCGATTTGGAACTTCCTCGAACTGCACATGGGCATGATCGCAGCCTCACTGCCATCTCTCAAAAAGCCGCTTGCAGCCATCTGGGGCACGATCGCTGCGAGGCCTCAGGTACCTACTGGCGCAGCGAGAATGTCAAGCTTTGGAAATCTCACTAGCAGAATTTGGCCGGAGTGGGAGGCTGTCATCGTGCATGGTTCACCGACTGGAAGCGGGCAGGAGCTGGTAGAGGTGAATTCCTCTTTGGGAGTCTACAGGAAAACAACAGTGACGGTTTCTAGAGACCTGTGCATCTAGTAACGGATTATCACACTGATCGGACAGTCCGAACAACGCTGTAGCCAGGCGGAGTCAGAGGATGCTGTCGACCAAGGCAAGGATAATAACGCTTGTCTCATCAAGACCTGGGGCGCGGGCGTACGGCGATGATTGCGGCACCGGGCTCTCTCCTTCCGCGTCTATACCCCATTCGTTCCCAGAGTGGCGGCCACAGCACACCTCGTGTATATCGATTCTGAGGCATCTGGACTCTAGCAATTCATTCCCATCTTGCCTACTCTCCCTGCTTCTTGACAGGTCCCGCAACGCAAAATTCCACTCCATGTGGAAGAAATGATGGCCAAGGCTCGAGGGGCAGATCGCTTCGGGCACACGGTCGTCCCATCTCGCCCCGGAATACGTTCGGTGGTAGTCGGTGGCTCGTTGTAGCCCGCTCAGCAGTGCTCATCGCGGCCTCCTGTAGTGTTCAAATGTGTAGCTTGGACTGCTGGTCGGTGGATGTGAGTTCAGGGTAATCTTGCTGTCTGCTAAAATTTACTTAGAGCTAGCAGACCTAAAAACATCCTATCGGGTAGGGGCTAGTTGGCCTACGGACGTCTTCTTAGGTAGGAGGCAGGCCGTTGTTAAAGCTGGAGTACGCAGTTGCAATCTCTTGCAATGTGTGCGCGAGAACGCGAGCGACGCGACAGCTTATACCTTCCTCACTATCCAGACCTGCGCCAGGTATGCGTACCGCGTCAACGCTCTCCGGTTAAACCCGTATTCCGCCTCCTTACTGCGGACCTTCTTGCCCTCGAACGTCAGCTCGCCGCACTCATCGCCCAGATCTTCGAACTTAAAGCCCATCTCCACAATCACATCGATAATTTCCTCTAGGCTTAGCTGCACGAAAGGCCCGGTACCGTACAGAAGTGGGCCAAAGTTGATCCATCGACCACCAGGTTTCAACAGCCTCTGAATGGTGTCGAAGTAGGCCATGAGATTGCGCGCTGTGTCGATGAAGAAATGGGTAACGATGATGTCGTAGTGACCTGGTTGGTCATTAAATGCGGTGTTGAAGTCGCCCTCGATGAGCAGGACGCCAGAGTTGGGGGTGATGTTGGGCACCGTCACACTCCGGATCATGTCGGCCTTTGTAGCCTGGTGCGACATCCCGTCGATGAAAGGGTGTATCGTGACCGCGTGCGCATCCTTTTGCGCTTCCATGTAACGATAGCCGACGTTCATGTACATCGACCACTCGTTGATCGTCACCTCGAAGCCTGCGCCTACGTCAGTAGCCGTTCGCGTGCTTTCGCGCGTCACACGTACCTCCGAGATTGGCGACATCATGACCTAGCCGACCGACTCCGGAGCCCGGAAGCAATACCTTGAGCGGTGCGCTCTCGACTGACTCTGCTTTGATGGCGCTCAAGGTGCTCAGTATGCATGGAAACGCTTCGTCTCTTTCTTTGAGACCTTCATCGGCCCAGTCGCGTACGTAGTGCTTCAGCGTTTGGGCTGTCGCGAACTTGTCTGCTTGGCGCTTGTCATTCTCCGCCAGCTTCATGTGCTCATCCAGCTCTTCCTGGCTGATGCCGTAGAACTTCATGGCATGTAGGGCCATGCTATCGGAGACGGCCGCGTTCACATAGATCAGCTCCTCGAGTTCATCGAGCTTCTTCGTGTAGCCGACGGTGTTCTCTAACGTCTGTTCCACTGTAAGCAACTGGCATCACAATGTGCATGTTTGGCCGACCTTCTTCTGCTTCTTACTGACGCTCTTGTAAAGACTCCGCCATCGGTCCAGTTCAGCCATGTGGCGTTCGCGGTACCTTGTATATGCCCACAGCGCTTCCAGGAGCCTGTAACGCGGGTGGCTCGTTCCCCATTTACCGCTCTTCTTGTCCATCCTCTTCAGCAGCTGTAGTTTCTCTCGTCGGTGGCGAGGCGAGGCGCCATTATCGCTTGGTGGCATCGCACCCATCATCAAGGGATCTTGCGCGATCCGCGCATTGTCCATAGCGATCTTGACTTCGTCGGCGTTCGGTATGTTACTTGTGGCATCGGCTTGGCTATCACCGCTCAATTTTCCGGTATTAGCCAGAGCTACTGAACTGAGGCCTGCGACGAACAGCAGCAAAGATGACTTCATCTTCTATACGCCCAGGGCACGCGATCGTTCCGTATTGATGGCCCGGCGCAGGGTATCGCAATTCGAGTTTTGCGGCTGAGTACCGTGCTGGCGCCAAGCAGGCCTCGATGTTAAGCGTTAGATACCGCATATTGTGGGGTGTCGTTCGCGAAAGCATCAATTCCAAGGAGAGCGATTCGTATCGTCGCGATACCGTGCCCGTGACGAAGCGCAGCAAGACGGCAATACAAACTGCCCTTCACGCTCATGCTTGACGGCATGCCTACCGTGAGGGCTTACAAGCGTGGCTTCGGAGAACATGTTGGGGAGCAGCTTTGAGCGTGGACCCAGTATCGGTGTCAGTTGCTGATGGCTGATGAATGCGATGCCATGGTTGTACGCTTCAAGGGCACGCCTGCGTGCGCCGGCGCGGAAGACGCGAAGAAGGTGCACGAGCCATCACCGGAGCCACCCGTCAAGCTCCTCTCGGCGGGTGACTCCAGGACTTCGACACTTTTGAAGAGCACGCAGCCTTCAGCCATCCTCAACCCAAAGTCCCACGACGGTGGTTCCTCCGACTTCGCTCACTGCGATCTGGACCTTCAAACGTTGCGCGATGGCCGGCCATGGTCTCGACCGGCAGGGAGCTCCGGGGGATAATGACATCGTACAAATACGCCTTCCACGGGTTCACGCACCCGCGGTTCGGTCAATACCGAAGACGATGTCGACAGTTCACTCTTAACTCTCTGGCCACCAGGGTTCTTCCATCCCTCTGGTACCTGGGGCTCTTTCTTGGGTACGAAGGCGAAGCGTAGCGTTGAGGGCTAGAAGACTGACTGCAACATAGCGCCGGCCAACGCAATGGTCATCAAGTAACTCATCGGGGTCCTGGGGCAATGCGCACAATACTAGGCTGTCTAGCACCCATACGAGAAGCCTACACCGTAGACGCACCAGTCGCCCTATATCTTACGAACTAACTTGCTGACTTCCTGAACTACTGGCTCGCTGTCAGTCCATATTGCAAACCGAACGTTTGCAAAAGTGCTCCACCATTGGCACGCCCAGTGGTTGCATCGTTCTGTCCTCAAATGAGCCACTAGTAATGCAAGAGACCCAGATACACGTGATCAGGCGAGGATCGAGCCTTGCGCATCAGTCCATGAAAAAAATCGCTTCCTGTCGCGACCGAAATTGGGCGTCGTTCGCATGAATGAAGGCAAGCGATCAGGTGGTTGCGCCTCAACAAACACCACGACGAGACTGTTTGCGCAGTCACGTAGAGAGGACAAGACCCATGACAAAATCAAACGTCATATCAAGTCCTCAAAGGTAAATCTGGTCAGTGAAGCGTCGACGCGTTTGGACGTGGGCGAACTCACCTTCACTGTGACCTTCGCTTAGCAAAGCGCGACGACGGCCATAACACTCCGCAACTCGTTCCTCTCCCACTCACTCCACTTCCCACAGATGTCATCTGGAACACCAAAAGAAGCGCCTGCCATCGCTAAAGACACTGAAATGGCTCGCCTCAGCGTTTCCGCTAACGCGACACCAAAGACCGATCGCAAGCCGAGCCGCTTCCGCGGACTTTTCAGACAACAATCCAGCTCGAACGCATCATCCAGTCCCGCTACCTTACAGAAGTCGCCCCCGCCCGTCGCTTCCAGCCCGTTGGCGTCGCCATATGTGCGCCCAGGATACGAACAGATTGGTCTACTACCCAGCGAGCAGTCCGTGCACAGCCTACAGGAACTTGGTGAGACCGAGTCTGGCGACGATGAGACGATTGGTTCTACAGCAGTTGCAAAGTCTTATCTAGGCGCGAAGGACAACACTCCGATACGCGATGCTGGCCGTGGGTCGAGCAGCAACAGTGTAAGACGCTCGCATGCTGGTCTACTGTCGGAGTCGCAAATCGAGCGTCTCTTGAAGAAACCGCCCTCCTTCCCTCATTCAGCTCATAGCGCCTCTCCGAAACGACATGTCGGGGGAACAGACCGTAATTGTGTTGGATCCGAGGTCGCCAAAAGCCAGGATATGTCTCCACGTGCAGCTGGTAATGCAGACAAGCAAAGCGGGCTGTTATTGGGTTCTTCCCACAAGATCGCAGAGACCATGAACAGTAAGGGTCTACTCAGGGCGCTTCGATACAGCATGCTAACACCGATGCAGACGAGAACAGCAGCCATATCTCAGATGCAAGCATCACGGACTCCGCAACGTGTGAGACACTGCCTAGTACGTCAAGTCGCTTATAAGGTTTACGCACTCACTAACAAAGGTGCAGACATCCCTAGTTATCCCCAGCACGGCGGCCCAGTAGAAGACCCCAGCCTGGAACACTACAAGACGACCAGCATCACGCGCACGAACGACTTCCTCAAGACTGCTCGTATTTCGCCGCGGATCCCACGTTCCTTCGAGACTGCTGACGAGCACGATCATAAAACGCTTTTGGATGAAGACGAACCTAGCCCCCGCAAGTCTTTCGCGTCTAACATCTTCGACGACAGTTCGCCCAGTCAAGGCATCCGCGAGTATGTCACCAGCAAGATCGCCGAAGCACTAGCCGAACACAACCGGGAGTGTCAAGACGGTAATGCTACGGTCAGCAACGTCAACCCGTCGAACCTCATCGTCAAGATCGATACGACTGGTCTTGCCAGGGCAACTACCTCTGAGGGATTGACGATGGACGAGAGGAAGATCGGTGACTTCCCGGAGCGTTTTACCATCGGTCCTTTCGAGGTCGGGAATGCGCGTCTTGAAAGGGATGCTCAATTCAGCATAATGGCTATCCATGCGGTCACCTTGCTCTGCGCATCTCTTCGAGGACCCAAGAGTCTACTCCTTGCTCTCTGGAACATGGCGATCATTCTTGGAATCTACGCCGCTGTGCTGCGTCAGTTGCGTTGGACTGAGGATTTCGAGCGCGATGTACTTCTAGCGCCTGTGTGCTTCGCCGCGAGTGTGATCGCTAGTGTATGCGAACAGCTACTAGGCCAGATGCGCATGATGATGGTTGAGGTGCTCGCTGAAGCCTTGGAACGCGTCGCTCGAGGCTGCGATATGCAAGTGCACACCGAGTAGATGTCTTGAGACAGCATGGCGATACTTGATGTATCGATTGGTAGCGGTTGAAAGCATAGCCGCAGCTAAGGCTGATAGCTCCATGAATGGAGATACAATATGACCCTTTGATGCCTTTGCAGATAGTGATGTGATGAGGACATGAGAGAAGCCGCAGGTTAGACCCTGCAGATGATGACGCCCGCATACATGTCATAGCTCGACATCAATAACTGAACCGAGCGCTGCTTCGTTGCGCAAGACCTCAACCGCATATTCGCGGTTGGACGTCCAGTAGGCACAGTCTCAGCTTTTCGCCATGACGCGCTTTGGTTTTCCTGAGTAACGCATCTACATCAGCTGCGGACTTGCCGACACAGCGTAAACCAAACCCTAACAGTTGATATAAGATTCCAGCTCGCGGTCATCAAATCAAGTGACTATGGCGACCAGAATTGCGCCGTAATCAGCAAAGAGGTGAAGAACACACCACAAGTGTGTCACGATCTTAGCCACACAGCCCGAATATTGCAGCGGTGTCAATAGCTCTACGAAGACGTCTGCCGAACCCAACGACTTAAGCAACAGCTACCGTCACAGTAAAACTCATCCCGGTGTTGACGCGATAGATGCGACGCCGCCCGTGACCCAGTCGCATGGCGGTTCAACATGCGCGGGCTGTACTCCAAGAGCATCCCCACGATTGACTCACGCTACGACTGCCCTGCGCTTTCGCCTTTGCGGATGTTGCAGCACCACCTGCCTTGCGCTATTCACCTCTATACTCGCCTTCGTTGATTGGGTCACCTTCTGGCGTGTCACAACATCCAATGGTACTGTGCGTATGTGGCTACTAGATTCGGTGGGCGCAACGAGCGGAGGCTGGTAGGACACTTCAAAGCGAAGATCGAGTGTGAATGCGAATGTCACCTCTGCTACATGATACGTTGGCCCTTTGGTGAGGCACATCGTCGTTGAAGGTGATTAAGGGTCTTCCGTATACTATGGAAAGCAGGTGAAGGGGCAATTCACCTCGTTCTACGCCCACTCTCGCAGCGATAAAAGCAGCCACCACAAGTCCACAAGCTGTCTTCCTCATTTCGACCTCTCAACACCGATCTTCAAAAGCTCGCCCTCTATGCCACTCATCCCGCACACATTACAGCACCACATCTAACACACCATGGATAGCAACGGCCCAGGATCCCCTCAAGCAATCGTCAACTTCATCATTACCAAGCTCACCGACACCACGATCTACGTTCAGGATCTTATCGAAGCACGGGCTGAAGAGGAGCGTCACCGCTTTCGGGAGGAGAACGAGACTATATCTCGAGAGGCGCGCCGACGCGAGATGGGGTATGACGATGAGGATGAATCGTTGATGGGAGATCGAGAGGCAGAGCAGGGCCGTCGGCGTCCGCAGGAGTGATCTTGGGGATGAATGGAGGGGATGATGGGCTATTAACATGGACGTGGCGCCGGCATGAAGTCTTGGTGAAGGGTTGTTGGGCGGAGCGGAGTCGATAATGGTCGCGAACACCTTGGTATCTACACGCAGAGATTCACACACTCCATAAAAAGCTATGGGTCTGATACACGGAACGATATGAATGATCTACATCACAATTACATACCTACTCACTATGCCGTGATGCGCATCATTCTCATATCTACGTGAGGCCCCTCCACATCGTTGAAGCAATTCGATATCCAGTCGAACGGTATTCTTTCTTACACCAAACCCAAACGACATATGTCTAGTATACTCCCTCTACCCGCGTCGCTCTCGAACGCCATCTTCGAATCCGTTCCAAAATGCCTCACATGCAAATCCCCACGCCTGCCCACATTGTCGCAGAGCTTCCCCCGGCACGGGTCACAATCCACCGCCCAACAACAAATTCAAGACTACATATATAGCGATGCCACGAAGCAAAGCTCGATATAGGCCCATGATCAGGTCCATAGCGGCGATGTCGCCGTCTAGACTGAAGAGCACTTGGTGGGATACTGCGATTGTCATGCAGCAGTAGATTATGGCGGCGGCTTGGGAGGAGGTCAGACCGGTGCGGTCGCGTGGGGTGGCAGGCCGCTGGGATAAGGTCGCTGTGATGGAATTGAAGAAGAGACGGGCGGTAGTTACAGATGTGATATCGAGATCATGGCCTGCTGGCCGGGGAGCCACGTCTAAGGCAGCGATGATGGGCGAAGCGGAAAGCTCGGCTCGATTGCTAGGTGTAGATAGATGGGCGCTTTCGACGAGTTGGTGTTTTCATGGAGGACGGCGGTCCGACTAGTTGCTGCGATTTCGAGAAGCTCTCTGAAAATGTTGGCGTAGTCCTAACTCGAACCGATGAGCTACGGAAGAGCGCATGCTTACTGCGGCGCGGAGCATCAACGTCAAAACAGCTTCCGTTCAGCTCCTGTCTAACCCTCACACGCTTCATATCAGCGAAGAGCGGATGCGCACGTCCAGTCTCAACACCTATCGTCTCCCTCACTTTCACTTGCGCAAGGACTTCCCGTACATTTCCCGGATCCACATACCCAAACTCCGACTCGTGATCATACGAAGCTATCGAAGGCGTTTTGGGGGACACATACCCCGACCGATGAGTATCAAAGATGCGACCGGCCCACTTTGACTTCCTGTTAGGTCTCGTTTCCCAAGCATGGTTCGTATCCGAGTCTGCCTTACTCTTCTCAAACGGCTCCCGGAGCGCCGCCTCAGCAGGCGATGTCTTACGAGTATTAGGTGTCTGGGCTGAGTGTCAAAAGCGGCCTGGGGTGTCCCCGTCGACGTCTAGGGTGAGGACGCCGCGGAGTGTACAGATCAGGCCTGATCCGACGTCTAGGAAAAGGCTGTTGTCCTCGATAGGTAGCTCGGGGAGGCCAGCTGCCGTCCACTCATCATGAGATGTACGCGAAGATCCGTTTTGTATGCTCGAGACAGGAGTCGGACGAGTGCGACGCGAGTGGTGCTGAACGGGCGTACGACCAAATAGTTGAGCGAGACCGAGATAGCCCGCATGTGTCGAGTTCGATGGATGAAAGTTTGCCCTCCTGGATTCTGAAAAAGGGTATGGAGAAGGCGACGAAGACATACTCGCGTCGGTATAGCCACTACTGTTTGGTACCGGATCATACGACCGCCGTGAGTATACTGGCGGTGATGAATCCATGGCTGGTGACTTGTACTGGTCGACGATGTCTGAGATATCCTTTGATGCAGACGGCGCAATCCGGGTGCTACGGGAGCTAGCCACGCTGAACATGCAACGTCGTACAGAGCCAGAAGTTTGAATTCGTAGAAATGACCGTGAGCAAGTTGAGTTGGTTGCAGTGATTACTAAAGCCGGAAGGTACATGGTGAAATGATCGTTCCTCGGCAGGCTCTGACGATATATGTAAAGAACCTTGGAAGGAAAGACTCGTCGACTCGCCACAAGCCAATCGTTTGACTATCGCAGAGTGAAAGCTCTTCTCGCTGTACTTACATAAGTGGATAAGTGAATACGTCGCAATCGCTTTTTGTTGTTGAATTCACGTAAATTGAACCGTAAATCCCTAAAAGGATGACCTGCAGCTTCATTTGGGTTATAACGAGTACTTGTTGACCATATCGATGATATTTCGTGGTGCTAAGGGCGTTGTTCGATTGCTACGAGAGTATGCCGTCAAGCCTCGCGATGTTATAGCCCCATCTTGCGCTCATCGCTTCGAGCCCGGTCCCTCGTATATACTGTCCTGTTAGCAGGGCCTACTAGGCGGCATCGCGGACGGCGCGAGCTGGTAAGGCAATGTCAAACTTTCGTTCTAAGCAAGCAAACCTCTCAATGTAGACGCAATACTGATTTGCGAGTGGCGAAGCTCTTCTCGCTCTGCGACTCAACCGCATCTCCCGGCTTCAAGACAGTACACAGCTTACACGACCAGTACGGCATGGCACATGTCATGAAACACATACCAAGAGCGTCTGCAGTCGTTACCTTATAACATAAATAAGGTGTGGATATGGCATCATGCATTGACTCCACTCGCTTGAAGCGGGGCAGCGCATGTTTGATCGGATAAACAAGGTCTCAGCCCGTCTCCCCCACCAACCATTACTTCCATATCGGCACTACCCCACGTATGTGCAACATGATGTCTTGAAACATGCGTCTCCTCGCTGGTCCGCCGTAGTGATTAGAAACTCTCACCTTCCAACACAACCCACATTTCCAGGCCGAGCAACCCGAAAATCACGTCCAACCCATCGACCACAATGGACAAGATACTGCACAAGCTAAAGCGTAAGCAGCAGTCTTTCGTTTCACTCATACTGCAGTTTACTAGTATTGACCATGTAAAGCAAACAAGCACCTCGATGCCCGCGCCCTCCTAGTCTTCAAGCGCCTCCAACGTTTCTACAACACGCTCAACGTAGTCGCTGCATTAGTAGCCGGGCTATCGCTAGCCGTACTAACATTCGATGAGTTCCACCCAGCACAATCGGGCCTTGTGCGCGCCGCCGAAGGACTACTATGTAGCTCGGCGTTGGGTTCCGTGACATCGGTAATGACGTCGATAATGCTTCTCTTCAAATTCGAAGGCCAGGATACTGCGACACGCAAGGATTTGACGGTCGCGTGGACACCGTTGGTTCTGTTGGACTTTGCTATTGTGGAGTATCTGTTTGGTATGGTGTTATGGTACGCGGGCAAGAACAACGAGTGGAGAACTGCGCTGATTAGCTCGCAATTGGCGTTTCTGTTGGGATTCTGTGTATGGTTATCTTTTTGGATGTGGAGCACTATGAGTGGCGATGGGGGGTTGGGTGAAGAAGAGATGATAGTGGCCGCTCGGGGAAAGCGTGCCGCAGACAGCTAAGGGTTGGAGGCTGCCTCACAGACGCGACAATTTACGCCAGGAGCTTTACGCTTCGAGGCGAGAGCACACACACCTGCAAGCAAGAAATGAAGCGAATCGCGAAACGAACGTTGCGCGCCGACGGGTGGTGAATTGTATGAATGGTGATGATGATAATAATGATAATAGAAGTTTGCTGGGTGTTGAAAGGCGTATGAGGAGAGGAGACGGGAGGGCGGCCAGAGCTGGGGTAAGACTATCACAGGTGGTAATGGATTTCATGATGGTTACCTACGTGTAGACAGATCGCGAATTACGGAAGCGGAGGTGATTCGATAGTAAGAGCACACCTCCATGGGAACGGGATGACCTTAAGCAGACTGTGCTATTACTTCTATAATCGCATTCCAATGAAATCATCTTGCGTGACTTCCCCTTGTGCATTGCCCATGGAGATGTCAAAAATTCACAATTCCTGAAGACTAGTTGGGCATTCATGGTATACGATTGGACTATTGTATGGATGCATTCGAAACCCAAGTTACCGTGCTAGCTTTGACATCCAATAAGGGTGGATTAGCATCTCTCGTAGATCTGGTACGAGCCTTTTCCGGAAGAAAGATTTTTACACGCGTCTGTGACCCCTATCCATCGAAGACCAATCCTGTGCGATCCTACGCAAAGTGTTAGCCTTAAGAACCTATTCGTTGTCAAGTTCGCGTTCACTTACCTTTCTGTATAGTGAAATACCCCCTGCTGCCTCCGTTCTCGTTTATACATTTTTCGGCATTCCCGCAGTTCATGCCATCGAGGGGTCCGTCACCGTTGGTGACGCCGACTTTTTCACCATCGACAAACACCTCGAAGTGCTGGCACCTCTGAGCCGAATCGGCCACTACGAAGACGCTTTCCTCTGGCACTTCGACATCTTTGTCGTACATGTCCGAGGGCTCGTATGTGCCCGGCGTGTGAGGCAGGTCAATTTGAGTCCACGGTACGAAAATATTGCCCAAACAAGGTTTGTCTACAAGCTGTTGCGAAACCGGCTCTGGAACAAGAAGAGGCGGGTCGGGACGAGTCTGGTTAAAAACCATTCCGTCATTGCATTTGCAGTTGCACAATTCTGGAACGGGATCCGCGCATGTGAGGGCGGGTGCCTGTCCTTAACCTTATGTCAGTAACAGAGTCTCGTTACAGAATGATGGTTACTTACCATTCTGGCACACGACTGGCATGCCGGAAAACATGTCTGAGGCGAATTGTGCGCTTGCGATGCCACAGAGAAGAGTGGTAAGAGAGGCGGAGGTACGCATATTGTTGGATTCTGATATGCTTGTGGGTAGCAGAAGGGTGTTCGTCTTCGAGAAGAGCTGTTGTCGTAGCTATCTTTGGGTGGAAAGTCTTCTTCTTATGACCTTTGGTCCTCTCTCTCGGAACCCCTCATCCCCGATGCAGTTGTAAGGGAAGTATCGCGCGAGAGTCGTCGTTAGTCGGGCTTACACGTTGTTTGTTGAAAACAAATACTTGTTGAGGCTAATAAATCTGGGAAGGCCGACTGTTTCGTACAAGATCTTCCAGCCTAAACACCTGGTAGCGTTCCAAAGTAATTGTCGCAAAACTTACTTAGCTGCATATGCATATATAACAGTGCGGATAAACAAATCCTACACCATTAAGAAATAACCCAATCTGGAAAATGGTACTGCGATGACGTAAAACTAAAGGAAAGAGTCGCTCGACAAGGCGGTATAAGACGCAGCCATGAAACGGTCAAAGCAAACATTTAATTCATATCTCCAAAGCTCCTCTAAATTTGACCTGTCCCAATCACCATGAGAAGTTTCAGTGTCTTGTTTGCCGCCACTCTCTGCACGGTCAGCTATGCCCAGAGCGCGCAGCACGTACTTGGCTCAGTCGATCTCTTCGGAAATTCGTACCAGTGCAACAATGGTAAGCAGACCTAGACCTTGAAGCATCTTGCAAAGCTCACTCAAGACAAAGGTATGAAGCCATCTATCTAATGCATGGATCCTTCGCTACCGCCTAGCTGCTCCTGCTCCTGCTCTAACGGGATCACCTTTAATCAAACTCTGCCTGTGAACCTCGCGGGTGGATCCTAGCCTTCTCTAGATGCTTGCTAAGCAGACAACGAACAATGTCTCTAGCGCGAGAACAATTGCAAAGACTCCTTGGCTGCGCAAACGGCATTAGCAGACCAATTAAAGACAAACCTCGACGATGAAGAACGCGGCCACGCGACCAAGCTGGAAAACCTCAAGAATCAATGCGACGCTCAAGAACAGGCACACGCCGCACGCCAGACCGAACTCGAGAACGAGTTGGAGACCACCAAGCAAGCGCTTGACGTTGCCCGTAACAACCATACTGCCATTGTCGAAGAATGGAATCAAAAGCCCTTTAGGTACCTTGGCTGTTATCAGGCCATTATCACCAATCGAGTGATACATGATATTGGGGTAACGCTGACTTACATGAGCGTTTCGAGATGCGAACATATCTGCCAAAGCTATCGCTACTATGGTCTTGAGGCTGGGGACAGTTGCCTCTGTGGAAACGCTTTGAGATACAATCCTGTAGCGCAGCCTTCGAAATGCACTACTAAGTGTACAGGTAACGCCGCCGCTAAATGTGGAGGTAATCTCGCCATGGACATCTACGAGAAGATAATTTAGGCGGGATGGAATTAAAAAATAGCAGCGGGGTTCCATTAACTGTCCTAGATATTAGTAGTACTCGAGTAATAATAACAAAGTGATTTGTCCCGTTAGATTGGGCTGGATTGTGCGTAGTTCGAAGTCATTGAGCCCTTGAAACCAATGATATTTGACATGCATCTCAGGCCCCAGCAGCCGCACTTGCGACATTTCTGCTAGTTGATCGCTCCCTCTGCGAATGTCGTATCTTCATCCTTGCTCGCATTTTACATTCCCCTTCAAACACTTTGCGCGAACGCACGACTGCTCCTCTGCTAGCCCTTCGCACGCACATCGGCCCCTCCACATACCTCCCCAGATGACAATTTAGTAGGCAGTGGCAATGAGTCGACATATAGACATACACGTGTTTGTTCTTCATTCCTCGTTCCTTCTTACTATCATCAATCTACCTCTTCCTGTCCATCATCTCCACATACGGCTTTCGCCACGATCTATGGCGCGTTGTGGTCAATAGCTCGCTCTATTCAGTAAGCTAAAGTATTCCTAATATTGTACATAACTAATGGAACGAAACCCTCCGACGAGAGGGAAGAGGTCGAACAAACGCCATTCACCTCATAATAACGTGCTTTTATGCACATCCATCGACACCAACTGCTTACTACGCAGGTATCGGTGGTCCAGGAGGATCCGAATCGTCACCACCACCACCCCTTGGCGATGGTCTTATCGCTGTGGGGAGCGGGTTATCTGGAATCTTGATCGGCGCATCAGGCAGGGCCTTCAGCCGGCCAGGAAGATCTTCGCCCTTGATGACCTTCATAATCTCCTTCTTGTCCAGCGTTTCATACTGCACAAGCGCATCAGCTAATCTGTCGAGCTCCTTGCGCTTCGACAGCAGCAGCTCCTTCGCATCCTTCCTTGCCTCATCAATCAGCTTTCGCACTTCGTCGTCGATGATGCGCTTGGTCTCGGGTGCGACCATCTCATAATTAGATTTGTAGTCGACGTTGCCGAGTTTCTCTGAGAAACCGCACTGAGTGACCATCATGTAGGCTATTCTTGTTGCGTTGGAAATGTCACTGGAAGCTCCGGTGGACACATTCTCCTCGCCATATACAAGCTCTTCAGCGATCTTGCCGCCCAGAGAAACCTGAAGTTGGCGAATGTATTGTTTGCGTGTGTGATGACCCTCTTCTTCCGGGAGGAAAAAGGTGATACCAGCAGCGTGACCTCTGGGAAGAATAGTGGCCTTGTGCAGATCGTTGAAACCTGGCTTGTAGAGGCCGACAAGCGCATGGCCACCCTCGTGGTAGGCGGTATGAATCTTGTCCTTGAGCGGAACGGAGCGGCTTTTCCTTTCGGCGCCCATGCTGATCTTATCCTTGGCCCACTCCAGGTCGTCGAGAGACACGAACTTTGCCTGAATCTTGGAAGCACGAATAGCTGCCGAGTTGGCAACGTTCTCTAGCTCGGCACCAGAGAATCCGGGCGTGCCACGAGCAATGGTAGAAAGGTCGATATCGGGAGAGAGGCGGATCTTCTGGGTGTGGTACTTGAGGATAGCTAGTCGGCCACCAACGTCGGGGAGTTCGACCTGAACGTGACGATCGAAACGTCCGGGGCGAAGCAGGGCTTCGTCTAGAGATTCAGGGTGGTTGGTCGCGGCGATGAAGATGACGCCACTGCTTTGGTCGAAACCGTCGAGATCGTTCAGAAGCTGGTTGAGGGTCTGGCGGTGGTAGCTGGCGTCGCGCGACCTGCGCTTTCCGCCTATGGCATCAAGTTCGTCAATGAAGACAATGGCAGGCGCCTTGCCTCGAGCAGCCGTGAAGAGTTCGCGGACACGCTTGGCTCCGACACCAACGTACACTTCGTCGAATTCGGAACCGGACATGTAGAAGAAGGGAACACCGGCCTCTCCCGCGCAAGCGCGAGCCAGCAGAGTCTTACCAGTACCAGGAGGGCCGACTAGAAGCACACCCTTGGGGAGTCTGCCGCCGAGCTTGTTGTACTTGTCTGGGTTCTTGAGAAAGTCGACGACGTCGGTGAGTTCTTCCTTGGCCTCGTCGCAACCGTGGACATCGCTGAAGCGGGTGTTCTGCTGCTCGGGGCGGACTTCGGCGTTCTCTTTACCGCCAACGCCCTTCTTGAGGACGCCGCTAGTCTCGACGAAGAGGGTGATGAGGATCAGGGAGACGTAGGCAGCCAGAGCGAAGCCGCAGATCCAGCGGACCCACTTGAAGATGACATTCATCAAAGACTCTTCCACGACGACGTAGACGGGGTCGGCCTTGACGCCGGCGCCGCCCCTAGTCTTGGCGACCTGAGCACCGCCAGCATTCGCGCCGATGGCCTGGGTGATAGCCTGGCGTTGGTTCGCAGTGAGCCCCGAGTGTTCGCCGCTGTCCTGTCCCGTCTTTGCCAAAGCATTGTTGTACATCTTGTCGATTGTAGCATTGGTGGCGAAACGTCCTGTGTTGTACCGGTCGATGATGATCTGGTGGTAGTTGCCGCGCAGAAGAGCCGAGTAGAAGGAAGCCTGAGCGGAGGCGCTGGTAGGGCTGGCATTAGCAGCCTGTTCGAGCCGAGCGAGTTGTTCGTGGGAGGGGCCACCGAAGAGCGAGCGCTGTTGTACGAGGCTGAGTCCGAGCATGCCGGGCTTGGTCAGCAGGCGGAGGTGCGAGAGAGGGCCGTTGCGCGGCATGGTAGAGAACTGGCGTGCCCTGAGGGCAGCGACGGGCGATGTAATGGCGAGAGGATTGCATAGTCCGACGCGCGGTACTGCAGAGTGTCAGTGTTGTGTCCCGACTGTGCCTCATTGCGACTAACTTGAACATGAAGACGAAAATGCTGTGGATACAGATGTTGTGGCAGTGTGAAGCTGTCTGGCGCCGGCAGCCATGGGCATGCGGCCCAGAGCGTGCCACGGGGAGCGCAGGAGAGTAGACATGGTGGGCGACAGTTGCGACGTGACAGAAGCGACCTTCTATATCTTTTGTCAGTAGGGGTTCAATGACGCGATGTCGGAACTCGTGGCAAAACGTACCTGGGCAGCGCCGGCCGCGTGGAGGGCCATGGTAAAGAATGCGCAGCGCAGAGGCCGCAAGGAGTATCTCAAGTACCCGATGAAACAGAAGGAATAGGCGCGCGTGGGCGGTGGTGCAGGCGTGGCGGCGAGAGGCCACGGAAAGCTAGTGGTCACGTCTATGGAAAGTGGCAGAATGGGCCAGTGCTTAGATGCATCGTCGTTCCGAGAGACCCTTGCATATGTCGTGTGCTTGGCGATACGGCGGAACTTGACCTTGCGCCACCATCTGGGCGACATTCACCCTGGCAATTTACTACCCACGTATCTGTCTTGTAGGATAAGTTGCTTTGCATCGTCGCGTCCGTTCACGTGCAGCATGCTACGTCGGCGTGCAATGCCTTGACGCGCGCCTGGGCTCTCGGCGATTGGCCGATGACGTAGAGGAGGCAAGTGCGACCGTTGACTTATGATAACACTACCGACTGAAAGGTGTACATGTCAAGCCGCGTATGAGGCTTGTAGTGCATCCAGTTCCAGGTTGGAGAAGACGTAGTTCCAGAGTCGCGGCGCACCTCGGCTGGCGGGGTAAAGAGCCTCATAGCTCGTCGCGCTGCACGTCTAGATCGTATACACTTTCTCACGTTCCATACTACAGGATCACGACCATGGCATCACCAAGATGGAAGAAGCTGTACGAGTACGCAGCATGTGACGTACGCTTACCTTCTCCCTACCTAGATTCATAACTAAACTCTTATAGCTCGCCGATGGCCTACTGAAGCTACATGTACCAGGCGCAGGCTTCCTCGCTGACATCAGTACGATGAATTGAGAACATTATGTCACATCACTTGTTGACCTGGTCAGGGCCGCTGCTTCATACATCTAGCATTCCCAAACCTGAGCTTAAAAAGGTCCTCGCGCCCGCATCGACCTTTCTCATGATTCCGAAAGCGACCAAGTCGTTCCCAGCCCCTCCCAAGATGCCTGAGAGCATACCGGCTTCCAATCTCGCAGATTCCAGACCATACGCAGACTACACCGAGAGCGGCACAATTGTAGTCATCAGCCAGCCTCCAGGACAGTCGTGCGCAGTCGTTGGGGGTATCATGGCGGCTCGCATGCAGCATCTCGGCGCAGAGGGTATCGTGGTCGACGGTCGGGTGAGGGATATCACTGCGCTCAATCAGACGCAGCTGCCCATATGGTCCAAAGCGACGTCTGTCATCGGCGCAGGAGCCGAGACCAAGTTTCATGCACACAATGTACCCGTGAAGATCGGCGAGACGGTGGTCGAAGCCGGCGACATCATCATGATCGATCCCTTCGAAAACGGCGTGGTCGCGGTGCCACAGGGCAAGGTAGACGAACTGCTCGATCTACTACCGAAGCTGATCGAGGCTGACGAGAGGGTGATTGCGGATGTGGGCAGCGGAGTTAGCGTGGAGGAGGCGTTCAAGACGCATAGAAACTAGTCACGTCTCTTCTACAATATGAAACCACATTATTGAAGCAAGACAGGGCGGATGTTATGGCGAAGTGAAGAGACCACTGAGAGAGCGCAGAATTACATGACGCCGCTAACCTCGTTGCTGGCCCGTGCACTGCCCATTTTCGCGATCCCGGCATGACACCTCTCGCAGCTCTCGTAACCATCGCCCAACCCTCCGCACCACCCGCACCCCAACTCGAGGACCCCCAATCGCCCCGGAGCCACCACAATGGGTATCACCGACTTCTTCTCCGACGTCTGGGAGACCTTCTCCCACCCGTCCGCCGACGCCGAGGGTCAACCGCCCGTCCAAGGTGGCACCAGCACCCAGACGCCCGCCTCCGGCACCGACGAGGAGAGCGCCGACGAGGCCGAGGCCAACAAGCAGGATGCGAAGAAGGGCGGCGACTCGGGCGAGCAGGGACACAAGCCGAGCGGCGATGACGAGGATGAGCCTGAGGAGGAGGAAGAGGAGGAAGAGGAGCCCGACCCAAAAGAGAAGCTTGAGCAGGGTGAGTTATCCCGGAATCCAAGGATGTCGTTCTAGCCGCCTGAGATATCAGTTGATTTCTGGGCGGCTTCGGCTGTGGCTGGACATACCGATAAGAAGCCCACGGCATCCGACACAGCCAGAACGCAGTGCCACTGCAGACTGACCCCCAACTAACAATCTCATGCAGAATGCGCCGAGTCCAAGGAATGCCACGGCCCCAAGCACCACTACGACGAGTGCGCCCAACGGGTAACAGGCCAGATCGAGAACGACGGCAAGGCCAGCGAGGACTGCGTTGAAGAATGTACGTTAGTCCACTCCAATCATCGCCCACGACCTCTAACGCAACTCCAGTTTTCCACCTCGCCCACTGCGCGTCCCAATGCGCCGCCCCCAAGCTCTTCGCCCAGCTCAAGTAAACACACCGACCCCCACCGATCCTCGTCCTCCTACGAGCGAAATACCCATGTTGGTATATGTAGTAGGAATGTAGCCGTTTCGGAATGGAATGAATGCAAGCATCAAGACATATCACATGCGTGGATGAATGTACATATTAGAGTCGTGTTTAGAATATCACTGTACTTCTATCTTCCTGATTCAAGACATTGCACGACTGTATGAATGACGCAAAGTAATGTGTTGGTTATACGCGGACATGAATTCCGTTACGGTAATGGAAAAGAAGAACCAAGGAAACCAGTCTCCTCCTATGACAACCATACAGCCCAGATAAGGAACCCCAGCTTACAAAGAAACCTTAGTCGTCGTCGTCATCATCCTCGTAATCATCACCAGAATCCATGTCCCCAAGGAGTCATCGCTCCGGTCCCGGGACGCCCTCGCCAGACCTCTCGTCCGCGACAACACTATCGCCATCAACGTCCTTCTTGAGCCTGCCCTCTCTGCTAGCCATGCCCAAACGCTTCACACCCAACATAAGCGGCAGTGGCAAGACAACCGCACAAACCACAGCCTGGAAGACCAGCGCCCAAAGCATATGCCCAGGCGGTCTATCTCCACCCGTAGCCTCATCCCTGCCTGCCTCCCGTACAGCTTCCAAATCCACAGGTCTCCCATCCTTGAGCTCATTCATGATGACGATGAAAATGCCGCCGAAGACCTGTCCTCCGACCCAGCAGATCGTCGAAGAAACCTCTGGACTGGCTGGGAAAGTGATCTCGACCAGATACTCCAATGCAATCGGAAGCAGCGAAAACGAGCACGCGCCTAAGATTGCACCGAGCAAATACGGCGCGATAATCGTCCTCGTCTGCGGCGCCCAGATCATCGCTAGATAAGCTGCCGATAGCACGGGGCATAGGATCTTGATACCGAGCAAGTAGGCGTGTGTGCGGTCTACGATGGGAGAAGTGATGGCGCAGGCTACCAGCCCGACGACGATGAGCACCGCGCCGCAGATGCCCGCTTCATCTTCGGTGTAGCCGTATGGATACAGGATTTGGTTTAGCAGCGATGTGAAGGCGTTGAAGAAGCCGGTATAGACGCTGAATGTGAAGAATACAAGGTAGAAGGAGGGGGTGCGTAGCATATGCTTGAGAGATGCCAGAATAGGGATTTTGCTTATCGTCGAAGAAGCTGAGGGTGGAGTTGGGGGCGCCGCGGGGATGAAGAAAGACTGTTGGGTGTTGGTTAGATATGTCATGGAAGCTGACTGTAAGGTATGGGAAGACGTACCGGGATGCATGCTGCAGTTGCGATGCATGATACTATCAAGACCGTAGTCGGAACGTCACCCAAGAATGGGTTAATCAGAGACGCAAGCTACATGTCTTGTTAGCATCCGTTCTCTTCCTTCTGATGTGAATACATACCGCCGCCCCAAAAGGATTCGCCAAACTCGCCAACGCAGTCGCCCCAATCCTCCCTGCCTCAGTAAACCACATATCGCTATACCGAGTCGGCGCCGCCAGCACAAACGGCTGCGCCAACCCCGTCAATATCTGGCCCACCATGACTACACTGAACATGTTCGTCTTGGTACCCGCATACCGGATCCAGTTGCCGATCAGCAGCAAGATAGATGCGGCAATGATGGATGGTTTGGGGCCGCGGTGGAGCAAGTAAATTGTGAGTGGACATGTTGCTGCGAAGGAGAAGAGGAAGGCGGTTGAGAGCCAGTTGATTGACGACTCCGGGACGTTGAAGTATTGGGATGAGGTTGTTGATATGGGGGCGAATGTTAGCCACTAAGTTGTGGTGTTAGCTGTAGTCATCAATCATGAATTTTCGTTGCTCAAGAAAGATGTTCATGGGATGTTGTTGAAATACCATCGATCGACGACGCAGGGCAATGCTCCAAGTTTGGGACGGGAGACCCTTTCGCGACACCCGCAGAAGCAAAAAAACGGAACGGGCAACGGTGTCAGGTGTCGACTTACATCCCAACTAACAACAATGTTCAACAACACCAACTGCCCCAGCCCAAGCCAGCGTCTCTTATAAACCTTGTAATGCGTATGGCTATAGCTCTCCTTCTTCTTCCCCAGTCCAAATCTTCTCTTTTTGCGTTTTGGTGTTTGTTGATGTGCCTCATTCACCCCGTTCTCAGGGTCAGCGGTACCATCCCTTCCAAAGTCGACTCTTCTCGAGTTCGACGAGCCGCCGAGTTCTTCATCTTCCGGCGGAACATCTTCCGAAAGATGCGCGGCATTCTTAATCATCTCATCGTTCGTTCTGGTGTGCGATAGGTCGGCCATTTTGGGTACTGCGGACGACTTCAATCCACGCACGGCGCGCAGCGCACAAAGGGTGTCCGTCTCTTGATGAATACGGGCTGGGCTAACGATGACGCTCCAAGCTGCTGCTAAAAGAATAGCTCAAAATGTCCGGATTGCCCACGTCCAAAAGGCGCGCCTTAAGTCGGCGCAGTTGTTGTTGATGTCGTCCTTATCGCTTCCGCGTCGCAGTCGCACATGTCAAACCGGGGCGCTCCCTTCCAAGGTTGTCGCACGGTCTATTGGCGTTGGCTAAACAGTCGCGGCTCGAAGAGGCAAGGGGTACGCCAACCGGGTGGTGCGGGACGGACTTGCCGTCTTATTAAGCTAGTCGGCCGCCACATTTGCCTGCAGGTGGGTGAACTGTATCGTGGGAACTAGCCTTGCGCATTGTCTTCGCTGGGGTACGGGTGTCGGCTGATGTGTGCGCACTGGGAAAGATACTGCTTTTGGAACAAGACGTTTGTTAGGCGAGGCGGGGTACAACGAGATCGGCATCGCGACTGCGGAGGGTTGATAAGACTGTGGACGAGGGAAATTGTGCGTGGATTTCGACGTTTACTTTCCAGGGCAGGAGAGCTTAAGTAAAGGATGAGCCGATAAGGTTTATTCGAGGCTAAAATGACTGAGATAATTTGAGGCCCAGAGCTGGCTCGCTTCGCTATTTCATGTCAATCTGGCGGGCACGCAGGGTGTCGCCGGACGTAAGCACTCGGTAAGCTGCATCCATCCAAGCTCACATTTTGATGAGGTTTGAGGTAACAACCACTCACGATGGGTGTGCACGTCAACCAAGCCACACCAATCCAGGCCCACCTCGATTACAAGCCTTTACCGCATGCGAGCGAGTACCTGCGTATTCTCAGCCTGCACGCTGGTAACGCATGCGAGCCTATCCGATGTAGCTTGCGTCCAGTCAGCTTCCACGAGAAGCCGTATTATGACGCTCTGTCCTATACCTGGGGCGACCCCAACGCCACGAAGCTGATCGAGGTCGATGGCGTCGCGGTCGAAGTCACCTCCAACCTTGAGCAGGCGCTGCGGCACATGCGCGACGTGAACACCGATCTTGCCCTCTGGGTAGACGCTGTGTGCATCAATCAGTTGGATACGACGGAGCGGTCGCACCAAGTGGCCCTCATGGGCAAGATATATTCCGGATGCGCCCAGGTACGAATTTGGCTAGGCTGCAATGCTTCGCGATGCCGGCTTGGCGATGGAGCAAATGACGACTTGAAAGGAGCGGATCCATTCGGAATCATCTGTTTGCTAGCAAGTGGTCGCCATGTTTATGAATGGCAATGTTTCCAACCCCAGACTCCCGATACGGCTGTCTACAAGCCCGACGGAATCTTCAATGCGATGTGCGAAGGCTTTCTCGCTATCTACCGAAGTCCTTGGTGGACACGCCTTTGGACCGTACAAGAAGCCGTCTTACCAAAGACAGGCACTTTGTACTTCGATACATGGACGATATCGCTTCAGACGGTCACCGATTGCGGGTTATACTACGACCGACATGCCTGGAAACCATGTTGTAATCACCCCGTATCACAAATGCCAATCACAATGAGCAGTTCTCTAAAGGACTTCTGCACCATGACTCGGAGCCTTTATCATGATCGAAAACGCGATGGCAGCGGCAAGCTCAAGCAACACGACCTACAAACACAACATGTAGTATATGGGTTCCGGGCGTGTGAGGATCCGCGCGACAAGGTCTACGGGCTGTTGGGGGTCATTGATGACCGATTCTTCACCCCGGATTACACTTTGTCTAAAGAGGAAGTTTTCTTCCAGGCTACTTACACAATGCTTTGTCGCGAACGGGGGTTCTTGAAGAGTCTGACAGGCCCTCAATATGGCCCAGCGCCGGACAAACTGGCGTCCTGGGTGCGCGACTTTGATGCGCCTTACGATCGCATGGACGTCGATGTAGTTTTCGATCGGTACAAGCTTTTTGATAATGGCGTCTTCAATGCTTCCGACGACCACAGATCGAGCGCTGTATTGCTAAAAGCTTCCCCGCGGTCGTCGGGTGAGGTGGTAGGACGAGTGGGGCTTGGTGTCATAGGCAGGCGTGTAGGCAAAGTCACCTTTGTATCCGAAGACGTACAGACCTTAATATCCCCGAAAGATGATGCTGCCACCAGACATAAAGTTGTCTTCAAGAGATGGATGTTATCCGCGCTCAACTCGAGTGCTTTTGACACGCTAGCTCACATTAGTGTGCAGAGCAATCTCTATAGAGAGCCGAATACGGCCATGGCGTTTTGGCGAACACTGCTTGGAGGATTTGACATTCCAGTCGGTACAGAAGGCCACGCGTGGGATCTCAAATTCAGTCCTGCAACGATGCGTTGGCTCGAACACTTTCTTGCATGGGTGGAAGGAGAAGAGTATACGATTAATGCCACACTATGCCATATGATCTCCGTCATAACACATGGTCGTTGCTATTTCAAGACCGGGAACCATGGTCAGGGCCTCTGCTATCCGCACGCCCGTGTTGGGGATGAGATATGGGTCCTTGACGGGGGAAGAGTTCCGTTTGTCCTGCGACCTACGCATTTAGATCAAGAAGAAAAAGACGCACTAAGATCAGAGGATACGGACCAATTTGGGGCTGATGAAGGCAATAGATCTAGTAGAAGCCATCAATCCGACAAACCAATTGAGGGATACTATCAGTTCATCGGCGATTGTTATTTCGACGCGTACATGCACGGGGAAGCGATCCGAGACAGCACGTTGCGTGAACAGTCTATTGTATTGGTATAAAGGGGCTGCGGAGTAAGATAAGAAAGGTTTATCAGCAAAGACGCTGCGAAGATCGCTGATCGAGTTGTTACGAGGAGGTCATGTGAATTCTCCCGCATTCGACCCGAGACATGACATTCCCAACTCCGGATGTGACGCGAGAGGACTTCACATAATCGAGATGAATGAGAGGCAAGGGATGGCTTTGGTTCGAGTACTATACTGGTCATGCAATTCTATTTCATAATCGCCCTCCTAAAACCACGCTATGCAAATCTATCAACGTCTACGACCCCAACCGCTCAATACCTTCCCATCACATACATATCCCCCTCCAACCCCACCCACAGTCATGCGCCACCCACCCCCTAACTCAAATCGAATCCAGCCCCCGAGAAAACGCTATAAAGCAACTTCTCCTTCAACGTCGTCTCATCCTCATACATCGGCAACTTAAGCAAGTTAACACACGTACTCGTACTAGGCAGCCTATCCTGATCCCTCCCCGCATCCCTAATACTGAACCTCGGATTCAGCGTGCCGAAGCCAAGCAGCGGGGCGCGCGGTGTGCTAGTCACGAACTTCAGGACCGCACGCCTCTCATCATCGGTCATCTCTTTCATGACTTTCCAGAGGAGTTGGATGGTGGGGTGTTCGAGGCCGTCGTCACCGATGACGTAGGTGCCGCCGTAGATGGTGTTGCGGCGGAGGTCTTCGATGTCGATGGAGGTGCGGGTTCCCGAAATGAGGGTTTGCAGCTCGGATTGGTTGAACATGGAGAGCCAGGAGGGTTGGATCATGGTACTGAGACCGCGGAGGAAGGCCGTGGTTTGGGCGTAGGGCTGGTTCTGCAGTCGATGGCGGGCCATGTAGCTGATGTAGACGAGGCGGTTTTGGTTAGTGACGGGGGTGTTGGAGCCGTCGGGCTTCAGGTCCTTGGTGATGGCTTTGGTTTTCTTGGGCGAGGTGGTGTGGTCTACGACAACGGTGTCCGTCACGGTGAAGTTGAGCGAGAAGTCTTCGACATCGCCAGGATAAGTCTTTAGCTTATGAAGGCCTTGGTATAGCTCTTCGTCTAGATCGCGGAGGTCGTTGAGGGTAGGGCGGTAGCCAGACTCGTTTGGTGCGGAGCCGGTGCCACCTGTCAGAGCCCATTTGCGCAGGAAGAACGGTGCAAAGTTTACATCGACCAGGATACCTTCGTACAAACATTTGCCGATGATGCGTCCCAAGAATTCGTAGCGTTGAAGCAGCTCAGTAATTTGAGCACGGTATTCTTGAGAACCCTCACGTACGCCGGCTTGGCGAAGGGCCTCTTTGTGTTCTTCGACCGCTGCGGGGTTGGGATATAGAAGATGTTGGTCATTCTCAACAAACATGTCGATGTACTCAGTTGGCATGAACGCTCGGCTGGTGACGCTAGTGAGGAACTCCTTCGTAACACCACCACCATCGATACCGGCTTCGGGGGCGCCAAACTGATCCATGAAGGTGATCTGGATTGGTTCCTTCAAGCCCTGGCCTAGTTCATAGAACTGCTCGAAAGCATCGTCGAACTCGTTCTCTCGCCTGATCCTCGCTGTATGCTTCTCCAATTGGCTACGTGCGTTGGGCTGCTGCATAGTCCGGAACCGCCAGAACTCGGGGTCCGCAGACCCTCGTCGCTTCACCATATCCAGTTTGACGAACTCGCGAAAGATTTGAACACGGGTGGTGAAGGGTATGAAGAACGGCATGTTCTGCAAGATCTCAAGCCGAGGTGCCACGGCTTGCAGGTACCGTCTCCGCGAAGCCTTGCGCTGCTGCCGTTGTAGTTTCTCCAAGCGTCGCTGTGTCTGGGTGCGACTGGTGCCGATGAGCTGTGGTGTGTCGTCAAATTCCTCTTCTTCAAGATCATCTAGATCCTCCGCATCTTCCTCCTGGATTTTGTGCCGCGACTCTTCCTCCTCAACTACAGCCGGGATGAACCCAGTCATGTCAAAGCGCGAGACCATGAGCCAGTGGTCTGAAGGCAGGAACTTGCGTCGCGAGTCGCGCTCGTATACCATGCGAAGCAGTCCAGTGACCAATCCTTTGACGTAGTCTATCCTCAAGCCTGCGACACCACCTATTGATGGTTCGGCATGCTCTTTCTGGGCTTGATTATCCATAACCCCAGGATTAAAGTAGCTGAGACTTCTACTATTGCCTCCGGTATCGTCTTCGGGGCTTGTAATGTCTACTGCGTTGAAGTAAAGTGTGAAGCCCAAATTCTTCAGGAAAGTTGCCAGATCCTTCACCTCACTTAAAGGTAGGCCACTGTCACGAATCTGGCCTGAGTAGATGTCTTTCTGACCCGAAGTGAAGAACTCCTCGTCGTCGGTGACTTTGAGAACAAAGGTATATAGTTCGAGGAATACCAGAATAACCCGCCATTCATCAGTGGTGACTGCGTCGCGATCGACCTGCTGTTGTGCTGGCTGCCAGAAGCCATGTTGCGTTAATCCGGACGTCCCTGGGTGGTCGGAGTTGTTCATGTTCGAAAATTTCGGCTTCAAGAGTCCGATGGCTGCCCTCGAGTCCCTGAAGATGGTGGTAAAGACCGATGATCGTTTTGATGCTTCCCAAAAGTATCTGATCGCCGGAAGCTTCCTTGCGCTGTTTCCAGACGCCTCCGATGGACCGATGTAGAGCCACATGCGTATCTCGTCACCGCGGCGAGGGAAGAACCGAAGTAACGCAAGTGCGTAGTTTGCAAGCTGGCGTGCTTCCTCAACCTTCTCATCATCCGAAGCTTCCGCTGACTGTGACGATCCGGCCAGGAGACTTCCAATACCTTCCTGATGTACTAGAGAGCGGACTTGCTCTTTCAGGAAATTTGATACGGCACTGGAGTCTTGTTCGGCACCGTCGTCTTCGGAAAGCTCGGCGATTGGATGATCGTCATCTACGATGTTGATTGGCAGGGAGTTCAACAAAACCGACACCACGGCTACAAAGTCTTTGTGGACAGCGTAGGCTTCGGGGGTGTCGAAGTTGTGGGCGTAGCGGTGGAAGTAAATGAAGTTTCCCAGTACACGCAGTCTACTTGATGTGTTCTTCAGCTCGAATTTGCTTTGCAGTCCTGCTCTCTTGGAAAGTGTCGCCAATGCGTTTGCGAGTAGCTTGTAGTTGATGGCGTCAGCGAGCGAGTCGCGAAACTTTTGTAATGGTGGTGACGTTGAGTCTGAGCCTAATAGTGGGAGGGCTAAAAAGTGTATACCGAAAGCCTCATAAGCATCCAATGTGTAGCCAGTCACCCGTGTCATCGGTGACAGGGCTGCCCTGACTATGGTGTCACTTATTTCCGATCCTTGGCTCGCCGTTTCAAGTGTTGGGGCGAAGGTAGACGCGACGCGTGCAAGAGTACGGTAGTAATGCTCGGCGTTCTGGGACGTTTCGCCGGGTATCTGGTCTGCGAGGAACTGTAAGACGGTAAGAGAGGCCCCAACCTGATTCCATTGCATCGGCGTGTGTTTCTGAAGCTGCCGCTCTATAGCCACGAGTAGGATGCGCTCCAGCCTTAGATATGCCCACGGCCACGGCCCGCTTGATGTGATGCCCAACTTCTTGACTGACTCCATCTGCCGCGATGCATAGTGCTGCATCCGTCGCAGATCGGCATCGCTCCGTGACGATGCGAATCGAAGCAGCCGTTGTAGCTGGGCAAGAGCTTCCTCCTCCGAGTCATATGTCGCCGTCCTCGAAGAGCCATTCGCGTCTTCTACCTGGTCCCATGCGGCCCGTAGCTCGTCAGCCACATCTCTCCTGGCCGAGTGACCCCGCCATACTTTTTGTATCCGCTTGGCCGCATTGAGCGTGTCTCGTTCCCGTTGCCGTTGCGCTCGCTCTTGCTGTGCGCGGTCGAGGGCGGCTTGTGATCCGGCGCCGGAGCCGGGAGGGCCGAAGGGATTCGTCTTCTTGCCCCCAAGGTTTACTTGTCGCGCCTTTCGCGTGTTGCCTGTGAAGCTCGTGAACATGGTGGCGGGGCGTGGAAAGAGGCCAATGCGAGACGTTGAATCGGGCTATGTGTAGGGTGACTGTGTCTAGATAGGTCTTGACTTTATCGGCGGTAGGTCGATCTGCAAGGGGGGGGTATTAGATTAGGTGTGAATTTGTCGCTGTATAACGGTAATAGTGAAAGCACACGGCACCAGCCAAGGCAGCGGTCAGTTGGGGCGATGCGGTGTTGTGCCCATCCGTAGGGAAAGAGATGCACTCGGTGTCGTAATTCGTATACAGAAGGCGCAAGCTACATAGAGGCCTTCGACCGGGTTCTACGTGTCTCGGGCGGCGATGGTTGTAGTAATGGAGACAACCAAACGATGGTCGACATCGCCGCAACCTCCGAGAGTCCGTGCATTGCTGTTGCCGTCATCGCGCTTTGAAATCGCGACGCGCCCGCACTTCACCACCACCAACGACATCATCAATACAATGTCACAGTTCATGCGCAAACGAGATTTACTTCTAACGACGCATTAAAATCGATACGAAGCTGGGAGAGCTCCATTATCGGTTATGCCATCGCGATATTTGGCTACAATCCGCTCGCTGTACTCTACCATTGTCTGGACGCGTGAGAGGACCTATCAGGCACATAGCCACACTAATACTCATACCCACGATACGCGGTCGGCAGCAACTCCACTCCCGCCTCTCCTCCCGTGTCGTCATTTTTCTTCGCGTCTTTCTTCTCCCTTTCCTTTGCTTCAGTAAGTACGTTCATGATAACCGTAACGAGCACGCCCATCGCAATCAACTGCCCCGAGTCCCACACAATCATCTCAGTGTTGGGATCCTCCATCCAACCCGAATCAGCCACCCACTCGCGCATTGTATAGACGCGGAACCAGCAGAACGTCGACGTCACGATCGGTGTGAGCAACACCAAAATCCAGTAGATCAGAGTAACAAATGCACGCTTCTCTGTCCAGACTCTGGGTGCGCGGTCTTTGGATTCGGCAAAACGGATGGGAACTGAGATATGCGCAGCGATGAAAGCGGCACCGAGGACGATGTACATAAATCTTTCTGGTGGCCATGCTGTTGCGTTTCCGAAACCGAGCTCGGCCTGGTTCTGGCGCGCTTGCTCTTCTGCTGCTGATCGCAGGTCCATCTCCAGCATACACGCTACTGGAAGCAGAATAGCGCTGTCTTTGTTCGAATGTGTAAGCGCGCCATACGGGGCATAATTAGCTTCTCTGAAGATGGTCAGCCCGACACCAATGAAGGCCCCAACCGAAAGGAGCAGTCGGAAAGCGGCTGCAAGTGGGTTTCGCCAGTACGTCCGTACCAGCGCGATGGAGAAAGTGAGAACAGACAGCGCGATCATCATCTGACTGACGGCAACCGTAAAATGATAGCTTGTCAGTTTACACTTGCTCCGGCCAGCGAAACCGAGGAGGAAAGCTCCGACGAAGATGGTCTGGGTGTCTGCAACACCCAAGACGAATGTTCGGCCAGCTGCGCGCACTCTTTCTTTCCATGTCGGATCCGCATTCGGATTCTCGGGAGTCTTGTTATTGGGTTTGTCTCTGAAGCTCGCGAAGGCGCTGCCGAATTGACTATATGCGTCGATGATTAGTCTAGTCGAACCAGCTATGCTCCGAAATACTCACGAGACGTCTGCCCTGAACCAGAGCTCGATAAAGACGAAGATCAAGGAGATTGCGACAACAGCGAAGAACAGTACCATCGCGATCCATATCTAGTTGTGTCAGCATAATCGCTCCAAGTTGTTTCTTTAACTTACTCCAATGCCAGCTATGCCAGGCTGCGGCGCCATTCTCCCCCTCGTAACATTGCCAATGGAGACTAGGTCATGATCCGCATCGAACGTCAGGCTACAAGCCCGAGTGAGGTCCACATCCTCAGCCCTGCAGGCCTCAACCACGTTGAATTGAAATCCGCTTCCACTTTCGCCTCTCAGAAAGCCAAAGCTGTTGCCCATGTTTGCGGATCTGGATTACAGCAAGGCTATGCCAATATGGATTAGGCCATCACAATATCTGGCAACAGCAAAGCCTTTAACATGATAGAGCAGGCTACGAGGCTGAGACTGGGGGGCCGGAACATGCTGCCAAGCCTGTGAACACGAGTGGCTTTGGAAAAAGGACACTAAGCCCCGAGAGCTGAGCCTCTGCGTCCACATTTATCGCACCTGATTGGGAGCCTCATCCATCGAGGACATCAAATGCGCCTACAGCGGTAAGCAAATCAAGGCTTTGCGGAACATCGCCACCACACGCGCTGCGAGGAATCAGGCTGAACCCCAGCCTCATCCCCAAAACTCCTTCAAATCCTCAGCCCTCCACTTCGTACTCCATCCCGAAAGTCTCTCAATCTTCTCCAGCAGCTGCAAAATCGCCTTCTGCTCACTCTCATGGCTCATCCACTGCCCCGCAATCCACAGCGGCTGAATCGCATTCGTCCACGCAGCATGATCATCGTTGCTGATGGAAATCCCACATATCTGTCTTGCGTGCCAGAAGATTGAGTTCGGTTTCGGTGTGACGGTGATGCCGGAGGGTTTGTGGCCAAGCATCAAGATGCAGGCGGTGTGGTGGAGTTGGTTGCCGGACATGGCGGCGGGGTTGCTGTAGAGGAGACGCGGGAAGGGGGAGGTGGGTGGGATGAAAGAAGAGATTGGGAGCATTTCTGCGGGACGCGTGGTGTACCATGTGGATACGTGGTGCCAGAGTCGAGTCCAACGAGCAGAGTATACTTTGTCGGTCTCGGCGAGCTTTCGTAGTGTGGCGCTGGCACGACCAGCTAGATTTGAATGGGAAGAAAGTAGGTCGAGGATTTGGGCAATGAGATACACGGCTTCGCATGCGTAGACATTGTATCCGCCAACGGAACGGAAACGGTCCACGTCAGCATCGAGACCCATTCCTGAAGAAGCCCAGTGCTCAACCGGTATGAGCGTTTTAGACGATGCGATGAGTCCTCCACAAACATCCATTCGGGCAAAGCACCAAAACAGCGCTTGATCGACACCACCGCTGAATCCACTGATCCCGACAGCTTCCAACAGGTGCGCACATCCATCTAGGTGCTGATGCCACGCTTTCGCCGAGCTGCTCAGCATCTCGAGTACACATAGCACCACGCAAGATGCTATCACGGGCGTGCTGCGCGTATGTAATTGCGGGAGGACGAGCTGTATAGCTGTTTGGTAGAGAGCTAGACTGCGTGAGGTGTGTTTACTGTTGTTCTTCCGCTCTATCTGGCGGGCTGAGAGAGCGAGCATCGAATATCGTAGGTGATCGTGCGAGCGTGCCAAGATAGGCAGGGTACGCTGAAAGTGCCGTTCGGGGTCGAACTTATCGATCCAAGGGGCTACTTCATCGAGCCAGTTCTTCCATAGTTCGAAGTCCTCTTCTGGAGATAGCTGGGGTGGTGAGATGTTTGTGGTATCTGGCTCGTCGATGGCAGCGGTGTTGAGAGATGTTTCTGCAATGTGTCTTGCTGCGTCTGACGCGTAGTTCGCTTGCACCCCTCCCCAAACCTGTCCAATGCGCGCAGCATCCGGTGTGACCTCTCGAGTCGGTACATTTGACCGAACTTCTTGTATCAAGTGACTCCGGAACGTGGAATGCGCGTCGAGATACGCCGAGCCTGGTAAGAAGACGCTGTCGTCTATGTATGTGGTGGTGACAGGACTGTGCCAGATGGATTCGATAACTCCTGTAGTAGGCAAGGGCACGTACTGGGTCGACTGAAGAGGATCTATCGTATCTTCGCCAACTGAGAAAGGAGTGTTTGACTGCCAATATGGGGAACCCTGTTGAGGTACCTGGTCGTCGGCTGTAGATGGCGACACGTCGGGAGGAGTAGTCGTCTGCCGATCATTAAATTGATCTGGTACTTCAAAGTCGCCTGCTTGATCGTAATGCTGGTAGTCGCGTATCACTTCCGCAGTCACGTCCTTGATCTTGAAGCGCGCTGGTGGGCGTCCTGGTGGGCGATGCAGCGATGATGGTCCGACACCTAAAGCATTTTCGGCCCGGAAGGTGAGGCGAGAAGCCCATTCGCATTTTTCGTTCTTGCTGCTGCAGCGGCCGCAGGCAGGCTTGGTCTCATCACATTTGCGTCTTTTTACTTTGCAGTTGATGCAGCTGGAAAATCTACGTCAGCATCTTGGGGTTGATGTGGTATGCTTCGCATCATACTGACCCATGCCGCGTTCTTGCTCTTTTCGTACCGCGTCTTACCAGACTGTCTTCATTTGCCATTGGACGTGGTCGGAAAAGGTCGCGATTAGATGAGTGATAAGACCCCGGACCTGCCGGTTATGATCAAGGAGCGTTGATCAGCTGGGTAGTCGTACGTTTTCATGATGCAAATCAAACTATCACTAGCGGAAGGTACGATGTGGAGACCCCGCATCTTAGCTGCATTGCGCGCTGCGCGGTGATGGATGGAGTTGCTGTCAAGGCAATTTTCATGAATTACCACGGTGAATTGAATAGTTTGTTATACGCGCATACAGCGACTTTACCGTTTACATAACCACCAGCACGCGAAAGAATGCGTGAAGAAGACCACGTATCTTTCTAACATCGCGGCTGGCTTATGGTATACCTAAGAGAGCGTCGCATACATTGGCTGACTTCATCTGACTCCTTCCAGCATACCCACAATTTCAATTGACTGTTGCAGCACAGTACCGACAATGGCAGTCGCACCTGCCGCGCTTCTCCGAATCGTTCCAGTGTGTCCAAATACCGTGGAGCAGGACAGCTAAGAACACGTACCAAACGATCCTCTTTGCGAAAGCTTGTGTTTCCAGACTACAGCGTAGCTCATGCGCTTTGACTCTGTCGAAAGCTTGGAAGTTATAGTCGTATTGGACAAGCGCCAACTGCGTAAGATCGTACTCCTGTTCGAGCCTGAAACCATCGTCTATGCCTTCTCTTTGATCGTATTCTTCTTCTTTAGGCGTTCCTGGTGGAGTCATCAGTCTCCAAGGATCAACAGGTCTTGGAGTCGCTAGTTCATTATCCCTGAGATGAGCTTGATCTTTCCATGCTTCTTGTTCGACAATCATGAGCTCCGAGTTGGAAGGGATAGTTGTGCGAAGGCGGTCGGACCATTCTGGACCGAAGTCTCTTTCGAGGGTTGATGGTGTTGGGTGCGGTGAGTACTTCATGGTTGAGCCGGTCAGAGTGAAGAAAGGCGCTGATGAGAGATCTCATACACTTGGACAAGTCACATGTTGAATATGAGTAGATTGGCTTCGGGATCAGTATGGGTCTTGTGTGAACGTGAATGCCGGGACTCAGCCGCTACATTGAACAAGGCATTCACCCTCACTCGAGTGGTTAGTCGCTCCACACGTTGCGCTGTGTGAGATTGTTAGATCGGATCAGATGCGCACATTGCGACTTATGAGGAGGTTGAGTCTAAACACAGTAGTTGTGCGAACAAGTCGCTGAGCCGTATCGATGAGCGCCTGATGGTTACACATCACGACGGTGGAAATCAAAGTTGAGGTGTCGCAGTGAACCCCGCGCTCGGCACACCTTCCTCACGAGCTGGTGGGGTGAAAGCACACCCGGTGGGGCGGACCCTTTCCGACGTCATGTTCGAGCTGGGCAAGCTCCACCAACAATCCGTACAAACGGACGTCTGTCGTCCGAACGCGCTCATAAGAAGACCGAGTGCGCGTACCAAGACCTCAATTCACCAGAAACACGCCCAACACCTCGTTCGAAGCTCATCGTCGCGAAAATCCAATCAAAATGGCAGGAGACGCAGAAGACCGCGCCGCGCTCGTCAACCGACAGCTCCCAGAGATGACACTGTCAACAGCAGACAACCCTCTTGCAGCACCCAAACCACCACCAGAGAACTTGTCTACCGCAGAGAGAGCCCAGTATAGGTTCCAAGTCAAGGGCAATGCGATCAGTACGTGAACGCCTCCACAGGGTAACAACACCCATCTTCATCCGCATCCACCATAACACACCAAGACCATCTTATTAACCGCTGTTACTATAGTCACCGGCGGCGCCGGAACCCTTGCCCTCGAAGCCGCAGCCGCCCTCCTCGAACACGGCGCCACAGGCCTCGCCCTTTGGGACATGAACCCAGACCAAGCCTTCGAAAGCGTCAAGAAACTGCACTCCAAGTTCCCGCACGCGCGCATCATAACCGAAGTGGTCGACGTACGCGACGAGAAAGCCATCGCCTCAGCCGTAGAAAGCAGCGTAAAAGTCCTGGGTAGCATAGACATGCTCTGCTGTTTCGCCGGCGTAGTAGGCTGCACACACGCGATAGAAATGGCGGCAGATGAATGGCGACGCACACACGACATCAACCTCACCGGCTCCTTCCTCTGCGCACAAGCCGTCGCGAAACAATTCCGCACACAAGGAACGGGGGGTAGTGTTACTTTCACAGCGAGTATCTCGGCACATCACACAAACTACCCTCAACCGCAATGCGCATACAATTCGTCCAAGACGGCGCTGTTGTCGCTAGCGAAGAGTTTGGCGGCGGAGTGGAGTAGCTATGGTATTAGGGTTAATTGTCTGAGCCCGGGGTATATGGATACTATATTGAATGATGGCGATGGGCTGATTAGGGCGAGAAAGAGTTGGAATGACAGGAATCCGATGGGACGCATGGGGCATCCGTGGGAGCTTACGGGGCCGTTGGTCTTGTTGTGCAGTAATGCGGGGAGGTATATTAATGGAACGGATATCATTGTTGATGGCGGGGCTATGGTGTTTTAGGGGGAATATGGAGTGAAGGAAGGGAAAGCAGGAACGATAGAAGATATCCGACTAGTGAAAGCGCTGAATTGGTACTTATATGAAGGACCGGAACTAGCCCCGCGCACCTTAGCCGAGTTATTCATGGATCCAGAGTCCCACACCAGCCACCGATCTTCTCTCTTCTTCAAAACACAGGTTGAACCAAAATACTATGACGCTACCAAGCCGATGTTGATATTAATCCCCGGGCTTTGGAGCCAGATTTGAAGGATGCTAGACTTTAAGTTCGGCTGCCTGAAGTCTTTTGATCACACCATCGTCTAACGATGCTGATTGCCTTTGGGCAAAACTAAACAATATGCAGTGGAGGTCGCATGATTGACTACTCTCAAGTAATCTCATCTATAGCTATAGACTGATAAAGGTGTATCGGTAGGTAGACATATAGGATGCAAGATTCATGTCCACGTCACATCCCATGCCGTTGCTATCCAACTCGATGGCATTCGTGACCTACCCCACTATCACTCTACTCATCATCCCCATCCATCGGTGGCGGCGGCGGAATACTGAAATCCTCCAGACTCGCCCACTGACTACTCTTATACCCCCCAGCCGCTTGCGTCATACCAAACATAGGGCTACTCCACCCCTCCGCCGCGACCTTCTCCGGGCTGGGGAAACTACTTGGTATAAACAGTGGCGGTGGTTTACTCGGCGAGATAGCAGGCTGAGAACTGGCGATGCGATGGGGTGTTGTGTGCGTGCTGGAGAAATGCTGGATGCGCTTGCGTCGGGGTGTGCGTTGCGTGATCTCGTCAACGGTTGTTGCTTGGCTGGGGTGGTAGCCTGATGGTTGGTGGTTCGACTGGGGCGCTGTGTTTTGGGGAAGGCGGGGTGTGTCGTTGTAACTGAATGCGTCGGGTGCTGCGCGCATGCTTGATGATTCGGGGGCTCGTGCATTTACGTATTGGGAGTATGAGAACCATTCGTTGTGGAGCTGCTGCTCTGCTTTGCTGGAGTGTGACTGTTGGGTTTCGTGATCGGGTGACGGAGAACGAGGGACCTGTATGGATTCGCCGTCTAGATCTGCTGACTGGTGCATGTCTGTCGATGTGAACAGCGGCGCATGTACGTTGCTTGATCGTGGAGGAGTTGGATCTGGTGGTGGGGCTTCTTCTGCTTCTTCCGATGAATCGTCGTTGATGGCCATCGGTGTGGATGGGCAAGTTTCTTGATTGAGGTCTGCAATGACTGGAGGGGTGGAGCGGAGCTGCTCTTCTGGTAAAGGTAATTCCCCTTCACTACTTGTGTTAGCCTCACTCTTGATTGGCCTCTCTTCATTCGACGGATTGAACGGGACTGTGGGCAATATTGTTGCGTCATCATCTTCTTCATCCTCGTAGTCGTCATCGTCATATCCGGGCTCCTGCTTAACAGCGACGGACTTGGCTACAGTAGAGGACGATCTGCCACTCGACTGCTTTTGCAGGTCGCCAAGTTCGGGAGAAGGTTCTTGGTCACCTCGAAGCTCAGGTAGATCGCCCGAGTCTTGTGGTGATGCCGAATCCTCCATAACTTCTTCTCCATTTGCATCAGCACATGCCTGGTCGATCCTGTCAAGTACTGCCTGAGTATCAGCGCCAATGGCTTTCCCAGTCGCAGCTTCACGGCGCCCGGAAGAAGCTTGCGCATCCCCACCTCCGCGACGTCCAACAGCAGGCAGGTCTTCTTCTATGACACCATCATCCTCGTCTTCAGAGTCTTGTATCGTACTCTCAAACTTCCTCAGTGTTGGTGGTGGTATAGGCGTTTTCGAAGGCATCTTGAAAGTAACCTGCTTACGTTTCGAAGGCGTCTCTGGTGCAAGAATCGAGTTATCCGAGCGCTGCTTGAGGGGTGATCGGTGTAGCTTTTGTGGGGAAACCTGAGTCGATAGCGGTGAGTCGGCTGGTGACTGAGAGGAGGGAATCTCGCGAATACGTCGTTTCTCTGGCGTTGATAAAAGGCTGAAGCGGGCTTTACGGGTCCTGGCCTGCCCTTGCGGCGCATAAAAAGCTTGCTCCGTCTCTGCGACTCGTGGTCCTTTCCCTCGCCTAGTCGCGCGGGTCGTTCTTGTGGCAGGCGCTTCAATGAACTGGGTCGGTTTGTAGCTGTCTTCGCAATCCTCGTCCATCTCATCTTCCACTGACTGCACAACTAACTCCGGGGTATCTTGAGAGTTTGCCATGGGCTCCTTCTTTATATGTTTGTCTTCTAGGTTCTGCTCCATGTCGTTAATAGCATCGTCTGCACCGATGTTCTCTCTAGCACCATTCCCTTCGACACGATAAAAGCCTTGTTGCGCCAGACGCTGCGCAACAGCATCGCCATAGGTCTGACTAGCCCTCTCCTCTGCCTCGGCATCGCTCAATATCTCGTCTAGATCCTCATCTGACATGATCTCTTGTGGTCGCATGCCCGGTATCATCTGCGTCAACGTGCGCTGCTTCCTGTCGCTCTTTACTTCGCTCTTGCCACGTCCACCCCAACTCAGTCGCGAGCTCTGTTTTACGGGCTGAAAGCTAGGCTCTTCGTCATCTGGCAAAGGCTTTCGTCCGTCCACTAGTTGTGTCATTGTTGATTGTCGCCGTAGCGTGCGCTCTCGGTCGGCCTTGGTGGCTGTCGCATCGTCCTTGTAATCGGCTCCGGCTTCGACGCGCCTCGAGCGGCGATTGTTCTTGAGCGGGGCTGCGGTCCGTCGGCGTTTAGAAGTAGGCTCTACCGGGCCCTCCTCCCCGTTGTCTTCTTGCTGAAGTCCATCGCTGTTCCTCTTCTTTCCCTTCCTCTTCGTCCTCGCAGGCTGTTGCTCTTCTTCTTCTTCTTCCTCATCCACCTCGGCCTTGATCGAGACGACTCCATCTTCTAGATCCTCCTCCAAATCTGTGTCGCTCTCTTCATCCGAGTCGGCGACAACAGGAGTGCCCTGTCTCCTCATTTTGTCCGGCAGAAAGACCATTTGCCGCTTCCCGTCGTGTACTGGTGTGGAACGCCGACGCACCGTCTTGCGCTTGTGTGGGAAACGGATTTGCTGCGGTACTTTCTTAGAATAGTAGACTTTGTAGTCGGCGTCTTGGTTGCTCGAACGCGTCTTGGGCGTCATGGTGGGTGGGTGGAGCAATCGATAAGTTGCAGCGTTGGAGCGTTCCAAGGTTGGTCGACGCGACGCGTTGAGGGGACAAGCGCGAAACCAAAGATGACGGGGGCGCGTCATCACCACTTACGCTCCCGCCCTCGCAGACTCACCTAGACCCTGCTCGTCAACATTACTCGTTAAATAAGCGAACTGTCCACTTGATTCATGCTCACACATAGGTCTCGGTGAACTTATCAAACTTCCTCCAGATTTACCATGCGCAATGGAATCACAGCCCACATACCTGATCATTGGCGCGGGAGTCTTCGGTGTCTCCACTGCCTACCACTTGATCAAGAAGTACCCTAATACACATATAGGGCTGATTGACCGAACACGATACCCCTGCACTCTTGCCGCATCTTGGGACTGGAACAAAGTCATTCGTGCCGACTATGGTGATATCTTCTACATGGAAAAGGCGTTGGAAGCCATATAGTTGTGGCGACATGATCCACTCTTCAGCCGGTTCTACCACCAAAGCGGCATTATCAATATTGACAATACCGAACTGGGAAAGAGATTTTGAAGAACTATGAGAAGCTTGGTGTGGAAGTCGATGAGGAGATGGTGAGCATAGAACGCTGCAAGAAGATGTACAGTTCTTTCTATGATGATACCGACTTCTCTGGAGCTGAAGAAGTGTTCGTGAATAGAGACAGCGCGTGGGCTGAAGCTACCAATGCTCTGACCGCTTACAATGACGCTGCGATTGAGGCAGGACTCAAGTATACCGCAGCAGACATCGACGTGCTGACCTTCGGTACTGATGGAGGAGGTACCAGATTTTTAACGAAAGGTGGTGAAAACATCACAGCACATCGCATCATCCTGGGTACCGGTGCAATAACAGCCAAACTAATCGCTGACAGCGCTCCGAATAGAAGCGAGCTACAAGTCCACGGGCGTCTGGTTGTCGGGGCAGTGGTCACTGGCCTCGTCGATCTAGACCCAAAGAATGGTCAACATTATACCGAGAGACCAGTTACAGTACATTCCGTCCTACCAATACGAGGTCAGGTGAACAAATTCCACCGTCTCCACTCATGCTGACGTATTCTAGGGGAGCTCATACCAATAACATCGCGCTTGTCGGATAAAGATCCATATACCGTCAAGTCCTGCAGAGACGACGCCTACAAGAACACCGTCAAACACAAGGCGTCAGGACAAGGGTTCTCTTCTCCCCCAGGTGAGGCCGGCCAGGCGCAGAAGCAGCCGGATGAAGGCCCCCAAAAAACGACATGACCTCGCCAAGAACGGTATACTGGGTGAGCCCGAAAAGAAGGTTATAATTCTACGAGTATCGTGTTTGCTGGTGAGTCGCATGCTTCAACCATTATAACGGACCAATCTGACTGTTTCTAGAGATGCTGTGACACCAACCCAAGACTTCATCATCACATCGCACCCACATTGTCAAAATATATATCTCGCGACAGGCGGTTCGTTCCATTGATTGAATTTTATGCCTACGATTGGTCACTACGTTGTGGAGATGCTGGATGGAACCCTAAACCCAGCTCTTTCCAAGCGATCGGCGTGAGATCGTGAGGACGAGGGTGGCGCACATGTCTACCTGCTCCCTACGGTCGAGCTACGAGACTTAGGATAGGTGCGATGATTACCACCAAGAGTGGCTACACGTCACATTCCACAAAACTGTTACCAAGGCGCAAGTGTATGTTGTCTTAGAAATAGCTTACTTGAGATATTTTATCTTTCCGATTCTCAAACGCTCGCTACCATACCTAGTCGACTCCATCATGAACCGCTTGGGCTTTTACCGAGACGCGTAATACCAAGCTCGCTCCTCTCCTTCTTCGCCCTCATCGCCATCCACCATCTTAGCCTCAATCTCCCCCCTCTCCTCTTCTATAACCACCGGCTTATCAACGCACTCCCTCCTCGCAACAACATTCCTACACCACTTAACCGCCTCATCCCAAACACACTGCATCTCCCTATCATCAACCACGATCCCTTCCCCTTTCCCTTTTCCCTTCTCCCCTTCTTTCCCATCCACACCCCCAACCAATCCCGGCAACCCTCCAACAACCAAATCCCTAAAGAACCACCAGCTAGGCAAGAAATTCAATTTCGCCAACGCTGCCAACTTGAGCGGCGCGTACATGGCGCTGTACTGGCAGGCGCGTTCCAGCATGACGCCATGTTTGAACGCGATTTGCCACATTGTGTGGGCTATGTTGTCGATGTGCGTGGATGTTATGGGGATGGAGGGGTTAGAGGGGACGAGCGTGGGCTGGGCGTGGAGGACGTGGCGGAGGAGGGAGTTGAGCATTTGTGCGGATTGAGAGGGAGTAGGCGGTGAGACGGGGAGATATTGAAGGTGAGGCGTGGAGAAAGTGGATCCGGATGGAGATGTGACGGCGATTTCTTGAGTGTTCTGGGAGGTTGTCAGCATGTAGTCGCCTCGGTATGCTGTATCACGTACATCGGCCTTCATCTCAATCTTCTGCTTCTTAGGGGGCGACTCATTCCTGGTTTCTGGTTGAGCAGGACCCTTGTCCACTCCTACGCGCTTGACCTGGAGGTCAGTCATCGTCGGTGAGACATCCTACAACATTGTCAGTCTCGCTCCTGAGAAAATCCCGGGCAATCCATCTCACCTCAGCCTTGATCTTCCTCTTATTGTCTACCATAGCTGGAGGCTTCGTAGCAGGGCTTTTACGCTGGTGCTGGACGACCTTGGGCGAGCTTTGCGCATTCGAGTTCTTGCGCTGTTGCTGGCTCTGTGGGACGGTTTGAGAAACGGAGGTTTTGCACTGCTGCTGAGCCTTCGTGGGGACTTTGGGGCGTGGTGATGAAGTGATGGGACTCTGTCGTTGTTAGCATCCTACTATATGGTAGTTCATGCTATGAAAGCTCAACTCACTTTCCTCGCTGTAGGGACCTTTGAGTTGATAGCCATAGTGACACTCGGCATCTCTTGGGCACGATGGTGTTGTAATCGAAGAGGATGTTGCGAAACTTAGCAAGACGTGTAGAGGACGTGCAAGGTTGGTGTGATCAGTGTGTTGTTTGCGAGAGACGGTTTGAGCAAGAAAGGCGAGGTGGAATAGCGTGTTATCAAGTGTGGAAACGCGTGGTGAAAGTGAGGGTGAGTGCCGTCTGGTAAGACAAGCGTTGGGTGAGTGACCATAAAGGAACAAGAGGTGGAGTAACCTAGACGTCGTAATGGCCTCAAAGACGAGCTAAACTATTTGGCCGACGTTGTTTCCAGTGCCTCCAGGTGACCATGACTTGTCGAGGTGAGAGAGCGGACGCTATAGTGCCTTGATGACGGGAACAAGGAAGAAGCAAACGTGGGCCTGAGAAGAAGGCATTAACTTGCGATTACAACAAATCACGACATCTTGCTGTCGCGTAGTTCAGAAGACGGAGAGAGTACGAAGACATGGAATAGTCTGGAAGAACTTTTGGAATGATAAGCGAGGGCCAAAGAGTATACCAAACGACGACCCCATGAAGCAGACTCTATTCAAAGCTCCCGACCCTGTGCTATGCAAACTGCTGTGGTATATGATTCCGGGAACGCCGCCCTTATGCCACCGTATGCAAGAGCTTCCCATACCAACTTGGTACTCCATCTGCAGTACTAAGCCCGTCCACGTGCCCTCGTCGCGCGTGCTTTAGGCCTTGCTCTCGACTTCTTAGGCGCTGGCTCTTCCTCTTCCTCTTCCTCAGAGTCACCAATGTCCTCCTCCTCGTCGAGATCCATCTCTTCATCCTCACTCTCATCCTTGGCCTTCTTTTTTGAACTACCACTCTTCTTCTGCTTCTTGCGATTGGCTTCAAAAGCCTCTTCCGATGGCTCCTCCATGGGTGTTGAACGCTTTGAGCCTCGTGACTTGGGCGCGTACTTGGCCTCCAGCGAGTCGAAGAAATTGCCTGCTCGCGACTTCTGGCGCTGTTGGATGAGAGCTGCTAGACCTGCCATGTCGTCTGTGCCGCTCTTCTTGCCTTTCGGCTTCGCCTTGGCCTTGGCTTTGCCGTTTGTGGCTCCCGACTCTTCTTTCTGGGCCTGCTTTTTGTCGAAATCCTCGCGCCTCTTCTTCTCGGCGTCCTTGGCTTTTTGACGTGTCTCGTCTGTCTCCGCTTCGTATACTGGATATGAGCTAACTGTGCCGTTCTCGATCTCCTCGTCTAGGATCTTCCTGAACCGATCGTCGTCCTCGAGGATGTCGGACAGCATGACTAGGTCATACACCTTGTTCAGGTTACCCTTGACCTTCTTGAACGCTTTGACTAGATCCCGACGCTCCTCCTCGCTGCCCTTGTATTCGTTCGCCACGTTGTTGATAGCCTCTTCATTGACGACGTTCTCGAACTGCTCGCGGTAAAACTTCAGCCAATTGAAATCATCGTCGTCCTCCATTGTCTCGGCTGTGCTGCCAGTAAGGTCGTAGCGCCTGCGTCGGCGATCGTTGGAGAGTACGGCGTATGCGAATGCAATCTCTTGAAAGGCCTTGTTGGCGGCTTCCTTCTCGTCGGGTGCAGCCTTGTCTGGTCATGGTTCAGCATTGCAATCCACGATGTGTAGTTAGAGGACGAACCTGGATGGCATTTGAGTGCCATTTTGCGATACGCCTTCTTCACATCCTCGGCAGTGGCTTCTGTCTCGAGCCCAAGAACCTCATACGGGTCGATGCTGGGAGGGCCATCTTCTTCGTCCATGTCGTTCTCGCCTTCGCTCTCGTCGTTGTTTTCGAAGTCATCCTCGGAGTGCTCCTCGGGAGACGGCTCTTTTCTCTGTCTTCGTGCCATGTTGTAGAGTTGTGTGATGGATATGGAGGTTGTGTAACTACTGACGGTCGATGCCTGCATGAGAACGCGACGCGACCGCGAGCCCGGACTTAACGGAGCTAGCGTACCAGACCCACTTCCCCCCAATCACCACCAGCCAGAACGCCAATTACATCACCTTCACTTTCCTCCCTCACCAAAATGCAAGTCGACTACGACACAGGTCCCGTGCGAACATGGGACGGCCCGGTGCCCCCAGCCCAAGGCCCAGACCCCAACGATCACCTCCAATACATGCGCCTGGCTCTTGACCAAGCCCAAGAATCGCCGCCGAAACCCTCGAATTTCCGTGTCGGCGCCCTTCTAGTCGATGCGGATACCGGGAACATCCTTTCGCGCGGCTACACTCTAGAATGCGAAGGAAACACGCATGCAGAGCAATGTTGTCTCTTGAAGCTTGCTCAAGCACACGGCTTGCCTGAGGAAAGAGTTGGCGAAGCATTACCACCCAACACCGTCATCTACACTACCATGGAGCCTTGTAATCTTCGACTCAGTGGTAACCTGCCCTGTGCGGATCGGCTCATCCGTACAAGGGGAAAGGATGGAGGGCAAAAGATTAAGAAGGTGTATCTTGGCGTCAAAGAGCCGGAAAAGTTCGTAGGCGAGAATGAGGGGCGCAAGAAGCTAGAGGAGCACGGTATTGAGTGTGTTCATATTCCGGGGCTGGAAGAAACAATATTGAGTGTTGCTACTGCGGGTCATGAACAGTAGCGGTATCTCGTGTCGCAATGATATCAAAATTACAGAGTCAAATGCTCAAAGAGTCGCGCCTGAGGCGCAACCTATACGCCATTGACTTCAGCTGCTGTGCTGCCTCGGCATATCCGTATAGATGTGTCGCTCCTCTGACCTTAAAACCTCCAACTCTATGTCCTCCGCCTGTGTCCACTTCCACCGATCCCTTGCCTTCCTTCTGCCCGTAATCCTCATCTTGAGTTTCATTTCGTACTTGAACCGATTCCACTGGGTCTTACGAATCTCAGACCGCCTGACTCTGCTTTCGGGTGAATCATCTATCTTCTTGGGAGATTCCGATTGTGTCGCGCTTACAGATGCGTTCTGCGCTACCTCTATGGTCTGCTGATCGGCCGCATCGTATTCGATAGCCATAGGGCTTACCGCTAGTAGTGCGATGAATAGGGACGCGAATCTACTTTCTCGCTTTGTAAGCGGCTCTAGTTTTGAATGTTCTGTAGTTTTTCCCTTGCTTGGGGTCATTGGCACGTCGTCAAACGGGGCGCTCTGCCCCGACGTATGATCACTCTTGGTTTGCGACCTCAACGTAATGGGTGATTCCAATGCGCTGCTCTTGCCATTTTGTAGCCCTATTTGTTCCGAGATATGTCGATTCTCGAGACTTGCCGCTGTCGAAGACCCGGCAGTGACTTCAGGTACTCGTCTGAGGAGTAATGTCATGTTTCGCTTTGCCGCATGGGATGAGGATTCTTCATGAGAAAAGGCAGCTGAATGAGGGCTGATGATAGGACAGACTTGATGATAAGACGTGTAACTAACAGGAATGTAAGATAAAAGAAGAGAACATGAAAGTGCACGCTGGCGGACGGCTCTCATGCCCCAGCAGGCTGTGTCATTCTCACCGACTTTACGCACCTGAGTACTCGCCCATCTCATAAGTCTTTTAAGAGACAGACCACTTTGGCGAATTGTTCCACCAGCTGTCGGGCCAAATGTTATTGGGCTGGCGGTTTCTCATCTCTTGGAATGTGCGACTGAGGATCCCTGTCAACAATGACCCGACGTATTCAGCCCAATCATAAATACAGGGCAGCTTCAGTTTACAGGCAGGAGAAGTTGAGACCATCTTATGTATCACAGAATTTACCTTGTCGACGAGAGACCTTTCTTGTAATGGGCCAAGCAGCGTTGGGTGACCGCGATGCCTAGAAAACTTCAGGATCGGGTCGTAGTCGAGAGCACCAGAATCGATCTATCCTTTGCCGTGTCGTACGCTCTGATAGTGCATATTTCCTCCCACTGGCTTTACCGAAAGCACACCTTGAGAGCCTTCGACGGTTTGCCAGCTTGTGTGTGGCGTTGCGAAAGGATCGTGTTCGTCTATACCTAGGTACCAAGTAGTCGCGATACCTGGACATAGCCCTCGAGGTAGCAACGTCGACGTTCGTCAGCGGGAACAAAGCTTGCTGCAACCTACACGCAATGAGAATAACGAGATCTCCTCATGAAAGCAGAACACACACGAAGTTCAATGTCCACATCTACAACCGGCCCCCGGAACAAACCCATCCCCTACCCCACTAAAGCCCGCGTACCTCAATCCCCGACACGCGAGAAGATCGCCTGGCGCAAATCTCACCTAGGAACACCATTGCGTCATGACTTATCCGCATCGACCAAATGCCATCACCGGGCATCGATGAACATCCAAATTGCGTAACTCGCACCATATTTCACCACATTTCTCATTATGACGCGTGCCAAAAACATGTGGTTGGATAAAGCGCGAATAACAAAACGCCTCGTAGGCAGTACATAGCCACGAATACATACCTATAATAACCCTTCCATACATTCTTGTTCCTCACGGTTTTACAATGTTAACTTCCATCCGCCCATTTGCTACACAAACCTGCAACCAAACACTCCGCACTTTCACCAAATCCACCTTTTCATCCCAGGTATCTAGAATCACAGCCGCAAAAATGTCAACAAATCCCTCAAACCTTAACATCGAGACCAAAGACGTCCAAACCGCCCCGGGCGTCAAGCTCACCGAGCAACAAAACACCATCGTCGGTTCCGTCCTCGACCTCTTCGCCGGCCGCCCCTCGCTGCCCAAACTGCAACTCTGGCGCGACGACGCTACCTTCACAGATCCCATCACCATCGCCGAGGGACGCGAGAAGTACTCCGCGCAATGGTATGGATTGCAGAGTGCGTTTAGCGAGATCGAGAGACTCAATCATCAAGTTAAAGACGCTGGGAACCCGATTTTGATGGACCTGAGGACGAGATATGTTATCAAGGGATTGAATAAGGAGCAGTTGATTCAGAGTGTTGTTGCTATTCATTTGGATGAGCAGGGGAAGATTAAGAAGGTCGAGGATAAGTGGGATGGCAAGTTGCCTGATAGCAGTATTGCTAACGTAAGTGGCATCACATATCTATTGCGTACAAATTGTTTGAATGATCTGCTAACACTTCGTTTAGGCTTTTCGTCACTTGAACGCTGTTACTGTGCCCAAGTTTGTTGGTGTACCAAAGAACGATGAGGAGGATGCGAAGAAGGGAAACCAGTAGTTTTATCGTTGTGTATCGAGTAATCTAGCGCCACGTACAATATCGTACTACGTGAACTCGTAATTCGTAAAGTCATTACAACATCCCTCGTCTCTCATAACGCGCCATTAAACATCCTGCCCAGCGCCAAATGCAGGAACAGCGCAACTGTGCCGGCGCCTACACCTAGCACTTTCAGACTCGGTGCTCCTGCAACGATCAATATTGTGCCACATCCTCCTTGCTCCGCTCTCGGTAGATCGGGCCCGTCCATTGTGATTGTAGCGCAGAAGCCTCCTTGTACCTGGTTCGGGTTGTTGTATACGGTCGTTTGAGGAGGCGGTTGAGCGTACACGACAGCCGTTTGCTGCTGGGGGTATACGGTTACAGTCGTGACTTGTGCGACGTTTACTGCGCCTCCACATTGGTTGCCGCTTGGGCAGCAGCCGATCAATCCGTTGGAGTTGCCAGGCACAGCGCATTCGTAGCCTGACGGACAGCACCTGAGGCATGTCAGCAAGGATTCTGCTACGTTCCAAAGTCCTACTCACCAACTCGGCTGGTTGACATTACTGCAGCTTACTGAAGCCGACGAAGGACACCAGTTTGCGTCTTGCGCTACAACTTGCTGCCCGTCTGGGTTCACGATATACACAGCGCCAGAAAACGGCGCATTGTTCGAAATCTGCTGAGGTACAGCTTCAGGCTTTGCGATCGGTTCCGCGACACAGAATGTCAATGTAGCAGCGACGAGGCTCCATGGCGCAAATGATCTCATCGCGTTGAATATGGCCGAGGCTGTCAGAACAAGAAGCCGGATGCAACGAAGGTTTGCGACAACGAACGTCTAGAAAGCGAAGAAAATGCTGCGGGGTTAGTATGCGACGAAAAGGCACAGCCTCGAAAAGATGAGAGATCAAAATCAGCAGTCGTCGGGCGCATACCGGGCTGCTACCCTGCCCTTAAGTCTGACCGGAATACCTTGGAAGCTCTCATCGAGAGCTCCAAGCTTGCTGCAGGTTGGGCTAGCTCGTCATGGACAGCTTCATGCCGGCTTAGCGGGGAGTCGCACTATTGGTAGCCTCGACGGCACCGAGGTCTAGTTCGCGGTAGAGTGGTCCCACTTGGCTGCTTTTTGCGATAGACCATTGTCGGGCATGATGGCAAAACGGCGGTGTTGAGGTGTGATGGGGCTACAGCTGGCCGGGTGGACCTTGTGAAGGATGCTTGCGGCCCATCCTACAGCGCATTTGCTGGCAGCGGGGCGGAGGGTTAGAGATACAGTTTGTTAGAGTGAAAGCCTTGATTGTTCCCTGCAATGCGACCAAGCCACAGTTCTTGGGAGCGGCTGCATCGGATGGCATCGCGTGGTGAGGTGCAGCATGCAGATAGCTCACGCAAAGCGCCGATCTTCCGATGCGCTCGCATTGGGTTAGAAGCTTGGCGCTCTAGGCCACGTGACAGCGTAGAGCAGTGGTGATGAGGCGCGTCGCGTTCTTGTGTTCTCATCCCACCTTGTGCATCAGCAACACAATATGACATGTCAACGGATCCGCCACCGCGTCCATATCGGCTATACCCCGCCTATTGTTTCAGAGCATCTCCTACATACAATATATGGGTGAAGCTCACTGCTGCAGACGTGCAAGCTCTTCGGTCTGAGAAAGACTTTCAAGGTAGCAGCAGGTGCGACGAGCGCTACTACTGTTGCTGACACGTGAACAGCTCAGCGCATCTACTTCCATCTCAATCACCCTATCCGTTATGTACGCATCGTAGGTGTCGTCGTGGCCATCGATGACATAAACCTCAAGTACACGGCCCTTACCATCGACGACGGAAGCGGCGCAACCATCGAGCTAAAGATCGTACGATTACCTCCCGTCGAGCAGAACCCCGTCGATACATCCTCGAACACGAAGATCGCGAACCTGAACATTGTCAGTCGATTTAGCATCTTCGACGTCGTGGTGGACGGCGAAGCCCTTGACATCGGCACAGTCGTCAAGGCAAAGTGCCTCATATCAGAGTTTAGAGGCGTAAAGCAACTGGACTTGCAGCGCATTTCGGTTGTCAAAACAACGAACGAGGAAGCACAGGCTTGGGCCGAGACCGCTGCGTTCAAGCAGGCAGTCTTGTCGCGACCATGGCGTATCTCATCAGCCGAACACAAGAAGATCAAGCATGCGATCAAGGCGGAAAAGAAGAAGCAACAGGATAACGAACGGCTTCATGCTCAATACGAAGTCAAGAAAGAGGAGCGAAGGCTGGCGAAGGAGGCATTCTTTGCGCAAAGAGAGAAGAAGCTCGAGGCTCGACGGAGGAAAGAGGAGGTGATGCTGAATAACGGTGCCTTAATATAAGTTCGGGATTCATTCCCGTATGAGGGTCTGTCAGTAAGCGAATGGAGCTGGATGAGTGCGGGGTTTTGGTGGCGTAGCACGTAGTTTCAGCTGATCACTTACCATGAGTGTCTCCGTTTTTTCCTTTATCACTACCCTACGCGCGCAAATGTACCAGCTGCAGAAGATCTCGAATCGTTCGGTGTCGCATGCCCCTTAAGAGCTGTTGCACAAGGCCATGGACGATGCCATTGTTTCCCTACGTCAATCTGACGAGCACTCACACAAACCTCCCGGCCAGGCCGAAGGCCTCCACACATCCCTCGACGTGCGTACCACACTCCCGTACGACCGCATAACACAAGATCGCCATATTCGCGTCCTCGACTTAGCTCCGGGTAGCTGGGAAGAGCCTGTAAACTGCTTCTTGAGGACCGTTCACTTAGATGACGATGAGCTTCGCTATGAAGCAATCTCCTACGCTTGGGGCGACCCCAGCGATCGTCAGACCGTCGTTTGCAACGGAAATGTCGTCAGCACTACCCGCAGTCTATTCGAGGCTCTGCAGCGCTTCCGATATGCCGATACCCCTAGAACACTTTGGGCCGATGCGTTATGTATAAATCAGACCGATAACGACGAAAGAACCTCACAGGTGCGGCTTATGGGCTTCATTTATACAAAGGCTGTTCGGGTCCTTGTATGGCTGCAACACGAAGATGACCAAGTGGTCCTTGACTCCCTGAACGCCATATGCCGATATATACTCCGATCAGATGGCTTTGCACGATTCCCGCAAATTCTCAAGCATCAAAAGATCTCGCAGATGCTATACAAATGGCTTGGTATGACGGTAACCAGCGTCGGCGGAGACGATCCGCCAGATATCGATCTTGCCGCGACACACGCTTTGCGTCAGATATGCTCCCCACTGTGGTTTAGCCGCGGATGGGTCGTTCAGGAAGTCGCATTAGGCATCTCAACGTCTGTGTTTTGGGGGCACGCTGAGATCGGCTTTGAATGGTTAGGGGTCGCGGCTTCATGTGGTATTCTATCAGCTTCTCACGATTTTTCTTTCGGCATGCTGCATTGCTATTTTCTTTTCGAATTGTGTCCGCTGTTCAAAACATATGGCCCTCTGCGGAAATCCTGTTTCGCTCTGCTTCGTGCAACCATGCACGTCACTTTCAGTGACCCCAAAGACAGGATCTATGGCCTGCTTGGGCTGAGCACACTTGAGTATGATCCTACGGATGGTCGGTTATTGGTAGATCCCGATTACAGCATTACGACAATGGAATGCCACCGCAGGGTGGCAAGCAAACTACTCCTTGAGTGGCATGAACTCAGAGTGCTTTCCTGGGCTGGACATCGTTCTGAATTTGCCGAAGATTGGCCATCGTGGGTGCCAGATTGGAGCCGTCCACGAATCGTTTCATTCGGGCCCGTGAGTGACCTAGACTGGGCAACTTTTGGGGAGCCGGGTCTCACTCATATATCAGAAACGGTTAATATTGGGAACTATTGTATTGATATCCCAGGTTTCAGGGTTGATACTGTAGATCGGGAAGTCAAGGAGTATTTGAACCTGGGAGATTTTGAGGATATTATTTACGGACCTGCACGCCTACAAGCCATGCTCCGCTCTTTGGCCCACGTATACGATCAACGATATCTTGCCTGTACGTTTGGAAACCGGTTCAGGTATCGCCCTTTGAACTCTGTCCGCATTGCGAACCTTCTGAGCGAATATCACATATTCATAAATAATGATTCTACGCAGAACATGTACCGGCTTGTGCCAGCGGAACTTTACAGAGATGATCATCCTTCTTCATTCGCACCAAGTGCGGATAGGTTCTTCGACCGATGTCGGCGTGATAGACCTGGCCACACCCTTTTCATCACCAGCACGGGGATGCTCGGTCTTGGATCTGAGGCTTTGCTTACCGGCGACGTCGTAGTCGTACTACACGGCACCTCCATACCTTTCGTCCTTCGGCCTGCGGCGGACGGCCTTTGGAGACTCGTAGGAGAGTGCTATCTCTACAATGTCAACGAGGGTCGCGTTCACAGAGAATGGGAAGAGAAAGGCAGCGTGTCGGAGAAGTTCTGTATTTACTGAATCGCCGGTACCGCACGTATTTGCTACTACTGCTCCTTTTACGATTCCGAACCGACCTCATAATCTGAGTATGTAGGTTATCCGATTCTCTCGAGGTGGAACTGTGGTGGTGATCCTTCGAGTGTGCTCTTCGCTACCACAAAACCGCCCACATAGAGCAATAGTAGGCCTCTTCAATTGCATCGACAACATCCAACGTAGCTCTTAACCTTTGGTACAAGAGCTCAAAACATCATCGCACAATTAGAAAATGACACAGCCTCCGAATGCGTTGGCTGAGCTGTGACGCGGAAGGCTCTGGATGATGGAATGGGAGTGAGGTTGCTACATGGTTTGCCACTAAGACTCTCGAAGTCGAAGTTAATAGTAACAGCAGGGATCATCTTTCCCATGCCGAGCACACTTTCGCAAATAGTTGTTGCTTGCGAGATCGCGTCCAATAACAACTATGACTCGACGTCGACCATGCCAAAAGAATCGAACCTCGCTGATTAATACGCTTTCTTACCCACGTCTGCTACAGTCGACTTCTGTTGCTCCGACCGCGCTATCTCATCGCTATACTGCCTATAGAGTGTAGTGCTCGTCCGTACCTGGAGGACTGTTAGTCTGCTCGTTACTTTCATTGTGACTACGGGGGTCAGTGCGGACTTTCGTACATAGGCTATTTCGTAACTGATGCCTGATCTTTACCCCACTGCTGTTGGCTATACGAACCCTCGATCCTGATTTCTAGGCCCCCCTTTTCCCGGTACATACGCACTCAAACGGTCTGCAACTATCTTCTCGCTGCTACTCCCGCAATTATACACATCCCAAGAAGTCGACAGCGACAGCCAGAGTACACGCTATATCCTTCGACGCTCAACCGCTCGACCAACAGACGACTATTCCTCTTACCTTTTCCACAAGCTCATCATTACACCCTACACGACCTTTTTAGCACACTACGCTTCGCTCCACTGACCGGATGTACGGCTTCAGCGACACCATCGACGACAAACTCATCGGTCGCATTTACCGACTCCGCAATGACCCGAGTCGCATGTTCTCCGTCTGCCTATCGCCCCCTCCGTCATCGAAGTTGTACCTTACCTCGGAGCAATATGAGTGGAAAATGAGCGTACTTCCACCGCAGAAGAATGATCAGATGCTCCAAGTCATGAAGAAGACGATCATCGAGCTGAACAAGCAATACATGCTTTTTTGGCGCATCGGTTTGGAAGTCTCGCACTTGACGATGAGCCCTCCTCTGTGGCCCCGTCATTTGGAGGAGTACTCGACGAAGCTGTACGCTTTCAAGGAGAAGGACCGAGAGTTTCCGATGGCAGTTGAGGCAACACTATCTAGAGGCTGTCGCTATTTGACCGCGGATAGCATCCTCGTACGTAAGAAAGACGACATGAACGGACCTAAACCCGGCATGCCGCTAAAGTCGTGGGTTCTCTCGCTGGTCACTCCAAGCGATGGTCTGGGTGAAAATGGGTGGCAGCTCCAGCGGAAGTGGTGGGCTTCGAACGGTCAGAGCTTCCCCATCATGACGTTCCCCGCCGAGATACGCTGTGAAATTTTTTGACACATCTTAAGTGGCAAAATTTACCCTGATGCTAGACGGCATCGGGATTTACAAGGCTTTGTAGTCACTCTGGGATCGAGGTGTAACCGATCGCCGTCCCGGGCAGATCCACCCAACTACGTTGTTCTTCGAGCCAATAAGCAAATACACGAGGAGGCTCTAAAAGCAGCGTGGGAAGGTACAACAAAGCACTTCGCACATTGGATATGGCTAGAAAACGTCGTATATGCACTGAACAGCCCATCAGGCTATTACTGGCTTACGCACGTCCAGCTATGTATGAGCACCAGCAATTGCTATGAGTTTTTGGGAATGCAGGTCGACCCTGTCCTTCGACTGCTGCCCCGGCCATCAAGAGCTTGCATGCTGCAAGACATCCCTACCCTGAAGAATCTCGGAATAGTATTTGGCACACCGTACAGTTACGATAGTAACCCTTGGTTTGGGACTCGCCGGCTTGATGGTCTACCCATAGAGCAGCATCCGTGTCATAAGATCATGGTTGAGTGGGGACTGATCTTCGCCTTTCCATACCTCAAGCACATACCAAACGTGCGGCTTACTGGCTGTATCAAGACTAGCACGAAATTGAAGTGGGAAAACATATTGAGCAACGAATATTACTTGCGGAAGAAAACCTATAAGACACATGGCTACGACCCTGCTATGGAGGCCTACAATCTGCTGGAAGAACAGCGTCCGGTGAGATCGGTAAGTGCGAACCAGGCTGATTTCCTGCGCTCGTTGCACTAACCGACCGCGGTAGACTACCTTTATGCTTGTGCCCCGCCTCGTGCTCTCGTGATCGCCGTCCGCGCGATCTGAAAGGATTTGACCATGACGACTCATATGTGCCGCCACCTCCGCCTCCACCGCCGCCGAAGAAGAGCGCGCCAGTTCGGCCAGGCCAACTCTGGTCAAAGATGTACACAGTATGTCGGCGATATCTCTGATGAGAACAGGTTTTGCTGATATCGTTGTAGACTTCACCTGAAACCACGAAATAACGATCCACTAACCTGGTGTCTCGTCGGCATCTTGTCCCAGTGGAGTGGTAAGACAGTGCATTACGAGTTAGGTGGATTTCCACGCTGCACCATCTCGAATATGGTCGGGCGATGCGTGTTTCTCTCGAAATTTTGATGTTGGTCTGCGTTTCTTAATACATGCTGGGACCACACTAGGTGCGAAATGGGATGAATGGTTGAACAAGACACATTACCTATTGGGCGTGGCGCATGTGCAACCGTACAGATCGCGTTTCATCAGTCTAATGTTCGACCTCTTTAACAAAGCCCTTTCTTGCGTATTCTCTCCGGGTCTCGAAACGTGAGAGTGAACTATCATCATAAGGCTTAAAGCACAAGTTCTGCGAGTTGCCAGTTTGTTTCTCCTGTATTGAACAATCTGCTAGTCTCACGTGACCATTAATTGAAGCTGTGAGTGAGCTTCTATAGCAAGCAGGGGCGGGCTTAAGAGGGGCGTAGATGACCGCAATCTGAGATAACACCACGTCTTCATTCGTCAACATGACCGAAAGAGCCAAGAGACTGACGACAAAGCTGAAGAAAGAATTTGGCAGTATACCAGAAAGGGAAGCTGAGTTCACACAGACCTGTCTCCAAGCAGGCGATTCGGAGTGGGACGTTACTTGGAAGTATCATCTGACGGTCCACGACTACAACAAGAATCGTCCGCTTGCTCGCGTGCTACATCGTATATGCAAAGAAGAAATCGGAGAATGCCAAGAAATCACGGAAGAAATGATCTGGAAGTGGCTTGCATTGGACACCTGGACTGATCTCCAAGTAAAAGCAAAATACCAACAGGAGTTCGATAAGGCGCAACCCGGAGTACGTCGAGCGAAGAAATTACTGGCCGAGATGAGACGCGATCTAGGCGATTGTCATATGGTCGGCGAGCTAAAGATACTCGGCTACGTCAAACTCAACTTGACAGAGAAGTTTATCAGGACAAAGTACAGGGGTTACATCGAGCGAGCAAAGGCCATAAGGCGAGCGGAAGCCTTACAGTACCGTCTAGGCGACGAGGTGTCTCGCGAACTGAATGTGTCAGTCTCTGAGCTACTGGTGCATTTCAACAACAATCTCGAGGACGATGACATCGTGGATGACTATAAGAGTAAGGCACGGGAGTCTTAAGGCAAAATTGCAGCGACGGAGGACTGGTGGACTGCTGTCATGGATGACCCATGTTGTCCAGAAAGTGAAAACGCGGTCTAATTAAGCCTGGTGTACTGTTGTCGAAGTGAATAGCGCGAAACCCTTGTTTTATTGATTAAGAGAAATCCACATATACCCTGATCGGGCTAGTGGCCGTTGTGCGTTACTGTCGCAATCAATTCGCGCCGATGCAGAACTGTTTGGGGCATCTTCCGACTTTCATCTGGCGCTCTTGACCGGTGGAACAGTAAGCGAGTTACTGCGTGTCACGAGCATTACGACAAGTCACAAGGTGGTCAAAAACGATGATGAATATGTACAGAGCATTTTGGGATAGTGTAGTAGTAATGCTAATTCATTTGAGTCTGATTGCCACATCTTTTACTCCAATAACATCGCCATAACATCAGCAGGCGTTCGCTTTGGCGCTGCAAGCTCCAGTACCTCCTTGCTTGTCGTATCTGCCTTTGCCTCGCCATTCCACGCTGAGTCCGGAGCACGCTTGATAGAACCTATCACATTCTTTGCCTGGTTCGACGCAGCAACCATATCGTCCACAAACGATAGATCCTTGAACTGCACGTCCTCAACCTTGGTACCAATATGCTTCTCAACCATTGCGACAATTTCATCGCCCGTGATATCTTCCGGGCCATTGAGGACATATCTGCGCTTGTTGTGCGCAGAAATGTCATCCTGAATCAAGAGATGCGCAGCAAAGACGCCGACGTCACGGGGATCAATAACGCCGACCGGCCCCTCAGCGCTCGCCATTATGCGTAATGTGTGTTGCTTTCCGCCATTACGAACGGTTTTGATCAGTTCAGCAGCGGGGGCAAGCCAGAAGGTTGTGAACACGTTTGGCTGCAGTGATGTCCAGTGCATGTTCTCAAAGCCTGGCGAGTCGAGCATGGCTTCGATGGCCCAGTGCGTCCGGGGATAATAAGCAGGGCAGTCTGGGCGCACATTCGCGGCTGTTGTGGAGATGCGCACGACGTACTTGACGCCAGCCGTGAGAGCTGCAAGGTGGAACGTCGATTCTTCGGCGAATTGGTTGGGCTCATTGTGTGAAGCTATGAAAGCGCGGGCGACATTGTGTTCGCGTAGCCACTCAGCGGTGATCTCGACCCAGGTGTATTCGATGATCTCGACGTGGGGAAATTTGGAGAGTGCCTTTGCCACGGAGCTGTTCGAAGATCGTGTGATCGCGAGGATGCGATAATTGGAGAACGTCTTGCTGGATTTAATGAGGTTCGAGAGGGTCTCAACAACACTGCGGCCAGTGTTACCTGTGGCGCCGACGACTAAGAATGAAGAAGCCATGGTGAGGGCGTTGAAAATAAAGATGATTGAATTCGAGGGGGTTGTTCTAGGGTAGGCTGATGATGCATCTTAATCGATCGAGGTACCTACGTTTTGTACAAAGCTGCGGAGTGTCGACGACTCCGAAGTGTCACTAGTTGCGGAGTGCAACCAGCTGTTGAGCGCTGCGCTACATCACGCATCCGTATTTTGTCCGAAGATTAACCAATCAGCTAAGCGCGGTGTAGAAGCCGTTAGCATGATGTGGCGGGCGCTAGAAGAAGATGCACAGCTCGCGCAACGACCATCCAACATTGAAGAAAAGAAACGCGGGCATGTCAGGAGCAGAACAGCAGCACTTGCGGGTAATCTGTTAGCTGCTGAATCTTGCAAAATGTAGAAACCAAAAACTCATTAGTACTACTCAACGAGGAGATGAACGATTACACACATCGTTCAAACTCCCCAATAACATTGCGCCATCTGGTGCGCGCTTATGTAACAGTACGAAAAGACAAAGGCCATATCAGGTACTCTCAGGCTACTGTCTCCCATACACTTGGAAGGCAATTGCTGCGCTGAACGACCTGATGTCTTTCCGGAACCTTCCACCTACTCTTCCTCTTCCTCGTCGCTATAGTTCTCGTCAACCTCAATCTGACGAGCAACATGAGTCAACTCAACAATCGTAGTCTGCTCGACTGCAGTCTGTTCGACGAGAGTACCTTGGGCGGACTCAGCTGCGGACTCTTTGAGCGCAGCAAAGACGAGCTGATCTTCGGCATCATCGTAGTCTTCCTCCCTCATCTCTTCGGATTGCTCAGCATCATCGCCTTCAAGTATCACTGATGAGGAATCATCATCACCATAGGCGCCGGCTAGGGTCAGGAGATCCTCCTCGTCCTTGTCAAACGTGGGCTGACCGGCAAATGGACGAACCCCATCGGTCTTCGATTTCTTAGCCGACCGCTCTTGCTCTCCAGAGTCTTCCGAAGCACGGCGCTTGCGAACCAGAGGACTACCGAAAGCTTCTTCACTATCAGAATCCTCCACAGCAGCCTGCGGCTTCCTCTTCTTTGACGGCTTCTTCTTGGCTGGCTTCTTGGGCTTATGGTCGTCATCATCCTCTCCATTGCCGTCGTGGATGTTGTCGTACTCCTTCAGTAGAGCCTTGTCAGGCAGCCCAAATGCGGCCTCCAAGCGCCCCGACGCTTCGAGTGCCTTGGCTTCAGGTGAAGGGTCGCCGCGCCATCTCACATTCGGTGGTGCTTCGCCACGGTCGTAGCATGGCTTGTACGATGTGTACTGGTAGCGAGTGCTCTCTACTGTCCGACCAGAAGAGAGTTCTCCGAAAGCAGTGGCTTCCCTGTGCTCTTTGCCCTTGAAGCGATCATTGTGAAGCTCAGTCAAATCCCAAATGGATGCGTCAGAATTGTCCCGGAGCAGGGAAGCCAGATACTCTCGCTCGATTTTCGACCACGGTGGATCCATGGTTATGCGATCAATAGCCTGGTAACGGCGGTCGTTAAGAGCCTTGACAGTTTGCTTGTTGTTCCAGTCTTTTGGTACGTTGTTATAACAATAGACAACCGGGTCTTTCTTGTAGGATGTGAAATCGTTCTTATCTGTCAACCGCATGTCTATGAGCGGGACGGCAAGTAAGTTTTCTTGGTCCTTATCCTGAGGCAGCTGATCAACGTTATCCGGCTCAACCTGGTAGTTGTGCTTCGTGTGTCGAGAACCGCGCTTGTATCGGAAGCCACGAATCTCCCACAAGGGGGGGTCAGTCTGACCCATGCTCTCGCGAGCGGAAGGTTGTTTAGCACTGGGCCGAGGATCACCTGGCACAGGCTTTGCACCCCAGAACCCGCTCCATTCGGACTTTGGAGGAATGACTATACTGTGGGTGTAGGGGTCGAAGCCTTCTCCGACAGGTGGCTTCTTTGCTTTGGCCTTTGACTTCGTAGCGGCGGGCTTCTTGGGTGTTACGGTTTTCTTGGGCTTCTTCGGGGTATCAGCTTTTGCGCTCTTCTTGATGTTCGCGGTAGGAGTGACCTCTTCTGATTCTGATGCGTCCTCATCTGTAGGCAGTTCTTCCTGCTCCTCGACTTGCATAGCAGCATCAGAGGCACTGAATCCGTGGTTTGCGCTTGCAGGCGTCGCTTCGGGACTGACAGTCTCCTTCGCTTTCTTCGGCTTTTTGGGGGTCACACTCTGCTTAAGCTTCGGATCGGCGGGGGGCTTGACCATGTTGGGATGAGACAGCGGCGTATCGATGTATTGGGTTGTGCAAGGTGGTCGAATAGTTGTATCGAGAGGACAGATAGGTTCGAAGAGCAATTGGATGGGGTCGCGTGTAGAGTTATTGAGTCGGTTTGTATAGGGAAATGCAGAAGCCTTGCTTTGTGGGGTGAGAACGGTGTACTGGTAGAGAGTTGACGCGCGTCTTAATTTGGAAGACATATTTGCAGTGGGAGATGAAGCGCAATAAGTAGGAGGACGGGGCGCGGCCATTGCAAGGCCACTCGTGAAAGATCGTTCCGGGGCGCGAGGAGGGCGCTTTGACATCTAAATCGCACAGTGTAGAAATATGTCTTGCGCGTTTGGCGTCCTTTGAAAGTGAACGAAAGTTGTGCGCGGATTAACAAAGCCAGCAACAGTGTAAAGCAAGCCAACCCGACAATGTCCCAGGCGGACAAAGACGACAGGGTACGATGATATTCCCCTCGCGCGCGCGCTCAGCTAGGCCCTTCTATCGACGTCTTTCGAACGATGTGGTCATCTCGCTCACTTCTCTTCACTACGTGATAGGGTACAATTTGCGCGCAAGATAACTTCTCAGCCAAATACATGTGACTGGCCTGAGAGTGCCTGACGCGTAATGCCAAATACGGATGTGACCATGTGAAAGCTCATGGCTTAGCGGTGCCTGCGACATCGCATTGCTGGGGCAACGCGTGTGAATGTTCGCCGCTCTGCGGCTGCACGAGGAGAATATTGCGCGCATCTTTCACGACATGAGGCTCTCGATATACCACAACCAATCGTTACAGGTCCTGGTAAAAATTGTTGCGGCCGGGTGTCAGAGTAGTTGTCTGGATCAACGAAATGCATGGTAGAAAAGTGGCTGATAAATCTCGAGATCTCCCTTTCTGCTTCCTCACGAAAGCAACGATCATTGAACTTTACCTACGTCTCGCAGCGAAGCATGGAAGAGCGCTACCACACCTTTAGCCTAGGACTGACATATGAATGGAGAGCTGATATGAAACACACATGGCCTTGTGACATCGGAACTGTATATCTTGCTGTCGTGCAGGACCTGACCTCGGGAGGTCGGGGAAAGAACAAGGCCTGAAGTAACGTGAAGAAAGTGACAATGGGAATGTATCTAGCATCATGGTAAGGTTTTGACCAGTCAGACCATGGCAGCGCGTTCGAATAAACCCTTCGTCTGAATCAGAAAGCTGTAGTCGGTAAACGTGATGATGACCGAGACACAGAAAATGGGCCCCAAGGATGCTTGCCAATCGATAAGCTTATCCTAGCGCCTTGGCATACGTAATGATAGCCAATTCGCGATCACAATTGCTGCTGGCTGCGTGCCTGTTCCAATTGTGGTGAATGCTAAGGCGTACTGGAAGACTTCACATTGCTTTCAAATCCGTCCGCCGTCTGCGCATGTTACTTCCACCACTATTGGACCTGGTCTGACTATCACCAGACGCTCACGGCGATCCGCGGGGTTGCCTGATGCTGATGCGCTCACAAAGTACGTCACGATCATCGAGTCTTCGTGGGTTGGAAGGCGCAACAGGCTTGCTCGAGTAGCGGATGATCACATAGAATGAAAAAGGCTATCTCACATCACGTAGTCGACTGTCAACGGTAGAGTGATTGCGATGGCTAACAAGAGCTATCAGAAGTTGCCAACTAGGTTGAAATTGAAAGGGTGATTAGACATTATGATACTGAACATATCCAGTGAACATCTACGCATCCTACATGGTGCATACAGTATTGGAAATCATCATCTACTTTCGAAATTCTCAATTTCCACTTCAGGCCATGTTGAGCTCTCCAAACGGCATTCCGAATAGCCTGGCCCATGCTGGGCGCAATAGCAGAGCAAGTTGTGTCACAACCAGCCAAAGCTCGACTATCGCTCCCTCATAGCCAATAAAGAGAGTGTATGCACTGGGAAGATCTGTCAATCGTGACGAGACAGATCGGCTGTGTCAACGTCATTGACCTTCCTCTCAACCAACGGCCTTTCCACGCGGCCCTCGGGCCCCCGAGCCGCGATCGATATCGACACCGCGGGACAGCCGACTAGCGGCGGCTGCTGGCGAGTTCAATGGTCCATGCCATAGCACGGGTTGCAGGTTGGCGGCAGCTCGGTGTGCAATCTATGCACCTGCCTTTGAGTTGAGGCTTGCCGAGCTGGGCGCCTTCATGGTGCCATTTCGTATCGTTGATGCTGCCTGTCAATGCTTGTTCGATCCGGGAACGAGATTGTGGTGGCCATATAGCGCGCGGCTTTGAAGGGCGGCCCGGGTCGATGGGGACAGGACAGCGACTAGTGCGTGCGACTATGCGAACGCTTGTACCTGCATGACGATGTCATGTTTTGTTTTCAGAGACTGGCGTCGCTCGCACGGCTGCTGCTGCGTTGGGAGAAACTGGAGAACCTTCGGTACAATGTCCTCACTCTGCCGAATAGGGTGGAGTCGCTTGGTAGTCCATCGTCAGGGAATGGGGATGGGACTTCGGGTGTAGCTCGCTCGCGATGCTGGAGATGCTCTTCGTCCATGCGCAAAAGGTCCGCTTCGAATTGCTCCATCACAGTGAGAGCTGGCGCAAACTCGGGACTCAAGAAATTCTGGAGTGGCGGAGGGACGGCCTCCTGGCTCGCAGAGTAATGTAGCTGGGGCCTCATGTTGCTGGAGATGTGAAGATGAGAAGACGATGAGGAAGTGGATGCGTTGTGTTGCTCTGGATGAGATGTTGGCATCCTTTCCAGAGGGTCGCGTCGCGTTTATATCACAGTATCGCATGTCGTCATGCTCTCTTCCCATCCCACACGCGCTAAGTCGCGTGGCAGCTCCAATATCGTACCTGAACCCCACGAGCCGTGCGCTGTTTCAATAGAATAATGAAATAAGACGTTCCGATCGCTTGTCATTTTCCCCGATCGCATGTTATTGTCCGATGTACTGGTCACCAGTATCGTCATTGCCTTGTTCCAGACGGTACCCCTGAGACTTCCCGCTTTCCGGGGTCGATCGATCGTAGCGCGTCATCAGGGATGCTGCATCATCTGGCAAGATCCAGGTTTCACCCTAGCAGACAGCACCGTGCGCGATGCGCAAGATGCGTAAGAATTGAAGATGGAAGTTGTCGATGGCTTCTTCCATGCGCTCCTGAGTCTCGTGAGAAATGTCTTGGTGTTGTAGGCTGGCATCGGCTCGCCCTATCCGACAACACCCTGCCTACCTCGGCTCATCGGGCGAAGACGGCCAATGCGGTGACGCTCCTCACGAACACCTCATTGACCAGCCGTGAGCACCCTATCGTCATCGCAACGACACATAGAAATAATGCCCATCCCCACACCTTTCGGCGGTTTTCTGCCCGCTGCTCGAGATCCACCATCTGCATTTCTTGCTGCTTACATAGCAAATCCACCTTAAGTAGACGGTACTGCCCGAGATGCCCACCCCACCCTTCTCCCAAGACCGCCGAGACTGGCTGAGCGAAATTTCTGGACTACTTTCCCAGCGCAAAACCAAGGACGTTAAGAACACAACATCTACGTCAACTGTAAACCTTGGATTTGGTACCCCAAAAGCTTTCGACTCTGTTTCAACTTTCAGTTTGAGATCTCGAGATGACGCCTCCACAAAAGATCAAGCAATGGCTCACGGGCCAGGACGGGCTCGATAAACTCAGGATGGGCGAGGCGGAATGCCCAATCCCTGGTGAAGACGAGGTGTTGGTTGAAGTTCATTCCGTGAGTCTGAACTACAGGGATACCGAAGGTACGTACAGTGGGATGTGGTCACACCTACTTTTGTGGCAGGGTCCAGACGGCCATTTGAACAACGCTAAATACGTGGACAGTCGCCATGGGCCTCTACAACCACCACAAGTCCGTAGAACATCCCCCCGCTATTGTCCCATGCAGCGATATGTGCGGTGTAGTTGTTGCGGTTGGCCCAGTCTCCAACAACACTTCAGACCCCTACAAGAACCCAGCTTTCCAGCTTAAGGAAGGCGATAGGGTCATCAGCACATTTGCGCCGAAACATCTCAGCGGTCAAATCAAGGCCTCAGACATCGCGAGTGGTCTAGGCGGGCCTGCACCTGGAGTACTGACGCAGTACCGTGTCTTCCCCACGCATGGCGTTGTCAAGATTCCAGATTACCTATCTGATGACGAAGCCGCTTGCTTGCCAATCGCAGCTGTAACCGCCTGGATGAGCCTGAACTGCATGCGACCAAATGGCGAGATCATTGGACCGGGCGAAACAGTCCTGTGCCAGGGTACTGGCGGTGTAAGCATCTCTGCAGCCCAGATCGCATCCGCAGCAGGCGCAGATGCCATTGTCACTTCATCCTCCGATGAGAAGCTTCAGCGCGCATCCAAGCTTGGTGCAAAGACCACCATCAACTACCGCAACACCCCCGACTGGGAAAACGCAGTCCTTTCTGCTACCTCTGACGAGGGCGCCGATATCATCATCGAAGTTGGTGGTGCGCAGACGCTTCGCAAGTCGTTCGAGTGTGTACGCTTCGGCGGATTGATCTCTTGCATTGGCTATCTATCCGGCAAGCAAGACGAGGCTGGCGACAGGACGAACACGAACTTGCTGTGCCTGAAGAGGAATGTCACACTCAAGGGCATTGTGAACGGCCCCAGGACTGAGCTTGAGAGAATGCTCAAGTTTTACGACGAGAAGAAGATTAAGCCAGTCGTCGATCGTGTTTGGAAGTTTGAAGAGGCGGATCAAGCGATCAAGTACCTTTTCAGCGGAGGTCACTTTGGAAAGGTTGTCATTAAGGTAAAGGAGTAAATGGTACTATAAGTGTGTCATGAATCAAAATTACCATCATTCAACATCCAGCACTTGCATTACATGCTCAGTTCATCGGATGTCATTGTGCATTATCTTTAAGCTTCGTCAAAAATTATTTTAATTGCGGCGCATCATAATTTACGGAAAGCTGCTAGTCGCAACTTCTACTATGTTGCAAACAAAAACCACTTGTTGTCTGCCGAGTGAGTGTGCCGAGACAGGACAAACTAAGCCGAAGACTAAGCGCGTCGCTCAGCATCAACACTCGCACCCCACTTGCAGAAGGCCATAGTAAAGCGTTCAGTCTCCTCAACAGCCTCTTCATACTCGTCAGTGACAACAAGTCCCTGGTACCACGACCGCTCTGTCTCAGCCAGCACAAGACGTCACTCCTTGCCCTCCTCGAGCGCCCAAGCCAAACCGTGAACACCCAGGCGTAACAACATAAAGCGGCCGATATTTTGAACCCTCAGAGCTCGAAGTTCTCTCGGTCGGCCGTAGGCCAGTTCTCTTCGTTCCCCATCGCAGCTTCGATGACGCGGTAGAGGCCTGTCTGGAAGTGAAACGGAAGCCGGTGCAGACAGTGCATGATGTTGCTGATGTTGTCTTGGAAGGGTTTGCTGTCGTTGGACCATTCCCAGGCCCAGTTGGCGAGGGTCTCAAGGCCCGCGACTAGCGAGGCGCAGGCATCGCACTTGGTGGTGCCGTTGCAGGTCGTGCGGCAGTCGGAGGGGCGGAGATGGTACCGGCAGATCTCGACGGCGGCGACGTGCTCGTGGCCCTGTAATTGGTTAGTTGGAAGGCTTCAGCGAGTGGTGAGAGGAATACTGGCCTTCTCGAAGAGACTATCTTCAGTTCGGGTGATCTTGATGACTTTGGTCCAGTCATCTTTCGTAGCAGAAGAGGACTGTGCGGATGGCTCTGTGAAGCCGCCAGGAGGTATGACGACGAAGTCGTCCATCTCTTCAGCGTCGTTAGCGATACTAGCAGTACTCTTGCTGCTGACGTTGTTGGCAGTCTCTGGGATCTTGGAAGCAGGCATAGGCGTCGCGAGTGTATCCTGGTCGATACTATACTCTGGAAAGAAGTTGTGGTGTGTTTCGAATAACGTCGCGGAGCAGTGAGTCTGAAGTTTTATATAGCACAAGAAGGGAAGATTGCTTAGGGAGTGCCATCAAACAAGTGAGTCTGGAAGAGGCCCGTGGCCATAAGGCATCCTTCGAGAAGGAGAAGGGTGCGGTGAATGTCTGCATCGCACACTCTCGTGGCGTGCATATGACCAGATATCAAGCAGTCAACTATATGCGTCCATCTGGACCACCGTGGAGGGGCGCCGTCAAGCGTACTCAGCTAATGCATATTGCCTGCATCTCTGTTGGCTACAAGCTACAGCGATTGTTTGAACGCAAGCTAACTTCCAGACAAAGTTAAGACTTGATCCTACACGCTTCCTCGACTGAAGCAAACATTAAGACCGAATATCAAACACGACTAGTGCCAGGAAGTCTGTGTGTGCTCTTGCCTGGAGGTACCATCGACTCTCTAGTCGTCGTCTTCATCTCGACCCTTTCTCCCAGCAAACAGTCCAGCTGCGCCCTTCCCCCACATTGTTATCTCCGCAGCAACCCGCCTCAACTCCATCTTCTTCTCCTGATACGTACCCAAGTTCTCATGCACTGCGATATACGCCTCCTCCGACGCCAACAAAATCTGCAACTCACTTTTTCCCTCCACCCTCCCCAACATAAGACCCTCTGGACCAATCTTCAACGCCGGACCTTTTCTGCCATAACGCCCTACTAGGTCTCGCAAAACTAGTCCCGTAAATTGAGCGTATATATATAGTGACCGCACAGTCTATCTTCATCAGTCACTTGATGCATGGTTATCACATTTCGACTTACGTTTGCGCTATCTGACATATCTTCCCCATCATCCTTGCCACTACTACGTTCGACATTGGAAGTCTTCTTCGTCACTTTCTTGACCCACCCCTTCCTGACACCACCATTCTGCTCTTCCATCTTATCAGCTTCACTCTTGGAATCTACTTCCTCTTCCTCTTCACGCTCTGAGAGTTCGCAGTCTGAATTCGAGCCTTCGGCGACAGAAGATTCGACCTCGGTGTAGGAATGGTAATCGGCATCGACGAACACGTAGCTATCTTCGAGTTCTTGGTCTTCGGCGAGCTCTTCGTCCAAAGTGACATCGAAATCGGTGTCGAGTACAACTCCAAGCGTGCCTTCGCTGGGCTTGGTGATGGTGTTCTCTTTGGCATGGTTGTCGTTGCTGCTCGTAGCATGCTCTTCGCGGTTCATCTCTGCGACAGTATGTTAGGAGGCCTGGCCTGTCAGAAATGCTTGCGTAGTTCAGTATGCCCGCGAGTTGGGTGATTGCGCTGCGGCGAGGTGACAGTGCGAACGCTTCCATACTAGTGTAGCTGCGCATATATGCGCCGTCAGGCCTCTGTACCAGATAGCGCCACCAAAGCAACGGTAGATTCTCTTTCACTAGAAGAATTTTGGTGGAAGGCTTCTTGCCACAGGAAAGCGATTCAAAGCATCTAAGCCTCACCATATTGGCATTCCAATAGTACCTCCTTGATCAAGGCAAATGAAGTCATAGTGAGGTAGGCGGACGTCACACGGCGAGTAACTCACGACCACCGCAACACCAACGACACCAGAATCAATAAAAATCTAGTATGAATGGAATAGATTACTAAACCAAGGCGCAATCACTATTTTGAATAGTGGCAAATGTAGAGGAATGTGCAATGCGAAGTCGGGAATGCGAAGCCGCGGAGTAGAATGGTAACCCGTAAAATTGAGAAATGTCGATTGAAGGTACTTCTTAACGATCATAACTTCGATGCTGCTCCCTCCTCGTACTCACTCAACTCTTTCTTGTCGCAATCTCTTGGACTTTCACCAAACTCCTTACCCTTGCGACACTGTAGTTCTTCGGCGCTCTTCCACTTCCAGGCAGTATCTTTCTCCTCACCGTTGCCCTTGCCGCTTAGGACGTTGCACATATATGCGCCGGCGACGGGGAGGAATCTGAGAAGATGATTAGCGTTGCGTCCTTGACGTGAAGGTTAAAGTCACTTACTTGTAAGAGTGGAAGCTACCGCCAACTGCGAGGTATAAGTTGGCGAGCCTTTCATGAGGATGCCGACACATCAGCCAGTCTTCGGTTGGTGTAACAGCGTCGTAGCAGATTCGCCATCTGTCTGGTCTTTTGCTGCGTGTCCATTCCGGCATGGCGTTGTGCATGATCTGTGCGCTTTCACGCTTCAATCTCTCAGGTACGTCGTTCTGGTTTCTTCGCGATGGCATGGTGATTTTGTGTCCAGAAGGAGTGGTAACCGTATTGATGATTTCAGTCTTGATGTCATTGATCTTCAGCGTCCGGTTTGGTTGCGAAGGTGGGATGATGTCGACCTCTCCTCCAATGACGATCACAGGCACTGTTTCGTCGATCATGCTCTGAGTGTCTTGTTCGTTAAGTGTATAGTAAGCCGAGACCCGTCCTACAGCGGTGATCTGGCGCTCGATGCGGTCTTGTTCCTGGATCTTCAAAGCATCCTCGATTGGCGACATAAGGGAGCTGGTCCAAGCTCCTGCTGCCAACACGATCTTGTCGGCTTTCAAAACTTGACCATTCCTTAGCTTTACACCTGCTAGGCTTCGTTGGTCGGCGCTCAGTAACAACTCTTGCACGTCTCCAGTCACCCTCCTGACGCCCAACTCAAGTGCAACCTTTGTGAAGCTTTGCGTTGCTTTCTCTGCGTCGCACCAGCCCGCTTCGCGATTGAAATAGCCCTTTCCGTATTCTTCGCTCTGGATGCCTTTTGTCACAGCGTACTTGTCCAGCTCTTGTGGTTCTAGGTCGCGCGTGTAGTCACCTCCTCTCTCAACGAACGTCTTCCTTATCGCATCACCAAAAGTACCATTTTTTTTGTCTAGCACGACCCAACCCGTCTTGTGGAAATGGCCCTGCACTGCTATGCTCCAGAACCAAAAATGAATAGCTTCATTGGCGAGATTGCAGTAAAGATGTGACTCGTAGTCGGTACGGATAATGCGATTGGTGTCGATAGCTGCTGCTTGCTTTTGCTTCAGGGATGTATTGCTATCCCAACGGTCGATGATGGTTATTCGCGATGGATCTTTGTATTGCTTACCCAAATGATAGGCAGTAGACGCGCCAAAGGTACCAGCGCCTATGATAAGTACTGTAGGCTCGCTGCTTGCCATATTGAACGAATAGTGATCACAAGTTGTAAAGCTTTCAATGTTGTCCAGGATAATGGTGAGGCTTCCTGGATGGTAGATGAGACTGCTTGCGCTAGTGCTGCGGGGTCTTCTGCGGATCCGATGCCCCAGCTTGCCCAAAAACGTGCATTGGCTCGCGCGATCGGGAAGGAACTCAGGATGCCCAGGTACAGCGCCTTTTGACTATGACGTATCAACACAACCATTCATGCTCAGCTATACATGTCATGTACAGTGCGCTACCAGGCCAGCATTCCCGTAGACGATGAAGACGTGATCGTATGCCAAATCGTTCTCCCGAGCAGCGGGCGCGTGCGATTGAGACGCGTCCTCCTCAAAGGTTGTCTCTGCGCCGCTTGGACAGATGACATCCTACAAGCCGGAGAGCCCCGATGGGCAATTTCAGGCTCATCTGGTGACCTGGAACTCGAGAATAGTCGCGGTCGATGTGCGATGCGCGAATCTTGCTTGGGGGCTTAACGTGAAAAGCGTTCATGGTGTGAGCGACAAGAGTCGCAGCGGGCGCAGGGGTAATCGTCGCGAAGAAGAATGTGAGCCTTTGACTAAAAGGTCGCATCGATTACGTCGCTTCAAAACAAAGCACTGTAACCAGGATCAGCATCAAGGAAACACGTCGCGCTGAGATATGGCATTTCGACGATGACGGCGGAGAGAGAGACGGTGGAAGCATGTGGTAGATTGTTCGTGAGAAGTCGCTAATCAGAGCTCGGGGGTGTCATCGCTGTTTCCGAAACATACAGCTCACTTCCGACACCACACACCAGCCATCACTTGACACCAGCAGTGGTCTCGCATATGGCACGTCTCGATACCAGCAATGCAACACGAACAGACTCCTGCTCTGCATGCTCGACATGTTATTGGCGGTATTGTTGGTCAATGGTGTTCCACACTCTTCAAGCAGCGCTCTGTGTAATGTATAGGTACCACTCACTCGTCAACAGCTTCTTACGACCTTCCAAGGAGACGCATCCGTTGCCACGACGTGATTAGAGGGCAAGAGCTGGCGATGGCAAGAGACATGGAGTAAGCAAGGGGCTGACCGCATACCTGGACTAGCTGGTTGCATCATCGGCAACGTGTCGAGGATATCAAAAATCTAGCCCGGAGGCCTTCCTCGGGCTCGGTTCTGAGTGTTCACAACCGGCGATGGAATCACGGTCTTACACCTGTTCTTCAACCGACGAGGCTGCTTGCGAGATGCATTTCCTTGAATGGTTAGCGCTGGCTGCCTCGGCTAACCTTCCTTGTCGTCAGACTCGAAATAACTTTGTATGAATGTACGAACACAACGCAGAGCTATTACGCAGCAGAAGGCAAGACCTAAAAGTCGATGTCACTGCTAGAAATAGACAAAAAGCAGCTGAGGGGCTCCAATGAGACCAAGGTTTCACGCATCAATCTCAGATTCGCCACTACACGATAGCACTTTAGTGGCTCCTTCGGCAAGCCCCACCATCGAGCGTACAATGCAGATTCAGCAACTCTCATCCAACACCACGATGTCTCCCAAGATTCATATCGTACGCCATGCGCAAGGAGAACACAACGCGACCGTACGTCCCAGATCAAGAAGAAGAACCCCGAGATCAATCATACTAACCGGCCACAGCGCAATTACGGCATTCGCGATGCTGTGCTGACAGCAAAAGGCAAAGAACAATGTCGCGCGCTTAGCTCGGCATTCCAACATCATGAAGAAATAGATATAGTATTTGCGTCGCCGCTACGACGAACGATCCAGACCGCCTCGCTGAGTTTTGGCCCTGTGCTCGCGCGGAAAGAGGTGCCGTTTGTGCTGTTGCCAGCCTTGCAAGAGGTCAGCGATATTGGATGTGACATCGGAATTGCCGATACTGCAGATGACGTGCACGCATTTCTACCGAAGCTGTTCGCAGAGGGTGAGCTCGACTTTGACATAAGCAAAGTTGATGCATCAGCGGTGACAGCGGGCTGGAACTCCAAGGTCAGTCGATCTCCCGGTTTGACATCAGCATGCATGCTTACTAACGCCTCACAGGAAGACTATTGGGCGTACGAGAAGCGCGCGATCTCGAAGCGCGCTTCCGACCTGAGGAATTGGCTATACCAAAGGCCCGAAGCGCAGGTAAAGTTGCCGTTAGTTTCCTCTTAATAGCGGTTTGCTAATGGAAACAGGTCCTGGTCGTCACTCATGGCGCATTTGCACACTTCCTTACCGAGGACTGGGAAGTCGAAGACCCCATGGTGGGCACAGCATGGAAGAATTGTCGGTCTGCATCTATGTTTAGTCTGCAGTATAAGCTAACTCTAATATAGGTGAACATCGCGTGTTTAGTTTCACACCTGAGTCGACGGCGGAAGACGCCCACGTGGGTGAGACTTGGGAGAGCAGGCGAAGTAGGGGCGCCCAAGAAGTCGAGAAGGACCCGCATGTAGTGGATGAGTTTCTCAAGACAGCGGCGTAGTTGAGTAGTAGTGCACAAAGGCCGCGGCCTCAGATAGCTTCCGACAACGGCTGTGGCATGCCGTTCCGTCCGTTGTCCAAGAGCCGGAGGGTCCACGAGTAGCCAATACCCGATGTGTTTACTGTAGTAACTTGCCCGAGTACATTTGCGCCCGTTGATCGACGGATTGGTCCCCTCGCTCGTAATCTGGAGTATCACCCACGGCTGTTCGGCAAGCGCGCCATCATGGCGCAACATCCCACGGTGCCCCTTGAGGCCTTTCGGATCCTGGGGTAGACGGTAGCCATGTCCAAGCAATCACATTCATCCCCCATATCATTGGCCGGCGCAAAGTTCGGCAATGCACTCCACAAACCCTGGATCAAAGATAAGCCACGGTCACGCCGCGCCTGCTACGACCCTTCGAGCAGCCAAGCTGCAGTGCGGCCAGACCAAATCACCGAGCTGTGCGTCGTGCATTACCGCGCTGGGTGTAGTCGACGGGAAGCATCGGAGCAGCCTTAGTCAGAGTTTTGCGCCCCGGTACCTGTTCGGTTAATCTATCAAGCCCCGCCGAGGCCCGGGATGGCGCGGCCCTAAAGGCTTGTCGCCGCCCCCATGCAGCCAAACCAGCCCTACGCAACGCCTCTGTCGTCGTCACCACCCAGTGCAGACGCTTATCCCCAGCTTACAGGTTGTCGCGTGAGCACCGCAGCTCTCTTATCTCCAGAACCGCATGCATGGTTCGCTCTGATGTCACCTAGCACGGATTGAGGCGATGTCACATCAAGCACGTCCCCAAACTCACCACTCAAACACGTAAAAAAGCGAAAATTTTACGTCAACTGCGACGCACCATGTGGACCGCGTCATTAACGACGCCACTAAAGGGCAACGCTGCTGGCTGCACGCACCAAGCTCTGGTACGATGCGAGCAATAGACCGAAGTTCGCTAAGACCCTCGATAGCCAGCTTTCGGTCAACATCGGTCGCCCAGCATGCTGGGAGCGCGCGGGGGAAGGCCGCTTGGAACATTCTATTACACATGCAGAACATGCGGAGAGATAAGGCGTGTTGATATAAGAAACAAGAGTAGCCGCTGGCCTGGAAAACGGTTATTCCTGCGTGCCGCTGCTAACTCACACTACCTTCTCACCGGTCCCACGGTACGTCACAGACAGTCGATATCACGCGCCGCCGTCTTCCCGATTCCGACGACTGGACCTGTGACCTACACTGCTACTGCTACTTTTGGGGTACCGGGCAAACTAGCTCGTCAGCAGGCGCCAAACACCAAAAAGTCGCGAGTGCCCTCGAGCTTCCGACTTCACCGCGACTCCACCCCACCGTTATTTTTGAATAATTCATATTTGCATTTCCAAAGATGCAGGAAGTACCGCACGCCAACGGGCTCACGACGGGCAACCCTGAACCACAATACGCCTCCAACGGCGTCAACACTGGCGTTCCCGCGCGGCACTACGCTGCTGCACCGCCAACCTACCGTCTGGACGACCTTTCGTCTGAAGGCAAGAAGAGCGACCCTGAGCTCATGATGCCCGTCGACAAGACTGCCACTGTCCAGGAGGGATCGGAGAAGTTCCACCGTCTCGGCTGGAAGCAACTCACAGTCTGCCTGATTGTCGAAGCTATTGCGCTTGGTTCCCTCAGTATCCCTAGCGCGTTCGCAACCCTCGGAATGGTTCCCGGTGTCATCATGTGCGTTGGTCTTGGTCTCGTCGCAATCTACACATCCTACGTTGTCGGTCAGGTCAAGATGCGCTACCCGCATGTCAACCACTACTCGGATGCCGTCGAAATCATCTGGGGTAAATTCGGAAAGGAACTCACTGGTGTCATGTTTGCGCTCTTCCTCATCTTGCTGGTTGGATCACACGCGCTCACCGGAACAATCGCCTTCATCAACATCATCGGAAACTACACCACTTGCGCGCTCGTATGGGGTGTAGTATCCATGATCATCTTATTGGTTCTTGCTCTGCCACCCACATTCCACGACTTCGCTTTCCTGGGCTACATCGACTTTATTAGTATCATCGCCGCCATCTTGCTCACCATCATCGCGACTGGTATCCAAGCGCACGATGCTCCTGGCGGATTGAGCGCAGTCAACTGGTCCGCGTGGCCTCAACCCGGAACTTCGTTCTACGAAGCTTTCCTGGCGACCACCAACATCATCTTCGCCTACTCCTTCGCCGTCTGCCAATTCTCCTTCATGTCTGAGATGCACACCCCCAAGGACTACGTCAAGTCCATCTGGGCCCTCGGTCTGATTGAGATCTTCATCTACACCATGACAGGTGCTCTCATCTACGCTTTCGTCGGCCAGGAGGTCAAGTCGCCCGCTCTTCTCTCTGCCGGTAACACCGTCTCTCGCATTGCCTTCGGTATCGCGCTTCCCGTCATCTTCATCTCCGGTTCCATCAACGGCACCGTCGTCTGCCGCTACATCATGGACCGCATCTTCCCCACCTCGCCCATCCGCTACGTCAAGGACGTCAAGGGCTGGGGTGTCTGGGTCGGACTCATCACCGTTGTCACCGTCATCGGATGGATCATCGCCGAGGCCATTCCCTTCTTCAACGCTCTCCTCGGTCTCATCTCCTCCCTCTTCATCTCCGGATTCACATTCTACTGGCCTGCGCTCTTCTGGTTCCAGCTCGTCAAGGAGGGCAAGTGGAATGCAAACGCCAAGAACATCTCCTTGAGCATTCTGAACTCCATTGTCTTCGTCATTGGACTCGTTGTTCTTGGTGCCGGTACCTACGCATCCGTCGAGGATATCATCACACAGTACAACTCTGGTGCTGTACGAAGTCCCTTCACGTGCTCTGCTCAGTCTTACGCATAGGTACGGGATGATGCGATCATGTATATATACCAAGAAGCCCTTGAACAGGCGCTTCGCTTATTACGACTTATGAGTCTAGCATCAGCATAGCGATGGCAAATCAAATTTCAAATATTCTATCATCTTTTGCTATGTCCACAGTCTTTGCACCTCGTTGATACCATCTGGAAACTCACGGCACCGGGCAGCACCCCATCCGCGGTCATGATCTATGGGTACTATGCAGCATTATCACTTACCTGTTTGACATGATGGTACATATGAATATCGCATTGCGATCTCTTCGCCCATGTCGATCATGGCATCGACACCTGAAATGGATTTGCTCCACCCCCTGCGCCGCACCACCCCATACAGGAAATTCACTGAACATCGGGTCCTAGAAGTCTACATTGCCTTCAGGTGTTTTCGACCTTTGGGTTTTAGACTAATGTATACAGCAGGGCACCTCACGACTTTTCTTCCCCTACCTGTCTATCCTGGCTAGTAATGTGAAGAGTAGGACAGTGGGAGTGACACTATCCACAGAATACATAGCCTTGAAACAACTGAGAAGTCGACATTGCTTTAGAATTGGTCCATCTTTCGACTTTTGTCCGAATGTAGACAGCACGTTGCATCGCACCTCTTCATTTTCTTCCTAGTGCGAGGTGGTTCTAGGGAAAGGGGAACATAACGGGTTGCGCAATCATCTTCGATAAGAATAACGTGCGCGCTTTTCGAGCCTGGACGAGAGATGCTGCAAACGTTCAAGACTGACTGCCCAGTGCTCTTGGCCGACGTTACAAGTTGGAAGTCATATTGACTACTGACGACACTCATCTAGCCGGTACGACTACCCATGATCATGGCTAACTCTTCCAGATGAGTCGCTGTAGGCTCCTGCCTGCACTCCACCATACGATTGGCATTGCACTGTCTTCCCTTTCACGGGAGTCTGTACGTACTAGTACAAATGGAGACTAGCGCGACTGATGACGCAGCCCAGGTGCGCAGGTGATGAATTTGGTACGTATACCCATGAAGCTGTCACCACCAAAATACGCAACAGTGATTTCACACACAACCAAGGTCGCGATTGAGTTCGTTACCATGGATGATGTTAAGCCTGCGCTCACTACACTTCGCCTGGGGTCCAACCTCTCAGCCTTATATGAAACCGCTTTGACCGACGATATCATGCCAAAAATACGACGCGGCAGCAACGATGAGACTGCTCGAACTGATGGTTTTGTGACAAAGAGGCATCACGAGAGTGAAGGCAATACACCCGGAACGCAGCCTTCCGACCTCATCAGTGCTCTTCATGCGTTCATACAGAAAGAGCGCAAGACCAACTTCTCGTTCTTGTCACAGCACAGCCATTGTCACAAGCATCAAAACGAGCTACTCGTAGTATCACAGGCGGACGCCGACGATGTTCAAGCGGTGCGTGACATCGCCGGGCACGATACGACCGCCTACAACGACTGGTTTACCTTCACCGAGCCGCTGAGATCTGACGGCTTCGCCCGCACTGTCACGATCGATCTACCATCCGACAGCCGTGTTACCGTCGAGAACATGATTATCACCGCGTTTGGCAGAGTGAAAAAGACCCAGTGTAGAGCAGCTGCGTGGATCCGCGATACGTACTGCACTGCCGAAGACGATATGTGGGCGATGAGGCTACCAGAGCCGCAGTACGCGGAGCAGCGCTTATGGTGGGAAGGTACTGGGCAAGCTTTCCGGCTACTGGACTTACCTCTGGAGATGCGCGAAGCCATCTACTTGCACGTCATCGGGCCAGTCGTTGTGCCGGATGTTGTTACACAGCGTGGTGGCGCAGAGAAGCTTGTGCTTGGATACGGCCTGTCATACGATAATCCTGAGCGCATAGGGCGCAATCGCGACCCCAACATACAGCGCCCCAATATGTGTATCATGCGCGTCAGCCGCCAGGTAAAGGCAGAGGCCACTCAAGTCGCCAACCGCGATACCGTAAAGCGATTCACAACCCTTCGCACGCGTGGGGACGGCATTGGGCCCGCTACGTCACCTGACGAAATCTGGCGCAAACTCGGGCAAATCGCAACCCCTGCTAACTTCCTGAAGAGACTACAACTCGAGATGACTGCAACAGAGTTCTTGGCATTCGGCGGCATTTGTCCTCAACTTGGACAACCGCTTCAGAGGGGCGTTGTAACGATTAATATTACTTCTATGGCTTGGTTAAGAAACCTCGATACCATCGATTTCCGCTTCATTGGTCCCGAACATGAGCTTGCCAACTGCCCTTGGACTGGCCTTCATCCATGCCAAAAGAAGTGGATTGACATATTTTTCATCACCGCCTGGAATGATCTAGTCGCTCTTAGGAATTCAAGAGGAATTAAGTATTCCATGAGCGGCTGCATCAAAAATTCTACTCGCGATTACTGGACTGGGCTCTTGAATGACAAGCGCATTGATCATACTGCCAGTATTCGTCTTCTCGAACAGGATGTTCAAGTCACTATGATGAACAGTGAGGAGCCCTATGTAGGCATCTGGGATATATATTGACCGACGTTTAGACACCTCGCTTGCGTGCAAATGCTCCAACCCATGTGTAGGCGGGCCGCGCTTGTTCCGGGTCCAGCCGCACGAGATGAGATTGATCGAAGGCATACAGGCCGAGCTGGATAAGGCGTATTGGGATTTTGAAGACTGAGGCGAGTTGTATTTGACCAGGGGTTGCCGCATACTGAGGTGGATTTAGGGCTGGAAAGATCGGGATACCTACGCGTGGCGGATACCGAGGTGGTCTCCCAAACCAAGGGCTGTTGCAGAATTGGAACGTATTGCGGAGTTTGAGGCAGTCTGAGTCACTGCTGGTTAGTTTAAAACGATGAGAGCTCCTTTGAATCTTCTCATATTTGACGGACGGGGAGGAGGCGCGGCTCATGAGTAGAGAACTAGCAACAATGAGCATGTGTAAAGCACAGAGGCCGATCACATGCCCGCTCCTATGACTCTATGGTTTCTGAGTCGTGCAGATGTTGAGTGCATTGTTGTGGGCACCTGGTGTTTGGACAGCAGATCATCCATAGATTGGATTTGGTGATGAACTACGTCATGATCTAGCCTTAAGATGGTTAGCCGGTGGAGCTGATCACGTGCCGTTCAAGAAGCCGCGGCCCCAAACCGAACACCTTGACTTTTGACGCGTCCTCAGCTCGTCTACTTCAATCGCTGAACCTACGACCCGACGTCCACCCCGACGCCGACATGTCACAATTTTGTCGCGTTACTCGATGCGCAAAATCCATGTAGTCGTCCTGCATCAAATTTGTTTTCACCAGCGAGCGCCGCACGAGGCTGCCCTGCACTTATTCGCTGTGCCACGAAATGAGTTCACGTCACCAATAAGGGGCATGACCACTCCAGGCAATGGCTGGGTCGTATATATAGCTACCGAGTAGACAGTTGCAAGAACTGGACGTCTATAGTCATGCCGAGTGGAGTACCCTGCCGGCGAGGTGGGATGCAGCAAGCGTGGAGTGAACATCTTTTCACTTGCGCGGACCTGTGATACCCATACCTTCTTCTTCACAAGATTCGCAACAGCTTTTACGCTGGCACACTTTGATCATTGTTTAAGAGGACGAGGAGATGAGAGAGAACTAACAACATTGGGCTCGGGAAGAGGTACAGCGATGGCTTCTTCCACTTGTACGTTCCATTTCAGTTTGATGCATACCAGAGTCAGCAAATGTAAAATTCCAGTGACAGAAAAGAGATTAGCCTTGTTCAATGGGTAGTGGTAAGGACGATCGCCGCTGCCCAGTATAAAAAAGAGCTAGACAACGGGGTTCGGTGGGAGCACATGCATGGTTGTGGCTTGCGGCCTTCTCGCCTCGGTGGGATTCTAGGGCAATCCCACCCTTCCAGGGTGAGCACGTTCAAGAGACCTCTTCACGGTGAGCGCAGTTCTCAGACGTATAGTCGAGGTCATGAGCGAGATCTATTATTCCCAAGGATGATTGGTAGGTGAGGGGCGTCAGTCTATGAGCCACGGTGCTTCAGCATGACGAGCACATTTCTAAGAAGGAGCCCATCTGCACAGTCATGTTGTATAGCGCGATTATCGTTTTCACTCTACGGCGCCTAAGATGTCAACGGCAGCCAGAACAAGACCCCTCACCCCGTCCTCGGCAGCGCTAGTACACTCCTTCCGCCCCCTCGCTCACGTACGAAACATGATAGGCCCGTCTACAAATCCAATACTCCAAGAAATCCATAACATTCACGCCACCGATGCACGCATGCTCCTCGACCTTCCTCTGCATGTCGTCCATTGGTCTTTCGGGCCGCATTCGAAGCACTTCCATTCCCAAAACCAGGTCATCCAAGTCCGATTTCGATCCTTGAATCGTGGTTCGTCCCGCGCCTGCAGCATGCGAGCTATATTGGTGGACCCCGATCCCCGATGATTGGACCGGCTGATGTCGTGCATAACTATGGCTTACACTGGCTTCGAGAACTTCCTCTACGATAGAAAGATGGTACCCGGTGGGCATATGATCATTCAGTGGCTTGCGGACTTCACCGAGAGTGAAAGAATCGCTGATGAGTCTGGTTGGTTGCTGGCCAATGCAGAAACCTATCGTAGTGTCCGCGATGTCGGCCTGTGGGCCATACGCAAGAAGCCACTAGTAGAAGAAAGGTGAACGGAAGCGCGGAGCATCCAAATGTGACAAGTTTTTGCGAAGAGGAATAGTTGCTTGTAAGATGTGGAGGCGACGTCGCAAGAGATGGACGATCAGAGCACCGGGAAAGGTACATAAGACACCCGCACCTGCTTCATATCCATCCATATCATCGATAAACAACTCACCACAGCTCCGACTTCCGTACATCGCCCAGCATGTTGTTCTCCACTGCTACAATTCTTCTGCTCTCCTCAACCGCACTCGCAGCACCCACTACCCTCCTTCCCCGCGCTGCTCAGTGTGGTCAATACCAATCTCAGTCATCTGGGCCATACACGCTCTACACCAACGGCTGGGGCTTCTCCTCCGGAACGGGCTCTCAATGCTCTCAGATCGACAGCTATAGCAGTACAGCTGGTTTAGCCTGGTCAACAACATGGTCATGGTCTGGCACGCCCAACCAAGTCAAAAGCTACACGAACGTCGACACGGGCTTTACGAAGAAGCAGATCGGTAGCTATACGAGTATGCCGACGACGTGGAAGTGGAGCTACACTGGAACCGATTTGCGGGTCAATGGTATGTTACCCGTGCCTTCTTTCTTGCGTTCTCTTCATTGCTGGGGTCTGTAGGCTAATTATCATGTGCTATCCCACAGTGGCGTACGATACCTTCCTCGGCTCATCAGCCAGCGGAACCAACCTCTTCGAAGTCATGGTCTGGCTCGGTGTCTACGGCGGCGTATCACCCTTGTCCGCGAACGGATATCCCTTCACACCCATCGCTACCGTCACCATTGGCGGCCAGATATTTGACCTTGCCTACGGCCTCAACGGCTCCGTCAAGGTATACAGCTTCGTAGCTCGCGGCGGTCGAGCGACAAACTTTAGCGCTGACTTGGTAAGCTGCGTCCTTAGATCCCATGGTGAAGATGCAGGAATTAACGTGTCGACACAGAACCTGTTCTTTAAATACCTGTTGGCAAACTATGGAAGCAATGGTTTCACGAGTAGTTTGTACTTGCAGGTCGTGCAGGCAGGCACGGAGGTGTTTACTGGAAGCAACGCGAAGTTGACTACGACGGCGTATTCTATTGCCATCAACTAAGCAATGAGGTATCGCATACCTCGTAGCACGTTACAAGACTACTCGGAAGTACTGTCCCAGTCGTCGATGTTGAGCAGATGTAAGGTCAAGCAAATGTACAGTCTGAGAGATGCTTGTAATCCAGTGCGCTTACTACAAAGAGGCTATGCCTGTCGTCCTTTATCTATCCATCTAAAATTCGTCAAAGTGTTATACAAACGGTCGGAGCATGATCCGTGACCCAAATGCGAAGATCCATCGCTGCCAATATAAGCGCTTCCCAAACGCCGATTCGCCATACCCATGTGCGCGCCCGTCGGCGCCCCTCATTTTGCTTCCCAAGCCTCCAGGGCTGTGCCCTCAGCCCCTCACATCGATCTCGCTAGGGTATGCTAGCGCGACGGCGTCGCCTTCGAAACCCGCACCGATGCCCAAGAGGTCAACTCTGAACCTCTCAGTATCGCTCTGAACCCTCAACCGAGGCTCCGCAAGATCGTAGTCATCCCTGCGTGATGATGCATCGCATGAACTGGCTACTGATCTCACAGACGAGGCTAGCTCATCACCCATCACATCTTGTGCGCGATAATAACGCTGTCGCACCCAGTGGAAGTAAACGGCAAGCGCGTCGCGATGATTCGGGATGCCGATGCAAGCGAGTGAGCGACGGAACGGGAGCTTGACGGCGTAGGGATAGGCTGGGAACGGGTGGGTCAGCTGAGAGATCGAGAAAGTTGGGAAATCCACCAGGGCATCGTGCGGATGTCTTGGTACGCTAGACCATACGGGGCATAGTGGCCTGAGTTCGGGCGCAGCTAGCCGGTGGTGTCGGAGAAGGAAAGAAGTCGGAGGTGTGGACGGGACGGTAAGCTGACTTACTGTTGCGAGACATGATGTACGGTGGCGGATATATCTTAGAAGCTTGGCTGTGGTTGGGCTCCAGAGTGTGCAAGTTGGGCGGTAGTCGAGTGTAGTGTGACGATGAAATATGTCTGAGTGAATATGTGATGATAGACTTCTTGCAGTGGGTGACTGAGTCTATGTAGTCTCTTCTCGAGGTGCAGAACTGGAGTAAAGTAGCTGTTGAGAAACGGGCAGATGTACAAGGCGTCTTTATAGTATTGATGTGCAAGGTGAGAACGAGGTTGGCAAGTGAGCAAGTCAGTATATCCGCAGAATGAGCAAGAAGGTATTGCGCATACGCGTCCATGGCACACTTATGACTGTCACAGCGGCCGTCTTCACGACCAAGTTGAAGCCTCACGACCAAGGCATATGCCCTTTCCCGATCGAGCAGGCAACCGTAGCCGAGAAGTCGTCCTGGGGTAGGTTCGCCAAGCTAACCACCGGCAAAAGCGTCAAATTTGCTGCAAAGGGGAACTCATCTCAGCTGCGATGGCTGAGGACCCTGCACGAAGATCAGAGTCGTTGGCCGAAGCGTGACGGTGTTGACTCCTGATAGGCGTGGGCGAGGGTCGGGCGTGATGATGTTGCCGAGCCGCGTATTGCGACCCTCTGGCAGCCCGTTTCAAAACCTCACCGGCCGAGCGCTGCAGGAGAAACGCACGAGATCGGGGGGCTGAATCTTAACATCGTCGGCTGCTGCGCGTCGCATCTCCTTTGATGTGCATACTATGTACGTCAATAGGTCCTCGATCAGAGAACGCGTGGGCCTCGAGTCGCTGGCATAGCGGCAAGCGCGGGGCTGCCAGCAGCTCTCCCACAGGGCTCTCTGCGTGCGTCTGGCGGCGTCACTACCTAGGTAGTCAGGGTCGGCCAACGAAGTCTCCTTCATCCGCCCCCATTGCTATCACCACGTCTTACCAGCTCGCTTTGCGCAACTTCAAGCCGCAACTGTGGGACGCGCAAGCGCGCCAAGCGGTATGGGTGAGTTTGACAGCGCGTACACACCTAGGTCGGGACAAGCAACGCCCAAGAACGACTGAATGTGGTCGGCATGGTTTCTGACAACAGGGGCCACATGCTCAAGTAACCCATGCTCTTCTTTTCTTTTTCTCGTACTTCGACGATGTTGCCTCATCATTCTGCAGCTTCTAGACCGTTGTTGGTCATCATTTGCACTCCGTACGCACGATTTCAAAGACAGAAGGCAGTCGTCCCGATGGGCGGATAGACTGCCATGCCGTCTCATCAAACGAGGTATACGTAGACGCTGGGCGCGAGTAGCGCAGGCTGTAAGGCTCACTGCACTAGCCACAACGCCGAACCGTAAGAGGAACAAAGTTTGCTGATCGGTGTAAGATGTGCCACAGCGTTCCTGGAGTAGCAGTGGGCCCAGACCTAGCCGGGGAAGCTCTTGAGATGTCAAAAAGTCTATTCGATGACACGGGCCAGATGTGTGCGACGTGACTTCACGCTGTCGCATCTGCACACGGCCCCCAAGCCCAACAGCCGGGCACGCGTAGTAATGCGACATGCAAAAATCTTGGATATTGGTAATGCTGTTTGAACCGAAGCTTCTCCGGTCTTCAGCGAGCCAGTGCCGCAGGACAGAATGAGTGAGGGTCGGCAATCATGTCGACGCTTAGGCAATAGGCACTCTGCAAGATCCAACCAAACCTTCTGCTTTCCTGCATTATTAATTGTGAAGGTATAACCATCCACCTGCGTCCTGTGTTGTGGACATGGTACAGAGCTGCATATGGCTGTGCCACGTCTTAGCTAGCGACTGCTGCTGTCAGCCTTTTGGCGAACAACGCCTCGGCCGAGTCGGCTCCTCTATCACTGACCCAGTGTAAGTAAAACGGAGCGCAACAGGCGCCAGTGAACTAGCAGTATCGTTTTTGTGATCGCAAAGTCGTCGCATCTACGGTGATGTCGACCCGGGGTCGTCATATGTCCGGTGTCCAAATGCGACCTCCGGATGCAGCTACAGCTCAGGCGGCAGCAGGTGCAAGGAAGCTCTTGTCCAAAAGCGATCGATACCTGGGTATGAAACTCCTTCCATTTCTTGCACGTTTCTCGCTCTCATTCGCTCCATGTCCCTCTCGATAGTCAGCGCATGTACGGTGGTCAAAGTCTATCGGTCCCACGCTTTGATGTGTAATACTGTCCCACGGTCCCTGTTGACCGTTTACTCAAGACAGCTCCAGGAACACCGACAAATCCACTCGATCGCTGCATCATTTGCACGTTCCTAGCTCTCGTTGGCTGCGTGTTCGTCGGCTTGAATGCATATGCAACGACCCTTGTCTTCAGAAGAGATCGCTGCATAACCGGTCAGCGCGACAGCGCACCGGACAGCTTTTGAAACACGATTGAGGGAGAAAAAACTTTTTCGTGTAGCTGCGCAAGCAACTGATACTCGTGCGACACAAGAGAGATCCACGCGCACGGTTGCTGCAGACTGCAGCCGTCTTGTTGAGGGTTGGCAGATGCACAGCCTCGATGCGGCTCTGCACGCTGACTGATGCACTCTGGCGAGCGGATTCGATCGCCGCATACACGGACGGAGAAACGAAAATCGCGATCTGAACGAACTACATGATTAAGCTTTGTAGCACTCGTGGATGTCGAGGGTTCTAGGAATGGTAATGTATTGCCTTTTGTCAAGCACACCAGTCTAACACCCTATGAAGAGGGCTTCGGCGGTGACCATGTTAGTCTACACGCAGCATTCTGCCAACCTCTGAACTCGTCGTAGGGTAACCAGTCTTACACTCAACACTCAACCATCCACATTCCAAGGGTGATTCTGCTTAACCCATTGAATATCCATCTCGCTCGGCTTCGTAGCGCGTTCCAACAGCCCAAGTCCCTCGCCGTGGTCGTTCCAGTCGAGACAAGCCTGAATAGGACAGTCTACACCATTATCATTGCACTCTGGCTTTGCATAGCCGTTGCAGCTAGGATAGTGCATGATGCTCGCGAGGTCGTAGCCGGAGGCGGCTTTGATGGGCCAGCCGGGCTCGACAAAGTTCTCGATAAAGGCGACACAAGTGCATTGGTACTTTAGAGCGCGATACATGGATAGGGAGAGGCCGTCTTCGGTGATGCGGTCGCCTTCCTTTTGGCGGGCGCGGTGCCGGCACTGTATTGTTGATGTTAGTATACGGTATGTGTCAGTGATAGTGGCTGTCACTTACGTCTTCCCAGTCTGCGCGTTGCTTGTATTAGACTCTGATATAGGTGTCGCGATCGTTGCGGTTGCGCTCATGCGCCATGCCTGATGATTGTCAGTATCGACGTCTGCAGTTGCTAATGATGTCTTACCTAGTACATGAGCAAGCTCGTGCAGAACAGCACTAAGCGTAAAGCCATCAGCGAGCCTGACAAGATTCTGCCAGGGATCGCCGTTTTGCGTCAGGCCAACAGCGCCGCCCCAGTCAGCATCATCGGTGAACTCGATTGCAACTGTATCGTGGGATAAACCCGCGTTCCAGCCGTCTCGGTATTTCTTGATGGTTGCACAGTACATTGGCTTTCCATCGCTATCCAGACGCTCTTTGAAACTGATCGCGTGACCAGACTCTTTGCCCGCAGGGCCGCCCGCAGGGCCGCCAAGATACTAAATCGGTCAGTCGGACACTCATCATGCCTCTATAGGATATGTTTTTCGCTTACTCGACCCATTTTGCCATACCACTCTCAGTGATGTGACGGCTATTGTGGCAATCCCACTCCTGTGTGAAGCAGTATGGGATAACGGCGTTGTTAGTTGAGTCGCGTGGCCAACGAATTGGTCCAGGTTTCGCGTCCCAGGCGGCAGTAGCACCTTGACCGTTCTGACCAGACATTGTCTCGAGTTCCTCGAAGTACTCCACTCAATCGGTTACTTTAGTACCGTTGTCGAACACGGGCGAGGGAGTACCGCAGAAGGAACCATAATTGGGGACTGACTTGTTGATAGCGACGGCGACCGCAAGAGCGACGAGCTGTAGAAGGAAAAAAGAGAAACATCTTTGCAAATGTCCAACTCTTCGTGGGTAGGCGTTGACGCACTCATAACGCAGTCAGGAGAAGAGAAGGTCGCAGCCTGGAGAGGCCAAGAAATCTCCACCGCAGACATTTTTGGAACGTACAGGTGAGCAAACACTCGGCCGCGAGCTAGTAGTGGTCGGAGTGAGAGTGAATTTGTACGATGACGTATTCGCACTTGAGGAATGCGCGCACATCCCTTAGAACGGCGATGTGAACCGTGACTGTACCAAGTATTTTCTCATTCTTGTGGTTAAGCTCTCAAGACGGGAAAGAGGTTTGCAATGGCCAGTGTTGGAGCCACTACGGCTTTCTGAAATCAACACAAAGACTTTCCGTGTTACAGTAATCCGGCTTTTTCTGCCTCCTGCCAACAATATTCCGACTAATGCATTATAATGGATAGCGGCACATAAAAAAAGACGCGAAATAGACGTAGTAGAAGGACATGATAACGAAATTCCGAACACATTTACCCCTATTGGCTGTGCTTCCGTACTGCAGGTGAAGCAGGTTTGACATCCAGTGTGCGACAATGAGGTCACTAAAAATGAGACGATGTGATTGCTGTCTATAGAGACAAACCGTACGATTAAACTGTACGTCGGCTGAGAGTCAAGATGCGTTCATGTTGGCAAGTTGAAGCAGATGCAGTGAAAGAACGGAAGCGAAGAGCTGGCGCGTCTGTGTCGCTCTCAGAGTCGAAGCTAGCCAACCTCGGAAGCGACACGTGAGAGGACCCCCTCATCTCTGCCAGTCCCGATCCCGGGTTCCGAGGTGAGTCCGTAACACGCCATTTTTCCAAACACACTTCATAGAATGGACTACTGCATTGCCTATTGCACACTAGGAACAGCCACTTTTGGAATCTGTACCCTACTGCCGTGGGATGGGTTCCACTATCAGCAACCCTTCAATACAACTGGACCCGTTCCCTCCCGATTCTATCACGTGGAATGAGCATCCCTAGGTACGTACATTCGAGAGGCAGACATCAGGTAAGCTAAACTGTATAACGGCGCTCGAAATATTTGAGAGGATTTTCATCTTCATCTTAGTAGCTGCAAATGTTGTGTCTGCTACTTTCATGACAGCAGCTTCCACATTCGCACAATGGAGCGATTATGCGTGCTGTGGTCGCGGAATCGGTGTTAGGCACGCATGGCTTTGAACTTTGGCGAATTGTGTGCTATAAATAGCCTGTATGGGGTCGTTCCAGTCGACGACTTCTATGTAAAGCAGTATATCGTGTCGCCTATATCCCAATAGCTGTATATATGTTGCGCAGCGGAGTCATGCCCGTAGAGGTCGACCGAGGTCATGACGCGGCTGCAACACGCTCGTCGCCCCTAACCTGTACCTGAAAAACCACTCATACGAATACCCACAGTTTCAGAGGAAAACATTTCATCCAGACTCTGCCAATTTGAGTGCATTCTCGGACGCCACGAAGGATTAGGAGCTGGAAGCGACATAACATTGTGGCGACCAGGCGACGGTGGGGCCATAGTGATAGTGGCTGCGTCTCCAATACCAAAACGGCCCCTCACGACCCTGCAGGACCCGACTCTTCATTCCATGCCCCACTGGCTAACGCGGATGGTGACCAGTTCCTGTCAAATGGCCGCTTCAGCCGAGCTAGATGCGATGATCTGATAAGATTAGATGTCATCGTGACCAGCAACACCGGCTAGCGCTCCGACTTAGCTGTCATGAGGGGCAGTTCGCGCGCAATTTGGGGTAAATGCTCTCCCAACAACCTCCACCTCATGATTCTGCACCCGCATTACGAAAGCCACATGTCTCCATCAAAACAGCCACGAGCAAAGATTCGGGCGCGATGAAGTTTCTTCTCATGCTCGTGGACAGTCGGGCCTCAGCACAATGGAGTTCCCACGCTGGCTGCTAGTGCAGCCAGCTAGAAGACGCCAGGAACGGCGCGAAGCTGGATCATGCAACCACACGCGCTTGCTCAACGAGGATGCTCTTCCTCGTACGGTTCCATCCACGAGGCGAGACCCTCAGGTTGGTCCCGCACGGAATTGAAGCTTCGGCGCACACTGCTCGTTTCGATGAGCCGGGAGCTACGACCGCCACTGACAACACGGGCCAAGACCTTGGCAATGCAGCGTTGCGGCACAGCCAAGACGAGCCAGCAATCAGCTCACGGCGAGATTGGATCTTATCTGATCATCTAGCACTTATCTGATCATCTAGCCGCGCCTAATGCTCTCTGGGCATACGAGATACCTGGACGGTGGGAGATGATCCCAAGCCACCGGGTGGGATACACATGGCAAATTTTTCAGACGCTGTAACTGCGCTGACATTCCCTGTCCGGTCTTCGGAGAGTGGGCCGAGGGATACTTAAGTATGGCAGCGCTGCCTGTGTTACGATCGTCGCTCACCTGCATCCCAATTTCATACCCTGCCTTGCCCGGCATTTCTCCGGCATCCTTGTTCAGCAATGTCGAACCTGGCTGCGACTGACGCGGTGCGACCTGTAGAGGGCTTTGGTCGTCCCTCGAGAGACATCGACATGGAGAAGAATGGTCATCAGGCGTTCAATGCCCACGAGACTGGCAGCGATGGAGAGACCAAGTCTGTCGAGTCAGAAAACTTCCAGAACGGTGTTCAGCGGGTGCGCGCAATCACAGAGATTTGGAGCACGCCGACCTTGATTACGATGCTGGTCTTGTATGTTTCAACATGATTCAAACCGCGAAACTCACAGACTGACCTGTCCGTGTAGCATTTACCTTATCGAATTCGTCGCTTTCCTGCAGAATGCCATTGACGCCGCGCTCAACCCCTTCATCACCTCGGCATTCGGTACTCACGGTCTTCTAAACGTTGGAAGTGTAATGGCAACTGCGCTCGGTGGCTGCCTTCCTCTCGTCATTGCCAAGGTCATCGATATATTTGGTCGCGTGGAGGGATTCTTCTTCATGCTGCTCATCGTCGTAGCCGGTATGGCCATGAAAGCTGCCTGCACCAACGTACAGACCTACATCGCCGGTCACGTCCTTTACTGGGCTGGCCATATCGGTGTGTTGTTCGTTACCGACATCATGGCCGCAGACTGCACCAGCCTGACGAACCGTATGATCATCTTTACCCTCAACGGAACTCCTCGTATCGCAAGCACTTTCGCCGGACCTGCGATCGCCGACTTGTTCTATTATCACAACAGCTGGCGCTGGGCTTTCGGCGCCTTCATTATCATCTTTGTCGGTTGCTGCGCTCCCGCGTTGGTGCTCATGATGTTCATGTACCGCAAGGCTAGGAAGGCTGGTCTCGTCAAGAACGTAAAGTCGGATCGTAACGTCCTGCAATCGCTACAGTACTACATCATACAGTTTGACAGTAAGCCACACACTCCTCTCAAAATTCCTCCGTATAGCTACTAACTGACGACAAAGTCATCGGCATCATCCTCATCATGTGCGCGTGGAGTCTCTTTGTTCTGCCTTTCAGTCTCGTCGCCTACGCGCCTCAGGGCTGGAAGACACCTTACATCATCGCCTGCATCGTCCTCGGAATCTGCCTCTTCCCCTGCTTCTACATCTGGGAAGCCAAGTTCGCGCCCGTTCAATTCCTACCTTGGAAGTACCTAAAGAACGGTACCATTGTCGGCTCTTGCCTGCTTTACTGCGTCATGTTCCTGTCTGTCTTCTGCTGGAACGGATACTTCTACTCCTACTTGCTCGTCGTACACAGGCAAAGCATTCCCCATGCTGGATACATTCTTAACGCTTTCTCGCTTACCTCGTCAACGTTCAGCCCACTCATCGCGTGGTGGATCCATAAGTCTGGTAACTTCAAGTGGACAGCCTACACTGGTGTACCCATCGTTCTCCTCGGTACCGCTCTCTTGATCCCATTCCGAAACCCTTCCACCAACCCCGGTGTTCTTGCCTTCACTCAAGTCCTCGTCGGTCTCGGTACGGCTTTCTTCGCCACCTGCGCCCAGCTCGCCGTCATGGTTCCCGTCACTCACCAAGAAATCGCCGTCGTCAACGCGGTTTGGGGTCTCTTTGGTAGCTTCGGTTCATCCATCGGATATGCCATCGCCGGTGGCATGTGGAACAACATTCTCCCTGGACAGATGCTCATGCGCCTGCCCGAGGCCAGCAAGCCCGACTACATGAAAATTTTCGGAAACATTACCCTACAGAGTTCGTTCCTTGATGGTACGCCGGAGCGCGATGCCGTTGTCGGTGCTTATGCCGATGTCCAACGTAAGATGGTCATCACTGGTGCGTGCTTTGTGCCGTTGTGCTTGGCTAGCATCTACATTTGGAAGAACATCAATGTTAAGAAGCTTGAGGAGGAGAACGGCAAGCAGACTAAGGGCAACGTCTTCTAAGCGGTACATCGTTTGTTGTATGATGTGCTCAGCGCAGTCTGGCGCAGGGAGCGTGCATCTATTGGCTAGCTCATTGCTCTATATACCCACATTGCCAAGGTGATGTCAGATATACTATCGTTTACAATTTTCACCCTTCCCTCGCAACATGCTTTCCTCTGCTGCTATATATGTGATAGGCGAGACCATTGTCCTGGATGATCCCAATCCATGCAATCGAATCGATCGAATTCACCGGGATCGAAGGCGGTATGATATATATCCTTAGCACCAGGCTGGAAATTCGGATCTTGACCCTCGAGATACGGCCAACGAACGTTCCACCAATCGCAAGGCATCTCACACCTACATATCGGAGGCCTACACGAGTCGTTAGTAAAGTAGACACCATTTTCCAGTACGTGGTACTCACAGTCTTTGCCACGGCGTAGACTATATCCGTCTGATCGTTTCATCGTTGGAGATTTGTCGTTTCCTTGAAGTACTAAGACCAAAGGAATACTCTGACATCATTCAATCCGTCTTTTGACATGACCAGAAAAGGTGACTCGGGGTATATGTCTGATGTCTGCCCACGCCAGTGTGAAGAACCAGTGGACGAAGACTTTCTGGCACGAGACAACTTTCGTACCCCTATTTCCTGCGATAAGAACCCAAGGGTCCAACGAACTCCAAGTATTGCCAGGACCAGCCCGTGTAGGCGGACGAGTAGTGAAGTAAAGATGCAGATGGAACAAGGTTGGTATCTCGCGCAGTTGAGCAATTGCAGGAGTAGTCTCGTCGTCCAACTCGACGAACCCGTGATGAAACTCCGATTTCAGTCCCAGAAACTGGAAGTAATCCGACATAGAGAGGTTGAGCTCGATACGACGCATCGCATGATACGGGACGAAAACATGGGGCCAAGTAGGGCAAATAGAGGGGGATTTATACCCGTTAAGCAACGCTGTTGTTCGCTCCCATGTGGCCTTTTTAACTTCACAGCAAATTTGCTGACAGGTGAGAGCAAGCGTGTTGGGATAAACTTGGTATTCGCTTTCGTCAACACTCACTTTCCCAAAGCGATGCATGTCTGTGAAGCGGCGCTTGGGGCGGGACAGTCTGAGATACTGGTTTCCGCTGGAGTCGCCCCTGCTCAGCGATGAACATATGTAGGGGCCGATGGCCTGATTGTATACGAGGTACCGAAGTTCCTCAGGAAGATCAAGAAATCGGAAAGCTCGGCCGTTGGACTTCCACTAGTCGGCCATTGTAAGAGGAGCGGGAACGAGCGACTCAAGGTCTTCGTCCATCCAAGTAAGAAGCGGTAAGCATCGGGGGTGTACATCAATCTCCAAAGCGAGTTCTGGACCGAGTATTGGAGCATTTGCGAACTCCGACTCATGGCGGACAGCCGTTATTCTGGAAGGGGCCTGCAAAGGGTAGTCTGTAAGGTCATACTTGCTGTATGAGGATATGTCTTGGTTTAACAGGTCCAAGCAACTGTCGACGTTAATCGTTCTTCTCCAGAACTCGAAGTCAGTGCGGTGCCGGTGGCGGATATTCGCTGCCATTGCCTACTTCAAGGACTCATTCTTGGAATTATCGCGTTCATCTTCCGGGTTTGAGGCAATCCCGCGGTGTCGAGTCAACCACTCTTGCAACGTGAGCCACTCGTCTTCTTTACTGGTCTTTGTGCGCGGTGTTTGCGCCGCGAGCAGTGTAGACTTCAACGACTGCCTACGTACACCGAGGAGTACATCCTCTACCCCAGGCTTGATGAGTCGTATAGGAGTCGATGATGACCTCGAAGTTGTTGAGCGTTCGGCTCGTAGTCCTACTGAATTCACCTTTAACCTCAGACTCTTTTGTTGCTGGTTCCTGATGTACGCCTCGATCTCGGTAATAGTGTCGGTCTAGATTCACGGTCAGCACATCTGCTTTTGCGCAAGTCAAGAATTAGCGTACGATTAGGAGGCGCATAAGTCTTCGTTCCTTCATCACAACGATCTGCGCGGGTCTGGATTGAAGCCGAGATTTAGAAGCCATTGCGACTTTGTTCGGTGTGTTCTACGGGTATCGGTGTAGTTGTTGAGAAGCTGATACCGAAGTTAAGGCAGATGGGGCCGTGCTCGGTATGCGAGTATACCAGTGGGGGTCAGTAGAGTGTCAGTTCTGGATATATCACGAGATAAAGACAGGCATGGGACCAGTGCGACCGTGCACAGGGCACCTAGGTAAGAAAAGGCTGGTAATGAGTCCAAATAGTGACGCGTTTAAACCCAGATACGCTGGTATTTCATTGTGTGGTTTTTGGACATCAAAAACGAGGCGGGGCTGAGTGCCTAAGTCTCAGTGTCGTTCAGTCCGCTGCTTGTTGGATGATAGCAAGCTGCCTCGACATTCCTGGGAAAACATCCTTCAATTACCTCTTTAATCTTCGGACTCAGTCTCGCTATCAGGCGCAGGAGAAAGCGATGAACCTGAGCCAAAAGAGAGCAGTGCAGATTCCTTCACTCTCGTCCACTGCGGAGTCTTACCATGAGCCATCTCCAATACTTCAAGCAAACCCAACAGCCTGTCCGAACTTTCCTGCAGCAGCTTCTTTCCTTGCTCTTCTTCCTCAGCGTTGCCTCTCTTGCCTTTACCCGTACCATACACACTACGTCGAGCTTGAATACCAGCCTCCATAGCCTTGCGAAGAGCTGGATTAGGGGCGAGAGCGTTATTTTTCATCATGTGCATGAACAACTGCTCGAGGATGAGGGAAATCTTGGTGTTTGCTGCAAAGCTCTGGGTTGTGCCCTTGAGTGGAAGAAGCGTCTTTTCGAAATCCTGTTGAGTAGGGTCTCGGAGAAAGAAGTTCGGGGGCTTGCTGGCTATCAGACCATGGAGAAGGTTGGCGTTGAAGGCGACTTGAATGTCATCGGGTAGCTTCATGGTAGACAAAAGTACCTGAAAGATCATTGTCGGGAGCTGACTGAACTCTTCCAAGATGTTGTCACAAAGGTCATATATCCTGGTGAAGAGGTCTGGTAGGTCTACGGCCACTTCGGCGAGCTGTCTGTTGTTAGTTGTCGTAAATTTGGAGCCAGAAGGTACCTACGAGTGCTATTAGACGGTGCCGCAGCTCGATCGCGTCCTGTCCCCCAAGGCGCTCTATGGCGTCGTGTACGTTTCTAATCCCTTTATCGCTGGTTTCCGAAAATGTCTCGTCGCCACTCTCATCCACGCCGTCTTCCGATGCGTCCTGCATGTCTTCATCGCTACCGTAGTCAGCCAACTCCCCAGTCTCGAAGTCAACTTCCCCCACTGGCTGGTTCTCGTTTCTTTTCCGTCTCGGCTCTGCTGTTTCCCTCTCCCAAACTTCCGGGTAGTCTTTTAGCGACTCGGGTGTCGCTGTTGCAAATACAGCTCTGATGATTCGGCGCCTCTTTGCACGATTCATTGACGTCTCGTCGCCGGTTATGTAGTGCCAGAGGAGACTCTGTTGTATGCTTGTCTCGTCGCTGGCTCCCTCCTGGTTGCTTTGTTTGGCGCAGACATCCCAATCGGCTTCTAGAAAGTCGAGCATGATACTCAGCCACAGTTTCCATCGATTCCAGCGTTTCTTATGCTTTATCGCGCAATTGAACGCCCACCCCACAGCATGCCAGAAGTCGTCTGCGCGATACCACAGGCTCTTCTCGTTGGCAGCCTCGCCAGCTATTCGCTTGATGTCGCTGCCCAGCTGGGGTGATAGACTTGCACTAGCCCTATAGCTCGGCGCGCTCCTCCTGTTGCGTTCTCTTGGGAACATGAAGGCTTTCCTTATCGCTGGGTATGCGGGATCGTCTAACGTCGTGTGCACGCATTGCAGATATCGCAGCGCGGCATTGGAGCCTTTGGCGGCGTCTCGCGATTGCGCTTTCGTGGTGAATCTAGGATCGACGACCATGGAAGAGGCGAATGCGATGTATGCCGGCGGTGCGAGAAAGCCTATGTATGGCTGCGCAGGTCTCGATATGCTGGTGCCCGCGGCGAGGAGGCTGTACAGGAAGTCATAGCCGCTGGCGTCTGGGGTCAGTGTAAGCTTGATATTGTGTGGCTAGTGGTGTCGCATACATTGACCGCCCTCGAGGTAGGCTTTGGCATGGTTGGTGAGCTCATACGACGCTTGCTTGGTTGGGCGGCGCTGTTTGCGTCGTGGTCGCGAGCTTACAGCTTCAAGCGCGGCCGATCGCGCATGTCCATGGGTATTTGCGAAGGATCTCGGCGTGTTGGAGCTTGAAGCTGGTGTTGCGAGTTTCGCCATGAACGTGATAGTATGTGCTGAGGTGCTAGTGTGGGGGAGTCGCTGTACGGTCAGAAGCGCCCGCGCCGAAGCGCGCTTTCACGTGGCAGGCGATGGTGTCACTAGCTGGCCTCACTAGCTGGCCTCAGCGTCCATCTGAAGCTGCGATAGACGTCAATTCAAACTCCACAACATACCTCAACAAATTAAGCAAAAACAGGCGCTTCAGGCTGCTACCATGGAATGGAATATAGCATCTAACAGGCATAAGGAGGAAACGCTGGCAAAAAAGAAAGTATCTGTTTCCGGTACCGGGAATCGAACCCGGCTCTCGTCGGAAGCTGACATGAATCATGAAAGCGACGGATGCTAGCCGATACACCATACCGGACTTTGATAAAACTCTAGGCAAAATAATCAAATATATTCCAATGCATGCCCGGCGATTTGTGCCTGCAAAGCAGTCACGAGGCACCAACGCCAGCGGGGCTATGTGCCCACTAACAAATATATCCACCTGAGCATGCGCTAGATACACTAGCAAGCTAATATTCTAGTGTCTTAGAGGTAGGTCTACTGACACTGTCGCAGGCTGGCATACAGCCAGTCATCATGCCAGAAGAGACAGTAGAATCATACAGTCCTTTAAGTAGAGTTCCGAATATGGCACATAGTAGGAGTAGTATGTTGCGCAGCCTTCTTTCGGCTGACTTTAAGCGATCATCATTTGAGGTGGCGTCCGCCGGAGGCTCGGTGATTGCAGGTTTCGTCAAGGGCTCGGCAAACTTCAGCGTTCCGCCCGCACTTGAGAACTACCCGTCACCACCTGTCCTCGACCAGAGATGACATACCTTTATACCACTAATCAACATCTTTCGCGTCGCCTTGCACATTCAAGGTTGGAAGTATATATGGCCTTAGAGACTATGCACTTACTTGACGTCCTTCATTACACTTGTTTGTAGTTCGCAAAAAGGTGAGCGAGCAGTGCCTTCAAGGTGGTCTGCTACGACCTACTTCGAAGACAGCACCTTAGCCAATCTTACGATACCGGACGCAATACTCTTGATAGTTTTGCGACTTAGCATGTCGTTCGAAGCGACTGCGGAAGGACCATGACCGAGCAGGTAGGCAGTTCGACAAGGATCGGGCGCGTACCTGCTGGCTTCAGTGTGCACGCAAGACTGAGGGAAGCCACTTCTTGCTCTGAGAAGATACGTCCCAACGCGCCTGCTTCACACAAGCATTGCGTCAAATGAACGACATGAGCGTGAGTGCGGTCGTGCTCAAGCTCCGTCCCTCGCATCTTCGTAGTACAGTCCACGGATAAATCTCCATTACATCGCCAGAGAATATCGACTACGAGCGACAAGAAGAACCTGGTCACACTGTCTTCCATTGGAAGCAAACAACAACATATCAATCAGCGCCCAAGACGAACGACCGCTTTTCAACGCAGCCCAGTATTCCAACACCCGCACCGATGTTCCAACCAACCACACTGCCTATCAGATCAAAACCCACCCCAAGATCCCTCCCACCGCTGACCCTCTCCACCCTCCCCCAATACTTCCCCTTACTCCCACCATGGGCCGCCCATGCATTCTAAGAAATCTACTGCGCAGTTCAAATCGTCAAGACCCTCCAACGCGCCACTAGAAACACGCCACGTCGACTCTCACCCGAAGCCTGCGCGTTGCTCAACATCGCGATCCTGCCTATGCAGGGCTACAAGTACGGCCACGACAAAGGACCAATGCTGGATTGTAGCGTGAGTATACGAGCGTCGTTTGACAGTGAGAAGAGTTATGAGCATAGGAGCGAGCAGGTTGTTCTGGTGAGGTTGAGGAGGGAGTGTGAGAGGTTGTGGGCGTGGAGGTGGGACTAAGGTGGTAGGATGGGAGGGGTCTTGAATTGGTCGTCCAGTATGGAGTATCGGCTAGCATCCGTAGCTTTCATGATGAACGCACTCCTGCGTTCGTTCGACATGGTATTGCGGTAGAAGGTGATAGATCAATCATGTATGAGGTGCTTGCTTCTTCTGGATGGTCGAGGTCAAGTGCACGTTCCTTCAAGGTCGTGCGGAAGGTGCCTGCGACGTCAAGGTCAAGCTTTACGATGGTCGTTCGTGAAGGTGAGCGTCAAGGTTCTGTTGTGAAGATATAGGGATCAATTTACCTTATCAGATCCGTGGGTACTCGAATAGTCCTGCAGCGAGCACAGTGTTGGCAGGAGTTACCCCTCTTACATCCCTGTCGCTTCCCGACTTCATGCCTCTTCCGGACAAGCCCGAGCGCGATGACTCCACGAACACGACCGACCGCTTGGTGCTGAGCTTTCCAGGTACATACTCGCTCGTCGTACAATAGTTCCAGGTGTCGAACAACAGATCTGTTGCAATAAAGCTGTCGCAATGGCGTCGTCGCAGCAGTGCCTCGACCATCTCATCCTCTTCGTCCCCGCCAACACAGCCACGCAACTACCCGAAGTTCCATCGTTCTTCTCGGACAACTTCACACTCACTCCAGGAGGCTTCCACGCGGATGGTGCGACATCAAACATCTTGATCCTTCTCGCGGACGGCTGCTATATTGAGCTCATTTCGTTCATCAATCCCTCCCTCGCGCCTGACCATTGGTGGGGCCCAGAAGCCAGCTTCGTAGGCTGGAAAGACTGGTGCTTGACCAACTCACTGTCGCTCGAAAAGAACTACAAAGCGGTGAAAGACACACATTCAGAGCCGATCAAAGGAGGGAGGAAGAGAGCCGATGGTGTCGATGTAGCTTGGGCGGTGACTTTTCCCAAGGGAGAGAAAGGTGGACAGAGTGTTAGGGGCAAGGTGCCATTCTTCTGCCACGATCTCACGCCTCGGAGTGTCCGCGTACCAATTGACAAGACAAAGACGACTCATCCATGTGGCGCGATAGGGATCAGCCGACTTACTATCGTCGTGCGCGACCAGGCCATGCTAGATGAAACTAGGAATATCTACGACGCCGTGATCGGTAGTGCTGGGGAGAAAGTTGATGCAGGATTTGAATTCAAGCTCGGGCGCGTGCATGAAGTGGAGACTCGTGACACCGGTGCGAAGGTTATACTGCGCTTGCCAAAGAACGAGGAGGATCAGGGACGCGTTGAAGAAAGGGGATTCTGGTACGGCGATGTGGTTCTCTTAACAAATGCGAAGTCCAGAAGGAGTGGACGCTCAGCGGAGAGGCTCGATAGTGGAGAAAGAGATGGCGGGGTTGGCGGGGTGTGGCTCGAGCATACCTGAGCGGATGGCGTTAGGTATAAGAGTGAGATGTTAGGGCACCGCGATTGAGGCTGAACTTGAATACGTCGTGTTTCGCATTTCTTGCTTGCGGAAATACATGTGCCGGATGGAAAAGGCACCCAGAAGACGATAATTGGTCTGGGTGGCGAGCTAGGTATAGCAAGGGATGCACCTGCAGGCCGGCGAGATTGAAACCACGCTTGCACACACACCCGTGGCGCTCCTGTGCTGCGTTACCACGAAACGCAGATCGATGTGATTATATCGCGCAAAAGCGCCATGGGCTTGTTCCTTGCCATGCAAGACTATACTCGCATTCGTAGTCGAAAAGATTTACCGATGTGTTAAGCTAGAGGCTGCATGTGCCTTAGCGACACTAGGCCGCATCTAGGCAGCCGAGGGACATGCCTAATCTGGCAGCTGCGCTGATTGGCGCGTGGTATCCGGTGGCATGAGATGACTTGATCCACAAAAGATCGGGATTTGTACCTGGGTATGGTGATGTGCGCGTCTTTGTTCAAGACGTGGCTCACTAACAAGGTGCAGCCTAGGAGATACACCATATGCTGTCCGGTCACGATAAGGTTATACAGCACAATGCATGGCTCGGGTCATTTGTGTTGGATGGGGCGTTGGATATGGCAAAAGAAAGTCGCTGGTACGCGGCGACGACACGCCACGTCGACGCAATCTTGGGTTTTCGCTTACGAGGTGCGAGATGTCTAGGGCGAGAGCAGTAATTCTATTCGGCGAAACTCGAATCGAAATTCTGCGGTGGGCGGAGCTAGCTCGGACGAATGATGGCGGGCACGTGTCCAAAGGTTTGCTTCTGTGCTAACGTGACGAAGTGAAGTGCCGGCAGGATCGCATTCGAAGCAAATACCATGTCAACCTGTCTGGTCTGGCATGGGAAATTACCGTGATGCAGTGTGCGAGTGGCCAGCGACTGCGGGATGCCGCTGAACGGCAGAGGGGACGACCGGCAGAGGGGGCCTAAGGGCTAGCGCCTGCGGATCTGGACCGACGTCTGCCCAGCTGGAGTCAACGTCGACGCCGTTCTGACGCTCTGCCCGAGCCCGTGGTTGAGGTATTCACGGCGACGGGGCGTGGCGGAACCTTCGTCTCGATACTCGCCCCGTGACGCCCCCTGCAATAGCGGCGCACGCAGCAGAACCAGGGCAAATGCGCGGGCACGATGAGTATTGGCCCTGCGGACTTGCGCACCGAAGCCAATCACTATGAGGGCACTCCCGCCAAGGCGCAGCGTTCATCCCCAATCTTTGATCCCCATGACGCAGGCGGTTATTTTCATAAACACAATGCGAGATGCGCTGACATGATTCTTGTTTCCTTACCACGCAGCGTGAGTTTTCGCGAGCGGCCCGATGCAAGACGACAGGCGACCTGGACCCCCTCCGGCTGGTCACCCCTCGGCTGGTCCCTACGGGTCGCAGTTCAAGGTCGCCATTCCACGCTTACCTTCCCGACGCGCCCCGCCACCCACCACGCCCAGGTCGCGCCAAAGGGACAGAGTCCAGAGGGCATGTCGCAACTGCCACAAGAGGAGTGCGTCGCCATGATCCATTGCAACCTCACGCAGTCTGATGACTATCTGACGATCATCTAACACACGCTAGAGATCAAGTGTAGCGGCGGCCTCCCCCGCTGCAACTACTGCGACAAGACCGACAAGACATGTGTATATGAGCGCCCTAGGAAAGACCGTCTGGCAACGTCAGTTGGATGACCTGACTCGAAGTTCTGATTTTGACCCCTCCAGTGCCAAAGACCGCAACCACGCCCTCGTCTCCGTCCTCAAAGACCTCAGTCTGCGCGTCAGTGACGATGACCGACGCCGAATTGAAGATGCCCTCCAGGATGTGAGTATAGGACCCGCCAGCCTGGATGCCACTGCTCAAACTAATACCGCCAAGTCAGATGACGAGGTCGGGTCGCCCGTCTCCATATCCTCTTCTTCCCGAGCATCCGCCCCTCAGCCATTCTCTCAGCACTCGCGCATGCACCCCTTTGCCTCGTCCTCTAGCCATGTGCCGCTCGGAGCAGAAACGTCGCCCACATCAGATCAGTCGCCCCTTCCTCGCCTGGACGGTATCGGCCCCGAAGAATCTGGCGATGAAGACTGTGGCGAGCTGCCCAATGTAGTCGAAGCAGGCTTCCTGGGCCAGATCTCCGAAGTACAATGGCTGCAGACTCTCAGAAGCCGAGTACAGGCTCTTGATACCGTTCTGCTTGGCCCACCTGACACCACTGCGCCACTCTCTCAGCCATCCTCGCCTACTTTCGCTGCCTCACCAACCTCCCTTGCCGCAAGCCCGCTCAAACACATCGCTCTCACCAACTACTATCTCGACGACGAAGGCATCAAGCTCACAGACTGCGGAAACCCCTTTGAATTACCCCCCGAACACATGGCAGCGCTGCTATTCCAGTGCTTCACCCAGACCATCCAAGGCTCATTTCCTATCCTTCCCCCAACCATTGAGCACCAGCTGCATCAGTACTACACCCTAGTTCGGAATGGGCAGGCTATACATTGTCCGGAGAAGTGGTTTGCGCTTGTCAACCTCGTTTTTGCCATAGGCGCCAAGTTTTCACATCTCATTCAGGCTGACTGGCGGGCCGACGAGCTGGATCACCTCGTCTACTTGTCCCGTGCTTTTCAATTACTTAGCATGAATGACACAATCGTCGTTCTGTCAACTCCGGATCTGCTCACAACGCAGGCAAGTGAGCTCTGCTGATTCTGTTTGACTATGCTAAACGCCTGCAGGCTGCTGGACTCTTTGCGATTTACTACATGACAGCCGGCCATGTCAATCGGTACGTAGAGCAGTGAAATTTGCTCGGTTTCACGCTACCCTATATTCCCTCGCCTCTTGCTTCAATCGATGTAGTCGCATGCTAATGTCACATCGCTAGGGCTTGGGTAATGGTAGGCATGGCGATGCGATCCGCTTTTTCGCTCGGACTTCACGTGCAACAAGATGACCAGTCGGTCTCTGCCACCCGGAGGCAAAGTATGATCTGCACCTGGTGGAGTTTACATGCCCTGGAGAGCATGCTGAGTTCGATCACGGGTCGGCCAAGCATTATACCCAACGAGGACATCACAACTCCATTTCCCAGTGTCGTGAATAGCGATCAGACCCAAAACGTACCTGTGCCCAGTCTCGACTTCCTCGATGCCGATACCCACCTAAATCTCCTGACCCAGCAAATCATCTCCAACCTCTACACACAACGCAGATCTGCGCCATCATGGGATTACCTCCAACAGATGACCATCTCTCTATGCTCAGACCTTGACAAATGGGCATTCGAATACATCCCCCAAGTTCATTCAGAAGAAGGGGTCTCAGCTCACATGCAACAACGCGACGTCTTCTTGCTTAAACTGCAATACTATCGACTGAAGATTCTGACGACTCGTCCCTCACTCCGCCGTATTGAACGCTGCTTTCAAGCCGGAACCGATGACTTCAATTCGCTCGACCAGTCTGTGGCAGAGTCGTGTGTACAAGCGGCACGAGATGTTGCCTCGCTCCTGGCAAACGAGCCTAATGTTAGGAGTTTATATGAAAAAGGGCCATGGTGGACAATTGTCCACAACAGTATGTTCACACCCTAATGTTGCATCTCACCTACTAATCAATCGGTCACAGTCGTGCAAGCACTCGCCGTTCTCATGATAGCCATATCCTGCCCCGATCACTTCCGCGACACACTACAAGCGTCCGTGTACAGCACACGTCAACTCGTCACTTCACTCCGCAGCATGTGCGACACAAACATGTTAGCTTCCCGCGCCTACCAGGTTATCTATTCGATAGTCAAAACCTCAAAACCATACGTGTGGGCTGATATAGAGGATGCCGTCCCAGATGAGGTCATCATGGTGCTACAACAGCCTGCACCAGCAAAGGTCGATCCGCAGTATTTGCCATGGCCGGAAAACGACCAGTCATCCGAGGCCCTTTTCCGTTATGAAATGGACAATTTCGGCAACTACCATTTCCACATGTTATGAGGATGGGGAATTGCCTTTTGCGACAAAACCAGTACAGCACCGACTGCACATAAAACAGTGTGGCCGGTGAGGGACCCAGGAGACTAGTGTGTTTCTACCAGCACCAAACATCCGATTCGATGCCAGCGGTCACTATATCAAAATCCGCTTTCACAGGGACTTGGACTAGGTTAAAATCGAGACCGAAAGTCGGACAAAGGACAAACTTTGTGCAACAGGGCCGGCGAAAAAGGGGATATCTAGATTCGGACGAAGTAGCCGGGCTGCATGTCTCGTTCGAACGAAGCCCAACACTCGTCGTTACCGCACCATAAACTACGCGTATCATATACCCAATACTGCCTCAGAAGGGGAAGCAAGATGGACGATGAGGACGAATGCTGTCTAGTATCATCCTTGCAGTTGTTGTGTTGTCGACCCGTATCCCATCGACGACTTCGTGGGACTAGGAAGAGGTCGACTACGCGAGTACATAGCATATCGTCCAGGGAACTATAGTAGCAGGATAGCAATAAAAAGCAGCATCGGTTCATAACCGCTGCATCTCTTCACAACACCAGCAGGCTGCACGCGATATTCAAGTCAGGTGATCCATGTGAAGGGTTTGTTCGTGGTAAAGAGGATATCACATTGCAGATCTATAGTTTCGTCTCCGTCCCCCTCAACGCCTCGATATCGACAACTTCCTTGACCGCCTCGGTAGTGAGGACATAGGGACTCTCGTCATCCACACAAACGCTGTCTTCGATCCTCATGCCGATGCCTCTCGCCCACTTGGGCCACCTCTCTTCATTAGGGACGTAAATGCCCGGCTCAACGGTAACACACATGCCCTTTTCAAACTTCCTACTTCGGCTTAGGCCAGGCGAGTCATGCACATCGAGACCAACGTAGTGCCCCACGTGATGTGGAAACAGCGTTTGGATGGCATCGGCATCCATTTCGAAGCCGAGGTCCTTTAGACCTGCGGCTAGCGAGTTGGAAGCCATGTGATGTAGTTTATCGAGCGTAAAGTTTGAATCAGTGCGGCAGAGCGAGATGCAAGATCTTTGCACGGCCAGCAAGAGCGTGTAGAGGTCGCGTTGCGCGGGGGTAAACTTGCCGGATACAGGCCATGTGCGTGTTATATCTGTGACGTAGCCACCGTACTGTGCGCCTGCGTCGACCAAGACGAGTTCTTTGGGGTTGAGAAGCATGTCGTTGGAGACGTAGTGGATGGTGTTTGCGTTGATGCCGCCAGCTACGACGGGGACGTAGGCAGGGCCGTCACAGTTGTCTTGCTTGAACCAGTAGTCGAGGAAGGAATCGAGGTCTTTCTCTGTTGTGAAGGATTGCCGCATTGCGTCTGTGATGGCGCGGCCCGAGTGCTGGCCTGCGCGGCGCATGTTTGTGATTTCGGCTTCGGATTTGATAAGGCGGAGTTCGTTGACGAGGGGGCGGAGGGGTCGGAGGCTTGCGGATGCGTCGCGGAAGACGTTGAATATGCCGCCTGTGCGTGAGGGCTCTGCGCCGGCGAGGTACCGTGATAGCAGGTTTTTGGATACGCGGGATTGGGGGAGATCGGTGTATATGGCTTGCGCACGCTTGACAATGTCGGGGAGCAGACGGGGTAGGTCGTCGATACTGCCGCTCACGTCGGCGTTGAAGACGTCTTCTGCAGCCTCAACGCCTGATCTTGGCCCTTCCCAGGCTTCCACCTTGGGATCCTTGGGCCGGACGTACAGGTGGAATGTGTGCTCCCCATCTTCGTGTTTCTCTATTATGGCCACTGCATCCTGCTCTCTAAATCCCGTCAGATAGAGGAAGTCTGGATCCTGGTGGAACTTGTAGAAGACGGCGCCGGACGCATATTTCAGGTCGTTTGCGGCGAGGATGGCGGTCGAGTTTGGGGGCAGTTCTCTGGCGAGGGCGACGCGGCGTTGGTGGTACTCTAATGCAGTGATACCGGGGGTGACTGCAATGCATGTCAGTAGAGGGTAAAACGTTGCTCGGGCGGTCATCACCTTCCCCGGCCTTCAGTAGGTGTGGATGCGTTTCATGGAGCGGTTGGCCAAATCGGAGTTCAGCGGCGGGCACAGCAGCGGCAGCATACGCCCTCGTGCCGCCTACTCTGGGCTGCACCCTCCCGACCCGTCTCGCAGCATCGCACCTGTATGGCACGCGTGCAGCAGGTCGCAGCCATCTTATCGCAAAAGTCATGGTCGTTGGCGGAGGTTGGCTCGGGCGAATTAAGCTTCGGCGGAAGAGGCATCGGTTTCCCGAGCTGGTGGGCGCTAGGCCGATGGTGGGGAAGCCTGACGTACCTTGCAGGTGCCACTACCGCCGCAGCTTCCCCCTCCCCGCAAACACCTCCAGGCCCCCATTTCTGCCTGTCGGACAAACAACGCACACATGACACGGCCGGACTCTTGTCTTCCTCCTCTTCGCATGCCCAGTCTGCGAAGAAGACCACCACCACCACCGTGACGCTGCCCACTATCATCCGCAGAATGGCCTCTTCGGTCGCCAGACCCAGCGTGGTTCCGCCCAAGGACCTCGAGAGCTTCCAGCAACACCTGAACAAGTCGACGCGTATTCTGGCGCTTCTCGGTGCGGGGCTATCAGCTTCCTCTGGACTACCCACTTTTCGAGGTGCTGGGGGCATGTGGAGGACGCATGACGCGACATCACTAGCAACTCCCCAGGCCTTTGAGCGAAATCCAGGACTCGTGTGGCAGTTCTACAGCTACCGACGGCACATGGCACTCAAAGCCAAGCCCAATCCTGCGCACTACGCCCTTGCCGAATTGGCGAGGAAGAAGGAGAACTTCATCACGCTGAGTCAGAACGTCGATGGTGAGTATCCACATAACATCCCTAGCAGTCGTATGGCTAACACTATCACTACCAGGCCTATCACCGCGCGCTCAACACCCCGCCGAACAACTCAAACTCCTGCACGGCTCTCTCTTCGACCTCAAGTGCTCAGACTTCTTCTGCAACTACTCGGAGCGGAATAACTACACCGACCCTATTGTGCCTGCACTCGCCATACCGACCGACGAGTCCGACCCAACTACGAACGCTGCTCTTGCCGCGCGCGAACTAGACATCTCAGATATCAACGTCGAGATTCCGGAACTCGACTACAAGCACCTCCCTCATTGCCCTGAATGCAAGAACGGTCTACTACGTCCGGGTGTGGTCTGGTTCGGTGAAACACTGCCTAAGAAGGTCATGGAGGATGTCGATGAATTCATTGAGGACGAACAGGATATCGATCTCATTATGGTCATTGGGACGAGTGCGAAGGTATATCCTGCAGCGGGTTATGTGGACCTTGCGCGCAACAAGGGAGCAAGGGTCGCCATTATCAACATGGACGCCAACGATGTTCCTGCAGGAGGGCTTTACGATGGGGATTGGTTCTTTCAGGGCGATGCGGCGCAGATTGTGCCCGAGTTGCTGAAGAGCGTTATCGGAGAGATTGATACTGAGAAGATGGGTGATGCTGCGGAAGCGGCTTGAGACTTGCCAGCGCCTTCTGAGGCGCTTGTTGCAAGTCGGTTATAGAAGTTAGAGAAGATGGTGGCCTGACTGCACTTGGTCCACTAATGGTTGAATTGTTCCATTGACAATCACGACGACCTGTGCTGCTTACGCAAGTATGAACTCATCTGCATCCGCCTCATCCCAAATCACTTCTTCCCCACGCATAGCGCTTTCAAAGTAGCACTGACCCATCAAGCGATAATAACCGCTTGTCTGACGACGTAAAACAAATGGCACCTGAGAGCCGTGCACGACACATATCAAATCACCCTCGCAAACAGATCGATGTGCAAGCCCAAGTCTCCAATCGCGTCCTACGATAATCTGTCGGCCCCAAGCTACGCGAGCATGATCGCGGAACCTAGTTGCTCGTTTGCCAAAATCGTCGACCTTCTTGGACCGACTCATTGCGGCTACATCGCGCTCTTTTGATGCTTCCTGAATCGCTAAGTACGTTGAGGCTAGCTCGTCTATATCAGAAGCTGGTAGACCCTCGCTGCAGTGCTCCCTGAGCTTTTGGTTTAGAGTGAAAGAACCGTCGGCTAAGATAACTTTCAACAGACGCTGCATTGATGGGGCAATCGTCTTCTCTAGCCACATCTGTCCCAGAAGTTTGTGTAGATGTAGCAAGTTGAGGTAAGAGAAAACGTCCCATCCATGGCGGTTTGCAAGCGGCTCTGCAAGGCCCTTAGTAAAAGCAAGCGTGTTCGCCACCTCACCAATAATCTTCCCCGCAACCACCAGATGCGGAGTGGCGAGGTCCTTCACCGCTCTAGCCTCATAGTGTCTCCCGGCAGAAGCATCAAAGTAAATCCAACTCCTCGGAAACACCAACGGTTCCGCCTCGGGCGTCCTCGACCAATCTGGCACCCAAGATGGCAAAATGGGCCACCGACTCGCATCTTCGTCTTTCCGGTGCAGCAGCCCGAACAAGTTCAAACTGCCTGTAGCCTCGATGATCGCTTTGGTAGCTACGCAAGGTACAGCATCCCAGTCCATGTCGTAGTCAGGCATGATGCTCACCCGCTGATCTCGCTGGAGCCCCAGGAAGGCGAAAATGATATCATGTCGGCTTGACGTCTGGGATCGAGGCGCAAAGATGGATAGGGAATGGTAGAAACATGTCGCTTCATTAGGGGTTGGGCCCCGCTGGTACCGCGCTTGCATCCGCAGTCGCAAGATCTCGTTCAGAACGATGTATCCGGGGAGTTGGCGTAGGTTGACGTAGTCCCTCTGTGTGAGATACCGTTCTGCGCTCCGGAAGTGGACTATGACGGCCCATAAATCTTCTATGGAGAAGTTGAAGGCGCCGAGGAAGCAGGATGCGAGGGTGGGTAGGGCTGCTTCTTGCACTACCCATGCTCGGGTAAACCATGGTAGGGCTAGGAGGTTTCGAACGAAGGACTGGGGGCCGGGTTGTTCCAGACGGGATGCTGATAAGGGTGTGTGTTTGGTCTTTTGCTGGATTTCTAAAGGTGGTGTGGGTCCTAGGTAGTATGACATGTAATTTGGATCGTTTATCTCTTGCCCGAGCCAGATCAACACCCGTTGACATTTGCTGTATATCTCGCCCATGAGAGCTACTTGCTGGTTGCGATCGGGGATACTTGTCTGATCAACACATAACTATGAATGTCACGATAGAGTCAGTTAGACACCTCCATCTGTTTCGTAGAGTATTGCCGTACCTGATCGACCCAAAGGTAGCCTGTTTGGCAATGAGGCCGAATCCGCGTGAGTGTAGTACGCAAAGTGGGAGTGATATTGACCAATGTTCCACAGTCAAGCTTGAAGACACACGATTTGTCTTGCTCGCCCCATACATAGGAAATTGTCTCATATGGAGGTGGTGCATCCAGTGACGCATCTACAAGAGTTGGTTCTGCTCCATACTGCGAAGCCTTTGGTAGTTTGAGAAGTCTGATGTGACGTTCCGCGAGAGATTTATATTCGTGGTGGGCCATTTCAGAACAAGGGTTCTGCGTCCTGGAATCATGTGTCTGAATTGGAACTCTTCTTTAACTTAATCACATGAACTGCTGGTTATTGACGGTGGGCTTTCCTAGAAAGAAATGCGTCTGACTCGTTATCGACGCGTTATCGGTACTGGTGAAAGCGACTACAGTTCAAAGCCATGGCAATGCGCTGTAGGCCAGCGTTGATCATGAATGACACTGTATGCCTGTAGTCTCGAGAGGGTTCTGTTGCAATGGTTGTATTTCCGAGCACCAATCTTGGCAAGTTGACGCGGAGATTTTGTGCCTGCCGCTCGGGCGGGGAAGACCCTGAGAGGGCCGCTAGCGTGGTTATACCGCGCGTGATTGGTTATCATCACCTGTCTTGCATATACTAGGCATAGTCCACGATTGACATACTGGTGTTGCTGAATCTTGGATCAATACACTCAGAGGTTGGTTTCATGGTCGGACTACCAATCATGAATACTATACATTGCTATGCCTCACACCATCATATCCTTGAGGTTCCCCGTGCCTTCCATGTACAGAATCTCTCATGTAGTCTTCCTCGATCCTTGTTTCTACCGTCTTTGTGATGCCTTCGGCGCCGAGTATGGATTCTTCACTTGTATTGCGAGTACCTCCTGCTGGGATCTTGCTAGTTCTTTTGGTTCCATTGAACGAGTACAGCTCCATATGTCCCCTTGAACGTGTTCGAGCGGTACGGCTCAGCATCTTTGAGTTCGGCCCACCAGTCCCGTAGGAAACTGGGTACTGGCCGGATGAGCCGTGGGATAAGGATGTGAATGCCTTAGTAAGAAGAGGTCGAAGCGCTGGGGCGGAAGCAGATATGATGGCTGCGTTGACTTCGATCTGAGAGAGTAAGAGGATCTGATGCATTGTTAGCATTTGCAAGAATAGTGACGATCTCCATTAGGTTGGTACTTACGAACACATCATCATACGGTGGATCATCAGTCACAGCGTACACGTAAAGAGCGTACAGTCGAACGATAGAGGCGATCACTGCTACGCCACCGACCATGAACACACCGAGGAGCGCAAATCGCTTGGTCCGTTGAAGTTTCAGCTGTCCAAAAGCGCGCATCGGCATAACCAAGATGAAGATATCGGTGAGGATGTTCACGGAAGCCATCGCAAAGTATGTCGTAGGCAGGTCATTACATCCTTTCGGGAAGGTGGGGGACCATGCTCTCCATGGCTCTTTTCCGCACTCGAAGGCCTGGATAAGTCAGAGGTAAGCTCAGGAAGGTATACGGCAGCTGAGCACATAACCTACGTTGACGAACGTGACCACGATGGTCTGAATAGTGACGAATGCGGCTACACCGTACACGGTATAGCGAAACTTGGTTTGGGTGAAGATTCGATGGTAGAGGGCCAAGATGCTGGCTTTGACGAAAAACAATGCCCATGGGTACACGAGCTGATACGCATACCTGAAGTCAAGTTAGTCTTTAGACTTCTTTATGTATGCTATGTGTCTTACCAGTGCTTGAATGTAGGAATCAAAATGATCGAAGCATCTAGATCGGCGTTGTGTCGACTTTGCCTTCTGTCAGCTACCATCTGTGATATAGACACTGACATACCTACCCAGTGCCCCAGCTAACAAGAAATCCATTTTGGATACCGAGAGAAACAGATACTAGCCACGCAGCTATCATGAATTTATCATCAAGTCCTACATGCCGTATGAAAGTGAGGCGACAATAAAGCCTAGGGAAAGATGAGCAGGTCTTCAATGAGGGTATAGATACGGATTTGACGGGTCTCACCTGGACGCTACCGCTATCGTCGCGAAGAAGAGTAGAATACCAGTCGTAATCACGAACATGGGCTGCCGCGAGCCATTATCCCAAGTGATACCGTAACCACCGTCTGCCATATTGTTGGTATGCATTCAAATCAGGATGATCTGGCATAACGGGCACGAACCATGGCTATGAATGATGCCAGCTTCTCCTCGAACATGCCCAGCCGTGTCGCAAATAGACATTGTCCAACAGCTTCATCTTGCAAATCCTTCTATTATTACATGCCGCACTTCCAAGAGGACTGTATGAACTCCTTCCTCAGCGGCTAATGTCTCCGAGCCACCATTGGATAGACAACACGGCTAGAGGACGACAGAGTACGAAGGATTCGCGGACTTCGGTGCGACTGTCCTGGTCGGGCCATGGTGGATGTTGGTGATGCGGCTCTTCGCTCCAAATAGTCTAGCTCCCCTCGGCTATCTGCGAGGCGGGACTGGACTCACCCGCGCTCTCCCCATTCCCCAGCCGAGAGCCGGTACCCAGGAGAGCAGCGCGAATGAAAGTGAAGGGCCTTGGGATGAAGGAACGCTCCGTTGTCGCCTAGACCAGAGCTATACAGCAGGTCCGTGCCGTGCCTTCTCTTCCCAGCATGTAATCCCGTTCGCCACCATTGACCCTATTTTTTCCCGTCAATCGCCAACAAGAACACCTGGGCATGCTGGAGTCCTTCTAATTAGTAAACACACGACTCATACGCCGATTGTGTCGCAGCGCGGAGGCGGGCCAAACCGACCCGTGGGTTCTCCCGTCCCTAGCCCACATGTCTCATCGCAACAAATGTGCTGCTTGAGCGAAGACACGCGTCCGAGGGAGAAAAAAATCGAAGGAGACAATACGCCTCCGAGCAGTTGCTCCCTTCCTACTCAAAGCGTCCCATGCTACCATCAATACGACAGGATCGAAAGGATGAGAGAAGAAAACACGCATCCATCTTAGCTATCTCGGCAACCACCTCTTGGCAATGCAAGGTAAATCCTATAGGAATCTCCAGACCGGCCCACCGGCCACAATCATCCGAAATTGTTGTATCCTTCAATGCTTAGGCAAACATAGAACGTGCGTTTCCGCTTCGTACTGGTCTAGTCATACCACCATATCTAGCTAGTAGACCGTGGGCGCGCATGGGTGAACTCAAAGCAAGAACGTCTATACTCGCCTCCCACATAGAGAGCCTCCGAACCAATTGGCTCCGCTTACGCGCCACATGGGAGGAATACGAGCCGTCCAAGCCCTCGGTAGCTTACATTTGACGGAGCATCCACACTAGACACGCTACATCCTTCGCTCGGGATATTTTCCTTAGGTCCAACAGACGTTTGAAAGTCAATTTGCGATAAGGGAACCTCATGCAAGTAAGAGATTGAACAGTTTTGGCCTACAAGGGCATACAACAAGGTATTTGGACAACATGATGGCTATGCAGATCTCTGTGCCGCACACTAACGCATGTAACAATTTGATTAGCAGCTACGCATTCAACTTTTCCTTGCATGCGGCGCGGCTGCATGTCTCCTGAATCGCCATGCATACAGGAATTTTCCAGGCCCCGGACATCGCTCCAAATCCCACGGTGTAGGGTCCAACGTCCCGTTTCTATTCCCAATGCTCACGTCCGTTCGCCACTCATTGCCCTTTGCTCTAATTTTGATAGCGTTCATGTCGTTCGATGGGTCCTGCACGGGTAGAATGCGCCTGATAAGGCCTACAATGAGCCGTACATAAAGCTTGACGCTCACCATCTTTACAAGTCTCCAGGGACCTCAAGACTCCGCCTTCGAACAATCTGAAACACATATCTGCGCATTTCAACTTCAACCGCAAATATGGTCAAGATCAACGTCCTCATCTCTTCGCTCTGTCTGGCTTCGTCGGCAGTAGCAGCGGCTCTTCCTGCACCTGCAGCCAAGACATGCAAGAACCCCATCAAGCGCTACGAATGGTAGGTCCAACACATCAGAAACACCTCTGAAACTCTACTGACCAACTTTTTTTTAGGAAACAACTCTCAATCCCGCAGAAGAAGGCATACATCGATGCAGTACTTTGCCTAGCGTCAAAGCCCGCCATCTCCGGCATCGAAGGCGCCATCAACCGTTTCGACGACTTCCAAGCCGTCCACAGTAGCCAAACCCCCGACATCCACTGGGTCGGCCACTTCACACTCTGGCACCGCTACTTCGTCGCAACCTACGAGAAGGCTCTACGGGAAGAATGCGGCTACACCGGCGGCCAACCCTACTGGGACTGGTCTGCGGACGCGGAGCCCCAAAACCCCACATCAACACGCATCTTCGACTCTGAGATCTGGCAGCCAGACACCGGTTTCGGTGGCAATGGTGTCAAGGTCGACCCCACACCCGAGACAAACCCCTTTGGTGTCGAGGGCGGAACAGGTGGCGGATGCGTTACGAATGGTCCTTTCACACCCGACAAGTTCATGGTCAACTTCCCGGAACCTCACTGCCTGAAGCGCGATTTCGTCCCTACCCTTATCAACGTGTGGGCCGACCAAAAGCTCGTCGACAAGGTCATGGCTTCGAAGGACTACACAGGCTTTGCCCGTGCGGTCGAGGGCGAAGCTACCTTCGCCGTGCCCAATATCCACGGCAGTGGCCACTTCGGTGTTGGCGGTGCTTTGGGACAGGCTGGTGACGCGAACAACAGCCCGGGTGAACCAGTATTCTACCTCCACCACGGCAACATCGACCACATCTTCTCGATGTGGCAGCAGAAGGATCTGAAGAACCGCCTTCACCAGGTTGGTGGTCCGATCATTCCTTTCGACTACAGTGGCAAGAACGTTACTCTTGACTTTGAGGTTGGTCTGGGCAAGCTGGCGCCGACTGTTAAGCTGAGGGATCTTTTGGACACTCAGGGTAAATTGCTTTGCTACTCTTACTAGAAACAGTAGCTGGGTTGAACACTTCATGTGTATAATTACTAAATAATACATCATCTAAACATGTTTCTGTTTCTATTTGGTCGTCTTTATGGACACCAACAAACTTGCACTCAGTTACTGCCTGTGGAAAGATAAGGAAGCCCGAGTAATGAACGGCAGAATGTGGAAGGCTTTGGCGGATAAATATTCGATTTCCTAATAGTAGCATTTCGTTTCTACCTACATACAAAGTCCTACCTCAGCGTCTGAGAGGACTACGGAAGCCCATACTGCCAAACTGACTACCTCCCTTCTTCGGTGTCGTCATAGGATCCGGTACATCCCCGCCGTAGCTACCACTCACAGCCCTATGTCCCTGCCCACCATTCCCAACAGCCTTTCCCCCACTACCAGGCGCCTTGAACCCCACCAAACTGCCCTTAGCATATACGTCATTCAACATCTGTTCTAGCACGCCCGCATCATCAAACTCCTGCCACTTTCTCCAAAGCTTCAGAGCTGTCGTCGCGTCCTCGATCGAATCGTGTGTATCCTCTTGGATGCTCTCTTTGAGTACACACCAAGCCAAGAACTTCAGATTCAGTTTCCGCTTGAAGTCTGGTTTGAACCATAGGTTACTTGTATCGACGACTTGGTTCTTGGGAACGTGGATGTTGATGGTGCGGAAGTCGTTGGCAAGTGAATGGCCGACGAATACGCATCCCAGATTCAGTAGCAACCATAGCTTCTTGTAGGCGTGTTTCAAGGATACGGGCGCATGTGGAGAGGTTTCGCGGCTGAGGTCACCTGGAGATATACCAGACCATTCGGTGAGATAGTCGACAACTTGTTCGGTCACAGCGATGTAGTCGTCGATGAAGGGAAGGCCTGCCTGCTCTCCTTCGCCGCGACATACAGAGACACGAGCAAGGCCCTTGCGATCCGGACGAATAGTTTGGCGGGTGCCATCGGCCTTCATCTCGATCTCCTCAGCTTGTAGGCGGATGAACTCGGCGTCGATGGCAACTGGGTAGCCAGGGCGTGGCTCCTCTGAGGAGTGTTGAAGCAGCTTGAATTTCGCCTCGGGAGGCGTTGGGTTGGACGACCACCACCTGTATAGAATGGAAGTGTCGAGGTTTTGTTTCCACGAATCGTCGATCTTGTTACGGGCAGACTTCAGCTGGAAGGTCAGGACAGACGGAAGCTTCCAGCTAGTGTCGAAACGCAGTGCCTCCTCTTTAGGTATTGGCCGCACCAAGAAGTCGTTGAACAGGTGCCATCTATCCTCCAAGTCCTCTTCCCGTGAAGAAGGTGCAGTATTGATGGTCGCTACCAGATGAGGTTTCTGACGCTCGCCACTGTTTATGTCCGCGACGACCCCGACAAGTTCATACACCATGATCTGATGTACTCCGCGTTGCAAATGTAGCTTCAGGTCTTGGCCTTCAAAACAGTAGAACTGACCTTGATCTACTATGATCCCGATCTCTTGCGGAAGCCAATTGGGTGTTGACCACAACAGCTTAGCTTCATGGCTTTGTATGGCAGCGTTGAGCATCAACACTCCCGGCACGGACTGTATCGTCTTGCGCTGCACCATCTGCTGATAACGGTTGCACTTCGTGCACCAACCTCGAGTCTGATCTTGTCGTTCGACGCTCGCTTTCAAGATTTGTGAAAAGGTCGGACGTGCGATTCTTGTGTTCTTCATCACATGCTTGGCGGGGTAAACTAGCTCATTGACGAAGTTCTTGCCTCCACGAATAGTTTCGTTGTTGCACTGTGCACATCTCATGCTTGCTTTTGCTTGGGTCTCTAGCACTTGGTCCATGGCTGAAGGCCCAGTGTGACCTGGAAGCATTTGTCGAAATTCCTCGGAGACCTTGTCGAGCAGAAAGCGATTGAGGTTTTGGATCATGGTTGTAAGCGCAACATTGGGGGCAAACTCCTCGAGCAGATTCAGTGAGACCGCATTCGAAAGGCCACTAAAGGTCTTCAGGAAGTTGGATGCTTGACAGTTGAGCCCAGCCGCTTTTTCAAGCATATCGATAAGGAATCCCAGTTCGCAAAGAAGACAAGACTCAAAGAGGCACGGCGAAGCAGTGTGCTGCAGAGCTAGATTCCGTAACAGCGGCGTGAAGCGGAAGAGTTGCAAAAGGGAGTTAGCGTAAGAGTTGGTGATGTGAGTCTCTAGGCCAGAGTAGGGTGTCTGGTTGTAGTATCTGATACCGTGTCAGCGCAAGCGCAAATAATATTGTTTAGAAGACATACGCAAAGTCGAAATCGTCAACACCGAATTTGCTATATTTGATCTCCACGTTTCCATACATGGCAGGGACATCTTTGCGCGTAACATCGTCGAGGTGCAAGTCGGTCAAAGTCTCCATAGTCTCTGATAGCCTGGCATCTGGCTCGGTGAAGGACTGTGATGCCCGAGCTTTCTCACTCAGAAATTTGGGGGCAGATAGGGATTCGCTAACTCTATCCACCTGGCGTGTTGCTTCAGCTTGGTTTCTGAGCTTCGTTTTAGGATTCTTAGCGAAGAAACCAATCTCAGTGCGCGTCATGTTGTTTAGTATCATACTATCAATCTTAGGTGGAGGGGCGCCGACTTCGAAAACTAGATGACTAGGCCAGCTCGATAGCAGCTGTTCCTTGTAATACGGCATACCAACAGTACTTAGGGGCCTGGAAAAGGTAAGCAACATGTACAACTTGGCAATCGGCAGGACCTACGTGTCAGGGCTCCAGTCCATCTGTGGCGGCGGTGGGACATTGTGATCTGCAGTCTCTGTTGGGTTGCTGTATTCTGGGAAGTGCACCTTGGTCGGAGAACCCCACAGATGTATGTGCGAGTTGGAGTCTGCTAGTGCAATAGCCTCGCCGGAAGGTGCCATCTCAAAGCCAGTGAGGAACGAATCATAAAAGTTCAGCTGCCGGAGATTGGCCGAGTCTGGGTTCATAAGATCGATAACCTGCATCTGGCCGTTTTGAGAGGCAATGAAAGCTGTAGTGGACATACGAGGATGCATGCGCACATAGGCTGCACCTGTGTGGAACGGGATAGGAGGAAGCTGCTTAAGCGTCTTCAAAGAGAAGACATTGGTGAATGGGTCCAGCATGTATGCATATTGCTGCCGCGGAGACCATCCGCATGTTGCGAGAAAGTCGCCCTTTGCGTCCATGTCGCTGATACTACCAGTATGACCTTCGAAAACCTTGATGACGGAAAGCGAGTTTGAGTCCAAGATGTGGATGCCACCGTTTTTCGTAGCGGCGCAAAGGTACTGTCCGGCGCGTTTCATGATTGTGTACTGAGATTCGGCCGGGAGCTTCTATTCGTTAGCTCGGAGTAGTTGATTAAGGCACACGACATACCGTATGTGTGATGACGCCCTTCTCCACGTCTACTTTGAACATTTGCGCCTGACATCCTGCGACGAGGATCTCGCGCGTGCCTTTGGAGGTGAAGTTCATGCATGTCATATCCTTGAACTCGGCGCTCCTATACGCTGATGGTCAGCCGCTGCCCTTGTGCGCTCCTTCCCCTCTCGTGGCCAACATACGTCAGATGCCATTGTGTGAGTCCGCGGCGGTGGGAGTAATGGACGCTTTGTTTAGAGATGGAGAGGATGCCCTTCTCGGTGAAGAGAAACTGCTTGACAGGGCCGTCGGGAGGCGCATGTCCGCGGTACGAAGTGTAGCGTTCGAGGTGAGGGCCGTAGAAGGACGTGACGCGCCCCTGCGAAGATGTCAGTCTCACGGCACCTGGCACGGACCGCGTGTGAACGTACTCACATGATTGTTTCCTGTCCATAGCAGTTCTTGTGTTGTGTCGAAAGCGAATGTCGATATGGGTACAGCGGGTAGGTGTGGTCCTGGGGGCGGCAATTGAGCGATGGCTAGCTGCGCAGAGGTCAGCACGGCAGGCGTCGTTGGTATGCCGTCGGATCCCTACCTCGTCCCAGTCCGCCTCCATACTGAAGTCGCGTGTTGCAATCCAGTAGCTCTACGGAGCAGTCCCGACATGCCTTGCGCTGTGTGGTTGACGGACGCGTCGCGGTAGTTGGAGCACTGAGGCGTGGGGTGAGGTCGGAGCTAGAAGACGCGAGGATGTGTTCTGGTGGGACAGCGGGGCATCCGGGAACAAAGCCGCGACCACCGCCTTGGAAGGTGCTCGGCAACTCAACGTCCTTCGCGTAGAACACGAGTCTACACTTGTTGTTCATGAACATGGCACGGCATGGCGACAAGAAAAATCGAATTTGTATGTTTGATTCCTACGACAATCCCCAAACAATACTTATCTAACCGACTACGTAAAAGACCTGGCCGCAGATGATGATACGTCCAAAAGCAGTGGCTAATGTACGCACGTATAAAAGGAGAAAGTAAAAGTGTATGTATCTTACCTGACAATGTAACTGGTCCTAGCCATACGTGATGCGTGACCAGTGATGTCAGATGAAGTGGGTATCGAACGCCTATCGAGTCGTCGTGCTTAGTGAGTTGGCTCAACAGACCAGAGTGTGTACCGAAGAGTCATACCGAAAGATGCAGATGTCGTGGACTTCGTGTGGGCTTAATCGAGTAGTAGTGAGAAGGTGGGAAGAGTGCGAACTCCTGCATCAGGTTAGCCGCATCCTTTTATACAAAGCCAAGGCTTCGCTTCTCGATCAGCACCGGATCACTCCATGTAGCTGAGCGCGTGTGTCTAGGTCTGAAGTTGGCCCAAGGGCAACGTAAGCAAGGGATTCAGAGTATCAAATGTTTTCGATCACACTTGTACGTACCACGAGGTATTCGCCGACCTCCCCTTGGATGGTCTAGAAGCGTTTGCGGTCGCCAGAGTAATCCTCGTCCTGGTCCGCGTCGGCCTTGTGGTCGTAACGCTGACGCTTGTGGGTTTCGGTCATGCCCTTGCCCGAGCCTGTGAAGCCGACTGTGAGGCGTTAGCGATGAGACACAACGAAAGATTGCTGGATTTACTCACCTCGACTGCCTGCCTCCGTGCTGGTACGGAACATGGACTCCTTCTTGACAACACCCTTCTTCTTGCCCTTGTTCTGGAAGTCGGCCCAGTTCGACTGCCTCTTCTTGAGGATGCCCTTGTTGACAATGCGACTCGCCTTCCTCTCCTCTCCGTCCTGAGCTACCCCTCCATTCTTGGTAGCCTGCGCATTCGGGTTCATGCTAGCAGCTCCGGAGATGACGTGGGCACTCGAGACAACTGGCGCAGACGGGGTTGCGGCAAAGGTGGGCTCCGCCTCGCGCTTGCGCTTGTTTGGAAGAGGACGTACGGCGGAGCCATCGACGGTCAAGGTATCGTCGTACTCGATGAAGCGAACAAGATACTTGGGGGCTGAGGCGGCGCCGAGTTTACTCTGGATCTTGGCCTTGTACCAGGACCTGTCAGTCCACTGCGCCTCGCAGATGTCGCCAATGTTCAATACGACAGCCTTCTCGGGCTCTTGCTTCTCCATGGCCTTGCGCAGAACTGGGTGCTTCTCAATATCGAACTTAGGACCGGCAGGTTCAGCGACGTCCTCGGGGAGCTGGGCCTCGAGAGCGGCGAGTTCCGATCGCAGGACTTCAAGTTTGGCGTCGTGCTTGGCGATGTTGGACAACATCTCTGTGCGCATAGCTGCTGTCTCTTCAGTCTCTCCGACCGTGGCAATCAAAGCCTCCATCTCCGGAAGCTATATAACGTCAGTCGGGTCAATGCGATAACTCCGTAGTGCGCGGCTTACCTGGTCTGCCCATTCTGCGCGTCCCTGCTCTTCTGTGGAGATTGCCTGCCTCTTGGCATTGACGGCGTTCTTGATCTGCTTGGTAGTGTCCGCCATGTTGCAATCGCTGGTAGACTCCTGTGGTTGCGATGTTGTGGTGGGGTTGGATTGTTCACGGTCGCGTACAAGTGAGGAAGTCGCGACGAGCAGTGACGGTCGGCAGGCAGCCGCTGGCCTTGGCGCCGCCCCACAGAGCCTAGACCCTTTTTTTCTCCGCGCTTCAGCCCTATAAGTGAGACAAGCGTGCGTGAATGTCGAATGGAACTGGGACCGTCACCACCGTCACCCAAACTCACTGCTCACGTCACCTTAACGTCTGCAGATGCAGCCGTCACTTCTGCATTTGACGGTCTTTACCGCATCTTGGTACTTGGCACCCGTCCGCGTTGCCTCACCGACGTTCGTGACAGATAGCATCTATTGCCAACTTCAGTCGCGCCGCATGGATCACACTTGTACGCAGCGAGATGATTAGTATTCTTCCTTTTAGAAAACTCGCCGTCTTCGGAAGTAGACTGCGAGGGGCGTACTGGCACCACTTATTCAGCATGACGCATGACGCCAATGATTTCAGTAGAAGCAAAAACCCCAGCTCTATTATAACCAGCCAGTCGTCTTCCAGCGCTCGAGAATCTGTTGAAGACTCAATCTGCTGTCTTACCAGGAACCGGACGCGATGATCTGCGCCCGGTGTGGTAGTCTTCGATGGCGTTCTCCCTACCCCACCAAGCTTTGTGCTTATCAATCAGACAAGGAAGCGCATGCTGAGCCTGCCGTCTGCTGCGCCCTTCTCTGACGCCGTGCTCCTGCGAGAACAGTCACACTCTCTGATTCAACCTATCACTGACGCTGATCATCCGTTCACCTGCTGTCGGTCGCTCTTTGACAGGCTTAACGGTGTCGCTCCGAAAAGTCGCCCGAACCAACCAGCTAGGGTACCCAGTGCCGCATCAGACCTGGCTTCAGGCTGTGAGGCTGCGAATTGACTTCTTGCACCACTGCTCCTTCACCATCTGACCACCTTTCGCTCAAACTGCCCGTTTCTTGACAACGACTTCGCATACCCCTCTGCAGTCGTCGTCGAGTGCGCTACACTCATAGAGCGCTCTGGCCTCTGCACAAGCCCTCCCATACCGGCGAAACCTTCGTCCGCTTACTGGCCCGCCTCCGCCCGCTGAACGAGCTACTCAAATCAACCCCAAACATCTTGCGTCATTCATACCACCTCTCAGAACCCCAAGGCGCCCGCTCCTCCACAATTTGCGGTGTCCGGGTGGCGAAAACGGTTATCGCACGTGGTTGACCGATAGCCAGCCCCTCCGAACTTCCGCTACGCTGCGCAGCTGCGACAAGCAACCCGCAAGCTCTCCTCGGAGCTACTCACAACACTGCCCACCCTCTACCTCGCGATTCTAGTTACAATGGCTGGAACTACCAACGAATTCCAGAATGGTGCGCCCTTCTACCTGGATGCGACGCAGCAGGATCTCCTCCTTGCGGCTCTGGCCTCGAACAACCAGAACCCCAATGATCTCTTCTCCGCTGGCCTTGACAGCGGCTCCAATAACAAGCAGTCTATGAACAATTCCCAATTCCAGTATCCTCTTGACAGCCTCGATCCCGCATACTTCACGTCGCCTCAACAACAAACACCCGCGAACGGCTTCAGCGGCGGAAGTATGGAAGAGAGTCCATTTGTCGACTACCTGGATGGCGACAATGGCTTCGATTTCGACAACGCAGACGGCGACATGATTGGCTCACTACCTGGAGACACTCCCGGCGATTCGAGCGAAAAGCGGAAGAGTCCGGATGACGACGACGGTGACGATGATGAGGGCGGCGGCAAGCGCAGGGAAGGTGAAGACAAGCAAGCCAAGAAGCCCGGCCGCAAACCATTGACTTCTGAGCCCACGACTGTAGGTTCAATGGAGCATACTTACGTTGGCTCAACTGACAGCAGGAATAGAAGCGGAAAGCCCAGAATCGCGCGGCCCAACGAGCTTTCCGAGAACGCAAAGAGAAGCACCTGAAGGACCTCGAGACCAAAGTACAAGAACTTGAGAAGGCGTCCGATGCCACGAACCACGAGAACGGTCTCTTACGGGCACAAGTGCAACGGTTGCAAACGGAACTTCGCGAATACCGAAAACGACTCTCGCTCAACAGCAGCGGAGTGTCTCGTACTCCCGCTCTTGCTGGAGGCTTCAGCTCTATGCTGAACAACAATAGCAACAACAACAACAACAACTTCTCCTTCGAGTTCCCGCGTTTCGGCGGACTTCCTGGCGCTCAGCTACTGGACAACGGTCCTTTAGCAAAGAACAAAAATGCGTCGGTTTCTTCAAATGCGTCTGGTCGCCAAAACAGCACCGGGCGCGCCCTCAGCCCGACCAGCAGGGCCAACGGCTCGCTCACAGATTCCCCTGGTGCCATAGGTCCAGGTAGTGCGCAGCGCTCTGGCAGTCTCAACGGCTTTTTCGGGTTCGACAACAACAACAACAACAACAACAACAACAACAAAACGAACAACGAACCCTCCCGCAGTAACACGGAGAACTCCACTCGTTCGCAATCTCGTGTCTTCCAGTTCAACAGTGGCTCGTCAAGCCATTCAGACTCACCATCCAACTCGTCCACATCGCCTACCAACCAAGACTCCTCATGCGGGACATCACCAGAGCCAAGTCATACCTCGCCCAATCAGCAGTTAGACACGATCAAGGACGGTTATGTGTGTCATGGAAACTCCGAAGGTGAGGTTCTCTTCTGCGAAAAGCTCAACATGGCCTGCGGCAACCCTCGTAATCCCATGCCTCGTGCGATGTCCCAATCTGACGACAAACCTTCTCCTGCAGTCTTAGCCGCCAAATCACCCACCCCCGCCGTCAACGGCATCGATTATTTTGCGAACCAAAACGGCGGCCAATTCGACCCGACACTCTTTGGAGAGTACCGCGATACCCAGAATGCGATCGTAGGCGACGGCGACTTCACTGGTGGCTTCTTTAATGATGCTTTCCTCAACACTGGCTACGGTAGCCCCTTCCACTTCGGTGACACACCTGCTGTGCAGAAAACGAATCCTCTTGAAGAAATTGAGCGCATACAAGACGGCGAGGATGAGGTAGTACCTGGCGAAGATGTCAACTCGCTCCTCAATTGCCACAAGATTTGGTTAGTACGACCCTGCAAACCAATGAGAATTGATACGCTGACACTGCACAGGGACAAACTTTCAAGTCGCCCAGACTTCAAGGACGGCACGATCGACATCGACAATCTCTGCTCAGAGCTCCGTGCCAAAGCTCGTTGTTCGGAGAGCGGAGTCGTCGTTGATCACAAGGACGTTGAGGCAGCCCTCAAGCGTCTACCCAAAGACAAACTTCTCGGATAATTCTGGCGCACACCTGCATAGGATGACGGTCAAGGCGTACATGTTTGGCTTATCTGGGTCTACTTCTTTTCTCATGTTGGCATGGCCGGTCACTCGTTGAACATGTCCACGCACATTTAGCAAGCCTTGAAACGATATCACGATACTTGGAGGGATAGGCATATCGGCGTTCGAAATGGCGAAACGACGACTATGGCCAACCGGTGTGGCATACACCGGTCTTTTGCAAGTCATGGGGTCGATCATTGGATGGTGCTACGGTAACGAACCCAACTTCCTTCATAGTCCTGTATTCAATGAAGTACTCTTTTTGACATCCCAATTGGTTGGCTTTCCCTGTGTATGTGCAATAACGGCAAGTCAGATGGTACAACTACGCCGTACAGATGCATAACTCCCATAGATCTTGTAGGCTGCCACCTTGGCGTGACATCGACCGCTCTTCAAATACAGCTTTGTTGGTGCTGCGCAGACATCGATCCTTCATCCTCGCCGCCATCGCAACCGCACCAATGATTACATGTATCATCGGGCCTCTATACCCCGGAAAAGTTGCCGACATGGGCTTGACTCAAGACCTCGAAGAGCTTATCGAGAACAACGACGCCGATGGCCTGGAAGCCAAATTCACCAAGCAAGGACGCCCTCGAAAGGGAACAAGAGCCATTACATCGAAGGACAAAGATCATTGCCTTGATGTGGCCATGCCACATGCAAATTTCGACGTCCTCGAAGTATTGTTTAGACACGAGGCTAACTTGACGCGTCGTTCCTTTGATGCTGCGTTGGAGAGGGGAAACGAGGAGATGAGCTTACTGGATCTGATGCTAAAATGGGGATGGAAAGTTGGTGGTAAAGGACTTTGGTATGGGGAAAGCGTGGCTGGGTATGCGTACTCCCTCTCTCCTATGAGTGTAGAGGTTATTAGACACGATGTGGCGGGTTTAACCAAGAACTGATGGCTGACGTACAGCAAAGGGCAGCGATACATCACGAGAACACTCTACGCTGGGTACTAGAATATGGCGCAGAGCTGAATGTCGTTTCAAATCCTCGACTGGTAGGCTCATGCGCTGACCTCGCTACACCGTTACAGAAGGCGGCTTCGCGTGGCTTGGTAAAGGCCATGTATATTTTGCTTGAGTTTGGCGCCAGACCGGATGCGTCGGCCATCTTCTTCGCTATCCGCTCGCAAGCTACCGAATCGTTGAGGTTCCTGCTTGCCAAGGGTGTTGATGCGAATATTGTGTCATGGAAATGGGGTACACCGCTAAAGTACGCTGTTCGTTGGCATAATTCAGAGGCGGTGGAGGTTTTGCTCGACTGTGGTGCGGATCCCGAGGTGGTTCGCTCTGGTTCAACGGCTGCGGACGACGCTAGGGAGCGTGGGTATGTGGAGTTGGCGGAGATGTTGGAAGCGAGGATGAAGAGGAAGAGTAGGAGGATCAGGGGGCTTAGACCAGCGTGAATTATTGACTCCTTCGTGTGTGGAAATTTTGTGAGCAAGAGATGTAAGGATGTCAATACCTATGAAGTGATCCGTACATTGGGACGGGGTAGTACATTGTATGTATCATTGGTAACGATAGTGACGGGTAGAGTCCTCAACCCCCGATAAGGCAGAAGCACAGTGAGCGTAGAAAGAGAAAGTATTGCTCTTGCTAGACCGCGCAGCTGGGATCATCATGAAAAGACCGTGTTGAATATCTATATTTGCAACAAACAGAGATTATCAGAACGAAGACAATGGCACGTTTATAGATAATTCCGCCACGATTGGCGGGTAGTTGGCGGTGAAAGTAGTGGGAGTTGCTTGATATTCTGGAGTAAGAAAGAGTGTATCAGGACTTCTCGATGGTGTTCGCGGTCCATGCATCGTTATGCAACTCTTTCGTCTCGCCCCACAGCATTACTAGATGCTCTGTAAAGGGTGTGCCTACAGGATCAGCACTCGGTCCGACGCCCAGATGCTTTGAGTCGTATTTGAACAGCAGTCTCCCGCGTGGGGTGTCGTCGAGTATATCGTCGTCGTCCGTAGGTTCGTATGCATGTTCTTCCCACTGGTTTGCTTCCCTGAGCTGGGGAAGATGGATACATGCTTCCTCTTTCATCTTGTCCCAGTATTCTCTATAGTCACCGGTTTCATCGGAGTTGGTTTTGGGATGGATGAGGTAAGCTTTGAGATGGTCGTCCTTGAACTTATCGGCATTCAACCTCAAAGAGTCCTGCTGCTTATTCCTCCCGCGTCCTTTGCCGTTTCGCATACCCTTGATAACAGACTCGGTGAAGATTTTGTCTTGGTCTCCCTTGTACTTATCCCAGAAGTGGTGGTCGTGGTTTGTGGCAAAGGAGATGTCTTCCCAGAAATGACCCATCCAAACACCCCTGCGACTGACAATGACTAGCATAGTACAGCCCATAAGATGCGAGGTACCCTGACTCATTTGATTCTCCTGAAAGAACTTGAATTGATCGAATATCGACGTGTTGGTGTCGAACTCATTCTCGTCATCGTTACCGTCTCGTTGACCCCAAACGACTGCCTCGGCTTCTCCAGTCTCCGCTATAATGTAATCATCAATAGTGTCGGGAGTGGGAAGATTCATGCGCCTTCGAATGGTAGAATTGTCAAAAGAGCCCCTCAGGCCCCTTTCGACGATGCCAGGTCCTCGGTGAGGCACACTACATTTCGCACGACCAGCACGGCGGTGGAGGTGGCTGCCGAGCAAAGAAAGCTGTCTGACATCGTGTTCGATCAGTTCAGTCCTCTCTTGGTTGGGACTATCAACATCTGTCGCGGATCCTAGCTTCTGGTTAGTCCAATGTCATGCTACCAAGGCAGCAAGTAGGGACCTAACTTACGCAAGATGACATTAGCGGTCGAGCAGTAGATGGCAAGTAGCACTGCGAAAAGGATGCCTCTCCTCATTTTGAGATCTTTGGTTCGTGCAATTCGGTGTTTTCCAGGTTTTCAGGTTTTCAGGGAGCGCGGGCGATGGCTCATATACACGGGTTAGGATGGTACAACACGTCGCAACGGACTCACGCGAGTAGTTCTCTACCCTCCTCATCATCTACAGACGGACATGCCTTGATAAATACTGAATCCGTGAAACTGGACCAATAGAAATTCTGAGGTAGGTAAGCAATGCCGACTAGGGACGTAGCCGGGAAGGTGCCACTCATGCCTCGATGAGGCGAGCTACAGAATAGAGGCATGGCACATGAAACATGAAACAAGTATGTGTCTACTATCGACTGTGCCGGGGGGCTACCTCTATCGCATACTATAAGCGCGAAAGATAGAGAAGATGTTGGTGGTGCCACTCCCAACGAAGGTCGCATGGTTCCCCCAACAATTAGGGGCCACGTGAGGTGGGGGCTATCGGAAGTGGTTGGTATCTTGGCATGACGTCAATCAGCCCCGGGAATCAATTCGATTGTGTTACCACCCAAACATACACATATCTGTGCCGCACGTTTCATGTATGTAATGCTTGCCCTCCTCGATACCATGGCGCGTCGCCTTGACACCTTCAACTTTCTTCTGCCAGCGACATGAACTTCCCGCCCCAAGAGATACAGGATGCTATCGGATCGGACGACATTGACAGGCTCCTTTCGTGGCTTCATAGCCACCCGGAGCCGAGCTACAAAGTGTCACAAGGATGTCTGACAATAGCGATGCGAAATGGATCACTGCGCATGCTCAAAACTCTACTGGACCACGGCGCTACATTGTCGATTCTATCGTTCAACGCAGCTTTCGCTAGAGATGAACCTGCCGTGTTTCAAGAACTCATCGATCATGGTTGGGATGTCAACAGCACAGAGTTTGAAACGCCAGCTGTCCAGTGAGCACTACCATCATTCTACCCAGTCTATTTCTCACGTTTTGGTAGCCGAGCTCAGCGTTCCGAAAACCTGCTACGCTGGTTCCTCGATCACGGCGCCGATCCAAACGTCAAATCTGTAAGACGAGGGTCATGTCTGCAGCCTTGTACCGCCCTCGCCTCAGCGGCACGTCGGGAAGACGCAACACCACTGCAGATTCTGTTGTCTCATGGGGCCACTATGGATCCGTTGGCACTGTTTAGCGCCATTGGAGTTCGGGGCCAAAGGAACGGCATCGCTACTATGGCTGTGTTGATCGATCATGGTGCCGATGTCAACTACGCGTCAAAGAAGTGGGCTACGCCGCTCGACCACGCCGTTCGACATAACGCCAAGGAAAAATTGTTGTATCTGCTGAAACATGGCGCAGATCCTACCATCCGGTGCGAGGTAAGCCAAACGACGCCAACCGAGTACGCGCAGGAACGCGGTTGCGAAGAATTATACGAGATTCTGAAAGCAGCCGAGCTTGGTCAACCTTAGTGGCACATGCGGCAGACCAGTCGACTATGCCACAATTCTGTTCCAAGCAATGTGTTCATCTCGCTCTTAGGGAAAAGTGATAGTCTAACGGATTGGACGTTCTTTACCTTGGAGGGGTGATTCGCAGAAGAATGTGTCCCCTCCTATTCCATTAGTGGTACACAGAAGCTGTTATCTTCCTCATGCATATCCTGCCATGTCATCTTGTCACATATGTCTTGTGTCTTTGCCGAGTCACATAAGAATGTCAGTCCCTAACCGTAGGCTCGAGGTGGCGCGGCAAGCTGGCGTGCATGAGCAGCAATCGTATCGGAAAAGTCAGACATCACAACACACTCAGCTTGTCGATTACATCGTCCTCTTGACACTCTCAATCACTTCGATTGTCTCGGCCCCCCAACTTCGGACCTGTGCCTCTTGATGCCAGTATACGGCACGAGGTGCAACACCAGACGCAGGAGGGAGCACATATAGATTGGGTAGACGGAGGGCCAAAATGCATACTGACCCTCAACTTTCTTGATATATACCTTGCAAGTTTGGATTGAGATGCTTGACTGTTCAGTATTTGCGGGTGTATATGACCCACCATGCTGGCAGTATCTGACAAAACAGACACCAACGAACTACCAGGAGTACTTGGCTACAAATTTCACCCCATCATATATTCATCTTTCATCCCATATCATGGTTCGCCTCATCGTTTTGATCAGCTTTGGAGCACTGTCGTCAGTCTCAATGGCTGAGATCTTCACGCTCAGTTTGGGTGACACCAACCAATACTCAGCGACTCTGGTACGAAGCGATATTGCTTGACGGACACGAAAGCCCTTCTGCTGACAAAAGCAGACTGCCACGCCTACTCTTACTGGATCACGCATCGTCTTTACCGACTCATCCAGCCCCAACGATGGGGTCGATGTCATACTTTCAGATGAACTGCGCGAGAAAGTCGGAAGTGCTCTGGACAGCGCCTGCGTCAACCTTGATGATGCATGCTTGGAGAGTATCAAAGACCTTCTCGTCAGCCCGAGTACCGAATTAGAAACACGTCAGGCCGTAGAGGCGATTGGAGCAGGAGCAGCCCTTGCAGCCTTTTTTGCTTATATCATGGCGATGACCTTCAACTCATCCAAAGGTGTTCCCGTAGCTCTCCACGCGCCTCTTCATCAAGTGGGACCAGCAGCTTCCGCGGCACAAGCATCTACACTTGCTATTGCCACTGCATCTGATGCGCCAGTCATTACCATCACGCGGAAGCCCGATGCGACTCCAACCACAGCGTAAGAATTTCGTTCCTGTCTTCACTTCTATCAACTAAACATACGCAGCACCGATGCACCTCATCAGACAATGTTCACCAATTCGGCAAACAATGGTTCCCCTGGCGACATTGAAATCTACATTACAGAGGCTCTTGGAAAGCGGATGACAGAATTGATCGACAGAAGTCAGCAGTGTACGATTGATGACAAATTCTCATCATCACGAAGAGCTCGTAGTCTGGATTTCAATGAGCAGCTCACCGGAGTGATTTGCTCCACTAAGCAAGTACTTCTCAATGCCTCGCCAGGTGCCGCGTTCGAAGCTCTTGACTCATTGGGGGCGATGACAGACGAGATTCCTACCTGGATACAGCCAGATGTGCAAGAAGCGATGGAGGTTGTAATGAATATGGCGAAAGAGATGTCCGACCAGATCATGTTGTACGCGCACGAAGCGACGCTTATAGCACTCTTCGTCTTCATGGTGAACTACCAACGGGCAATTACTGGAAGCCCAATATCCCCATTTATTCGTATCCCTGGTAGTGAGCTCAAGGAGATGGTAAAGGTTTCGCTGACGCCCTCGATCACGTCGTTTACCCCGACGACGTCGATGACCTCTACTGTAAGTAGCTCGAGCTCATCCAGCACACAAGAATGCTCGGCATTTTGCAGCATGATTGGTCAGATCAAGAGATGCACAACACAATGTCCGACAATGACTGATTTGCCGACTGCCACACCAACTGAATACGCTGTGAGAACGATGACAGTGGAGCCATGGATCGTTCCGTACCAGCCTCAGATTCCCATCAAAGATGTATTCAGCTTCTGCATGCCCAATGAGGACACCAATTTCCCGGTTTCAGAGTTCAACGTCACTTACGCCGACTTCTGTGAGAAGACCGACGGCTCAGCCGAAGACGGTACTTGGATGGTCAATGCGAAGGGAGAACAGTCGCAGCTGAACCGTCGGCGCTTCTGGAGACGGGACGCCTCGGACGATTTTAGCGACTACAAGTTCGCGTTGTGGTGGAGACCCAAGACTGGAGAGAACGCCACCGACTGTGAATTCTCATGTGAAGAAGCCTTTCAAGGACTGACGGAGAGGAATTCGTGTTCAGTAGGCGATGGCAAGAAGTTCTTGGCGTGAAGTGGAGGTATCGACATCGGCTGTGGCACATACTCCTTCACCACGCATCATCAGATCGACTCCACAGTCAAGTGCCTGAACCACCCACTCGACGCACCGAAGAACGACAAGACCGCCTCCGGCGGAGTAAGCGTCGAGTCAGCCATCCAAACCTGGTGCAGTGACAACGACGGTCACCAGTTTAGTTCCAACTCCATATCCGACAACGTATACTGGCGCTGGGGCATCACCCAACTCGACGTACCCGACCGGCGATCATTTTGGCTGCGCGCTAAGCCAAACGGCAACAACCAACAAGCCTCCTTCGTGAAAGACGAATGCATCGCCGCACTCACCAACGGCCTGAGCACATGCGACCCCGACTCCGACAACACCCACGGCTTCACGGCTACAGTCGGCACCATCGACTACAGCCTCGACCTCAGCGGCGTCACAAATCTCGACAACCCTCCATGGAACGAGCATCCGGCTTTCCCCGCCCCAGAATTAGTCACCGCCAAGGACAGCACTAACCCCCAGATACCTCAATGTTGGGATCCGAAAATATACTACATCGGCCGCAAAGTCGCCCCAGATGATATCGAGAAGGCGATCAGCGCATGGTGTAAAGATGACACCAAGATCGAGGGATTCGGCAACAATGCCAAAGGCTTCATGTATCCCCCAGAAGGTGAAACGCCTTTCTACCCGAATGATCGAACGCCGATGCATATGCGTATGGATGTGGCGACGGTGAAGACAGGGGAGAAGGAACCGTATGGGAGTATGAAGTGGTGCGAGTAAGTCTTTGTCTTTATCTCGGTGTATGTTTCAGCGACGCTAATTGTTGTGGCAGAGGCTACAACTGGAAAATGGGTGAAGATGATTGTCGCTATGCGATTCGCAGATTGGTTAAAGAGTGCAATACTATCAACAACAAGTTTCGCGCTGGGAGATACACGTATCGGTGCGTCACTTATTCGGTGACTGATGCCAACGATCCAAGGTGAGGGTCGAACTCCAGTTGCTCTCAGCACTTTTCGGGTCATGATGCAGGGGGTTGTGGGTGGGGATTTGGCGGTTCTCCGAGTCTCGTAGCCACAAGCAACAAGCTTGGAATGGCTGGTTCGCATTCTTTATAGTACCGCAATTCTGTAATCTAATGTATTCTTATACATATTGTCATTTCTTATCATCTTGATGTCTTGCTCTCGCTCACGCCCCGTTCATTCATAAGGTCTCATGAGCTCATTGCCTGCTACAGACTCGGCAAAGTTCTCCAACGCTGTAGTATGGCACCAAGGTTTCACCCTGATCTCTTTCATGATCGTGCTTGCGAAACATCCCGACCAGCCCATTCGGGGTAGCTGCGCTGTCACCTGTTTGATGACTTCCCGGCCTATGAGATGCGGTTGTAGTCCCATGTTATCTGAGTAATGGCAGTCAGTTGACTATACAGAATAGTGTCGGTGTCACTATAACTTACCAAACTCGGTGGCAATCTGGATCATCTGGACCATTGCACTGACTGTACCTGTCTCACCGGGGTCCTGGTGGCGGATGATCGCTTCGGCAACGCTCTCGGCTTGAACTTGGGGAGCGCCGAACTCTTGCAACTTGGTCAAAGCGAGGAGGCCGCCTTGGAACTCGAACGACATATGCGTGTTCGACATGTTCTCATCGGTCGTGCCAATGTCGTGAAAGAGGCATGTCAGTGCCCAGGTTTCGAAGAAGGCACTCGAATGGTATTCTGGGAAGTAATGCTGGATGATGTAGGTACCTGTCATACAGTGTCAGCGGTTCTTGAGAATTCATAATTATTGCCATCGCCATGATCATGTAGAGTGTCGGTGTTGAGTTGTACGTACCGTAGCAGAATACTCTCATACTGTGATTGAATGTCTCCTTCGTTAGGTGTTCCTGTGCATATTTGCGCGCCTTGTCCGTCACGTTGGTGACGGGCCAGGCGTCCATTGGGTCTGAGTAGATTTCGCTTTTCATTGTAGCAACATCGTCAGCAGATGGGACGTTGGAGCGATTTCTTGGGACGGCAATCCAGCCAAAGTTTTCTGGTGTCCACGTTCCGTGAGACATTTTGAATAATTCGAATAGAGTCGTGCTTGTGAGAGGGGTAGGAAGTTAAAGAAGTTTGTAGATGGTTGAACCTGAAGTTGTGATGGTGCGACTTTAAGTACACCTGCTGTATGTAGACGCGCCTTTCGTCCTAGATAGGTTAGACTTGACAAGACCTCATCCAGGCGAAGTCTGTCAGGTAAGCACGACACATCAGCGAATTACCTTCAGCTCTAGATGCAGATATCCTTTGAGAAATTTTCGTCATCCTGGAATTTGTTTTGCTATTAGCAATGATTGCATCATATACGTCATATCTGTCTCCGACAACGGTGACGATCAATGATTCGAATCTGAGATAACGTGCTCATGGCTGAGTGAGCAGAGGACGTGTCCTGTATAAAGTCATAAAGTGGTAGGCTTGAGCCGATCCCTAAGCTGATAGACATGGCGAAACAAGCTATCGTTCTCCATTGTTGAAGGTGAAATGAAGCATGAAGATGATGGGTTGTTAGACCACTCTATCGATAAGGGATGACTAAGGAATTAAGATGGCCGAGGCCGCAGATCTAAAGTTTTGGTGACATCAACGTGCACAGCGTCTCGCAGGCCCAAACAATCTTCAACTATCGTTATGAAGCCACAATCCACAGCCAGAGCATTGCGCTCAATACGGAGAGTACTACCGCCAGCCTCATCAAGTCAAACAGCACCCAAACAATCGCCGTTCCGAATACCTCCACTAAGCTCGCGATGCATATCCACCACCGCCCCCAAACACCATAACCCAACACCCAACTCGACATCCACTGTCGACCCAACAGAGGTATCCCACTTCAATGCGCTCGCATCATCATGGTGGGACCCTCACGGCCCCTCCCGTCTCCTCCACCTCATGAACCCGCTCCGCCACGACTTCATAACGCAATGCCGCTCTTCGTTCTCTCCACCAAACCCGTCGGAGAAACTACGATATCTAGACATTGGCTGCGGTGGCGGCATCTTCGCTGAATCAGCCGCGCGCCTACCGACTACCACCTCCGTCACAGCAATCGACCCCACACCACAAGTCCTCTCCATCGCCGAAGCGCACAAGCGGCGCGACCCTACACTTACCTCGCCCGGTAAACTCACATATTTGAATACTTCTATCGAAGATCTACCGCGCCCGAAATCAGACACAGAAGCCTTTGACATCGTCACGCTATTCGAAGTAATTGAGCACGTCAACGCTCCCGGCCCATTTCTCGAACACGTCCTCCCGCACGTAAAGCCTGGTGGCTGGTTGATAATGAGCACAATTGCCCGGACGTGGACGAGCTGGGTTGTTACAAATGTGGTTGCAGAAGATGTTCTGGGTATTGTGCCCAAGGGGACGCATGAGTGGAGTAAATATGTCAACGAAGAGGAGTTGAGGAGTTGGTTTGCGAAACAGCCTGGTTGGGGGAATGTCAAGTGTATGGGTGTTGTGTATGTGCCTGGGTTGGGGTGGAAGGAGGTTGCGGGGAGTCAGCAGTGGGGTAATTACTTCTTTGGTGTTAGGAGAGAGGGTTGATGAGGGGATGAAGAGGGGTGTGATGATATGATGTGTATGAGTTCTCGTAGATGTATGGGAGCATATGATACCCTAGTAATGTACATTATATACAACATCGTAGTCGCCTGACTGCTCACATGCGCCATACTCTCCTAGATCTTTATACACGGTGCTGTGTCATCATCATGGGAAGCGCTGCACTGCGACCCTGTTCGTGGCAACGTTGCGCGTGCACCAGTTCTCCCCCACAGCATCGTGACGTATTCCAGCGCTTCTTCACATCGTTTTCCTCTCAGTATTGAATTTGAGATGTCGCAATCGCCCTTGCCATTTCTCAACCGTTTTCATGACTTCGTTGCGGGTCTCTCCTCGAATGGTGTCGGTATATTCCTGCCTGTGGCTACCGCTTCACTCCCTGTCTCCACGAGATCATGTCCTCCGGCCATCTTCCACGCCCTCAAGTAGTCTTCGCCGGTGAATCGCTTTTCGTAGTTCTCCGCCTTGCCGACGTCAAGTCCTCGCACCTTTTCTAGACTGGAGTCTACGAAGGGTGTCAACTGTTCAGATGTTAGTATTGCAAACCAACAATGTCATCCCAGCTGTCGCAAGCCGAACATGTGATTATACGCACCTCGCTATTCTTTGTGCCGTGAATTGGGTACACATATGTCCGTATCTTGCTCCAGTCGGGTGTGAAGTTTCCGTATCGATTGATTGTGCCCATGGATCCCACGCGGTTTCCCTTGTAGTATTCCTTGCCGGCCTGTTTGGGTGAAAGCGGCAGGCGCCGCAGCATTTTCTGGAGAGAGGCAGTGGGTTGCATCGCGGCGATTTGATCGTACCTGCCGTTGTAGCGAGCGATGCGACGACGTCGATATTGGTCGCTATCAATCTTCGAGGCGTTTGCGGAGTTTGGAGCGGAGGTGGGCGTGGCCCGTGCATCAAAAAAGTGCAAACCCAGAAGTTCTGTGTCGCACCGCCGCCTTGCCTCTCAACCACAACGCCGAGATGCCGCCCCGAGTAGCACGCAGCTCGATTCAAAGCGGTGGCGCTTCAAGCAAAGGCCATGCGAAATCGCGAAACCCCAAGAAAGCGCAGAAGCGCGCCCTCGACGCCTTCTCCATCGCTCAGTACGAGAATCCAGACGATGCGAAAGTGCGCAAGAACCGGCTAGGCGAATTTGACCCCGCCTTCAACCGGAAGCGTGCGCGCGATGACGACGAAGAAGACGACGAGGACGAGGATGAGGAAGACGGACCCAAACGGCGCAAGAAGAAGTCTGGTGACGAGAGCTACGACGAAGGAAGCGATTCCGAGGGCAACACCTGGCAGATGGGTCACGTCGAAGATGACGACGATGACGAGAGCATCGACTCGGACGAGGCATTTGGCGAGAGCGACGAAGAGCGCTTCGAAGGCTACACGTTCAGAGGCAGTTCCAAGAACCACAAGGGAAAGGCAAAGAAGTCGAAACGAGAGCAAGACATGATGGACGAGGATGGCGATATCGATCTTGACGAGGGCGACAGTGCAGATGGAGAGGAGGAAGACGACGACGATCTTGGCGAAGATGCTATCGATCTAGCTACTGCCTTGGATCAATACGAGGAGGACGAGGCTGAGGAGCGAAGGGAAAAAGAGAAGAAGAAGAAGGCCTCTGCATTCGACGATAGCGACTCGGAGCCAAGCGAAGGCGAAGACCCAGCAGCAGATGGCGCATCCGACCTCTCATCTGACGAGGAAGATGATGAGGACAATCGCCAGGCACAGTTGCAGAACTTGATCTCTTCGTTGGCTTCGCGAGAAGACAATAAACCCAAGGGCAGGAGAGTGGATGTTCATGAGTCGGCTGCACCAGATGAGTTTGGTGTCTCCCGCAAAGTCGACCTCCTCAGCTTCAAGCCCAAGGTTGCCGACGCGGAGAAGAAGAAGGCGCTCAAGCTGCTGCAAGACGATAAATCCTCGAAACGGAACGACATTGCTAGGAAACTAGACGCGCCTTTGCCGAAGCGACAGCAAGACAAGCTCGACCGCGCCGCAGCCAACGCCAAAGCGAATGAGACTCTTGAGAGGTGGACCGACACTATCAAGCAGAACCGCCGCGCCGAACATTTGATGTTCCCTCTACAAAATCCCACCGGTGGCGACATGGGAGAGAAAACCCTCCTACCCACGACGACCGCTGCACCTACAAACGACCTCGAAAGTACCATTCAATCGATACTTCAGCAGAGCGGGCTATCTAACGGCAAGGAAGACGAGGAGAAGATACAGAAGTGGGAGGAGCTGCAAACGAACAAACTCCCAGTCGAGGAAGTCCTCAGGCGTCGCGCTGAACTGCGAATGCAACGAGAGCTGTTGTTCCGTGAAGAAGTCCGCGCGAAGCGCATCAAGAAGATCAAGAGCAAGTCTTATCGACGAGTGCACCGCAGGGAGCGCGAGAAGTTACTAGAGAAGGAGCGTGAGCAGCTCAAGGCTGATGGCGTTGATCTGTCTGAAGAAGAGCGTGAATACAATGATCGCCGGAGAGCAGAGGAACGCATGGGTGCTAAACATCGCGAGAGCAAGTGGGCCAAGGGCATCAAGGCCACTGGAAGAGCGAACTGGGACCAGGACGCACTTGACGGTGTGACTGAGATGGCCAGACGGAACGAGGAGCTTCGTCGTCGCGTCGAGGGCAAGACAGTTCGCGATGACGATGAGGAAGCATCTGATGTGCCAAGCGAGGAGGAAGAGAGCGACGATGACGACGACCGATCGGACAACGACGCACTACAACAATCTCTTGGAAAACTAAAGTCGAACCCCTTCTCGACCAAAGAATCGAAGCTAGGTCAGATGGCCTTTATGCAGAAGTCTGAGGCTGCAAAACGCGCACAGAACGACGAAGCTGTTGAAGCCCTGAGACGCGAGCTTGCGGGAGAAGACAGCGACAACGCCGAAATCGACGAGAATGCTACCAAGGCAGGACGGAGAAGATATGGTCCTAACGCCGACGTAGCAGCTCCGGCTATTCGGATCAATCGCAGCGAGTTCGAGGAGCACGAAGGTTCCGACCAAGAGAACGATACCAACCCGGCTGCGGAAGGCGAAGATTCTGTCGCGGACGCAGCATCAGCTAGAAAGCCCGCCAAGAAGAACGGCTTAAGCGGTCTTTCGAATGGCGCTCGGAAAGAGCGTAAGGCTGCCGCGCCTATAGAGAACGGCAGCGGAGAGTCCAACCCTTTCTTGACCAAGGCCAAAAAGGAGAAGAAGGCCACGACGGAGCCTGAGCTCTTCCCAGTCACAGGTAACACGACTACTTCCACGCAAGCCAAGGTCTTCGCTCCGAAGCCTACACCCAAAGCAAAGTCTCAAAAGAAGTCAAAGCAAGAGACCAAACCTCAAGAAACAAAGGTCGATGACTTCTTGAAGCAGCGCGTGACCACAGCCGATGACGATGGTTGGGCGACTGTCATTGGTGGTCAAGAAGATGAGGACATGGACGAGCAAGGTCTCGAAGACGAAGGTATCGATCTTGACGTCGTCATGCGCAACCAGGCTCTTACAGCAAAGGGCTTTGCCGGTGACGACGTTGAAGCCGACTTCGATGCAGAAAAGAAAGCCACCATCGCGAATGAAGAAGCAACCGAAGAAGTTTCTTTCCTCCCCGGCTGGGGTTCCTGGACCGGCGACGGCATGTCCAAGGCCGAGAAGAAGCGTAACCTCGGCGCCAAAACGGTCACTAAGAAGCCAGGCATTGATGCCGATAGGAGAAAGGACAGGAAAATGGACAAGGTCATCATCAATGAGAAGAGACAGAAACCCAACGTCAAGTATATGGCTAGCCAGTTACCGTTCCCATTCGAGAATAGGGAACAGTATGAGAGGAGTTTGCGCGTACCGAAGGGCAAGGAGTGGGTCACTAAGAAGACGCATCAGGACGTTACGAGACCGAGGGTTATTGTTAAGCAGGGTGTCATTGCGCCGTTGCGGAAACCGCTAGTATGATCGGACGGTGTCAGTCAGAGACTCGCTTGTCCAGCAATGGAAGCGGATCAGTTTTTCATTCTTTAGTTGTGTGTCATATGCTGGCAATCACCGCTGGAAGCCAAACTGGCGAACTCTTTCGACCTATACCGTGACTTCCTCCTTGTGTCACCTTTTCCTTCCCAAGCCACATGTCACGATCTATCGTTGCACATAACTTCTTACTCGTCCCTCCTCTTTCCCCTCTTTCTCGGTGATACCTCGTACAGTCCATCGCAATGTGGTGTAGGTACTGCTGTTTGACCGCGCAAATGCGCAAACCTCGTGGTATCGAGCAAACTAGCCAGCCGTCACTTCCCAACTCTCACTGCGCCCGTTGTAACAGTGGCATCAGACAATGGTTCCTTCTCAGCCTGCAGACTGCATCCTACAACCTATACCAATACCACACTATCGACCTATTCGTCTTTCAACTGTATTCATATACGATCGCTAATACGCCTACGAGCATCCTCAGAGAAGACTGACCTGCAGATTATACCGAGCATCCAATTCAGACAGCTTCCGTAATACTACCCTAAGATAGCGTCTATGGGTCCATCGCAATCCCGAATCGGCGAGCCCCGACCGGTTTCGAAGTCTAGCAAGAAGGAGAGCTGGTTCGGAACATGGCTCGAGACGCGTCAAGGCATCAAGGCATCACTAGGCTACAATACCTCGGCCATCCCTGACGAGATATACCCCGACAACATCTTCACGCCTATACAGCAAGACAGCATTCTTCCGCAAATACCGATCGGCCGTCATCACCCAGTTTCTAGAACGGGGGTGGAGGATGACGACAAAAGGACTCTGCACACGAACAAGTTCTACGCCAATGCATTTCTAGGTCAGCAGAACCAGCCTATTTGGACACATCCGTACTCAATATGGTGGGGCAAGTTGGCATTGGATGTGGGAACAGTGCAAACATGGGGCATGTGCGTGAGCCATATTGAGGAGAAGGATTTGGTCTTCGAACCTGGACATTCTGCGAAAGGCTATATCAACCCGCTACACAAGCAGCATCTTATCCTCAGCGCCGTCGAACTCGATGCTCGGACAACGCTTACCACGGATACTCATCTCCCCTTCTCCGTCAACATCAACCTCAACGCGCACTCCACGCCTAAAGAACCTAAGATCACATTCCCGGTTGTTCAAGGCATGAGCTTCGTCACAGCTGGCTACCGAGACGCAACGCCCATCATACAGACTGGCGGTCGCGGCTTCGGAGACGTGGCAGGCCCAATCATCATGGGCCGCACGGTCAAGTACCGCTTGAAAGATAAGGATGGAGCGTCTTGGGCCATGTACATCAATCCAGTAGCGAGCCTCGACTACGACGCCACCAAGTTCGCCAGAATCAATGCCAACACGCTCGTTGGCCCACCAGCCTTCAAAGGCACAATCCAGGTCGCAAAGAACCCGCTCGGCGCAGAAGGAGAAGCCATGTACGACCGAGCCTGTGGAGCATTCGTATGCGAAGCTAGACTTACCGCTGTAGTGCCAGACGGCAAAGGCATCTACACGTTCCGGTACACAAAAGTCGGCCACTCACCATTACTCATGTTCGCCCTACCACACCACATCCAATCCCTCGACCCAGACATGAGGCACCAAGTAACCAACCTGCGCCTTCGTACCACGACCAAAGGCATAGCAACAGCCATCTGGGCCGAAAAGCTTACCTTCATCGAACCTAACATCCCACTAACCATGCACTTTGGCCCCTGGAACCCCACCACGAGCGCAAACGCCAAAATACGTTATTCCCCCGAAGTCCTTGCCTTCATCGCCGCAGTCGCAGAACGCGATCTCCGGCGCGCAATGACAGAACGCATACCACAAGACTCCATGTATTTTGCCGGAAAAGCTCTATCGAAATTCGCGACTATCGTTTGGGTCATCAAAGACGTGTTGAATCACGAAGCCATCGCAAACGCTGGACTAGAAAAGTTAAAACAAGAATTCGCGCGGTATGTCGAGAACCAACAACGGTATCCTCTTTACTACGACGACAGCTGGAAAGGCGTCGTCTCAGCCGCTGGCTTCACAGACCCAAATGCCGATTTCGGGAATACGTATTACAACGACCATCACTTCCATTACGCATACTTTGTCTACACAGCCGCTGTGATCGGGTATTTGGATCCGGAGTGGTTGATGCAAGGGGATAACAAGGCGTGGACGAATATGCTGGTGAAGGACTACGCCGAAAGCGATTACAACGGCCGAGACTACCCTTTTCAACGCGCGTTTGACTGGTGGCATGGACATAGTTGGGCGAAAGGGCTATTTGAAAGCGCAGATGGCAAGGACATGGAGAGTACGGGGGAAGATGCGTTTTCTTGTTATGCGGTTAAGATGTGGGGGAGGGTTAGTGGGGATGCGAATATGGAGAAGAGAGGTATTCTTCTCATTCCCGAGCATGCGCAGATGACGGCATTTGGTAAAGGGCACTGACAGAGTAAGCAGGAAATCTCCAACTTGCCATCCAAGCCCGCTGCTTCAATTCCTACATGTACATCCGCTCCAATAACACAAACCACCCAAACCGCTACACGCAGAACAAAGTCGCGGGGATTCTGTTTGAGAACAAAATCGATCACGCGAGTACGTATGCCCGTCATAGTACCTTTTGCTGTTGCTGTAAGTCTCATTACATACATGCAACCCTCCCACACCCAGCACGAAGCCGAAAGGAAGAACAAGGCTCAAGTCACCTCACCTTGCTAACACCCCTCAGCGTACTTCGGTCTCGAAACCTCCCTCATCCACGGCATCCACATCGTCCCTATTTCGCCCTGCACCTCTCTAATTCGGCCCCGCGGGTTCGTAAGAGAAGAATGGAACACGTTCTTCACGGAAGGGCGGGCGAATGTTGAAGGGGGTTGGCGTGGGATCTTGTATGCTAATCTCGCGTTGATTGATCCGAGAGCGAGTTATAGCTTCTTCAGAGACGGGATCGATGGGTTTTGGGATGAAAGGTGGATTGATGGTGGGGCAAGTAGGACGTGGTATCTTGTTTGGGCGGCGGCTTGGGGGGAGTTTGCTAAGGCAGGGAGGTGAGGGGATGGTGAAGGGGTGGAGAAGTAAGATGTTGTTTGAGTAGCTTGTCCTGGAGGTCTGCGGGGTGAGCGCGCTGCAGGTTAGTAGTAAGAACTGCCGATAAGCACGACACCCACCCTATGCACAATAAGAAGAACATCCGAATGTTTCTTGACAGTTCATTTGATCCTACATATACAAATCCTCCCCTTCCACTCATCCCACCAACATGAGGTCCCCGCTAAGCTCAGACCACATTCGATCGTCAAGCCACACTCCACTGTTCGGCAGCCGATCGTTCCGAAATGCACTGCCACAAGTAGATATAACGCCAAGAACAGCTGCACCACCCCACAGATACTCGTACAAGGAGACTAAGAACTAAGGAAATGCAGTAGCAAATAGGAAAACGAAGAGGCCCTTCCGTTCTGTAGTCTTGTGCCAAGATATATTAGAGCAGAACATAGATTGTACAAAGGAAATGGGATTCACCGCGCCGCTCAGCGAGCGCGAATCAATTTGCAACTAAAGCATTTGCATGCTCTAGTTGACAGCGAAGAATCGCTTGACAACGTCGACGGTGATGTCGCCGGCCGCGTTGTCGGGGTAGATGTAGAACGCAAGCGCGATTATGGCGTAGATGCCAATGCACATGGCGCCCTCGAGGTAGTTGCTCTTTCCATCCTGGATCAGGTAGTTGACGATCAGGACGGAGATGAAGAAGATCATTGTCTCGAAGCCCTGGAAGTGGAGGGTCATGGGCTGGCCCATAATCCAGCCGAGGATGACAAGGAAGGGAGTGACGAAGAGAGCGATCTGCATGGAGGATCCGATGGCGACGTTGATAGCGAGGTCCATCTTGCCCTTGTATGCGACGATGACGGCGGTGACGTGCTCGGCTGCGTTTCCGACGATGGGGATCAACACTAAACCGACGAATGTTTTGCTGATGTGTGCGGATTCTACAATCGAATCGATACTGTCGACAAGGAACTCGGCGCAAACAGCTACGAGGACGGTGACAAGGACCAGCGCAACACCGGCAGCGACGGGTGACAAGATCTGGGCCTCCTCCTCCTCGCCGCCACCCTCTTGATTCTCGACATCAGCGAAGAGGCTGTGGTGGGAGTAGAGCTGGAAGTAGAGGTATAGGATGTAGAGGATGAGCAGGATGATGGCAGTGCCGTGGGAGAGGACCAGAATGTTCTTGTCAGTCTCGAGGTTGTCCTTCTTGTTGTCACTGTGCATGACGGCGTAGAGGGTGGCGGGAATGATGAGCGAGGCGGATGCGACGGCCATGAGCGAGGACATGGTAGATGCGACGGTCTCGTTGAATCGGCTCTCGTGTTGAGTCAGGCCCGCGGCAAGGAAGCAGCATCCGAGCACCTGGTCATAGTCAGCGCTGAGATATGAGTAATGGAATAACTTGACTCACAAGAAGAATGTTGGACAGAATACTGCCCAGCATACTGGCTTGGACAATTCGGATTTCGCCTTGCTTGAGTGCAACGATAGAGACCTGTTGTGGTTAGCTGATGTTGCAGCGCAATGGATGCGCTCGGAAGCTTACAATGAGTTCGACGGCATTTCCAAATGTCGCATTCATCAATCCACCAAGAGTTTGACCAAGCTTAGCGGATAGCTCCTCAGTCGCGAAACTCAGGAGTGCGGCAAGAGGGATAATAGCGATGAAGTTGAGGACGAAGACGACGGTAGGGTTCCAGTGCAATGCGCCGGCGATGATGCCGAGCGGCACGAAGACGAGGAAGACGTTGACATAGTTGCTGGCGAGTGTCGCATAGATCAAATGCAAGACATGCTTGGGCATAGTCTTGACGCGCGATTCATCCTCGTAGTTCTGGGTGCGCCCGATGAGCGGGGTGTGCTCATCGTGGAGCCGGCCGTTGGCGGGCTGGGGCATGGTCTGCTGCTGGTGGCGGTGATAACTCTGTGCTCGACCGTGACGGTGGAAAGACTGCTTTATGTTTTCTGCCAAGGGCACAGGTTAGCGATATATAATTCGTGGGCCAAGTACGCGATGAAGGTTGATGAGGGTGCTGTGCTGCGCCCCGGTCGGACGGTCGGCGGCGATGGAGGTTTGGTTAGGAAAGCCGAACAACGATGGTGTTGTAGGGTCGATCCAAATACCAAGCCTGCGCGAAGCGACCACGACAAGGCCGGCTAACTGCCGCGTGCGGGAAAATGAATCAAAAGGGCCATTGTTACTCACTCATTGCTGTTCGGGAAAAGAGTCAGATGCGCACGGCGCGGGAAAGCTAGCAGTATATGACTTGTCGAAGCCAAGCTCGCTGGTCTGGTAGGTAGCTGCCGAATGCACGCCCTGCGATTGGCGGAATACAGGCTAGAAGAATTGGCAAATGATTTGAGGTTGTGTCTTCGCAGCGAGGACCCGGCGAAAGTGGTTAGTTATCGAGAGGGGGAGGAGGGCAGTGCTGGCTTGCTGTTTTCCTGGCCGGTTGAGATGACGAGGTGGTTGGTGAGGTAGGCTGTGTAGACGCCAAGCGGGTACCAGCGCATGGTTTAGCTCGGAAGCTGCCAGGTTGCCCAGGGGAAGTGGAGCATATCGTCACATATTTCTCTCACCAATCGCCACGCTGTCTCGGAAGCTGCAGTTACTCGAATCGCAATACTGATACCGTATTATCAACCAGCCTCATGAGTTTCGAACATGTGTGCCTTGGTGCGCGCTTCAGCCAGAGCTGATGATGTCATTACCCCGTCGCGCTTGCCCGCCAAGTCCAATCTGAGTCTGGAGTGGCCCATGCACGTCAAAACAACCGCTTGCAGATCATTCAAACTGGCGCACCGCCGACTGTCTAATCAAACAGGATCGTTTTGAGTGCTTCACTCCGGTACGTCGCGGAATGCCAAGGGCGCGGACCAAATTCACTGATAACAACACTGCCCGCTGTCTTCGTCGCTCGTTGTGAACAGCCTCACCGCTTCTGTGAAGTAAGCCCGAGTCTTACAGTTGACCATGTACAGCGTGGCAAGGGATACTTGGCGCGCCATCTTCTGTCTGCGAGGATACACCACGGAGGTACATGGCCCGAACTCCGCCTTCGTGGCTGACTGACATGTTGATCACTTCCCGTGGCGGAGCTGTGAGAGGAGTGCTTGGAGTAGTTGGCAGACGGACTTCCGACTTCGTTCTTGAATGGTTTCTTTGGAGGTCTTCGTCGGCTCATCACGAATATCCTTGTAGCGTGCACAGCATTGCTTTGCTTCGATGCCCGGGCGTCTCCTAGCTGAAGGGTCTTCCCGCGAGGATATTCGGTTGTGTACTTTGAGAACGCTCATGCGTCTTGAGTGGATAAATGAGATACCTATGGTGCATCTCTATTACTTGTCATTGCAGAGATATGTACATACCCATGCCTGAACTACTGGCTATTACCCGAACGCGAACGCTTCCGCCATCACAATTGTGGAATTCTGTCAAGCATACTGAGAAGACTTGAATAGCTTATTGTCGTTTCAAACGTCCACAATCGTCATGTCCTAGTTTACCTGGGTATGCTTGAGTAATTTCTTGCGTGCTACTCATATCATTACGATTTCAACAGCGCCAATCAAAATGTCAACCAGATCGCATGTTTTCCCATGCAAAAGTACAAGTGAAATACATGCACGGTATGATTCCATTGGTATCAATGGAAAGTTCGCATTCTTCTAAAACTCAGTCGAATCTAGATCCAGAATAGCCGCAGAATATCAACTTGATATTGTACCATAACCGCTGTTCACGTCCAAGCGGCCCGTGCATGATCATTTCTTTATACCATGGGAATTTCGCGTTTCTGTTCAACTGTTCTTCGGATATCAGACGAGCTCGGTAAGATTGAAAAGCAGCGGAAGCAGCCCACAGAAATACAGAAGATGCACACATTGCAACAGCCGTGATCACAAAGACTCTGATAGAATGACCAGTACCGTTGACTTGCTGCACATTCTACGATGACTGTTAGCGAGAATGGCCACCAGTAGGAACCGAGGTGCTTACCATTCCGTACACTGAAGATGCGAGGGAGACTGGTAAGAAGATGAATGCCAAAGCCGTCACTTGAAAAGTGTTAGCTTTTGTTTAGACTGCGCATGGATGTTGCCGTACGTAGCATAACTCTTTTGCTCTCACGAATGCTCATCTCTGCCATGTGAATACTCTTACTTGTGCCTTCCGCTGCTATGTGATCTCTTAGTTGGGATTCACACTGTTCAAGGTCTTGTACTCGAAATTTGAAACGTTCCATGATATCGTTGAGGGCTGCTTGAAGATCTTCGTCAAGGTGGTTGAAGTGTTCCCGGAAGAATTGTATCATCCAGCGCAGTGTAGTACGTTGCTCATCGAGTTCCATCCTCACTCGAATCCATATTCTACTCGGAGATTCATAGGCCCCTCGATCATCTTTGACTCCAGTTGTGCGACTCTTGTAATATGCACTTCGCATCTGAGATTGGAATTGATACTTGGCAATGTAAGGTACATCCAAAGGCGCTGTAGATAGATGGAGTTCAAGTAGCGCCGCTAAGCAGACGTAGAGAAAATTGCTGGGGCCGAAGAAATTATCGGCGCCAATTCCTGATGTGATGAAGCGCTGGATCAGCCATGTGTTGTGGCAACAGGAGTCAGGGTGTTCGTCTGCATTACGCAATCCTTCCGCAATTTGGGATGGTCTTATGGATGGAAACATCGAGGAGCTGATAGATGTTCTGGCTACCAGATGAGGAGATCTCCAGTTGGTTCCTAAAAAGAGTATCGCTAAATTACTAGTCAGCTATCCTAAGTGCTTAGATTTGGGCGGTTGCGGATACCAGTTTTAGCTGCTCTCCCAGGTGCAGCCTCAGAAATGTACAAGATGTTCTCTCCTATGCGTAATGCCGGCAAGACTTTGAACCAAGATCGGATATCCCCAGACTGCATTCCAAATAAGGGGTTATCAACACAATCTTGCACATATTCGAATATCTCCGGCCCAAGGTCTAGACCGAGGCCGAGAACGTCTTTCGTTTGAGAGGAGATGCTACCATGCCCAGCAGTCACTATGACTACTCTATAGACCACGTTCTCATTCGGGCCTTGTAGTAACGTCCAAAAACCAGTAGGGGAAAGAACTGATGTGTAAGGTCTGACACCGTTCCCGTCTAAGGCTGGTAAATTTCTTGGAGCATCGAGCCTATCTTTCTTGTATGGGACACAGTAGTTCCATTCAATACAACGGCCATCTGCGTTGAAACTTGCCAACCACAAATGATCGCCAAAACATCCCCCGCTGGAGGTGGGAGGTGATCGGTTCAATTTCGCCAAGTACTCTGCGTATGACCCAACCTCCGCTGCAGCCTTGGGATGCGCAGGAGAATGCTGGCCGCCCGGAAGGGAGCTTATTGCACTGTCACCGCTTGCCATGGTGAGATCGGTACTTCCTCTGCGCTCGAAATTAATATGGCTCCATCCGTAGATAGGTCATGTAGCAAATAAATGTAAACGAAGTGTTCTGTGTAAGAGGTAAGAGTTGTGCGAGAATGCAGGTCGACATCGTGCTTTATCAACCTCCCGCAGGTTCATGGTCGGCGAAACCTGACATGTGCGTTCGCAGAGCTGACATGCATATACGCTTCTTCATTTGTTCTTGGTATACCAACCTAAGCGAGCTGAAAACCTCGCGCGTCACTTCGCGGTGTCGATTGGTGGGCTCAACGTCCTGTGTAACGTCCCGGCCGATCGAGACCATAAACGGACAAGAAGATGCAGTGTCGAGCGCGTATCGACCTTGACCGGTCCTGGATAACAAGCCTATAGGCTGTGTGGCCTTGCATGGTTTGTGATACGCCTGGAATCCGCTATGCTGTGTCGTGACCGTAGTTTGCACTGCGCCGGTGCCCGTACAGTCCGAACGATGCGTCGAAGGCATGTTGGTCGATACGTGTGGTAAATTAATAGTTCTAGAAGTCCGTAATTGTAACAACAATACCTCAAATGTGTAACGTGATTACGCGACAACTCCACTTTAAGCCGATGTGAAAATTTGTATGGGTTGGTTTGCGAAACGCAGATGGGCCGGGTAGTAGCCTTGCCTACGAATGTCTCGAATAACCAGGCGCTCAGTGTTCGACGAGTGTCTCTCGCAATCTCCACGTGTTGATACTAAAGAGACCGTAAACTGCGAATAATTTTGTGCACCTGAAGCTCTTTTGTAAGCTGCTGCGGCGTGGTGTCTGATGTAGGTACGCAGGTGCGCTGCAACCATACCGTTCGAGTGATTAATGCTAGATATGGCTGTTGGAACGATCAGAGTATAGTGTACGAGGCAATAAAAGCTCGAAAGATATCTTAGGTAGTGGTGACTGCCCCAAAGTGACCGGTAGTGCCGGATGATGCCGGCGCTTGTCGAAGACGTCATCGGCAAACCTCAATCCAGCATAGCTTCCCCTTGCCTCTTCAACTACACCCAGCTTCCATCATAGCGCAACGTCTGTTTACTACGCTTAAGGGGGGCAGCTTCAAAGATGGACTTCCGGGCATTTTCGTCGCTCAAGCATATCTTCACAGTGACTTAGAAAGCCGCACAGCTGGAGTGTACTCGGTCGCGTTCGTTCCTCATTTCAAGTTCGAATGAATACACACGATGCATATCTTCATCGATACTGCCACGATCGAGTGACCGAATATGTAAAGAGCATGGAAATGGTCGGGAATGGTAGTAGCCTTTCGCCGGTACTTCGCTGCCTACCGCCAGGTCAAACCAGCAACATTCGGGTCGGTGACGTGTATCCCACACTCCTAATTGTAGACAAAGGTCAGATCGCACGTTCATGCTCAGGGTACGAAAAGTATACAATTACAGTTTTGCAAGTGATCGATCATGAATTCAGGGACTGGGTACCGCGAGCGATGCCTATGCGCTGTTTACGTCTACCGTTGGTTTCCAGAACTGCAAGGGACGGCAGCTCTTCACAAACAGCGCCAGCAAGCCGATGCGTCTGGATTACGCACAGCAATCAGCAGCTAAAGCACTCTGGTCAGTAAAGGTTGTACGATAGCAAGCACATGCTGCATAGTCCATACTCCTATTCTCTGTTGGAACCGTATCTACTCCGCGATTGAGATAGACTGCGCGCCGTTACAGGCGCCATTCGCAGCTGTAATTGTATTTCCGCGGAAGTTATAGCCCTTTTCTTGCACTCTTGACGGGTACTGCATACGATTCGCTACTTCGACCTACGTCAGAAAGCACGAGCCCCTTTCAAGTGTACACTTCACTACGATACGCTGACCCAGAACTGCGAAAATTCCCAGTGACGCCTAGATCACGCGCTTGACTTTGATGTATACAAACCACAGCTTCTACCGTCTCACCATTTGCGCGAATTGTCAAAACATCCACCACTCTCTGCAACCAGACAAGAACGCGAATATGGCTCACCTCGGACTACGCGCGAGTTGCTTTTCTCTTCCGGCCGCGCCCTACTTCTTCAGCAATGCGTACACCATCTTCGAGCATTCCAGCGGTCCATTTGGCGCGCGTGGTAGCCGCACTGGCGCTCTACCCCCTGCGGGGACATATCTTCGCCAAATAGTCACCCGCTCAACCCGCGCCCCCGGTCTGTCTCCTTATGCCAAGTTTCGGCGCCTGGGTCCGGTATGGGCCATTACGAGCAGGACGATATGGAGCGCTGCAACAGTCGCCTTCAAGTTGGAGGTGGAGCAGACGAAAGGTACGCAAGTCTTAAAATGTAGTTAGTAGTTGGAGACCCTGACAACGCCAGCACTGGAGGATGTCCTCAGCGTAACACGCTTTCTTCGCTCGACTCCACTCGCCTCTACCACCCTTGTGGCCCAAGTTGATCATGTAGCGTGGGACGACATCCTTATGAACCTACTGCGCATCCCTCACGACCGTCTCTCCGCAATCCTTCGCGCAGTAGCGTCGGAGATCGAGCTAGCACTGGAGACGGAGGCTCCGCACGTCCTGACGCTTCCTACACACTCTGCTTCTGTTATGCGTCATGCAACTGACCGGATGAGCCGTCATAACAAGCTCGGCCTCTTCTTGGACGACTTTCCTGCCGGCCGTGTCGCGGAAAAGGACTACAGTCTTCTGGCGGCCAAGCTCCTCGAGAACCCTGACTTCCCGGTTGCCCCGCCATGGCACGAAGAGTTCTCTCTCCTGAGACCTTGGTTCAACGTCACACTCGAAGTCCCGGAAGACTCTGACAGTGATATCTTCGCGCATGAGATAGTTCTAAGCAAAGTCTTCCATTACGTCAACAAGCGTAAAGATCCCGCGCAGAGGATTCGTGCGTTTGGCCACGCTGCAACCACCGAGGCTGGAAGGATGATGGAACTAGAAGTAGAAGCAGCTGCGCTTCTAGAACCTGGCCGCCTGCTGCAGATTAAGATTAAAGATCTGATTCCTGCTGTCGTCAAGACAGACGAAGAACATAAGGCCTTGCGCAAGATTTCTCTGAACGATTTGAACATCCCTCAGATCCTGGAGTCTCCTGAGTGCAGCGTCATACTGCTTCTTCAGATTAAGATGCGCGCTATCATGCGCAACAGCAAGCGTGTTGCTGACGTTGATGATGTTTGCATCTGTGACATCATCAGCGAATACAGTGATGACGAAGGAGAGCATCACTTTGATGACGCTGCCGCGATCTAGAACATCTTTCCCCAGCGTAAACGAGACATCGTTCTCAGTTGGGCCTCGTCTATTGAGACTCCAGCTATCCACCACATTATGCTATCAGGGCCTGATGAGACGTACTGCGAGTCGCTGGAGCCTATCGGCAAGGCGGACAATATAACTGAAGAGAAGGGAGAGCTCCTGAAAGCGAGCGAAACAACGTGGGAGCTCCAAGATTGCTCTTTCATCTTTTCCCGTGGTCACGATGGTGAGATCTTGCTTGGATATGGCTGCCAGGCAGACCAAGTAGTCTCCGAAGGCCACTTCACCAACATGATCAGTGCCGCTTCGCCGTCAGAGTCAAGCTCGGATGCAAGCCCATACATGAGCGAAGAAGAGAAGGCCGCCAACCGTCGCAACTCCGACACCTCGTTGGAGGGCAGTCCTCCTCGGTACGACTACCCCAAAAAGCGTCTCGCGATGGCTTCGGCCGAGCATTTCAACACCCGTCAGATGAACAACCTCTACATGGCGTACGGTATTCCGCATGATGCGCAAGATTCCGACCAGTTGGGAAATGCTGAGTTGGACTTAGGCATGGGTGCCCGTCTTCAGATACACAAAGAAGCTTTGGGTCCGCTGGACGAGTTCAACGCGAACTACAAAGCAGCACAGGCCGCTGAGAGGAAAAAAGTCGACGGTTGAGATGAGCTTTCCAGATGAAGATCATCTCACATCAAGCACTCTGGTAGTCCCCCAGACTTTTGGGTCTCTTGTCATCCTTGGGGTAAGGTCGCTGCTAAAACTTGGTCATGACATGGCCACAAGCAGATTTGCAGGCCTCGCTTCATTTCCATTGTGTTACTGTACTGTTTCTGTTTTGTTCTCGTTGCAGTCTTGTTTCCTATCACGCATAGCGTGCGGCGTTTCTCTATAACTTTGATACCAATTTGTCTTCTCTCTTTCGGCGTTTCATATTAACTGCTCTGGAATTCAAAAAAGCCTGGAACCTTGCATGGAATGAAATATGATCTCTCACCTGTTTCTTGTGGTCTCTCCGTGACTATACCACGCGATTACACTACTAGTCACGTGCTCTTGGTAGGCTTGCGCTCCGGTTGGCGACCCACTCTTTAGGACAACCTTGGTTCCCAACTCTGTCCCTGGATTGGCTTAAAAGGCATCCTCACAATATCAGACTTGCTTACTGTAGCAGTATGAGGAACTATCCTGTATTGGCCAGTGTAACGCAGGTCAACCGTAGTAACGCAGATGGATCTTTCCACCTTTGCATTGCAATATGTATATAACAACTCTCGCATTTCACAGTAAAAGTGGTTGTTTGTTCGCTTTTCCTCCCAGACTTTCGGACTATCTTGACCCAAGTACACTCACCAAATCAGACGCTTTCTGCACCACGCGCATACTAATGTCACGCGCCTTCACTTCTAAAAGCAGAACACACGACAATCTGCATCATGTTCTCTGAACTACCAGCTCCCAAGAGCGATCAGGTCGCTCTCGTCAAAGAGCCTATCATGCAAGAGCATAAGAATGTTATTGTGGAGCAAATCCGCCCAGATAAGCCGGACTACTACAACTCCCCAGCATTTCAGGCGGCCCACAAGCACGAAGCCTTCTTGCAGCTACTTCACGAATCGCCGACATGGATGGCTGAAAAGTGTTTCAGCAACATATCTGATCAAGGGCTGCGAGATTTCGATGAAAGTACCGATAAGACTAAACGATACTGGGCGCAACATCCCGACCTTTTCTTTCTCTACTTTGGTAAATCTGTATCAAGCTCTGAGGCGTCCGGTTGTCATCAGTCAACACTACCGACGCAGATCTCGTTTGATCTTGCTGAAGATGAGGGTTACGGTCGTGATCAGAAGATGTGCGATTCTATCGAAATTGGTCTGATAGCTGCTCGGGAGGACTTCAAAAAATTGGTGAAACGGTATCAAACCAAGTTACTCATCAAAGGTTCGGAAAATTATGAGATGCCCATCCATGCACCAAGACCGCGCCGTAGACAAAGGATCGCTGCCGACTTCGAGGATATGATCGAACGTGCTGAGGTCTATGACCCAATTTCCTGTGCTGCCTACGAAGCTGGCCACGATGCGCCTGACAGGATGTGGAAGCAGCCTAACAACTACCAGGCGTACCAGAACCAGTGGCAATAGCGTCAAGACGTACCGTGGGGACTAAATCAGTACTGCCCTCAGGCGGGGTTCGCCCATCGGTATTCCCAGGAGTTTACACAGTGGTGGCAGCGTCAACAACTACCTGTGTATCAGCAATGTCAGCCTCAACCACCACCAGGGTACGCGCAGTACCATGCTACCCGGTCGATGTATACGCCTGAGTATCACGCTCGGTACCAGCAACAGTGTATGCAACAGCAGCCAGTATCCGGATACTCTGGCCAGTCCCAATGGCCATACAATGCGGAACATGAACATCCGCGTTTAAACACTTACACAGATTAAATGACAAGGCTGCACCTAGTAATCTGAACTAGTAAAGATCAAAGAGTACTCAGAAACGCTTATGGAAGATGAAAGACGGAGTCTGGGCAAGGGATCAGGCGCACGAAATCGCATGATCGAAGATGGAATGGTCATTTGCAGCCTACTCTCCAACACCAATGTGACCTATTCTACAAGCCCAACGCCTCACTAATGCCACCCGTGAGATTACCCAGGATATTCGACCCTCCAACCACAGCAAACAGCGCATCTTTGTACGAGTCCCTATCATCACCGTTAGCAACTAGAAGCGTCTTCTCCAGACAACACCACTTACGCAAGTATCTTGGCCCCTTCCGGGACGGGCTCCGGCCCCACAGCAAACAACTCGGCAACCATAACCCCAATACTCGGCAGGGTAACGGGAAGCACGCTGGGCCTCCACCCAAGTTCAAACGGCAGTTTCTCTTGCTCAAACAAACTCCTCACATACTCGATTTTCGCCTTGCCAGATACGGGATCAGACATTGTCTGCAGGTAAATCGCATTCTCGCCATAACTGAAAATGGCTTCGCGCAAGCCATACGTAAACGACGGGTTCTTGGCTTTACTATCGGTAGTCCTTGCGAACTTGGCCTTGGATGCCGTCAAGACATCTGTGCGTTCCTTGCCACTGAAGAAAGAGATGTATTGCTGCCAGTTTGGGTTGTAAAACGGCTGCGGGTTCCCCAGTGCGGCGTCCTGGCGCGACATGCTTGCGTCGTGCTCGATGGGGAAATTGTGCATGTTCAAGTCGTCGAGGTCGAAGGAGCCGGCTAGTGGGTTGGGAGAGGCAAGCAGGCCAGCGCCGCCGACTACGACGGAGAAGTCGGCGCCCATGTTGAGGCCGGCGGCGAGCCCGGAGATTAGGTGCGGGATGGTCATGTTGCGCCCGGAGCGGTGGATGAAGTTGTGATTTGCGAGGGCGTTTAGGCCCGGGCAGGGCGAGCGTACATCGCCGCTGCCGGCTGGATGCCAGTCTGTCCACCGAGGATCGCTTGCGGGTGCGGGACTGAGCGAGGAGAGTAAGGCGCCTATGTCGAGAGGGAGGTCGAGAAGGCCCTCTGCTGATACTACGGCGGCCAGCAGTGTGAGTGCGAGTGTAGAGCGCATGGTTGCAAAAAGGGGATATAGACGTTGTCTTCTTTTCCACCGAAGAGAAGCCGAGACGGTGACAAAGAATACGAATGTAGAAAGTTGGAAGCGGGATGCGATAGAAAAGATATGCACAAACAACAGAATGATGCCCGTAAACAGCGCGTCCACGCAGCCTTAAGCACCTCGAAACCCATCCCATCACCTATCCAATAAACACAATCCTAAACCCGCTGACCCCTCTCTTCCTCCCCGATCAAGGAAAGAAGCCTCGGAGCCTCTTCATAGCGTGACACCATCTACATAGTTCCAAAGTAACCTCGCGTAGCCTCACATAGTCGCGCGTAGTCCGAGTACCGAGCGTAGTCACAACAGCCTACCCTACGTTCAGTATGAATCAATCACCGCGGACCAGGCTGCGAGTCGTCGTGATCAGCCACTACGTCGTCGAGGTAGTGTAGATCAGCGTGGTGATCGACAGCCTCTAGACCCGCGCGGGACGATCATTGACGATGAGCTTCGGTAATTGCCAGGCACTTGGATCGGATTTGTCAATGTGTTCGGGAAAGACGGCGGTGGAGACAGGGAGGCATGTGATGATGCGATGGCATCGAGATGGATGGGTGGTGCGCGTTGGGGAGAGGGGAGAGGGTGATTGAAAAAGGTACAAAGGATAGGTTGTAGGCTGGTTAAGGGGTAGCGTGACGTCATGGCTAGGGGCGCATCATCACGCATTTTAGTACCGGCACAGGAGACGGCGAGATTCGTGTTGCTCGTTGTTATGACACAAATCTTGGATCAGGAGTATGTGGTTCTATATGCTTCCTACTTTACACAGTACGGTACTATGTATACAACAACACAACACGAACCATGTTATCCCAGTTGCACACCATCCATCCGATCCCCCGCCTCATCAGAATACGTCTCAAAGTCGTCCCCAGACTTGGCCTCCAGCTCTTCATCAACTCTTCCACCCCGTAGTCGCCAGCACCCTACTTCGCATTTACAAGGAGGAGGGTAATGATGCTGTGGTCTCCACGCATCATCGTCTTCGTCTTCGTCTTCCATGCCGACAGTTTCCAAATTAATAGGATCAGGTGTATGCACAGCGAAGATGGGGATATACTCTCCGGGATGCGTTTCAATGTATGTGGCATGATGCTCGAAGATGTCATACCACTTGCTTTTCACCCATGGCTGGATATCCCCTGTCAAGGTAATCGTCTTGATGTGTTGGAGATACCCGCCATACCAAGCATATCCTAATATCCAGTCGATAACCAAGCCGCTTTCACAAATATGTGGCCGTAATCTTGCTTCAGCGTAGTTCCAAGCGGGGTTTTCCTCGCACCAAGTCGATTCTTGTACGTCGTACCAGGGATTCGTCTGTTTGTATGCGTCACCGAAATAGAGTTCGAGTTCTTTTGTATGCGCAAGACAAAGGCCGGCACCATGACAATAGTCATCGCGATACAAGTTATCGCTAGCAACTGCGTCATCGCGGTAATGAAAAGGTGGAACGGCAACATCGAATATGGCGAAATATTGTTCAGCCGTGAAGTCGAGTTTAGTTTTCTCCAGTCCGTGGAGCGAGGAAAGATGCTTCATGAGAGCGTATTGCACATCTCGATCATTTATAACTGGAAACTTCGTTGATAAGGAGAGCATCGGGTCGTGAAGTAGGGTATCCCATGGCTGGCTGGGCAGACGGTACCTGCCTATACAGTCCCCCATCTTCAGACTCATCAAGACATGGCTCATGTAGAATGTTGTCGGGTCGGAGAACTCCTTGGAGTCGAGCAACCAGGAGCGAATCCGAGACCGAAAGTATTCTTGGAGAATGAACGATGGGCTATCGCTGGTCTTGGAGATGGTGGCGAAGGGAGTGGTGTTCGCCGGATTGGAATAGGATAATATGTAGCAAGAATGGGCGGAGCCTTCAATTGCGATGCGTTGTTGGCCGAGCCATTGCTGTAGTACGCTAAGGAGCAGTTCTGGAGGTAAATTCTGTGCAGCGACTTGAAATGTCATGTCATTGTCGTTACCTGAAAGTGGTGCCATGGTTCCGAATACTGCCTCAAACAATGGACGTCAAGACATGGGTAGAGAACCTAGATATGTTACAAAACGCATGCCTAAGCGCATCGTCAGTATGATTTTCGTCACTGTGTGTGGTTCACAGTCAGGTTCGTGAATCGGTACCACGGTTCGTACTCAACACCTGACACTGTGCGGAAACGTCGCGACCTAAGGTGAAGGTCTGATAACGCTGCGTTGTAAACAAGCAAGTGATAGTGTTGTTGGCATGGATGTGAATATGGGCTGTGTAACGATATTGATGGAACTTTTCCAAAGCACCTCATACAAGGAAAACCTCGATAGGTGCACTGCCGTCTACATTAGCATGTACAAGAATGTGAATCGTTGAGCGAACAGAGAGCAGTAGTTTGGTGCCATTGGAGTATCGTCTATGCTTGCTGATGTTTGCTAGGTATTGAAACAGGTAGTTATACAGTCGCTATTGAACGTGGTCATGATCGTCGTTTGGCTGGCGCTGGACTCCAGCCCTGAGGTTGCCATTCCTGACTCTGAGCCGCCTGCTTCCATGGCGAGTCCTTTGGCTCCTTCTTCATTCTCTTCCTGGGCGTGAAGGCAGGCGCGTCGTCTTCGGCAGGCGGCGCTGGCGGGTCGCGTGACATCTGCTGAGACTCTGTGGGTTGTTCGGGCTCTACTGGTGTTGGCCTCGCGGCTCCCTGATCGAGTGGCCGCGGTGGTTCTATGCTGTCCCGTATCTCTTGATCGGCATTCATTTGCGTGACGCCGCTGTCTGGGTCTCGCGACTGCAACATCTGCACAGGCTGCTGCCTATCTGGCGCATCGAGCGCCGACGGCTTCTCAGCCCATCGTGCATCTGCCTGCGCTGCCAGCTGCTTCATCCGCTCCTGCCTCATCATGTCCTGGTGTTGTTCGGCGACGGTGGGGGGCTCGTAGCGCGTGTGTCGCAGCCATTGCATCCATGACGCTGCCACAGTCAGCCTCGGTCAAACATTGCATGTGGAAGGCACGAACGCGATATTTGTACGTCGCCATAGTGAGTGCTGCGACTGTATTTTGCTATCCGCCGGTTGCGCAGGGCGTGCAGAGCGTCCTTGAATTCCCAGAAGGTGTTGCCCTGGAGATCAAAGCCTACGAAGTGTTACTACTTGGAAGCAAGGATACGCCAGAGACCTATGTCGAGGCCTGCACTCACCCACAAGCCACTTCTTTCGCCAGGGGAAGCGCTTCATCTTCCATTGATACCATGCTTTGCGAATTGGACCCGGTGCGCCCGCCATGCTGAGTCTCGTTGGGCCGCGAATAATTTCCAGCGGGCGAATATCTGGAGGCGACTTTGACGCGCAGGCCGGTGACGTTGGGGCGAGTGGCTGGTGCGTTCACGTTAGCACATGTGCAAGCATTCCCCCCACCACCAAGTTTCTCCACATAATCACAACACATGCCATCACTGTATACCCCGACGCCATAACAACACACATAGCAGTCGAGGCCCTTACATAGAGACCTATACATTATCATATCTCACTACTACACCTCGTGCACCCTTCCCATCCACGCCCACACGACCTGCGTGCCCAACCGCAACAAGCCTGATTTGCGCCCAAACCAACCACCATGGCGTCTGTAACGTCGCTAGACCAGGACATGCGCAGACTGCGGATGGACAGATACACTCCCCAAGCAGCCAATGAAGTCCGCAGCTGGATAGAAGACACACTCGGAGAGCGCCTGCCTGCGGGAGATCTGCTGGATGCGCTCAAGGACGGGACCGTATTATGCAGGTACAGTGATTCCGTAGAGTTACCAGGTAGTCGGGCCAGTACAGCTAACTTTTCCAGACTCATCAACCTCGCCATACCCACGCCTGTCCGGTTCAAGAAGTCGAATATGCCCTTCATACAAATGGAGAACATCTCGCACTTCCTCCGGGCCTGTGAACAGCCGCCACTGAACATGCCCGCCCATGATCGCTTCCTCACCGTCGATCTCTACGAATCCAAGGATCCAGCTCAGGTGCTGCAGTGTCTCGGCGCCTTCAGCCGCGTCGCCAACGCGAAGAACCCGTCCAACTTCCCCAACACCATCGGTCCAAAGCGTGGTGGAGCTGGCGCATTGAGCCCGACGGCAACCGGCGGCATGACGAGCCCTGCAATGCCATCCCCCGGTTTCCCACGCAGCAGGGGGCCTAGCACAGCCAGCAACACCAGCGGCTCCAGCACGTTCAACCCCCTCGCGCGACCTCCCGCCGAGCGCACGGCATCAACACTTAGTGCCGCACGCACCGGAGGCTCAGACACATCGTACACGTCCAACGGTCTCCCCAAGTCACCTCCAGGCGGAGTCAGTAGCTGGAGCAAGAAGGTCGACGAAGGCAGCACAGCACCGGCATGGAACATTCATCAGTACGGGTACATGGGTGGTGCGAGTCAAGGCAATCAGGGCATCTCATTTGGTGGCCGACGGCAAATCACGAGCGCAGGTCCGCACGTGCCGAACCTGGCTGAGAAGGAGCGACTGCGACGCGAGAAGGCAGCCGAAGAGGAGCGACTACGTTTACAAGCTGAGGAAGCCGAGAACATACGCCGCGTCGAACGCGAAGCCGAAGAAGAGCGCATACGGATCGAGGAGGAACAGAAGTGGGAAGAGGAGACACGCAAACAGCAAGAAGCCAAGCAGGCGCGACTGGATCAGCAGAAGCGCGAGTGGGAAGAGCAAGAGCGCCAATGGAAGCTGGAGGAGGAGCAACGCCAACGTGAAGAGCGCGAGGCACAAGATAGAATCGAAGCCGAGACGAGACGAAAGCGTGCCGGAAGTGATGCCAGGCTGAAGGGGCAGTATCTGAGCGAATACCAGGCTGAGAAGGTCAGGTCATCGCGTAGCCGGCGAGGAAGCAGCGAAGAGCCCAACGCTGAGCGCGACCGCATACGAGAGTTAGAGCGTCAGCTTGAAGAGGCCAAGGAGCGTGAGCGCCAGTACCAGGCAGAGCGAGAAGGACGTCTATCAGACAAGAAGGTGCGCTCGCGATCCAAGAGCCGTACGCGTGAGCGGTCAAAGAGTCGAGCCCGACCAGCGCCTCCACCCCGCGCTCCCTCGCCACAAGACAGCAACGTCTCATGGGCGCAAGCAGACGATCGCGAGTACCTCCGCAAGCAATGGGACCAGACACAGAGGCAGCCAGCACGACCCCTGCCCGAACCCGCAGCGCCGTCTCTCCCTACACGTCCACTACCTGAGCCAACCACGCGGCCCCTACCCGACCCAGCCGCATATACAAAGCAGAGCCGAACAGACCGCTACCTCGCCTCCAACCCCGCCCCCGCGCCACCCAAGCCCCAAACCTACATCCCACCGGAGCTCACATCCACCTCCGAACAACGCGGCGAAGACGCCCGCCGAGCCGCCGCTCAAACAAAGACAAAAGCCGCCGGCTGGGCCAGCAAGTCCCTCCTCGAACGTGAAATGGAGCGTGAACGCGAGCGCCAGAAGGAGTGGGAAGAGTCGCAGCGGGCGCTGCAAGAAGCGGCCAAGGATCCTAATGCTGGGACTGGCGGTGGTCAAAGCTGGGATGTCAATCAGTATGGATACATGGGTGGTGATAATCAGAATAAGTTGGGCGGTATTGGGGCGGGGAAGAGGCAGATTATTGGGCCTAGGCCTTTTGGGCCAAGGTAGATGTTGATGGGATGAGGAAAGGGGAGGGAGGGATTTTGTTTGTTGGGCTTGGTAGATGTTGCATGTTAGCGCTGCTTGCGGCGGGATATGTACGTTTTTCTAATACATTTATTTCAGACTTTCTGTATATCCCTTCTCTAGATGATGAGAATGGAGCGTCGAACGACCGTGAGGGTCGTTCAAATGTCACTTCGCCATCATGCCTCTGAACAATAGCAGCAAGTGCTTAGCCTGCTCAGCCCGTCTTACTAACAACGAAAGCCACAAACAAACCACAAGCAGTCACCATATACGCGCTCACACCAAATGCGCCCTGGATATCAGATTCTAATATCGACCAGCATACTCCAAAAAGCAAGCTTCCTAAGATGAACACCACAAAGCTGATCGTGATGATGAGGTCGAAATCCCAGCCTTCTTGGAAATAAAACCCCCATCCCTCAGCTGGATGATCTCCAGCCCCCGATAGTGTTCCCGCGATACGCTTCGGTACCTGATGCAATACCCAAGTGTAATCTTTAGCGATGGATTCAGGGCAGTTGAGCATATGGAGTAACTTGCTCGATCCTACAGGCGGCCAAGTACCTGGGGGGCAAGGGATATTGCAGCGGTACTCTGCGTTTAGATGAGGCTCGATAATATGTACTGGGGGCAAACAGTCGCAGTAGCTTTCTGCCGATGGTATAGAGGAACAGGACCCGTTGTGGTCGCGGACTTCAACGTGACTGTTCGTCTCGAGAAGGAACTGGGGTTGTATCAGCTTGTAATCGATGTATTTGGCCATGTATTGTTCGCTTACCTTAGTGAAGAAGATGCCCTGTATTGAACGACAGGATAGGGAACGAAGAAAACGGCTATGGCGTCGAGATGTCTTCGTTCTGAGAAGAGTGAAGAGTTCTCGGTCGCTCTTGATGCCGTGGACGTCGATCTGCAGTAGTATTGGGTCATTGCGGGTGCGATGTGCGCAGGACATGAGATAGACTGTGTTTGACTGTTCCGATGGGTTGCTCGGGTTAGTGATGTTGGACGTATTAGCTGTGTTACCGGTATTGTATCGAATTAGACTCGGAGAGTCCAGGTGGTGCCATGGAAATACCGCAAGCAAGGTGCTACTGACACGCCGCAACCATGTTGACACTCTGACGGTATATCTTTGTGCTGTGATGCCGGGGCAGTATGCAGTGACTGTAATCTTGGCATCTGTTGAGGATTTCCTCATCTCTTGTACCAGCGCCGCCACGCCACCACTCTTCAACTCCTTGACATCGTCGAAGAACCGATCGCCACATACCTGCGGTCACGGTCAGTGGCGTACCATTGCACTGACACCTTTGTAGTAAGCTCACACATTCGCTCCTTATACGGGTCCAGCCAACTTTGAGTGGAGGTTCCAAGAATCCTAACGCCATGAAGGAATCATCCGTCAAGGGAAAGACGACATCTATCAGAAGAAACAGAGCAACGAACAGAGCGGCTCTTGCTAGGCGCACCCGGTCGAAGCCTGGAGCCAGACTATATCTTTTCTTTGGAGCGCCGAGCACGCCCGCCACCGCTAGAACAACAACTGTAAGAAAGCCATACGCTTGAATTTGTGCATCTTTCTGCCATGTATACCATGTGCGCCTGCTATTACCTGTTGTAGGAGGCGTCCAATCCAACTCGACGGTGATTGGCCTGTACGATGACGCCTTAAACTCCTTGGTACAGAAGGCATGAATCCGTGCTTGCAGTGTCGCATAGGCATCACTGTTTCCCAGGAACAAATAGAAAGTTCTCAGATTCCCCAATTCCGAGATTCCATCTGATCGTTCTATTGTTTCTTCTTCCGAGCTGTCTTCAAGGTCCTTACTCTCTTGTTCGCGTTGATGTCCGGATGCCGGTGGGTGGTGATATATGTCCTCTCCGCCGGAAATACACCAAGCTGCGTAATGTGCCTTTGCTTGGACGAGACGGCAAGCTGCAAACTGGAATTGGTCATTTGCCTCTCCTTTGAGCTGCTCTGCGAATGCTTTCAATGATTTATGGATGTATCTCCTTAGTCTGTTGGGTCCAATCCTGGTATCGTTGCGTGCAGACTCATATAGTGGTATCAGTAATTGGTCCTCCTGCAAAATGGAGATGAAGATGCGCGTAGCACTCTGAATCTGCTCGACCGTGAATTGGCTACCTCTAGACAACGCTGTTGCACCTGTCTCCACAGATTCTGCGAAGGTGCTCAAAGAAACTGGTGCTGTGGATGCAACAGATGAGTCTTCATCTTCATCGTCTAAAATTGCTTCGTGTTCGAAAACGTCCCATTCGATGTCAAACTCGTCTGGGCAGAATTCTGGACTTTGCGCAGTATTCCATCGAATGTCTTCCAACATCACAGACGATGATTCGATTTCCATAGTTGGCGTGTCTTGAAAGGGGCCTGGTCCAGACAGATCCGACTCGACGTGGGCGTCTGACGACATGGCAACCGAGCGACGGTGAGCGTTTCCGCGACGAACTGCTGGCGGTCCAGGGCGTAATATCGAGGTTGGGGCAGTAGAGACATTCTCTCCCTTTGTCGGGCTGCCTCTGTTCTTGACTGTGTTGATACCGTGAGCTTTGTCGGTGATACCGTAATATACGCTAGCTAACTTGACAGCTTCAGTCCGCTCTCCTGTCACTTCATTTAGGGGAGAAGGCGTTTCATTCCCAACGTTGTCGATACCGTAAGCGTTGTCGGTGTCGCTCACGTTCCGGTAGTTGTCAACGGGTGGTGACTGCGTTTCATTTGAACTGTGATAATCTCTGATGGTCTCGTCATAACCAGCACCGCATGATGGGCAACTTGTTTCATGAACGAAATTCCAAGTATTGACGCATCTACCATAGGGATTGGGGCAGCGCCAGAAACCATGTGGATTGGTGGTCGGCATGAGGAAATCCTCGTTTTTCCTGGCAAATTACTTAGATGCAGTATCATCAGACGAGTGAATGGGGCACCGGAGCGGCCTGCAACTCTTGAAGAGAGGGCGTTGTGCTGAGAACATAAGTGGAACGTTCGGATGAAGGGCACATCAAGCTGAAGATTGCCAGATGATCAGGCAGCCACACCTGGGCGGCCTTGTCATCGTGCATGCCATACAGCTGTCAGCAAAAACTTGGTCTCCGAAGCCAACCAGTAAGCTGAAGGGGGCGAGTTCAGCATTCCCATCAGACGGCCAATTGGATGCGCGTTGATCGGCAGCGGCACTGAAGAGGCGCGAAGCATTGTGGCGTCGGTGAGCGAGCTTGATGCTCGATAAGGCCCTAATTAGGACGCGCGATAAGTTGGTCGTTTTGGCCTTGCCGACATCTCAACACTGCTGGTTGTTTGAGATGACAGCCGCAAGTCCAGGCAGTACACGCGTGTCAACCTTGGAACCGTCGGAGGTAGACCGACCTAGCAACAAGATCGGAAACCCGCTAGCCGCATCCGTTCTACCTCGGCTCGATCGCGCATCACAAGCAGCTCCCCAACCGAACGACTCGACCGCCCAGGTCATCAAAGCCGACGACGTCCCATTTTCAATCCATATTACAGTTTCGTCCTTCTCGACACAATTGGCAAAAGATAACTACAAGCTTCGGACGGCTACAGAAAGAGCAAGATTACGAGACATCGGAAGAAACCACGTGGGCAGCAATCAGCAATGGCGGAAGCGTACCAGAAAGAGTTCTTCAACGTCTCATTTCCAGCGGAATATGTTGCGCATGTTGAGATCAACAGGCCGGAAAAGCTGAATGCTTTCAAAGAGGTGTAAGTATACGTTGTCCTCTCTACTGTCACGAAGGTCAGGGCATAGGCTTCGGAATCTACGCGTATCACGTGTCGCGATAAAAGAGAAGGGTCAATACCTAGATTGCAATGTCTCTGGAGGACTTCGTAGTCGCAGTCTCTATGATCCATGTTCAATTCATTACCAGCGTCTACACCATATAACCCGCAAACCCCCAACTAACATCCCCCAGCATGTGGCTAAACCTTTCCTCCATCTTCCGCCAACTCTCCCACGACCCCTCCGTGCGCGCCGTAATCCTAACCGGCGCGGGCGACCGCGCCTTCACCGCAGGCCTAGACGTGCAAGCAGCTTCAGAAGGCGGCGCCCTATCCTCCCAAGCCGACACTTCAGATGGCGCACGCAAAGCCAACGCCCTCCGCCGGCACATCCTAGAATTCCAGTCCTGCATCACCGACATCGAGAAATGCGAGAAGCCCGTCATCGCCGTCTTGCACGGCGTATCGTTCGGTCTGGCCCTGGATATGTCATTAGCGTGTGATATCCGCGTGAGTACGACGACGACGAGGTTCAGTGTGAAAGAGGTGGATATAGGGCTTGCGGCTGATATTGGCACGTTATCTCGTCTTCCTCACTCTGTTGGCAACTTATCCTGGGTCAAGGATATTGCGTTGTCGGCGAGGATCTTTGGGTCGGATGAGGCGTTGCAGCATGGGCTTGTGTCGAAGGTGTACAAGGACAAGCAGGGGGCGGTTGCTGAAGCGACGAAGTTGGCGACGTTGATTGCGTCAAAGTCGCCCGTGGCGGTACTGGGGACGAAGGAGATTATCAACTACTCCAGGGATCGGCCGATTAGTGAGGGATTGAACTACACGGCTGTGTGGAATGCGGCTATGTTGCAGACGGCGGATGTCAAGGATGCTATGATGAGTGGGTTGAAGAAGACGAGTCCCAAGTTCAGTAAGCTGTAAAAAAGCAATCAGATGTGTTTTGTGAGATCATGGGATGCGATTATCATATGAAAGACTTTTATCCCAAACCATATCGGAGCAGCGACACACTTCGTTCATCGCGGAGGACGTTTCAATGAGCAACCTTAACCTCCATAGTCCACATACGAAAACATAAACCACCACGCATGGCAAGCAACCACTTTTGGACTTGAGAATTTTCATTGACTCTAAGCGCCTGGACGTGGTAATGCCGGAAGAGTCCCAAACCCATCCCGCATGAGCATCAATCATAACCCATGGCATGCTACAGAAGATGTGGAATCGTGATTTTCCCGTTACGCCCCGTTGCACTACCCAACATGCACTACCTTATCCCCTCGCCATGACACCCCAGCAGCGGATACGGTTGTCGGTGTATCCGGCGAACAGGGTCTGGCCGTCGGCGCTCCAGGCCAAGGAGACACACTCGGGCTCCCGGCTCTTCTTGCCAACCTCCATGTACTCAGGCTTGAGCTCGTCAACCTTGGACTTCTTCTCAAGGTCGAAGATGATGATGCTGGAGGCGGTGGCAGCGCACAGCCAGTAGCGGTTGGGGGAGAAGACAAGGGCGTGGATCTCGTCACCGGCGGAGAGAGAGTAGAGGTGCTTGGACTCGTTCAGGTCCCACAGCATGGTGGTTCCGTCCTTACCACCGGAGGCGCAGAGGGAGCCATCGGGCGAGATGGTGACGGTGTTGATGTAACCGGTGTGACCGATGTGGTCAGTCTGGATGCGGCATGAAGCGAGTTCCCAGACCTGAATATTGTCAGCTTCCCGAATTTGAAGAGGCTTGAAACAGAACGAGTGGAGGAGCGTGAATCAGTACTAGGTGATAATTGTCTCATAGCCGAAGCTCTGAAGTAGCAAATACATAGATATTCATCATGTAAACAAGGAAATGGAGGAATTGGTGTAAACGCGGATGTACGCACCTTGACGAGCTTGTCCCAACCAGCAGAGACGATGACGGGGTTCTGGGGGTTGGGGGAGAAGCGGACGCACGAGACCCACTCGGTGTGGCCCTTATCGGTGATGGTGTACTTGCAGTCACCGAGGGTGTTCCAGAGCTTGATGGTTCGGTCGCGCGATCCGGAGACGATCTGGCGGTTGTCGGCGGAGAAGGAGACGGAGAGAACGTCGTTGGTGTGGCCGACGAAGCGGCGGGTGGTGACACCGGTGGAGAGCTCCCAGAGGCGGAGGGTCTTGTCCCACGATGAGGAAAGAGCGTAGGCGCCGTCAGAGGAGATGACCTGTGCAGCAATTGTCAGCTCAGCTGTCCTCGCTTCCTAGCTAGCCAATTGCCCAATTTTGTGGTGAACGTACACAGTCGGAGACAATGTGGGAGTGACCGTGCAGACTCCTCTTGGGGTAGCCGTAGGAGGTCTCGTCGCGGGTCAGGTTCCAGATGATCAGAGTCTTGTCGCGCGATCCGGACAGGAGCATGTTGGGGCTAATCGCGTGTCAGTATTGCGCATTCGTGCATTTTCCCTCGTTCCGCGTATACGCACTTCTCCAGAGAGGTAGCAAGGGAGGTGACCCAGCCGGAGTGGCCCTCGAGGGTACCACGGAGTACGAGTTGCTCGGCCATGATTGCGATGAGTGGCTTCTGCTTGGGATGGACGTAGGCGCACTCGGGTGTTAATAGTTGTTCGTCGAAGAGCACTGCGCACAAAGGCTGGAGGCTTCAAAATTCCAAGGTTGATAGGCGAACCACTAGCGTTGTTTGGGCTTAGCGTGGGCAGTCAGCACTGGAGCCCTTACTCGACATTTGGACCTCACCACTTGGACATGACATTGTTTCGCTAAGAAACTGCCCCTAGTGAAGGGTACAGATCCAGATAAGTTTTCAGTCATCCCACGAAATCAATCCACGCGATATCCCATTCTCAGCAACTCACACCAAAGTCAATATAGAGGGGTAGTCAATATGCTTGCGCGTATCTCCCCTGTGCAATACGTGCCATATCATCGCCTTTATTATATAAGCATTCACATTAATTCGTCTTCTGAAGGATCATACCAGTGCATGGTTAAGGTTGGGCAAAACATTTCTACTCGTTCCTTTCCCTGACTTCACAACTCCTTCCATCCAAAGCCGACTAACTCCGGTCTCCCATGTCTTATCTCCGCGCTACTTCCCCACCACATAGAAACACGTACAAATAGAATGGTATTCCTCAAACGTGGGAAATAATCGCATCATATTCTCTTTACTCCAAAAAGACATCAGGATTACTCATAATTCTACCGCTCTTGACTGCCTTGACGTACACATCGTTTCACCAGCATCAACTTGAGTTCAATTCCAGTCCTCGTATATCTCAGTACCACGAATACACCAATAATGACATCCCCTCAAAAACAAATATTCCTCCTCGGCGCCGGCGAACTAGGCACAGCCTTCCTCCCTCACCTCTCCACCCTTCCCAACACCCACATCACCATCGGCATCCGCTCACCCTCAAAATACACCCACCTACAATCCCCCAACATCTCCCTCACAGCCATCGACCTCTCTTCACCCTCTCCCGACCTCGCACAAATATTCTCCGCATACGACATTCTCATCTCTGCTACAGGCTTCGGCGCCGACCCCAGCACAGTCCTCAAGCTCGCCGAGGAAGCGCTGTTGGCTGGCAAGATCAGAAAAGAGCAGGGGAAAGACAAACTCTGGTTCTTCCCCTGGCAGTGGGGTGTTGATTACGATATCATTGGTGATGGGGAGGGAATGATGCCGTTGTTTGGTGCTCAGCGCGATGTGAGGAATTTGTTGCGCGAAAAGGCTGAGGAGAGTAATGTCAAGTGGACGATTGTTAGTACGGGGATATTCATGTCGTTCCTTTTCGAGCAATTTTGGGGGATCGTAGATAGGAGTAAAGAGGAGGAAGGGAAAGTGGTAGTGAGGTGTTTGAGAGACTGGGATCACAAGGTCACTGTGACGGATGTGAGTGACATTGGACGGGTGTTGGCGAGGGTTATAGCGGGGGGTGTGGAAGCTGAGGACTGTGTATTATATATCGCGGGCGATTCTGTCAGTTACGGGCAGCTGGCTAATATTATCAAGCGGGTGAGCAGGAAGCAGGTTGAGCAAGAGGCGTGGAGTGTTGATCACTTGAAGCGGGACCTTGACGCAGCGCCAGACGATGGCATCAAGAAATACAGGCTGGTATTCGCAAGGGATGGTGTATGGTGGGACATGGACAGGACGGTGAATAAGGCATTGAGCATGGACATGATGGATGTTGAAACATTTGCTAGAAGGCTGTTCAGTGGATGAAGGGTAGGTAGTCAGCAATCGCAAGCAATGGACGTCTTAGTAGCTTGGAAATTGATTCTGTAATCCACATTACGCGTGATTATTGATGAACTGTTCGACAAGTATTACTACATGAGCGTGAGCCGAAAGCCTCGCGACAGCCTGGGGGTGGAACGTACTTGTTCCCAATTGCTTTCACGGTCATTTAACTGCTTTCGCGTCCCCTGGTGTGTTCCAGCATACTGCGCTATACCCTCTTGACCCGGGTCGGGACTATAGCATTCGCGCCAGTAGCTGCTCCACCTCCTTCTCGTCCACCACCCCTCATGGAAACTCCGGGTATATCTTCACCATTCTGCCTCTTCCTCTTCATTCCCGCCTCAAGGGCCTCAGCTGCGTAGTTGTCGTGACCAAAGGCAGGTATCATTCCTCTATGTGCATCAGGTCGCTCCTAACGTCCCGGTGGTCCAGGAGGGTATCTGCCAGGAGGTCCTCCAGGCGGCATTCCCATACCACCTGGTGGTGGGTACGGCATTCCTCCAGGGGGTGATCCTGCCTGTCCTGGTGGTGGGAATGGGAAGGGCGGCATTCCTTGGGGTGGGCCGCCTCCCATATGTGGTGGTGGGAAGGGCGGCATACCGCCAGGGCCCGGGGGCATACCATTTGGCGGAGGGAAGGGTGGCATTCCGTTGGGTGGCATTGGAGCTGTCGCGCGGTCAGCATAGGATCATGTGTGGTAACTATAAGGCAACTTACGACCTCCACGGCCCATGAACTGTGGCGGCATTCCACCCATGGGCGGCATTCCTGGCGGCGGGAATCCAGGCATTCCCATCGGTGGCATTCCCATTGGGGGCATTCCGCCCATGGGCCCGCCAGGGAAGCCTCCGGCCAAGTTCTGTTGAAACAGAGGGTTGGCTTGTCCTTCTGTGTTGTACGCATCCGTGATGCTGTTGATGACTTGCTGTGTCTGGTCGCTCGATATCTGCTCGTAGTAGGCTTGGACGTTGCGGAGATGGTTGCGACCGTTGTTGTGCGCCTTCCGCACGCTCATACTATCGTGCGTGAGGTAGACATCGCAGTAATCGCAGAAGAATTTCGGCATTGTGTATGAAGTGCTCGCGTGGTCGTAGAGATGGGGAATTCGTAGTAATGGGGTCGGTAGCGAAGTTGCGCGTGGAGTTTGGAGCGCGTCGCAAGAGCTAGAACTGGAAGAATCCCGTCGGCGATAGTTGCGCCGATAGTCTTGGCAAGCCTCATCGCTCTTTCACGTGTTCCGTCCTGGAGTCCGCACCTTCCACATCACGCATTACTACCCACGTCACCTCGCATCGATGCAAACTAATTACAACTCGAAGTGGACTTTTTGTACTAGCCCAACGCTCATACAAGAGATCGATTTCCACACCCATAGGCTACAAGCGTCGTCTTTTTGAATCCATCCATGGCTCCCTGAGGGACGCGTCCAACACGAGTTCATCGAACTTTCTACCACGGTCCTCTATTGAGGATCATGAGCCGACACCTCAATCTCCACCTTCATAGCATCCTCGCCCAATTTCACAACGCCAACACAAGTCCAGATAGGCTCATGATCAGGCATCCACATCTTGAAGTTCCGCACCATAGCTCCCAACGCCTCATTGTCCATTGGAATATGGTAAGAGTTCACGCGAAACACCTGCGACCAGCCCTTCCCGCCAGCGGTTTTCAGAGCGAGCTCCACATTTTGGAAAGCTTGGTCGATCTGAGCGTCGATGTCTGCGGGTATGAGTCTGGTCATGGGATCCCATCCACCTAGCATCCGAACCATCAGTATGTGAAGCTCATGGAGGACATGTGTATAGATCACCTTGGCCTGCGCACTCGATACGATCACCGACACGAACTGACTGACTGTATCTGGTGTTTTCCCTGGCTGACTCGCCTTTGCCGGGGTATGCGTAATATGGGAGGTGTGACATGTTTTTGTGACGGTTATGTGTGGACACATTCAATGTCTGGAGGTTTTGCACCTGTCAGAGCATGGTAGTATCACAGCACTTATAGGTACCATCACCGACACATGACGCATGTACGGATCATATCCCGTGCGGCTGACCAAGCTCGTAGCGAGCTATCGTTAGCTGCTTGGACGGCCTCACGGCTCCTTCTCCGCTATGTCGCTGACTCATAAAGCTCAATTCGCAGTCGACGACCTCATCCGGCCCATATGATATAACTGTTCGCAATTTAAGGATTCGACCTGATATACGATAAACAGCTTTACAGGATCTGAGACTCGTGCAGCGAGAAAGCCCTATCTTACTGGCACGACCGTTAGCCCACACACTATCAACGTATCAACCGCCATCTGAACGGGCATTGGGGTCTAAGACCAGGCTGTCATACCGGAAAGTCCTTACGAAGCTCCAACCATACTTCCCGGTCCGTACAATCCAGGTTGCCTTCCGATGTGGATCTACATGGAGGCTGTTGTTCCACAACTTGCTTCTCTGTCGCTTTTAACCAAGGCTTCGGCAGCGGCCAGTCTGAAATATGGACGAACTTAGCTTCCTCCAACACATTTCTTGCTTTCCGGCCTTCCGCCGGCGAACCAAGGTATGCCTTAAGCTCATCGGCTTGATGGCCAAACGTCTGAGTCAAAAGGGCGTGTCTGCGATGCGGAATTACCAGGGCGGAGTCACCGAACACCTTGTTCAAGATCTCCATGTCGTGGTTATGGCCTTCGGGATGTTCCATTGCGTTCTGCACCCGCTGCCAGCTATCTTCCGACGGCTCGATGACTAGAAGCAGAGATGACAAGAAAAACCGATCGAGTCAGTACGCGCGGGGCATTGCGACTGCAGTTGTGGGGAGGAAAAAGAGCTCATCCATGTTCTGCTGATCGGTAACAAAAGTCATTATATCGAACACCCGCGTCGGGATTTGGAGAAAGAGAATAGCCTACATTGAACAACGTTCCATCAGATTCTAAGGCGATGACGCGCTTGTACTGAAACTGGTTCCACGCTAACAGCTTCGTATAGCTAATCTGCCATGTTGTATCGTTTTTGTTCTCGTAGGTCTGTACTTGGATAGGGCTTAGTCTTGCCCCATATCTGTCCCGAGCCCGAGCAAGTAGCTTTCCTCCGTAGTCAGTAGCATCCATCTCATCTTCCAATACACCACTTGGCACTTCCCATTCCTGCGGGTACAGCATTAGGAGTTCCGCCCTCGTGCTGTGTCGTCTGAGAGCCTCGAATATCATGAGGGAGTTGCAAAGATAGCTCGAATCTGTCACATATTGTACGTATGCGAAGTCTGAACAGACTAAGTTCTTGCCTATGACTAGGAGCGGGTACGGCGCGCACTTCGTTGCGGAAATACCGTTGTGCTGGTGTGACTGTCGGGACGTGGATAGTATGTAGAGAGTTCTTGCAAAGACATGTACTAACAAGATTGTCACTCTGACAATGAAAATGAAGCTAGGCTCACGAGCCGAAAGCGCAAAAAGACCTCGCATGGAGAAGGACAATTGCGCTGCTCAAATGCTGAATGAAGAAGAGAATTGTATGGAAGAAGGCGACAGAAGAGCTGATGTGCGAGCGACCGTTTAGTGCTCGAACAAACTCTGAACGACCGACAAAGGTGAACACAAGAGGCTTCGCTGTTTGTTTGTACTTGGTGAAAGACTAGAGTGAATGTCTACGCGAATCCCAAAACACTGTGAGTGTACCACCGTGAAATACACGGTAAAAAGGCCATCGCATATGGTTCACCCTTGAATGGAAAGGAGGAGATATGCAGACTCCGAAGTGAGCCTGATTGCGAGGCTACTAACTTTCCTAGAATGAGCAGGTACTCTTCTGCGATCGGACGTTTATCCTTTAGTCTGTGCATGCCCACTGTGATATACTATAGGAGCATTGACTGTTGGCGACACATCGATCCGGAAAACCCGTTCTTGCGCGAACGCTCACGTAATTTCACGAGAACTAATAGCAAGGTGGTGCAAATTCGGCTTGGTTTCTACTTACGCCTTTGCGTATGGCGATGGAGTAGAGATCTTCATAATCAACGGTGAGAATGCAGGCTACCAGTACTCACTCATAGGATATGTCGACGAGATATAATAGTATGGGACAACGGGTGATAGGTTCTGGACTGGATACAATCGTTACTGGTCTCTTTCGCAAACGAAACGACGAGGTTTCCTTCGGTAACTTTACTAAGATGAAGAAGGCTAGAAAGAGCTCAGTGAACTTGATTGCGGAGCAACAGATGATTGTACATTGTCTAACTCATCAGTCGCAGCGATCATTACCATTTCTGGTTCCGGAGCATCGATGGAAACATGCGTAGCGTTTGAATCCACAACGTGGGTAATTCACACTATCGACCCTGCGCGGCACAATGACGCGGACATGAACCTTGCGATACCAGGGTTGAAAAGGCTGCTGCGCGGGGTAATGCTATGAGAGGCCCACTAGATGTATGCAAGCATGGTGCTAGACAACGCTCTCAATTCATTGAAAACTTGGCTATGTTTTGGAGAATACCTGGGTCCGTGTGCAAGCTTGAAGATCTGGGCTTGAGCAGTCGTAGAGTGTAGACACTGTAGCTATCTCCAAGTACAGAGTTTGGTAGCCATACGAAGATCTTCGAATACTTCATAGCCGCGCTGAGCGAATGAGTGTAGACCTTCTCCGTGCCGTCTTCAAGCTAGTGCAGGAATGGACTCAAGCAGCGAGAGATGCCTGTTGTGCGATAATGCACGACGGAACATGCTTACGCTTGGGGATTCTATGGGCAGGACGTTATAATGCGTCGCGCAGGAAGATGCGCATCGCGCAACATTCCTCCTCCTTCAGCATATCTCGTTGTAAAATGTCGCGCAACGCTGAAGATAGCGGGGCCAGCCCCACGCTGCGCAATTACAACAGCCTCATCGCGATTGGCCTTCCCATCGCACTACTACTTACATACCTCAGCCGCGTCGCATTGCAATGGTACCGTCTATCGCACATTCCCGGACCATTCTGGGCATCCATCTCCAGCTACTGGATAATCAAGCAGACTCTCAAAGGACGCCTGGCTTTCGCGACGAAAGAACTGACCGACAAATATGGCCCGCTGGTACGCGTCAGCCCAACCGACATCGTTACCAGCGATCCAGACATCGTGCGCAGAACGACAGCAGTGCGATCAGAGTACACGCGAGGGCCATGGTACAATGCGATGAAGCTGGAGCCTGGGCGCGACAATCTTTTCTCGATGCGCGACGAGGTTGCGCATATGAAGTTGAGGAATAAGATGGCTCCTGGCTACTCCGGGAAGGAGAATGAATCGATGGAAGGCACTGTCGATGAGCAGGTAGCCGCTTTCATTGATTTGATCGAGAGAAAATATGTTTCTACCGCGACTGAATATCGGCCTATGGACTTTGCGCTCAAAACGCAATACTTCACCCTGGACGTCATCAGCGCATTGGCATTCGGGAAACCGATGGGGTATCTGAAGCAAGACGTCGATCTCCACGATTACATCAAGATCACCACGACATACGTCCCCTTCATGTTGACCCTTTCGAACGTGCCCTGGCTGGCGAATCTATTGCATTCGCGGCTGTTGAGAGGTGTGCTTCCCAAAGAGAGCGACAAGCTCGGCTTCGGAGCGTTCATCAACGTGGCAAGGAAGGTGGTTGCGGAAAGATTTGCATCCGAGGAGTCCAAGCCAAAGTCCGACATGCTCGGATCTTTTATTCGCCATGGTCTCACGCCGGAAGAAGCATCGAGCGAGGCGCTCCTCCAGATTATCGCTGGTAGCGATACTTCGGCGTCTACAATTCGCGCTGTTATGCTGCATACGCTGGCCAATGCGTCTTCTTATAGGAGACTGCAAGCGGAGATCGATGACGGTATTGCCGTTGGGACGATTTCCTCGCCCATTACAGATGCTGAAGCACGACGGCTACCGTACCTCCAGGCTACTATCAAAGAGGGCTTGCGCATCTTGCCTCCAGCGACCGGGGCGAACTTTAAATGCGTTCCTGCAGGCGGCGATATTCTTGCCGGCAAATTCATTCCTGCGGGAACGCAAATTGGGTCTTCCTATCTTAGCATTCAGCACTCGACGGCCATCTTCGGTCCAGATGCTGAGCTCTTCAGGCCAGAACGTTGGCTGGACGCTGCGGAAGATCCTGCACGTCTTGCGCACATGGCCAGTACCGTGGACCTAGTCTTCCACTACGGAAAATACAAGTGCTTGGGCCAGAATGTCGCGTTGATGGAATTCAACAAGGTTTTCGTTGAGCTACTGAGGCGGTTCGACTTCTCAATCGTACATCCGCTTGAAGCAGCAAAAATATTCAACGCTGGAGTGTGGATTATGGAGGACTTTTCGGTCAGGGTCACACGGCGTGCAGTCTGATTAAGACATGACCAGGGCTGAGTGAGATGCGCTTCTCATTGCCGTAGTGCTGATGCACTTGTTAGGATCTGACAGCGGCAGATGTCGACATAGCGGAAGGGAGGGAACCGACATGTCACCGAAAGCATCGGAAGCAAGGTTCATGTCAGCAATCTCGGCCTCCGGGTAAATCATTCCTTGTATTGACGCACTCAAAACCAACGTCTGAACAAATTGAAATGTATAGGCAGTCGTGTAACTTGACATTTTAGGTGAATGCGCTGAATCTCACGACTGTAAAACGTAATGAATTCGACCAGTACAGGATCAATGCGCGCCTCATAGATGATGACGACTCTATATCGAGACAATGCATCGCATACCGAAACTGCGAAGGAAGGCGTGGCAGTCTCAGGCCCATGTTGAGGAATATCGAGAAGCATGCGCCGCACTATATACTCGGCTTCCCAAACCCATCATCACTGCGCCAACCAAAACTGCTGATCGAAGCGTGGCAACGGAAAAAAGAAGCCCTGTACGAAGAAGCATATACAGTTCTCGGCTTCTCAGACCTAGACCGAGAAACCCGCTGATCACCGCGTAGCAGTAACATTCTTCTGTCGGTCGGACGTGTAAGAGAGTATTCGGTTTCCAAAACACACTCTGGGTCGACTACGGATGCTTGCTCGGCGTAGCGCGGGTTACATGCTGATGAGAGCACAAAAGCATCATATGCTCGATTTGCCACGTGCACGCATCGCGAGCGGTACCAGTACCGGTGTTCTTCAACCTACCCGTGTGACTTTCCTCGTTGGGGACGCTGCCGCTGGTACAGACGCTGGTAGGCTCTAGTGGGTATGTGCGACCTGGAAACTGTTCCATGAGGCTGAGACACGCCCTACAGTAGCGCGAACATGCGTTCTACAGATAGATTGAGCTTTCTTCTTCTTGCTCATGTGGCACATGCCCGTTATGGCATTGCTTGGTTTGCACTGGTGAAGAATATGGCGTATTTGTCGGCTCTGGCGGTGAAGAAGCATAGCGGCACGCCGGGCTCGCCGTTTCGATTGCTAAAAAGAATCTTCTTACACGGGATGGTTTTTTTCGCACGCCTCGCGGGTACTAAGCTCAGCCTTCTTCAGCCCTCGAGCAGTAGTGTTATTGTTTTTCTCGTGTCGGCGCTGGCTAGCGCTGAGTAGTTGGCGGGGTAGGCCGTATTCCTCTTCGCCCTCACGCACTTTCCAACATCATCACCACGCTGCTTCGTACTGCGGAATTGGACCTCGTACGACAAGGTACGGAGGCGTCGCGATGCAAAGTGGAGCTTGCCACTCGAAATAGACGGCCGATAAGCCTGTGCACGAGGAGATTGCGATGGGGGGTTTGCGTGATAAGGCGATAGTGGATTGTTCGGGATACTTTGTGCGAGGTTATTCCCGCATGTGTGTGGAGCGCCTTTATGTGAGGCGCTGGGGGTTGAGTGTTTAGCGACAGGAAGTGCATGCTGCCCGCAGATCCCCCTTTCAAATCACAGCCACTTTGTTTGCAACGGCAACGGCTGCTATCTTACCGTCACACAATGGATTGGAGTGTCCTCATCTCAGCTCGAGGGCGATACTAGCAAATCCTTCTGTCAAGATGACGCTGCCGTATTCAATTGACAACTCACCCGCGCGTGATGTGAAAGTCTGCATGACAGTAGGCATGGCACGCTGGCGGACGCCATGTTGACCGGAGCATTACTAGACATTGCTAGATACCGAGGGCGTTCCTGAGAGCTATATTTGGCTGCACGGGATCTGGAAGCGAAGCGAAGAGAAAAACACGATGCGCCATCCAATCATGGCGGCCCTGCATTCCGGCAGCCGGCAGGTCCGCCTCGTGAACGCAGCGTGGGCAGCCCAGGAAAAAACGACAAGCTCCACAGTAGTTCGTTCACGTCAGCGCGCTGACAATTTTCCTCCAACTCGGGGCCGGCTCAGGCCCAAGAGCCACGGCAAGCAGCATTATCCTCGTGTGTAGACTGTCAAGCCCGAGGTTGGCCTGACCTGGGCGCCCGGCCAGCGTTTGATGAGCCACGGCCCAAAAGCAGTATAGTCTCCCACTTATCATTTGTTCCCTCTGCTGTAGCTCGCGCACGCTTACTTACTTTCCAATACAACGTTGCAGGCCTAGGCCGAATTCACGCCCACGGTACATGCGTGCTTCGTATTTCCATGACCGATGATCAGGTGTCGCTGGTGAGACGGCTCGTCAAGCGCACTGCGAATGATCTGCAGTACGAGGCGCGCGCGCTGTGGATAGTCGGGCGGTAAGGCGGAAGATGCAGGTCCCAGGTATAAGGATGACTGGCCGTCCTGCATGTCGGGATCTTTTTGTACAGCTCGCTCATCAATCACACCAAGCAACCGCATTCGCTTTTAGGTTGTTGTCCTTCGCTTTCCTGCTACTGTCAATCGGGATCTTAGTACCTTTATAATACTTATACCTTAATCATGCGTACCTCAATCTTGTCCGCCACCTTGGCTGTCGTAGCTAGCGTTTCTGCGCTGCCATCTCCTCAGGAGAGTCCCCTAAAGAACCTCCTCACCAAGGCTCTCCCACTCAACATCTTCGCCGAGACACCAAAGTTCGCCCAGCCGGTCCCTCTCGAGGATGCCAAACGGATATTCCAGGAGCACAATGCCACACAGCCAGAGGAGCCTGCTGCGCAAAACCAAAATTTCCGCGTCACTACCTTCGCCGCTGCTGCAACATGCGCCAACCCTCGCGTCCGCGTTGAGTGGGACTCCTACCCCGACAGCAGCAAGCAGCAATTCGTGGATGCCATCAAGTGCCTGATGGGCCGCGCTCCCTCAGGCCAGTTCCCCGCAGCCAAGAGCCGGTACGAAGACCTTGTTGCGCTCCACCAGACCCTTACACCCAATGTGCACGGAAACTCCAAGTTCTTGCTCTGGCACCGTTACTACACCTGGGTCTTCGAGGACATTCTACGCTCAGAATGTGGCTTCAGCCAAACCATGCCCTGGTTCGACGAGACCAAGTACGCCGGTCGCTTCTCTGCATCATCCGTCTTCTCAGCCAAGTGGTTCGGAGGCATTGCCCTCGGCGGAAACTGTGTGACCAATGGCGTAAGTACCATCCTTCTGTCCGACATGCCTCCTGTGAGCTATAACTGACCTGTTGTAGGCATTCGCCAACCTCGCCATTAACATTGGCCCCGGCTCAGGCAACACACCCCATTGCCTTGCCCGCAACGGCGATGCCGCCAAGACCCAATACTGTAACTCCGACTACGTGAACCAGTGCAACGCCTACAGCGATTTCGCCGGCATGGCTGATTGCGCAGAGAAAGGCCCTCACGCTTGGGGCCACAACGGTATCGGCGCCGTCATGCAAGACACGTACGGTTCACCCGCCGACCCCATCTTCTGGCTCCACCACGCTTTCGTCGACCGCAACTTCCGCATCTGGCAGAACGCCAACGGTGCTCGTGTCAACAGCATCAACGGCAACGACGCATCTGGCAGGGCCCTTACCCTCGACACCAACGTCAACGTCTACGGCATCCGTCCTGATGTCAAGGTCAGGGATATTCTCGACACCACAGGAACCACGCTGTGCTACAAGTACAACTACTAGAACTTGTTTGGCTTTTGTGCTTAGCGTTGTTTGGGTGGCAGTGCCCGTTTACGCCTTTTCGTGTTCTTAGCGCTTCTGTATATATTTTATTTGAATGACATGTGTATCCATGAAAACGTCCTGTTGGTTGTGAGACTGTGCGCGATTGGCACGATGGGGTTGCATGGCCCCTTCATGTAACGAAAGTGGCTGAAACAGGCGAGATTGTGACTGTACTGATGGCACGTAAGATACACCGACCCCATATTCTCATCTTTGCATGTTCTGACTGTATCTTACATGAATGATAGTCACAAAAGATAGTTGTCTCGTGCCTCTTGCCGTCAAAGTAGCCTAAGAATACACGCGATGCTCTTTGTACGACCCTGAAGGCAAAAGTGGCGTGTAGATTCCCAAGAAGTGCCTTGAATTAAGGCTCGTCAGAAGGAGCATTTGCGTACTTGATGCGTCGCTACTATGATGCAACCGAGATTGGCGGGAGTTCGCAATTGTCAATCGCAAAATGAGCGTTGTATGCCGTCAGCGGGCACTGCCCTCCACTGATGAGATATTTCTCAACATCGGCAGCGAGCTCATCGTCCTTGTCCAGTTGCCATCCTAGCACATCCCCGTTTTCACCAAGCGTTCCCGATGCAGTCGAACGCTCGAGCGATAAGCACTTCGCTATCTCTTGCAGTACCCGCGGCCATGCACACTGTTGAATAGACCTCAAAGGTACCTTTTTCTTTTCTTCTGGTGCGTCGCTTGCGTCCTTTTCCCACGAGATGTCGCGCAGCCTGAGATCCTTCAACGTGGAGCTGTGTTTGACAAGAAGTGACGCCAGTGAATCTGGTGTAGCAGAAAATCCAGATAAGGATAATTTCTGTAGCTTGGGCCATGTAGTCTCGGTGTGAAAAACGTGGTGTATGCTTGCAAGAGGTGCGGTGGGGGTCAATGCTCCGTTTCCCAGGCCAATTTTCAGGCTTTCAAGCTGTAGTAGACACGCCATGAACATCTCCAGATTCTCCATTAGTTTTCCCAACGTTAGTCCATACTGGAAGCGCCAGTCACCCGAGTATCCAAATATTGTGATATCCAGACTTGTCAAGCAATGTAAATCGCCCAGTTCCGACGAAACGAAAGCCGAAGGATGTACTCTGTCCAGCTTGAGTTTTCTCAGTGACGATTTGCAGTATCTCTGTATAGTCTTGAAGGCCTCAATTCCTGGCAGACTGTAGAAATCGGCGATGCCTTCTCCTCTACGCAAGACAGGTGGTGTAGGCAAAGCGTGTGGTAACACGTGTGCTACTTTTCTCACACCACGGTGGGCTGGCCAAAGCTCGCCATTAACCACGTGAACTGATCGTAGATTCTGGAAGCATTCGAGTGCCTCGAGCTGTTCCGCAGCCTGTCTTGCAATCTTCTCGTCCAGGACGTTGTTTCCATATGCCTCCCACTCTTCTCGGTTCCCCGAAAGCTGAGCATAGAGGGGCCTATATAGCTCTTGTGATGCGGTGCGGTGTTCTCGAAGCAGATTCAGACCTGCTCTGTAATCACAATGCAGTTTCCATTCGTACATGCTTTCCACACGAAATATCTTAAATCGATTGTCATCCCAGAAGATGGTCTTCACACAATTTCGAATACGGTCGCTCGCACTGAGCTCTTTCAGGCGCTCAATACTCGCGGTACTGTAATGAAAGACAACGGTGCTGAAGAGCTCTTGGGTGCCTATCACACATAGTTGTTTGCTTGCGAACCGGTAGTGTGGTAGATCTTCCCGGTGGACGTATGTTGCAATAAGGCGATGTATCTCTGCGGGAAGGTGCGGTATGTCCAAACTCATCTTGATGGATGCAAACGTTAAAGTAGGGCGTTATCGTTCTGTGACATGTGGAGGGTTGATGTGTGCACAAGGTCGTAAGGCAGACGCGGGGCATGATGGAAAGCTGGGCATTCACGCTAACCATGAAAGCACGTGTGCCGACCCGGACGCGTTCCTTCCCGAAAGCGAATTCCAAGTCTAAAGACGCAAGAGCTTCAGACTGACGCTGAAATGAGTTTTTTCCATAAGACCACAAAACTTTCGGCGTACCGCATTGATCTATAAAAGAGCGTGGATCCTGCCAGGTGCCTTTGTCCACCGCCAATCGAGCTAACCCATCTGGACAAGGAGAGCCCCCTTGCTTTCTCTTTCCAACCACCGTCCCTTCACATTTCTACCCATCCACTCCAACGTGCCATGTCACCGTCCTTTAGAGACACTCTCCTTCCCTGCACCAGTTATTGCATCGGTGCGTAAATTTGTAGCCATCCTCGGTACAAACGAACGCCGAGTTCCAAGCTCCAGGCCCAGCATCGCACATGTCAGTCGGGAAAGGCTGGCGCATGCAACCGTGGCAGCTCAGTGCGTCCGTAGCATATTGATCTTGACAGTAGCTGTGGAGAAGTGTCTGGTAGTCTTGGCCTAGGGAAGGTCAGCGTGATGCTTCGAAGGGGAGCTTGACGGGTGAAGAGGAGGTTGAAGAGAAGGTTGCAAGAAGATGGGATGGGCGAGATATCGATAGGGATGGCGTACTCTTTCCCCAGACCACTTCGTCGAAGCAGTAGGCTCGGCCGGGTTCGCCGCACTCAATGGATCCTTGCGCTGGGATGGGGCTAGTGTAAGCTCCTTGTCTCTTACTCAGTCCTCGTGGAGGAGCCGCGGCCACTAAGGCAGCTAGGGAGATGATCGTTGAGAGAACCTTCATCGCAGCGGACAGTATATCTTTGGATGTACGGCAAAGTGTGTATCCACGAAGAGGAGCTGACAGATGTTGCGACGCAAAATTTAGACGACATATCACTGGCATAAGTAGGATGCCACTGGGCGTGACGTGGTCAGGATAGATGAACGACAACGGCAACAAAGCCATCCGGTAACTATCACAGTATCTCATGTCCGCCTGTTCTAACTCGAAACTGAATTTCGTAGCACGAAGACGTCGATCGAGATGAACGTCGTCACACTTAGACTCAATGACAAGCACGTGCGTAACGCTACGCGGAAAATTCCCATCGCATCATCAGGAAATCATATCCGTATGATGCCTAGCGGAAGAACCCCGAGCTACGAAATATACAAGGATTGACACAGACTATGGTGGGAATTGAGGTGACTGTACTCAGCGAACGACACTTAAGAGTGTTGCATACGTGATGAAGCCTGTTATGCAAATTAAGGGAAGAAGGAACGTTACGGATTCAAGGCATATACACACTCAAAGCCCAACACAGCAGGTCAGAGTGTATCGATCGATCGAGATTCTCAGGAATTCAACGGGTAAAGCAACATTATTACACTAACGCCTATGTCCTAAACACCACAACGCGATCTACATCACACCCTCGAAATCTTCCAAGCTCTGCTTGCCCTCCTCAACAATTACATCCCCGCCATCGAAGATCTTCTCTCTCGCTCTACCCTTCATCAAGCACCCGAGTGCCTCACCAACCTCCTTCAACACCCCTCTAGCGACATCCTTCCACTCCTCAAAAGTAACAATCTCAATACCCAACTTCTTGCCTCCATCCTTGACAAAAGCCTGACACTTCCACTCCCTCAACGGCTCGCCATGCGGATACAGCGTTTCGAACTTCGCCTCAACGCCATTGCCGAAAGGCATTTCTTCGACCCAAGCAGGTGCCTGGTGAACAACTGTATCGAACCAGTTAACCTTCTTGGCATCCCAGTTGGTGCAGTTCTCTACGATCTCCGCGAAGCCCATGGATTCGTACGCGGCAGAGGTAATGTGTTGGTGCTGCACGAAGTTCAACAAGTCGAGGTAAGTCCAGCTAGACTTGAATGGCACACGGAAGGGGATGTACTGCCAGGTAGGCCCAAAGATGCGATCAGCGTTTGCCGCGCCGATGTTCCTTCCTGAAACGACCTCACCAAAGACAACGTCTTTGAGACCAAGTCGCTGGGATAGAACTAGTGCCCACGCAGCCGTTGGTAGTGACCCGATAGTGATGTTTGCTGGGCGAGCGGAGATGTCGAACTCCATGTATACATCTGCAGGGCCGCGGTGTGTGAGTGGAACGTCGGGCTTCATGACAGACATCTGGGAGCCGGAGAGGAGATTCTGCCAGTAGGGGATGGCTTTTGGCATGTTGTCTAGAACCACGTGGTTTACGTGTTTGCTGAATGGTATCGTCTCTGGTACGTTGGTCCCTGCGTATAGCGCTGAGAGCTGCTCGTACAGGATGGGGAGGCAAATTTCGTCGTATTGCGCGTGTGAGATGCGGAAGACGAGCGTTGAAGCGCCGTTGTTTGCGCTTGTGAAGAGGGTGAAGGAAACGAATGACGAGCCATGCGGCTTAGGCGCTTGGATATCTTGTTTTGTGAATTCTTGGGCAACCGTGTTGATGTCCTCACTCTCCGGCACTGCGATCTCGGTGTACGGAATCTGTAGAGATGACAGTACTACACCAAGCACTTTGCTCTCGTCTTTCACGAAGACAGTGCGCAGGACTTCGTTGCGTGACACGAGCTCTTGGCAAGCTTGCTCCAGTGTCTGACGATCGACTGGAGTGGCGAACTTGATGAGTTCGTAACGCAGTGAGTAGCGTGGTAGATCGACGGTACCCTCGACAGCGAGCTGCTGGAGTGGCCTTGCAGGGTATATGTCCGCAATTTGCCAAGTCTGATCCTGAAGGTAGGCACCGATGCGGTCAGCACTGTATAGCGACGCTTCCTTGCCGAGCGCTGCGAAAGGTGCATCAATGTTGAGGTTATTCTGCGATGTACCTGCTTCCTTGGCGGACGAAGCAAGCTCGGAAAGAGATTGGCTTTGGAAGACTTGAGCCACGGTGATGTTGAGACCCTGAGCACGTGCATCGGAGACAAGACGCATGGCTCCGATGGAGTCACCTCCCAGCTCGAAGAAGCTGTCGCTGCCATTGATCTCGCTCTTGGGCATACCAAGGATACGGCTCAGGATGTTCAGCAGCTTTTCTTCTTTCTCGTTGCCGGTTGAAGCTGCCAACTCAGATAATGACTGGCTCTGGAAGACTTGAGCCACCGTCAGGTTCAAGCCTTGTGCGCGCGCATCGGACACGAGGCGCATAGCACCAATGGAGTCACCACCCAATTCGAAGAAGCTGTCGCTGGGCTTGATCTCCGCCTCTGACATACCGAGGATGCGACTGAGGATACTGCACAGCTTCTGCTCGTTTGGCGACGCCTCTGATTTCGCATCCCTCGTTGGGCTATCGACCGGCGACGTGCCTACACCACTGTCGCTCATGACATTTCGTGGCCTCATCGCCTCTGCATCTCGTGCTTCTGCGGGATCAAGAACAGCGACATCGCCCAGCTTGCTCTCGGGGTTACCCAAGAACGCCGTGATGATGCGATTGAACACGACAAGTACCCTCTCCATCGCGTCCTTGCTGATGCACTTCGAATCGAAACTGGCCATGACCAAGAAGCCGTTCTCGTCCAATGTGCAGACGAGCATGAGTGCATATGTGTTGAACTTGAGTGCTTCACGTGCAGCTTCCGCGTCATCAGCGGGAAGGAACGTATTAGCCGGGGCAGTCTCCATATCGACAGGAGCACCGTCGTCGTCCTCCCTGGGATGCAAAACAAGACCTGTGCGCAGATCGCATGCTACACGAGCATCCTTACTTAATCGGCGGATGTTCTGCAATCCCAAGTGCTCATGCGGAATCTGCTGCACGGTCTGCGCGTGAACGGCTTGTAGATACTCAGCGATTGGTCGGTCAAGATTCAATCGGACTCGGATGGGAACGGTTGTGATCATGGGTCCTTCGATTTCCACAATCGCGTGTACGGGCGCGGATCGACCTGTCAACGTCTCTCCGAATACGACATCGGAATGGCCCATGTATAAGGAAGATGTCAGTGCCCAGGCTCCGCGGATGATAGTTGCCAGAGTGAGCTTGTTGTGCGCTGATGTTGGAACGGTAACGTAGTGCTCAAGCAACGAGTCGGCCTGGGTGACGTATCCCTTCTGCGGTAGAGGAGGGAATTGATGCGGGTTGGTGCCGTTCAATCGCTCTTTCCAGTAGTCTCGAGCTACAGCTGGATCAAGGCTAGTGAGATGCTTGATGAAGTGCTTGAAAGACACAGGTCTCTCGGTTGTAAGGCCATTGAAAGTGCGGTTGATGCGATCGAATACGAGAGGCATCGACCATCCATCGTAAACAGCGTGATGCATCGTTATGACGAAGTGGGCCTTGTCGCTACCAGCTTCTTGAGCCAGACCGTAGCGGAACAGTGCAGTGCCAAGATCCATAGCTTCTTCGCGGTCGCGTCGAAGATACTCTGCTGGATCAGAACCATGCTCGCGCAGTAGCTTGCCGTCCTTGAGGACGACCTGGAACAAGCCGCGGCCAGAGACGTTGACGATTCTTGTACGCAAAATGGGCGAGCCTTGCACGGCGGTATCGAAGGCTTTCTTCAAGCGCTGAGCAGTCGCTGATGGAAGAGTCGCAACTCGCTGAGCGACATATGCATCCTGGAACTTGGCCGAGAGAGCCATGAGGCCTTCTTGAAGCGGCGTGCAAGGAAGAACGTCCTCGACTTCGTCAACTTCAACACCACACAGCTTGGCAGTTTCGGCTTGTGCCGACTTCGACTCCCAATCCTTGCCGATCAGCGAGAATGCAGGTACGTCGTTCGTCGCTTCTTCCGACAAGGGTGTTGCCTTGGCAGCCATGGCCGATAGAGTGGGATTCAGCATGATGTCTGGAACGTGTAGCAACAATCCAGCTTCTCTGGCAAGAGGCACCAACCTCATCGCTCGGAGCGAGTCTCCGCCCATGCTAAAGAAGTTGTCATTGGCACTGAAGTCCGCTTCTCCGCCGAGAAGCTTCGCCCACAGTGAACGAAGTTTGAGCTCCGTCTCGGTGGTAGGCTCTTGCTTTTCAGAGATCACTGAGTTGAAGCGCCTGAGATCTTGTCGTGTGACTGAAGTGCCGATCTCACGAAGCCGCTTTCGGTCTGTCTTGCATGATACCAGTAATGGCATCTTCCAGAGCGGTATGTAAGCGCTTGGTACCATGTAGCCAGGAAGGTCGATGGCGAGCTGTTTGGTCATGTCTTTGAGAGCTGATTGAAACTTGGTGGTGAAGCTTCCAAAGACGTTTCCATCTAGGTGTCGCATGCCGTTCTTCTTCTGCTCGACAAGGAAAGCGACGAGCGTCTGTTCACCACCGCCACTAGGCTTGATGACTTCGACAGCGAGTTGAGTGTCTGCGGGGAGATGTTTCTGCATATTAAACTCAATCTCAGCTAGCTCGATGCGCTGGCCTCGAAGTTTGACTTGCTGATCCTGTCGTCCAACGAAAATGGGCTCACCGTTACCGTCAGGATCGAAACGTACTAGATCACCAGTCTTGTAGATGCGTCCATGTCGGCCCGGGTAGCTCTTACTACCTTTGACTAGGAACTCAGGGTCTTCGATGAACACTTCCTTGGTTTTCGACGGGTTGTTGAGATACCCGTCGCCAACGATGGGGCCTTCGATGAGCAGCTCGCCGACTGCACCCACAGGTACGAGCTTGTTGTGGTCTTCGGGCTCAGTGAGCCAAATGGCACATCCCTTGCGCTTGCCCATAGTGATGTATGGCTTGGCGGCCACGTTGTCGTTGATGGTTGCACCAACAGTGGCTTCCGATGGTCCATAGGCGTTGACGACCCTGGTTCTTTGACCCCACGACATCGCATCGCTAGTCGATACCCCCTCACCACCTAGCGCGATGGATTCCAAGTGGTCGAGGATGTCGACGTCCAGTGTGCGAGCGACCGAGGGAGTCATGCCGGCGAACGTCACGCGCATGTCGCGCATGGCTCCACTCATATCGTTCATGCGACGCTCATCAGAAGGCGTGCAGAGTGTGGCACCGTGAGCAAGAGTGCAGAGCATCGAGTCGATGCACACATCGAAGGCATAACTCGCAAAGTCCAGCACGCGAGAATGCGATCGATAGCCCACAGCCTCAGCGCGCGGTATCGCACCAGACGTGTACTGACTGTGCGTAATGATGCATCCCTTCGGAAGACCGGTACTTCCACTGGTAAACTGAATGTACAACGGCTGGTCAGGTGATACTGGTGCGAGGGTGGTCTTGGGTTGCTGCGCAGCAGCTGGAGAGTACACCTTGTCGAACTTTGATGCGGAGATGGGGATGATGGTCGCTGATGGGGCGACACGCGCCGCTAGTGTTGACTGAGCTTTCGATGAGATGAAGAGCTTTGCACTGACTTGCTGCACTACTGCTCGCAGACGGCCTTCTGGTTGTGCTGGGTCAAGTAGCGCGAAGCACGCGCCAGCCTTCATGACCGCCAGCACTGCTACGGAAGTCCATCGCGATTTCTCGAATAGAATAGGGATGATTTGTTTTGGCGAGTCGTCTAGCAGCTGTAGAGTCTGCGCCAGATCGGTAGAATAATCTTCGACTTGACGATATGTCAAAGTGCCGTCCCAGGCGTCGATGGCGATCTTCTCCGGATTGAGCGCAGCCTGCTCGGAAACCTTCTCGTGCATGCAGAATCTCAACTCTGGCTGTAAAGGATAATTCCAGCTCCAGAGTTCATCAAGTTCTTCCTCGGTAACAGGAATGAAGGATGATAGCGTGTGGTCAGGATTGCTGAATAGGGTATCAAGAATCGAAGCAAAGAAATGAAGTTGCGAAACGGCTTGGTGGCGAGACATGGTCGTTGTCTGCCATCTTGAAGTGGCGAGAAGAGAGTCTCCTTCCCTTCTGAATGATACTTCGAAAGTCCACTGGTGCATGTCAGTCGTGTTAGGAAAATGCTTGGGCCGGTTAATACCTCATGTAATGACCCATCATTGAGAAAAAGAGTAGCGTTGTGCGCATCGTAGTCCTTCGATCGCACGTTGCCGATCTGTGACTTCAAACTCCCGGCTGTTTGGTGGCTGGTGAATTTGATATCGGTTGTGTTGATGCACTGCGAAGCCCGATCACGGCCATCGACCGCGCCCCAGGTGAATTGATGGAAAACATCCCGCTGGTATCGGTGTATGAGTATTGACCAGGCAGCCAGAACAGTATCCAAGACAGCGTCCGGGGTAAGATCGCTTGTTATCAACGCCCGAATCTCGTTTGCTTTCGAGCTGTGGCCGTTCGTATGCAGAACTTTATGGTCGCCATTCTGCGTTGCGGCCTGCTTGTGCGTCTTCGAGGCGCCATTGCTTTGCACCTTCTTCGCAACATGCTCCTCTGGAGCACCACTGAAGTTTGACACATGCTCGCCGTTGCGAAGATGCATCTTGTCGCTCAAACTGCTATGTGGTCTCTTCATGGCGACGTCGGTATATATTTTCGGGAGAAGATGTGGAGCTGAGGAAGACGAGTATGTTTCCGTGTCCGATGAAGACCCCGGATACTTCTGTAGCAATAGCCAAGCAGTGTAAAGCCGCGAGTCCACCAAGCTCACCCACGATCCTGCGTCTCTCTCTCGGACTGGACTCTCCACACATTGCGCCAGGATGAAGCTCCGGCACAAGCACACCAGACCGCTTCAAGTGACCCATCATACTCGGTCGGACAGCCGTCGGCGTCATAGTTTTCTCTTACGACGCAAAAACAGGGTCCACTATATCGCGCCATTGTGTCTTTCTCGATGCAGGCCGGATTGCGCATCGCCTAACGTAAACACGGAGGCGATGTGGGATCAGGCGCAGTACCACGATTTAGCCGTAAAGAAAACCCTCTCCGCCCCTGCACACCCATCCCCACACTTAGCGGATCAGATAATTCTAGCGTGAAAGGCGGCGTCATGAGGCTTCATCTGATAAATTTGATGATGTGGTATCGATGCAAGCGCGGAATTGCCTAATGGAGTAGGAGTCATGCAGGGTTACGTCTTTGACGCTGCAGATCTCCTTTCATCTGATAACGGCCGATGTTCGGAGAACTGCTCGCGTCCAATTACAGCATCAATGCCCGTTGTTTGTCTCGATCAACAGCGTCCACCGGCTTTAAGTGTTGCGCATCATTCGTTAGGGATGTTGCTAGTTGAAAAACAAGGGCCGGCGCTGCAATATGCACGCTGTACATACGGGATACGGCTATCCCACGCGTGAACGACATGGCAAATTCTCTTCTACGCGCTGATCGCGGCAAGAGGTGGATATGCGCATGGCCATGGTGTTTCTTGCATTGTGCGCTCTAGCCGTCATCGGGCTTTACGACGGGACATCCCTCCGCCAGGAAGTCTCGCTAAAGACGGATCAGATAACTTTAATCAGCACGTGCGACGGGGAAGCACAAGCAGAGCGGCCGGTAAGCCTTAATGGAGAAGGTCTGGTTGTCGTCGGTGGCGTGAGGGTTTTTCTCGTCGTAGTGTGGGTCTTGCGTACTAGTTTTGCGCCCTGTAATTTAGCGTTGCGAAGCATGTGGTAGTGCTTCAGTGACAGCCGAGGAATTGGCATAGCCATGGTGCGCTTCCTCCAACTGCTTGGTATCAAAGTATGTTGTATGCGTGACTGACGATCTCTGAACCGCAAAGCTGGGCATCGAGAGTGGATCGTTCAATCCCCGTGGTTAATGGGCGATAATGCTACCAAGTTCGTGCCTTTGGGTCGAATTGTTCGCTGCAGCTGTCAAACGTTACCAAAACCTTCTGTTTCTAAGTTTACATCTTGACTGGCAGACGGTCTAGATCCTTCCCCACTGCTCGATCATCCAAACGACACTACACTAAGTTGACGAACCGCTCAATATGGGCTTCGTAGTCCTCCCCGCTCTGGTGCCAGACATTAGCGCGGTGTACAATGTGTACTTTGCAGCCTTCAAGGACAGCGCAGTCACACGCGCGCTGTTTCCTTCGGCTACCGAGAAAGATCTGACAGACTCAACTTCCGAATTTCGGTAAGTGCCGGTCATTGAATCGCGTATACTGTCGGACGTGTGGACTGACTAGGAGAAGACAGGCTCACACCGGCCATGTCTCGGAGTACTGGAAGACGAGTGCAACGCAATACACCCTGAAGTGTGTCGACACCGAAACTAACAAGATCGTTGGCATGGCGCTTCTCGATGTGTACATCACGCCTAGTGATTGGAAGAGAGGCGAGATTGGATGGCTGGAGGGAAAGGAGCGCGAACGAGCCGAGGCACTTGTGAAGCCGCTTTGGGACGCAAGAGAGAAGCTCTGGCTTAATGAGAGATACATTTACTGCCACGTCATGGCCGTGCACCCGGACTACCAACGGAGGGCCATTGGCGAGTTGCTATTCAAGTATGAGATGGACATTTGCCGGCAGACTGGGTTGCCCATGTACATAGAGAGCTCGAAGGAGGGCATCAAGCTTTACGAGAAGATGGGAAGCAGAAGACTGAAAGAGAAGCTGGTGCACAAGTCGGAAGACATTACTCCGGAGAAGACCAACGGCGCGAGGGAAGACCAAGAGCTTCCGTTGTTCGTCTGGTTGCCGGAAGGCGGAGAAAAGCGACTACCAAAGTCTGTGGAGCTGGCGTGAAAATGACATGGTGGAAAGCGATATAAAGATATATATTACGAACAAATCTATCCAAGCATTTGGTGGAGAGCGTTAACGCGGTAACTCTCACTACGTTGCACAAGTTCTTCGTGACGTCCTTGGTCCACTACTTTACCTGCCTCAACCAAAAAGATCACATCGGCCCTAGCAATCGTCCTCAATCGATGCGCGATCGCGATAACGGTCACACCGTGACCCTTGACGGCCCGTTCAAGGCCTTGCTCCAAGGCCTTCTCACTCTCCGCATCCAATGCGCTCGTACTCTCGTCCAATAACAGCAACTTGGGCTTACGCACAAGAGCTCGAGCAATGGACAAACGTTGACGCTGGCCGCCAGATAGCTGGTTGCCCTTGGAGCCACATTCGGTTTCATAGCCTTGGGGAAGATCGATGATGGTGTCATGTATGTTGGCCAACTTGCAGGCTTCTTGAATCTCTTCGTCGGATGGTGTGTGCCCAGGTCTTGCTCCTAATCCAATGTTGAACTTGATGCTTCCTTGGAAGAGAATGTTCTCTTGTGGTACATAGGCAATGTCATCGCGGAAGGACGCGCCGTGGTGCCGAGAGATATCGAGGCCGTTGATAGAGATGCTACCGGAGGAAGGAGAGTAGAATCGTTCGAGAAGGGCCAGAACAGTGCTTTTACCTGCCCCAGATGGTCCAACCAAGGCGCAGAATTGACCCGGCTGGATGGTTAAGGAAAGAGATGTCAAAACCGGGACACCGGGACGTGCTGGATACGAAAAGCCGACATCTCGGAAGACGACCTTCGCGCCGCCTTGTGTAGTAGCTGGAATCGGAGATTCAGCTAGTGCCTCGACATCGTCCTGATTCTTTTCCAAGAGACTGGGGTCATTGTGGTGCCCCGTAGGAGGTGTATCCTTGCCCAATTCGATGAGTCCGCAAATGCGCGACATGGCGCTCTTGGCCTTGGAAATCTCAGGTGCTAGGGTGAATAGCTGACCCCATAGTTGTGCGGATACAAGCATGGCGATAAGAATGACGAAGAACTCAGTTTGGGTATACCTGCCTTCGATGATGTTCTTTGTGCCCCACCAGTAGGCGAAAGCGTAAATGAAGGTACCACAAGAGTTAGCGACGGCCAACCAAACGTTGGTCTTGAAACTCTGCTTGACCATTTCCTTGCGTGGAGCCTTCAGCGATCGCCGGTAGGTTTGTATAATCTCCTCTTCGATAGAGAGTGCGTGTACAGTCTTGATGTTAGAGACAGCTTCGATGGTAACGCCGATGGAAGAGCTGAAAGCTCCAGCGTGCTTTACGGCGAATTTGCCAATAGCACGCAACTGCATGAAACCAGCGCCCAAGAGCAGCGGTACGATGACGAGGCAGACGATTGCGATTCTCCATGCGAGGATGTGAGAGAGGATGATGGCGGCTATGAAGTTGACAATGACGGAGAAGAGTGCACCAATGATGGAGCCGCTGAAGCCCGCTAAAGATTGGCCGTCCTTCGTGATGAATTCAAGTAGCACAGTTGGGCTCCTTGACTCAGACTCATGCCATTGCAGCGGCTGTTGGAGTAGCGTGTGGAGAGACAGGTTGCGGACCTTGTAGATCAATCGTTCCGATAAGAGACCGAACGACGCCCAACTGATGAAATTGGCGAGGAAGGCGATGCAGGCAAGCATGAACCACATCCCCGATAGCAGTTCACCTCTAGATCGAACATACTCGGGGGAGTTGCACGGAGACATGGTACCCATGATGTTACCGAATAGAAGACCCGATCCGCAGTACTGGCCACCCACTACCAGTGCTGCTAAGAAAGCCAGCATCACGAGAAGTAAGTACGGTCGCGTCAAGGGAAGCATTGTCTTTCTGATAGAGCCCGCAATGACGATACCCTTAGTATGCTCGACAGCTTCTGTAGCCTTGGCGTCGTTCGCTGGTACGGCATCAGGCTCCTGCGCACTCAGCGCCAACTTCTCATTGGTAATAGAATCGGCATCGCGGGAGTCCAGACTGGTCCTTGAGCTGGTCGCGCCCTCGTCAGTTTTGACGGTTTGGAGGCGAACCATGTCTGCGTATGACCCTTCCAAGTCCATGAGTTGATCGTGAGTTCCTTGTTCGATGATGTCACCCTTCTTCATGACGATGATCTTCGCTGCAGCCCTGATAGTGGACAGTCGATGAGCAATCGAGATCACTGTCCGGCCGCGGGAAGCCCGCTCGATAGCAGCTTGGATGCGCTGCTCACTAGCTGAATCTAGAGCAGCGGTGGCTTCGTCGAGAATCAATATACGAGGATCGCGGACCAGAGCTCGGGCGAGAGCAATACGCTGCTTCTGTCCACCGCTGACAAGACTGCCACTTGAGCCGACCGAGGTCGCGAATCCGAATTCCAGGCGATCAATGAAGATGGCAACATCGGCAAGGTCTGCAGCTTCTTTCACCAATTGAACGATTTCCGCAACCTCTGGGCCAGCCTTCTCGGCGACCTTGGCAAGATCCTGGCCGCCCCTGACGTCTTCGGCAACTTGAGCAAGAACTCCGCTCAGCAGGGTCTTCTCCAGATGGGCATGAGGCGGACTGTTGACGAGACCGAGAGCAATGTTCTCCAAGATGGAGCGATCAAGAAGTGATGGTTCTTGCTGGACGAGGCTGATGAAACCTCGGAGAGACTTGATGTTGATGTCTCTGACGTTGCGACCGTCCAGAAGTACATCGCCAGATTCCGGATCATAGAATCGGCTGATAAGACTAGCGACTGTGGACTTGCCGCTTCCTGAAAGACCCACGATAGCAGTCAGTGTACCTGAATTGGATGGTCAGCACAATTACTTCCTTTTTGTACCATATATGTGACGTACCGGCTTCGCATATCAAAGAAATACCGTTCAGCACGGGATGATCAGGCCTTGAACTATAAGTGAATGCAACGTTGCGGAACTCAACAGTTCCATCTACATGAGTAGGCTTTTCCGCGGATGACGAGGTGTTGTCGATGGTGGGTTGAGTCTCGATATCCTTGCGCAAGCGCTCGAAAGCTGAGATCGCCCCGCCAAACAATGGCAGCATGGGCGCGATCTGACTGAGAACGATGGCACCTAGCATCCGAAGTTAGCGTTGGAAAACTCAAACGATTGGTAAGATACTGACCATCGAGCAGAATGAACGTGACGGTGTAGATCTCTCCGATAGTCGCACTGCCTTTGCCCTCTAGAGAGTCTGCGATCCTGCGACTACCCTGCCAGTAACCTAAAGCGCTGGCCGAGAAGGCGATGAAGTAGAGCAGACCAGCCTGGACCGCAGCGGTCGTGGCCTTCTTGATACCTGCCTCACGAGCGTCGCTCAAATGGCCCTCAAACTTTTCCTCGAGCCTGGCATTCGCACCCAGCGCATGCACGAGGCCTACATGGCTGAGAGCTTCAGACGCGATGGCGCTAGCAGACCCAAAGCAATTGCCGACCTTGGCAGCATACTTGCCAAAAAAGTGACCGCCAACCACTGCCATGAGCAAGAATGCAGGGACTAAGGAGACGAGCATGCCAGCAATTTCGGCATTCTTGATGAAGCCAACGATGTAGGCCGTGACACAAAAGGAGAGACAAGTCAATGCAACGCCAACCTTTTCGCCGGTACCACTCTCGATTGCCTGGATGTCGCCATTGAGTCGAGAAGACACTTCTCCGGCCTGTAGGTTGTCGAAGAAGGCCATGTCCTGCCGCAACAAGTTTCGGAGGTAACGGTCTCGGATGCGCTGAGCTAGGCGCTGCGATGCCAAGTTCCAGCATACAAGATGTGTGTAGATGCAAGTGAAGCTGCCACAAGCGATGTAGACGAGCAACAGGATCTTGGGCGTGATGTCGGCTTCTTCAGATCTGTTGGAGCTGCCACTGCGATTGTTGCATGTTGCAACGTTGATCTCATCGACCAATTGACCGAAAACGATTCCGATCAGTGGGAATGGCACGCCTGCTGCAATGGCAGCTATTGCGCCCACGAAAACCAATATCTTGTCGAGCCATGTCGGGTCTGCGTAGAAGAGGAGGTGAAGAAAACCAAAGAATCGCCTGATAGAGGCCCCTGAGGGCTTACTGAACGGCATTGAGCCTGCGTGATGGGTTCAGAAGCTCAAGAAGGAGTATCTCGCGCCGTATGCAGTGGTAAAGCTGCGCGAACACGCCTGCATGAGGTTCACCCGGGCGCTATGGCCCCGCCAGGAGGCAATGGCCAAGATCGACATGGTGCAGCAGCAGGGTCAACTGCTAGCACAACGTGAAGAGGCATAGCGTCACGTGAAGAAGGATGCGTGGTGGAAAGTAGTGTGGGCCGGTGTGGTTCGTGTGTGGAGGCTTCAGGACGTGTCACCGAGTCACTTGCATTGGGGTCTGTGCTCGACTTGCATCAGATTAGATAAAATTTTGCACCATCTAGCGCCTAACCCTTGGAACCCAGAACCCACAGCTGCGCGCCATCATCCTGCTCTATATCCTAGCCTGGACCTGTAGTCCGGCGCCATCCCGTACTTCAGATGACCCTGTCGCTACCTTGCGCACGATCTCGCCAGCCATCAAGGCAATGTCCTTGGCCAATGCACGTCCGCCCTCTGACTTTGAGGACACCAGCCACAGCCGGCAGCCCTCCGCGACGGCGCCACGCTTGAACTGCACCTCCTCCAGGCTCTCTCCCTTTGACCGGCAGCCCAGGATGAGCGTATCGATGCTCTGGAATAGCGCAATGTTTGAAACGGGACTTGCTGCAGTATCCCTGATGATGAAGTCGGATTGTGAGCACGCGGCAGCAGCATCCTTTCCGATGATGACGCGCAATCTGAATTCGCCCTTGGACTGGACTATCTTCTCATACGCGCGCATGTAAATTGTTTGGACGAGCTCTGATGCTTCTGTGACGGAAGCTGGTTGAGCACTAGTCGGCTTCGCCCAGATGGAGCAAAGCTGGGCCTGGGACGGCTTGGTATCGTCGAGAACCGTCAACGGAGCCAGCGATTCGTCCTCTGTGACTACGGTAATGTTTCCTAAACGCGGGCACGATAGCAGATCGTCCAGTACCTCGGCAGTCTTTTCGCCAGATCCAACGAGAGATACGTTGAGTCGTGGCTCATTGGCGCCTCGCAGTTCGTTGCGCCTGCTGGGGTAGTCGTCCATGGAGATAATTCGTTGCCCGGACAGGAAGTCAACGTTTGGCAATGGCTGCGCAGCTGGACTGTTCGCTCTTGAGGGGGAAGGGGCGACAACACTCCTTGCGCGCACTACGTATGTCTTGCCTGTGCCGTCCTTTACGGCCACTTTCCAGCTTTGCACAGCATCTGCCTCTACCTCTGGCGCTACACCAACAACTTCGCTGCCATAGCGGACCTCGTCTTTGAAGTGCTCGGCGCTCCACCTCATGTAGTCTGCGAACTCTTCGCGTAGAGGGTTGAGCCGGTCAGAGTTTGCGAATTCGACGAGACGCTTACGAGCGAGCAGATAGTTGACATAGCTGAAAGCGGTTCTCGGATTGCGGAGGGTTGCCAGGTCGTACATGAACGGGCTTTCCATTCGCGTTCTCGAGATGTTGGATGTCGATTCCCATGAGAAAGACTTCTTCTTCTCGACGAAAAGCATTTTGGATGGCGTCTTGGACTCGCGATTGGCGATGGCTGTGGCGAGTTGAGCTGCGCCAAAGCCGACGCAGACAAGGTCGTAATATGGCGATGAGTCTGCCATAGGTGCGGCAGTCGTTGCGTCAATCGCTCTTCTCTCGGTTGAAGTCATGATGGAAGGATGTTTGGTTGATCTAAAGCAAGTATCGATTGTCGCCCTCTAGATTTGTACAGCAAGAAGGTGTTTCGGCGCTAAGAAATATAGTATCACAGCGACATAACACGATTGCACAGCTCAGGCACAATTTGCAGACCCCGCGCACTGGCCATCATCAAGGTATACTGATGCCCACGCTCGAAACAACGATGTCACCGATGGTTAGCGTCGCCGGCACATAATGCGCGATACATTTTCGTCCACTGACGCCGACGTGCATGGGTTTGTGGAAGCTAGACTCAGGCCCACATGGGGTGGATCAGCCACCAAATCGGAGCTTCCCTCACGCCACCTCTTGACCACAACCCTGTGACCAGATTTCCTTGCCGAAGAATGGGTAACAAATCCCTCTAAGCCTGCGTAATGCAGTGGGCTAAGCTATACCGGATATTAGGAACGACCTCGGTTAAACATTCACGCATCGTATTCTGAGCATCTTGACAGACTTCAAGCATCAGGGTTATAGCTTCTCGTCCATTGCTGTCGCATACTCAACTGTATCTTCAGTTTCTTCTTCATCTTTCTCAATCATCTTTCAGCACCATGGCGCAGCAAGCTAAGCCGAATACTGCGCAGGAACCGCTCGTTCTCAAGCTTCCTCACCCGTACCTTACGGCATACACTGTCGTGAACGTGGCACCTGGAGGCCAGCCTGCTTGCTATCAAGTTCAGCTTTCTTCAACAAACGATACCGGCAAATGCATCGATCCACCCACAACTCTGCATAACGGGACTGTCACATTCAGCGACGTTGGCACTTTGAGCCAAGATGCTGTACCGCCGATGGGAGATAACAGTTCTTGGGCTCGGGCTCGAAGATCACCATATGTGACAGTTACGTGGACCCAAGATCGTCCATCTGTCCCACAGCTCTGGCTCATCGCCTACGCGTTGGTCTCGCTGCATCCTCTAATTGAGAACTTCCGCGTGCTATTGTCAGGGAAGGACTCTCAAGCATTAGCCCAAGAGCTATACGCCACTGGTTTGTTTCACTCGCATCCAAAGGGTTCCAACGCATCGGCACCTCACGATGGCCATCTCCTCTTCCGCGGAACATTCTGGCAGGGCGCGGCATCTCCATTCGGTGCTCGACCAGTCTGGGCACCCCATCTCGACGCCTCAGGAAAGCCGATCGATAGGCGATATCCTCCCTTCCCATTTCAAAATGCACCATCAACACAGTTCCCGGCGCTCCCACGGCATACGCAGCATCCAGTCCGGGAACCGAAACCCGAACCGGGCTCGATCATCTATAGCCGATGGGTTCCACATTTGAAGGAGCACTTCACAATGGTAGCTCTCGACTACACCAATGACGAGCATCTCCGCCTTTTCAACAAGTGGCAAAACGACCCACGTGTCGCTGCGGGATGGAACGAAACCGGTACCCTGGATCAACACCGCGAATACCTCCGAAAGCTGCATGAGGACCCCCACGTACTCACCATGTTCGCTGCCTTCGACGACATACTATTTGCGTACTTTGAAGTTTATTGGGCGATGGTAAGCCGAAATCGATTCCGATCTCGTACAACCTTTAGACTAACAGATGTCACAGGAGGATCACATGGGTGCTCACTACCAATCTTCGCCTTACGACCGTGGCAGGCACTCACTCGTCGGCGACGTGCGGTTCAGAGGACCATATCGTGTCTCAGCGTGGTGGTCTGGCCTAATGCACTACATGTTCCTGGATGAGCCACGCACCTGGAACCTGGTCGGTGAGCCCGCAGCAACGAGTAGTACTGTGCTAGCATATGACTTCGCCCACGGCTTCCACGTTGAGAAGCTCATGGATCTTCCTCACAAGCGCAGTGCGCTGATGATGGTCAACCGGGAGAAGTTCTTCACGTTGAGCCCATTCACTTGGGATGGAGAGAAGAAGGTTCGCCCAAGCCTGGATGCAGGCGCGAAAGCGAAGTTGTAACCAGATATTACGCGCTCTTTTCCCGATACCATGTAACTATACTAACTTCATTAATATAAATGTGCCCATGTTCATCTTCGACTCAAGGCGTGAGCCATTTCCCTTTCCGATCACTTCGGAACTAGCTTGCGTCCCCCCAAGTACCGCATCCCGGGTTTCGCCTGGAGACGGCTGCAACATTTGTATTATGCATTAGACAGCTTCCGCATCGCTGTCACAAGAGAATTATAACACTACATTCTTCCGGACACTCGTATATCCTACGCTAACCGATGGCACGCACGTCACATATGACATGACCTCACCTCCGCTCCACCCAATGGATGCGGTCTCACCCCGGTCTCTTTACTGCAGCATGCGGATCTGATAATTAGCCGCAATTTTTTTATCTGATCCGTCGGTGCATGGCGCTCAAGCCAGTGCGCACTGCGAGTGGACGGCGGCATGTCTTCGACCGCATTTCACGCGCTCGGATCACGGTCGCTTTGTGGAGAGGTGTGTGGATGCAACACGTAACGGCACTGCAGTGACATGACAGGCCCCCAGCCACAACCTCGAACTGGTAGATCGCTACGCGATGAAAAAATTATCAGATGCACCAGCATGACCCAGGGCGCCTGATGGGGCAGGCCAGAGACACCAGCGGATCAGATAATTTACTGCAGTGTGTTGCCCAGCCGGCTACAAGGCGCTAGAGATCCTTCCCACCTCCACATCCAGCGCCCCATGCCGGACGCCTTACTCGTACTTTCCATCTGATAAAATTTCTTTTGATCTGATAAAAATTTGCTTTGCATTGATGCACGCGGCCTTTACGAGGAGGCCCACCGATGTCGCAGCGCCGGATATTGGCGTGGCCTGTTTAATCTTATCAGATCAATTCGAAAGGCCGATCCTTGTCGGTTACTGCCCCGACAATGGTGGCTTCGCCGCTTGCTGTCATCGGTCCCAACATGGGACGAACTACACCACGGCAACAAGGGACGATCTTTGCCTGCTGCGAGAAAAAATTCTGCCCATCACTTGACGGTCCTTGTTAGACTGGCAGCGGCGTTGCGTCCGGAAGGAGCAGGACTGAGCGAGAAGCCAACGATGTCACGGCTAGTCGATCGAAACGTGAGTGACGGCCCACAAACGCGTCTTTCGAGGGCTCCGGAGACGGCATGTTTGAAGTGCGAGATGAATTGCCCTGTTGGTGCCCTTAGATCCGAGCCATCGGCGAAGCCCCGTCATTATCGCTGCTGCTATCGCTGAGTGCTATGGCCGAAGTTGCTACCTTGAAGGTTCATCGTCGAGTGATTGATTGCCTTTGGGTGTTGTTGTATACTATTGCTTCTTTATCGGTTTCGTTCTACGCCCTTCATCATCTCAGTCGCCAGATCATACCCACCGTTGCGAAATCTTAGTACTGTGATAGCGTTCGGGTCGGTTTCCGCATTCGACCACTATACTTCAAGACGCTGCCTGTGAAGAAGCAAGGTACACACACATCGAAATGGGGGAACTATACGACCAATCTCGGAATGACGCATTACAACGTCTAAACCAAACATTACTTCAAATCGACCCTTACATCCTACCTCCATATCCCAACCTCTCCATCGTCGCGGGACCGTTGGATCCACCACTACTCCAATTAACACTCGCGCAATTACTTCAGCGGCAAGTCGAGTGCTATCCAGACAATGAAGCCGTTGTCATACCTTGGACAGGTGCGCGGTGGACTTACAAGAAGCTATGGGAGGAGTCAAGTTTACTCGCAAGAGCACTACTGAAAGAGGGAGTGCGACCGAGGGATAGGATAGGAATCATGAGCGGGAATTGCGAAAAGTACATTGCGCTCTTCTTTGCGTGTGCGAGGGTAGGCGGCATCTGCGTTACGCTTAACAATACGTATACGGCGACGGAGATGGAGTATGCGCTCAAGCACACCAGTGAGTTGACCTGACGTATAGCATGGGAGAAAGACTGACCATAGCAGAATGCAGAATACTGTTCACCACACCCACGATCGCACGCTTCGACAATGGGCCATTGCTTAAGAAGCTCAGTCAAGACGATATCAGCTCCGCACTACCAGACCTCAAGACTGTATGCCTGATACGCGGCCAACATGACAGCTTCATCTCCTACTCTTCTCTAATCGAAGAGGCCCAATACATCCCCGAGCACATCCTAGATATTTTCGACGGTATAATAAGTCCTTACGATGTTGCGAACCTTCAGTTTACAAGTGGTAGTACTGGCAACCCGAAGGCTGCCATGTTGACGCACCAGTGAGTTCACCATCATGTGTCAGCTGGTGCTTTGCTGACGTTGTCTAGTAACCTGATCAACAACTCCCGCTTCATCGGCGACCGCATGGACCTCACACCAAACGACACCCTCTGCTGCCCACCACCCCTCTTCCACTGCTTCGGTCTCACCCTCGGTCTCCTCGCTTGCCTCACACACGGTGCGAAGATTGTTTTCCCGGCAGAACAATTCGATCCAGTCGCTTGCATGCGCGCTATCGACGATGAGCGGTGCACAGCTCTACACGGAGTACCAGCTATGATGGAATCCATAATGGACGTGCCACGGCCGGAGGGCTGGACGAGTGATCTCAGAACAGGCATCGTGGCGGGAAGTCCGGTGCCGAAGTGGCTGATGGAGCGCATGGTCAACGAGCTCAACATGTCAGACTTCACGTCCTCATATGGGTTGACGGAGGCCAGTCCTACGGTGTTCAACGCACATACAACTGACTCGCTGCATGCGCGATTGACGACTGTCGGAACGGTGTTACCACATGCGCGCGTCAAGATCGTCGACCATCAGGATCGCGTCGTGCCCATCGGCGTCAGAGGCGAACTCTGCGTCGCTGGATACCAGGTCTGTCGTGGATACTGGGAGAATGCTGAGAAGACTGCTGAGCTCATCGTTCGCGACGAATATGGCGAGCCGTGGCTACACACGGGTGATGAAGCGGTCTTAGATGTAGACGGATACTGCACCATCACCGGTCGGTTTAAGGACATCATCATCCGAGGTATGTGTCTCCCTTCCGTCAACACAACCATTGAAGCCTGCATACTAATATAATATCAGGAGGCGAAAACATCTACCCTCTCGAAATCGAAGAACGTCTCGTCGCACACCCATCCATCACGCGCGCGATCGTCGTCGGAGTTTCACACCCGCGCTATGTTGAAGTGCCCGCCGCCTTCCTCCTACACGAGCCCAACACGGATAAACCAGACTTGGCTGAAGTGCAGGGCTGGGTAAGGAAAGTGCTGGGCAGGCATAAGGCGCCTGTGCATATCTTCTGGCTGGGGGAGGACTGCGATGCAGAGGTGCCGTTGACGGGTAGCGGTAAGATCAAGAAGTTTGTGCTGAAAGATGTTGCGGAGGGTTTGTTGAGAACCGCGGAGGGAAGGTAAGCACAATGTCACGTGCGAACGTGCCGCGGATGAAATTTAGCGTGTTATGGTTTCGCGCAAACATCATCGTTCTCATCGCGACTTTATCATCGCCTTCGCGCAATTGCTTCTCTTTCAGCTACACATATTACGAATACTCATTCATACCCTTGCGGTCGCCTTCATATTCGTCTCAAGCCGTTCTCGCTGTCCAGAAATTGACGCTCCTCGGAGTCGCACAATAGACGTCATGGCACCGTCAAAGCTACACCATCGCCAATGCTTCTCTCTGGCTCACGCGACGCACTGGACCAATGATGCGCCAGCTATTACATGAACCCGTCATGATTGTTGACAGTTTAGGCATATACAGCACCATGTGCCTCCACGTGTTTAGCACCTGCGCTTCTCACTTGCCCTTAAGACATGTCGCTGTCTGCCCCTTGTCTCTCCCGTACCTCTCTCCTACGCAACACCGCACGGGTATCCTGCATACGTCTAGCTCCATATAGTAGACTGGCTCCTCGCATCCAGCAAGCCCCAAGATACGTTTTCATCGCACAACGAGCGAATATGGCGACCATGAGCGGCGACGCGTCAGTAGCCACGGCCAAGACCTCGAGCCCACAGCACTTTATGTACACGAGTGGAGAGACGGATCCTGTCTGGATTCACCACTTGCCATACAAGAGCATCCCCAAGTTTCCCAAGCTTAACAGGGACCTCGAGGCGGATGTCTGCATTGTCGGCGCTGGTATCTCTGGTGTCTCAGTTGCCTACGAGCTAGTCACTCGTGGCCTGAATGTTGTTTTGATTGAAGGCCGCGAAGTACTTTCAGGTGAAACTGGGCGTACAAGCGGTCATCTTGCCAATGATCTAGACGATGGCTACACTGCGATTGCGAAGAAGCACGGGGATAAGGGCGCAAAGGCGGCTGCTGAATCACATACCTGGGCGCTCAACCGCGTCGGCGAGATCTCCAAGCAGCTGGGCATCGAGTGCGAATACCGCCATCTTCCCGGCTACGACTTCTCGCAGTACCCCAAAGACTCGAAGGACCATGCTAGCGACATCAAGACTCTCATTGAGGACGGCGACAAGGCTAAGGCGCTTGGTATTCACACGGAATACAAGGAAGGTTTCAAGCTCAGGGGCTGGGAGGGTAGCATCGATCAAACCGACGCCGTTATATACCCACAGCAGGCGACGTTCCATCCCACCAAGTACGTCGTCGGTGTTCTCGACTTCCTCAAGCAGCAGTCAAACTTCTCGTGCTACACCAACACCCGATGCATCGACGTGCAGGAGAAGGGTGTAGAGATCATGGGCATAGGTCACAAGGATGTCTACGTCAAAACAGCCGACGGAAACACCATCAAGTGTGCTGATGCTGTCGAAGCTACCTGTGTCCCGCTTCAGAAACTCTCTGTCATCGCCGAGGAGGAGTACTTCCGTACATACTGTATCGCTATTCGCGTACCCAAAAGTTCAGTCGAGGACGCCCTTGTCTACGATTCGGCCGAAATCTACAAGTACATACGTCTCACCGAGTGCGACGAGAAGGACGACTACATGGTCGTAGGTGGAGGTGACCACAAGGTTGGCCAAGCCGATACTGTCGCACCCTTCAAGGAGCTTGAAGAATGGATACGTGCCCGCTTTCCCCAAGCGACCACCATCGATTACAAGTGGAGCGGTCAAGTCTTTGAGCCAGTCGACCACATGGCCTTCATCGGCAAGAACCAAGGAAACAAGCACATCTACATCATTACAGGTGACTCTGGCAATGGACTGACCCACGGCGTCCTTGCCGGAAAGCTCATCGCAGACTCCATCACCGAGCAGCCCAACTCATGGATCTCCGCCTACGACCCTAAGCGTCTAGCTTCCATCGCAAAGTCAGCAACCAGCATGATCAGTCATGACCTCCAGATCAACGCTCAGTACAAGCGCTTCGCTCAGTCGGATATCAAAGACATCGAAGATCTTGCACCCGGCGAGGGTGGTGTTCTCAACACCAACCCCACCAACCCTCTGGCTGTGTACAAGGATGAGGGTGGGCAGATACATAAGTTCTCCGCCCTGTGCCCGCATCTGAAGGGTGTGGTTTGCTGGAATACGACTGAGAAGAGCTGGGATTGTCCGGTTCATGGGAGCAGATTTAGTAAGGATGGTGTGCAGCTTTGTGGGCCGGCGAAGATGGGTCTTGGGCCTGCGAATGAGAGTGGTGAGAAGATGCAACAGCAGGCTATCAAGGGCTGAGAGTTTTGTGCTATGAGTACCATGCGGCAAGTACATCAAAGATAGTCAATGAATCGAAGAACTTATCTTGAAGTATAACTACGTTGTTGCGCTATGGTGCCATCTATGAAGACTGATACAAACCTAAGCATGAAGTACAGGTCAGGCGGCATGCTGTTTGTATTGAACTTCTATGGGGAAGCGCATAGCCTTGGAGAAGACTGCAAGCTGCTTCTTGTCATGATCAACTGTCTTGCAAACTTGCACCTGCCTCTCATCATTATGACAGAAAGTCATGTTTTCTTTCACTGCTCTTTCACTCTCACCTCCACACATTCTACCACAATAACACACGTCATCACAACAACACGCACTCTCACTTACACGCAATATCCCATATACTCTAGATTCTCTATACGAATCTTACCCTACCGTCCCCGATCATCACCTCCACACTCGCTCTTGCACTCCGCCCGCGCACCCAAAATGGCAACACCCAACCGCAGCCGCGCCCGCAGCTTCCAACGTGTCGACCGCGCGCAAAGCATCCTCTCAGACTCTCAAGCTTCCTTCAACACCCCACGTCCCACACCCCCACCACCACCTACAAGAAGCGGCCGCGGCGTACGCGCGGACAGCACCGTCAGCGATGCGCCCTCTCTCCTCGAACACGACACACCAGGCAAAGCCGCAAAGAAAGAAGCAGCAGCAACAAAGTTATCCGCACACTACCACTTCGCACCCACGGTCCCGAGTCCATTTGCAGGGACACTGGAAGCGAGTCTGGACGCAATACAAGCCTGGGGTCGGATTCACAGCAATAGTGGAACAAAAGGATTACATGGCCTCCTCGACACGCTGTTAAGGCCTGTGGACAACCAAACAGACTGGCCGGCGTTATTCAGCCAGCTTGAAGACAGGCCAGCAGGTCGCTTCCGGTATCTGTGTGAGGAATTACTTTTCCTGGTCACGCGGACGCTGTTGCCGGAGCAGATTGTGCAGAATAGGGCGCTCATGGCGAGGTTGTATGATAGGAAGAAACAGCTTGCTATACGGCTGGTGCTACGGTACGATATGTTGCGCGAGTGGAAGATGGAGCATGGGGCGACGAATCGCGAAATGCCTGTTGCGGTTGCGTCGGAGGCACCGAAGGGGATACCTGCGCCTGATCCGGAACCCGTGACTTTCCCTGCGAAGTTTCCGCGCAGAAGGGCGAGGCTGCCTAATATCGTTGCGACGGTGATTGCGGCGCCGGCGGGAGGGTATGAGACGCATGGTGTGATTGCGAGGATGAAACATCATGTTACGGCTTTGGACGATTATCTCTTGCTGAGGGACGAAGAAGTGGCGGGATTGAGCGGTATCGCGCTGCTAGAGAGGTTGTGGCAGGTCCTACTGCATTGGCAGTGGTTGAGGCAGAACAATGAGCTTTTGGAGGAGATGGAGGTGCATGGGTGGGAGAATTTGGAGGGCAAGGCAGACGAGTCGGAGTGGATTGCTGATGACGTGAAGAAGAGTGCGGCACCTGGGGGTAAGAGGACGAGGGAGAAGGAGGATGAGTAAGGGTTAGGGGTTGAGATGATTGTAGGCCGATAGCTATAATATGACAGGTGCTGCTTAGGAAGACTTGAAGGTAGAGGGGTGCGTTGTGCACTACAAAGCGCCCAATCGGTGGACGCTGCTGTTCTTGCTCCAGCGACGGAACGTCTTGCCTTTCCACCAAAAGAGGATACCGAACGAGCACCAGAGCGTAATAAGAGCTGCGTTAGTCATAATGGGCGAGATGAACCTGCCAACGTTAGCAATGCTCTCCATAATCAGATCCACAAGACTTACCCAGCTTCCTCACTCCATGGCGTAATGAATTTGCCAAACCCGTAACCCCAAAGATTCTTGTTGACGGTGATGGCGACGAACAACGAGCCAGCGACAGGTTTATACGAGTCAACAGCGTACGTGCTGACGATACCCGGTAGAGCTGCAACCTGTATGCCAGCGCATGTGTAACCGATGATGATGACAGCCTCCCAGGGCCATTTACGCTCGTAACCTATCGCGACGACAATGTTGCCGATGAACATGATGACGACATACGGTATCATAGCTGGCAATCGCATCTCTGGCTCACGAATACCATTATTCTTCCTGGTGCTCCTTGCAGACACCCAATCGCTGAGCGGGCCAGCAGTGAAAAGTCCGATAAATGCACCGACCATGACGGCAAAGTTGGTAAAGCCGACAGTCATGGGTTTCATGTTGTATGGTGGTAGGGCGAGGACTTGACTTTGAGTCAGGTTGATGGTGAGGAAGCTCGAGCATGACCAACTGACGACGAAAGCGGCGAATTCGACGATGGGGAAGGCAAACAACTTCCAAGGGATCCAAAGGTCAAGGAAGATGGAACGGAACGGGTGTGCGTTTGGCTGGAAGATCTTCCACTGCCATTTGCTAGGTTTGCCGCGGCCAAGGAAGGGATCACGCCGTGCTGTCTCGGACATCTCTAGGCCAGCGGTGTTCGGTAGGATCGAATTTGCCGTGTTGATGTGCTGGATTTGGTTTGTATCTTTCTCGTTGTCGGAGTTGCTCATGTCTTCCTGGGTAGTCGCTCGTGTCTTCTCTTCTGACGAACTGGCTTTCTTCTGTCCCAAGTGCTCGGGCAATGCGCGCTTGAACCTTGTCTCTGGGAACATGAAGACTACCATCAAGAATGAAAGGCCGAGGATGCCAGTGTTGAGCCACCAGAAGCTACGCCAGCCAACCGTCTCCGTCATCGATCCAGAGACGATGGGGCCGACCATCAGCGAGCCCATGTAGACTACCCAGTATAGGGTGTTCCACTTTCCGCGGTCATGTAAGAAGAAGATGTCGGCGATGATCTCGGGCATGATGGTCTCAGCCGGTCCAGCGCCGATGCCATTGACGATGCATGCGCCCATGAAGGAGTTATACGAGTTGGCCTTGGCGCGCCATATCGAGGTACCGAAGTTGACGAGTTGGGACGCGAGATAAACCGGGCGACGACCGAAGGACGTGCTGATTGGAACCCTAGTGTCACAGATTAGCCTATGATGTCTGAATGATGGTCTATCCGTACTCACCAGATGAAGTTGCTAAAGCCCAGTACCAAGATGCAAACACCAGTGAATTGGACAGCTCCTGCCAGATCGGTATTGAACGCTTCTATCAGTGCCGGAAACATTGGCGCTAGAGCCAGTGGACCAAAACCTTGCGTGAATGTGGCCATTGATGCTGAGATGATGCATGCCATCTTCCAACCGGTGCTCCAATTGAGAGGATCGTCAGGATCATCGCTGGGTTGTGGAACGAGGACTTGGCGGTGTGCTCCTTTAACAAAGTAATGTGAGCCTACATCTGCCATGACCTCCGTGCCGGGAAGGATCTCTGTGTGGAGCTCGGCTTCGAGCTGCCGGCGTTCCTGCATTTCTTAGTACTGGGTGGTATCAATTATGTTGGGAACTTACATCTTCATTATAATCGTGTGCCTCCATTATGGTCAAAGAGACTGGTGTATGAGAGGGGTGATGATCGTGCTCAGATCAAGGATGCAGCGAGGTACTTGTATCGCTTGTTGTATACGACACCGCGCAATTCGCGGGCCTATTCTGACTCAATCTGGAATATCGGTACTATTGCGATTCGACTTCGAAAACCAGCCGGAGTGGAAGTCAAACGTGGCTTGCCATAGAGCGTCAAGACGTCGGTAGGATAGCACCGTGAGCACCTGTCGTGGTTCGGCAATTGTAGTCGGAGCTGAGTCCAAGACAAAAGGTTACTAAAATGTGTAGACAACGGCCGACCGAACCTCCGCTGAGTGTCTGGGTACTTATCGCCCAGCCTACGTTCCAACAGCCAGGTTCTCCGCATCTTCCACACGGGCGTGCGCAAATGAGAGACTTTCGTGCCGTCTCATCGTTCATAGCACATCATCTACGGCGTATATTAGCGCGCATCGTCCAGTCATGAGTCTTGAATGCGTATTAGCCTCTGTTTAGCCCCGGTGCGTCTATACATACCCATGTTCGCAGCGCTGTAATCTCGACCCAGGTTCCGGGATCAGGCGGCAGCGGATGAAATGGGCGGCAAATGTCTTTGCAGCCCGCTCAGCCATGCTGCGCGAGTTTAGGTGATGGAGGAGCTGACTGCACGGATGTTTGGTCGAAAGAGTGTTGGTTCGATGATTGTCAGTGAGGTTTGACGACTTGTGTAACTGCCGAGCCACGCTAATTCGCGCTACGTCACTAGTGCGATGCGGGGAAAATAAGGGGAAGCCGCCACGAGAAGACTAGAACGCCGAGCTTACGACACCAACATTGACAGTCCGACATCACGATATTCGGCCTGTCAATACGCCACTCGACGGGAACCTGCTTTTGTTATCTTCAATCGATATAACCTGTCGCGCAATCATGTCGCGCGTCTCAACATGTTGTATTAGATAACCAACAATTATTTTCGAGGCCCACCAGCCATCAACATCCCTCCCCTTAATCCTACAGTATCCTCGCCCTTCGCACACGAACTGATCGCGAACCCGATCAAAGCATTCGAGGTAGTCTGGATGCGAAGGCCACGTTGACATAATATTGGGGTCTTCGCCTTCGGGATATGGTCCAAACTCCTTCCACCAGTGACATATCCGCTTGCAAAGGCATGCAGGAGGGCTGAGAGGGTTAGTAAATTTAGAACCAAAGTTCAATGCAGGAGACATTGGAAGACCACTTACAGGCGTCGTAGTAGGTAATCAGACAATATTACTTGTTTGGCGGCGGACATGTCGTGGATGATATCGTTGCGTTTATCGTCAAAAATTGCCTCTCACTTGGCGCGAGTGCTAAGCTTGACATGACCAGATATGGATACAACCCGAATTCCTTGGAGTGTCTCTAGTGCGATAGTAAAGAACCAATCTAAGAGGACCTTCTGGCAGGAGATCTCGTTCATCCTATTGTACAGCGAAAGATTCCAAGAATCATGGGAGGTATGGTGTGTGAGATTCCCATGCTGCGTGTTTGCAGGCCGAGACACTTGGAAGTGAAGATCGAGATGGATTAGCGTCGGGATTTGGCGAAGGATCTGGGTTGGCGCTTGACTTAAATCTTGCATTCGGCGATGGAGGATGCCGAAGCCAAGGAAAAGTAGAAGTAGTTTAGGAACCCGAGGGATATACGACGGAGTCAGTTGCCGTGCAAGAAAGGTACCACGTCTACCAATGTCGAAGAGTGCAGGAAGTGCGGTGTGGGGGATGTCACAACAATCTTGCGAAACTCAGTCCTGACTTGCTTGCTGACGTATTGGATATCTGAAGGGTTGGGCGGTCTATGACCTCCAGGATTGCACATGTACTGATGTCCCGCGGAGTGCTGCCACATTGACTGGCCGAAGATCCTCAGACCACTTCCTTGGCCTCCGCTTGCCAAACAAGGCCAGATATAAGAGCCGGTAATGTGTTCGTAGATTAAGGCGCTGATCTCGTATGGTAAATCCAATAGTCGGAAGGTATCGCCGTCTGTTGACCGAAACTTTTGCTAATCCACAAGCGAGCGTTGAATTGAACGGAGTTTCTTCGAGAGTCATTTCTCGGATGACATCCAATACCCTGGTATACCGACTTCTAGATCGCTAGGACGAGGCGGATGCCAGCCGGAATTAGGTATGGAACAATGTCCTCGACATAACCTCATTTTCGTTTTCACGCCGTCTGCATCGGAACCAGCGACACTGAAGAACGAGCCATCTCTTATAACAGGAGCTGGTAGATGATCTAGAAAGACTATAATCGATAACTCCGGCCGGCTATTGCATAGCTCCACTAAGTGAGATTTCAGGACATCATAGTCCACCACCTGGGGGACTATCAGTATTAGAGCCAATATTGGCGTTCCGTATACTTACCTTGTTGGACTCCGTGTCATTCGAAGTCTGCTTCCGACAGCGACCATCAAGCCATTTTCTTAAAAGGTGCCATCGGTTACCGAACCGAGTCTGTAATCCCTCTAGCGCACTTCCGTCTGCCTCTTCGAGAGTGGTAGAAGATGGCTTGCGACGAATCCGCATATGGAGATCTAGGCCATCAGTATTCTTGAAGGTATAGCATGCGGGCAAACCTCCTGGAAGCTGATCAGGAGAGATCACGAGCCCTATAGTATTAATATAGAATGCCAGGTCCTTGATTCGCTCTTGACTGATATAACGCTAGATCTGTTCACGAACGACGATTTAAGAATGGCGTCAGTACTATAAGAGTATCAGATTCATGAAAAATGCTTTTACCAATTCTTCGGATGGCTCCGCAGCCTACCGTTGTAGACGAGTCGAGTAGCGCCATCTTCTCCAGTGGTACTCACCGAATGTGATACTCGAAAGGCTCACGTTTAGGCGAGAATATATACACGAAAAGGCGCAAATCGGAAGAAGGAATGTCCGTTCGATGACAGAGAAAGGTTCGAAATGGAGGACTCGACGCCACCTCACGTCATGTCAGTGCGCCGTTGCCTGCGTAAGATCAGGCGGCCATGCGATAACGGCGTTGTTTCCAGTCTAGAATTTGGATAGAGCGTCATCTTTCGAGCTCAAGCTCAGGCCGATGCATTGAACAAGCAGGGATGACTATGAAGGGGTGCCTACTTACGATCCTCTCACAGGCGGTAGAAACCTTTGCAACTGAGCTGATGTAACGAAGCTGACACAGACAATGAGTGAATTAAAGTGCGCTGGCAAAGGATGGAGTATACTTCACAAAATCAGGTGTGCAAGCAAATAGGCCGGACACCTACATTGCCCTCATATCGTTCGAATATGCTCATTGAGAACTATCGTAGGCTACATAGTAGAGTATGGTCTACTTGCGTCAAGAACAGACTCGGCCCAAAACCCCTATATCGGTCATCCATGACATCGCCTCTTAGAACCAGAAGGACTCCGCTCGTGAATTGTCTGCTTTTCGTGGTCTCGACAAGCGCTTCTAGTGCATTACCATTCGCACGGGCAGAGAGATTGATACCTTTCACCCACGACGCAAACTCGGGGTCGGCCCCATGAAGCGGCTTCATGTAGCAAGTATCCAAATCTTCGGTAATGCGGTTTCTGTTCTGGCAGACATGACCAAAAATGCGGTCAAGTCGACGGCAATCACTGCCCATCTTGCAAGCCGTCTTTCTGACAATGTATCAGAGCACGTTGAGTACCGAAGGGCTAATTCTGGAGTGATTGTACACTAATAAAGTCGAAGTGAGGATCGATGGAAGAGAACTCGACCATGAACTCTTAGTTCGGAATCGTTTCGTCTCCTTGCACCGCCCGAGGTTGTTGAAGAGCGAATTCCCTAGTTGTTAACGCTTCGCATGCAACACGGGTTCATCCACCGGCCTTTCATAGTGTGGGAACCATTTTCAGCAGCTTGCCCCACACAGAACCAAGCTTCGTTCATCGAAGCCTGCAGACTTGTGGATGTGGTTTCGCCCAATCATCTGGAAATGACTGCTATGTTCGAGAATTCACCCTCCGAAGCCTTTCAGCCTGACCGACTGAAAACATATGCACTGGAGTTCAGCAAGGCAACCGGGCCGGATGGAAGCGGGATCGTTATCGTGAGAGCAGGTGAACATGGCTCGTTGACCACTCAAAATTCAGGTAAGAGTGTATGGCTTCCGCCATACTACGAGTCATCGGTGGCAAAGGTTGTTGATCCTACCGGTGGCGGGAATACGTGTCTAGGCGGGTTTATCGCAGGCTGGAAAGCATCAGGAGATATTGCCAAAGCATCTATTGATGGTAACGTGGCTGCAAGTTTTGCTATCGAGCAGATTAGTTTGCTTTCTTGTGAATTGAGCGATGGAGAGGAGAGATGGAACGGCGCTCGGGTAATGGAGCGTCTTGCTGAGTATAGAGCACGGCTCAGCTACACAGGAAAGAACTGAGAAGAGTATACTACACAGGTAGTAGATATGGTTGCAATGATCGATTCGACTTTGAGTTTGGGAGATGTCTATCTACTGATGATAACGGTTTTAATCCTCCTTCACTCTCCTCAGGAAAGCCTCTCAGCCTTTTTCCGGTACGACTGGATAGACTTGAGCTGAGACGAAGTTCTTACCGCTGGCGCCGACTACATGGCGTGATATTCCGGCTTTAACACAACCACGCGAAAGTGAGGCTTCAGTCCGCGAACCTACAGCATCACAGAGATTACTCCGCCCGCCAGACTCTACCCTCAACCTAGCCTACCAAATTGAATATTGACGCTACTGTCTAGATTCCGCTGTAAAGATAGAAACACAGACTTCGCCAACCCGTTCCCGCGAAGTGGATCCATGTAGCCGTGGACTGAGCCCTGCCACCCCGTATCGAGCGCCTGTACACTGTCTAGCAAGGACTCAACAGCTCTTGGCGGACGGTTCATAGCTCACGGGCGACTCACGCAGCCTCATCATGATGCATGGTATCCTTCCCTACACGCATGCCATATATCCGAAATTCGCTCATCACGCGGCTGACAAGACTTGGGAGATATGGGGCGATAAGAGGATTCGAGACTGTGGGCGTCCCGTCCTCGCTATCAGTAGTGCGTGGATAGGTAATCCCGAGCGAGCGATTTACCACCATCTTACAACATAAGACTAACTAAAACTTGACGATGCAGGTTTCGCCTTACGAGGGGGTGATGGAGGAACGCCGCCACCCTTCATACCGGGGGATGCCGGATTCCTGTACAAATGCTATTGCGCGTCGTGCAGGGGGCTGGAGAGACTCAGTGTGGCATGTGCCTGGATTCTCAAAAGATGATAGTTGATTCGTCAAGTATGAGGGGTTGGTGAAGACGTTGTAGCTGTATGCCTAGAAGTCTTCCAAGAAATCCTGACAGGACTAATGCACGCACACATGCAAGAGTCTCGATCCCATGCGTCTCAACCTTCCACTGCAGGATCGTGATGATCACCGCCCTACCTTGATTGAGAATCCCATTGGATACCGATTGGGTACCAGGAAAGGTTACCCCACCGTCGGAACATGCATCTTCAGGGCCTGTTTCGTAATCTGACAGAACAGGACGCTAAAATCGCCGATCACCCCTCAACTTCACGCTCTTGCACGTTTGCGCAGCTGCTGCTGCCGCTGCCACGACTACCAACGTCACTAATACGTTGTCACGATACGTATTTGGACAGTCAACACTCAAGTCTTAGGTTCGCTTTTGTTTGTTATTGGTATGCTCTAAACAACGACCTGGCGGCGCGCATTCCGGTTTGACACGGAATTGAATACCGAATAGATAGTAAGATGCCTTTATCGCTTTGCCCCTCCAGGTAGCCGCGATAGGTATTCGAGAGAGACACATAAATGTATGAGTTCGTATCTGTTTGTAGGATGACCACATTCGGACGTCCCTTTAGAAATACTTCTGGTAGCATTTCTACATCACGATATATGCACCAACGAAGTAAACAACACCATATTCATCACCATCACATCATATCTACCTTTCAATTCTCGTTCAGAACGCATCTCTAATTCCAATCATGCCTTCTTTCCTTATGAGAACTTCACACGGTCTCATCAGCATCTACGACTCAAATCTCAAGAACGACAACCCCACTCTCCTTCTCCTACACGGCAACGCCTCATCCTCCAAACAGTTCCGCCATATCATCGACTCCCCGACTATCAACAAAGGCTGGCGAATCGTTACCTTCGACCTCCCCGGCCACGGCTGCTCGTCCAATGCCCCTGATGTCAAGACAACGTACTGTCATCGCGGCTACGCCGATCTGGCTATACGTGTCTTGCAGCACCTCAGAATAGAGTCTGTGGTGATAGTGGGTTGGAGCCTCGGTGGTCATATTGCGATTGAAATGCTTCCTTGTCTCGCTCATGATGATCCTCCCATGGTCGAGGAAGCTCCTCGGATCAGCGTGAAAGGCCTTATGCTTATCGGCACCCCTCCCGCGCGTGGTGCCGAGCAGATGAGTCACGCGTTCAAGATCCCTGCTAGTGGCCTTACGTTCGCGGGGAATAGAAATTGGGTCGATTTGGAGGCAGAACTCTACTTGAGACGTGGTGTGGCTGCGGGCAAGGAAGAGTGCTATGAGAAGTGGATGTTGGAGGATGCGGAGCGGACAGATGGGCGGGCAATAGTTTTCACAGCTGATGCCGCGACTGGGACAAGGGATAGCCCGCCCAAGGGTTGCGATCAGAAGCGCGTGGTGGAGGCGACTGATGTATTGATCGCGGTCGTGAACGGAGTGGAAGATCAGTTTGTCAATTTGGATTATATCGACGAGGAAGTGAAGTGGAAAAGGCTTTGGAGGGGTGAGTGCTTAGGGTTATCTGGACTGGGGCATGCGCCATTTTGGGAAGATGCGGAGGGGTTTGAGAAGGTGTTGGAAGAGTTTTTGGACGATTGTGAGGAGTGGGAGAGTACGGATTGTGATTCAGCTGTAGGTATTTAGTCTACCATGTTCATGGTTCCTCCCCATGTACGCAAGTCACTGATACCTAATGCATATGTAGTATCCGCTACTGTTTCTTGTTGAATGTGCTGGTTCTATAACGCTGGCACGACGCGGCTAAGTAACACCGTAGATAATCGCAATGCAGGTGTATTTCCCAAACACCTTTGCCCACAGTATGCAGCAGGTAGTATCCGCTACAATCCCATCATAGTTGTGAGCATGTGCTTTGGGACGTCACATCGCATACCATAACGTCCACTAATTTCTTACAACCATTCTCGATACGAGGACATGTGATCACAAGTTCGCTTCTGGCGAAGATTGGATGGGGCGTAACTAGTCAGTGTTCGTGGAAGCGCTAGGGCTACAGTTCCGAATGCTAGATCCCTGTACACGTCCCGCCCGATTTACGCAGTTCTGATCTAATGCTTACGACCTAGCAGGGCGTAGTCCCACTCTTCTTGGTACTTTCGGAAGAACTCACGCTCACCAGGAAGGTGCTTGCCCATGAACGCTTCCCAATGTTTGCGCTTTTCTCCGCCTTGAGTCATGGCCTCGAGCTCTCGGGCCCTCCGCATGCGAACCAACTTCTCCGCGGTCTGCTTCAGCTTCTCACGTGGGGCGGTATATTCATTGACACTCTTATCAGCCTCCTGGCGATTCAGATATACTTCGGTGGCGGTGCGTATCGTTTCCAGCGTTCTGCTATCTTTGAAGTGCAAGGTTCCATCTTCGCCCTTCCCGGGAACTATGACATGTTCCCATTCATCGGCTCTCATCTTTTCTAAGCCGTGGGTGACTTCGAAGCGTTTGTACCATCTATTTTCACCCTTGGCGATAGTTCGCATCGTTCTGTGTCGACTTTGGCCTTCCGTATATTTGATGAGAGTATTTTTGAGCACGGCTGTTCTTTTCGCGAATTTTCTTAGGGTAGACAGACCGAACGGAATTATCGCCGCGAGAGCTGTGTCATCGGAGTTTGAACTAGTTTGGCCAGCACCGATGGATAATAGAAGAGCGGGCTCACTGTCGTCGCCCCAGATCGAGGCGGCTTCAGAATAAGCACAAAAGCTGGGGTTGTTCTCCCGTATGCCACCATCTTTAAAGGTCAAGCTACCATTAGGGCTCATCACCTCCAGTGGCTTGAAGAAGAAGGGTGCAGCAGTGGTTGCCCGACCGACCTGCCACGTGCGCAAGTCAGGAGTATCTTCGTTGTAGGTGAGAACCCATGGCGGAAGCGTGTCAGGATTGTAGTAATGACTGTACGTGCGCAAGAGATATGTCTCGTCCAATCGCCCTGAGTAGAGCGATGTCAGGCATATCCTGAGCAGCATTAGGATCAACTCTTTTCTCATGACTATAGCACCGCTGCTGACTCACGTTTGGCAAAGCTGATATTCTGGAGTTTGAAGCCCAGAAGCAATGATCTTGGACTCCCGGGGGGGACGACCTTGCGAAATGTCTGAATCGTCCGAGTCATCTCCGTGATCTCCGTGAATATTCAGCCCTGTTGAGCGCCACTTGAAATGTTCGTCATGATCGCACAGACCTCGTTCGTGCTGTTTACAGTGCTGTCGAATCATTGATCTTAGAGTAGCCTCAAGATCTGAAGCACGATATCTGATAGCAAGAGGTGCCAATTTCCGAGGATTTGCATACATGGCGTGTAAAATAGCTTCTAAAGCGATTCTCGTTTCTCCTACGGTCATCCGGAGACGACTTAGGGCAATAGTTAATGTCCTGCGAATATCTGTGAGCATATTTTGCTATTCAAGGACAGCTGTAGGATGAAACAAAAGCTTGCGCTAATTGTGTATTCCATAGGCAGTACTTACCCTCCCGTCGATGTGCCATACATCTTGTGGAAGTAATGGCATGGACGGAAATTTGAAGCTTCGAAGCTTCTGGGATAGTGCGTGAACTGCCGCTCGAACCGGTTCTCAAAAGCGATGACTTCTTTCATGAGTGCCTCAATGATCAAGAGACTTGACCACGACTTCACTCCACCACCATCTGACGTACATGTTAGCAGTCTCTCTGCAAATGCTGGCCGAATTACAGACCGAGGGTAAGTAGACATTCTCCAGTTCCATCCTTCACCGATTCTGACCATTCGACCGCCAATTTGTCTGCTATGGAAGGCTCCTCGTTGTACACTGAATGTGACGATGTGCCATTGTCGATTTTCTCGCCCCCGTCTGTCCTCGTGATGGCGATGTTGTAAGTTTCAGATAGTTGTAATGTTGGAGCTGTATATTCAGAAGGAGAATCTTTGAGCTTGGCTCCTTCTACGATCCAAGCAGCAGTGTTCTCCAGGAAAACGTCCTCTAATGAAGCCACAATGAGGTCACGGTTTTTCCCGACAAAATCTGTAGTAAAGCCTACTGCTCGTAGAGATCTCTCTATATCTAGCCAGACCTGTTGTTCGACATCTGGAATCTCTGGAGTCGTAACGAAGCTGCGAATAGATGAAGCCGTGACGAAGCTACGAATGGATGGAGCTGCAGGGAAGCTGCGAATGGATGGAGCCGTAACGAAGCTGCGAATGGAAAAAGCCTTGTCTGTACTGTTCTGGCTGTTCACCAGCTGAGTAAGAGTCTCCTTGATGGTCTCGTAGTCTTTTGCAGTCTTGCGGTTGCTGACGACGTTGAGGTGCGATTGCAGACTTGTGAGCCTCGACCGCAAATCAATAACATTATCACTAAGTGATGCGCAAAGCTCGTATCTTCCAAGTTCACCATGCTCTAGGGATTCTACAAGTACTTTGAGCTCCCTAAGTATTGAAGCGCATTCTTGAGAAACTCTTCCAAAGTGTAGGTCGCTGGAAAACACACTGGTGTCGAGCGTCTTCGCATAGTCTTCGGTGTATTTCGCAAATGCACTCAGAGCCTCTAGGCTACCGAGAAGCTTGTCGGAGTTGTCCGCTTCGCTGTAGCGACTGCTCAACCGCTCACTGACTTGTCGTATTTCGGTGATCTGGTTGATGGTAATGTCTCTGCCTGCTGTGATGTCGCCTTGGAACACGGCGCCGCCCCCGCTATCCACGGTTTGGTCCGGCGGGTCCATTCGTGCGCAAAGACCTTGGCTGAGGTCTTGCAATCATCCGGAAAAAATATCGAAGGGCCGGCGGCGACATGCAACTCTTGGATCGGTTCCGGTAACGTTTGGGATGGGGGTATTCTTCTGGGGTTCCTCACCAGGTGGGGTAAGGCTGTGTGCCTATCGCACACCTTGCAGCTGGCTTGGTCAGCTCAGCTGCAGCTGCGGCTGAGGCGAAGCAAATGACTACCTGCCATCTGCCTGCTTGACTCATCCTTCAAAGACTGTCGCGCATAGCTTCAGAAGCTGTGGAGATACCAGGAATGGGTATGTTTCGCCGTTTGAAGACGAGTGGGAGAAAAAAGAAAGGAACAGAAAACGAAAAGCATACCGAGAAGCCAGCCGAAGAATTATTCTCCACAGCAGGCGCATACGGACTCAGGACAGTAGCGGAGGGAGACCATGATGTCGCAGAGTAGGCGTCCAGCCTCACCACCAGAATGCACCTAACACCCACCTCAGTATCGTATTGGTCCACGGCCTCACTGGGAACCGCGAAACTACATGGACGTACAGAAAGACCATTTTCTGGCCCAAAGACCTTCTCGCCAATGACCTAAAAAACGTGCGCATCTTCACGTTTGGATACGATGCAGATATAGTCAAGCTACTCAACATCGCCGGCGGAAACACTGTACGCGACCATGGAAAGTCTCTCGCCCACGACCTCTCCTTGCGAAGAGCAGAAACAAACACAGTACACATCCACCACTTTAACACCATTTTCGTAGCTAATCAAAATAGAGCAACCGCCCAGTAATCTTCATAGCCCACAGCCTCGGCGGCCTAGTCGTCGAACAAACCCTCCTAATCTCCCGCGGCACCTCGGAACTACACGTGAAAACGCTCCTCACCTCCACCTTCGCAATAGCCTTCATGGGAACCCCCCACCTGGGCTCGCGGAAAGCAGACTGGGCGCACCCTCTCACGCAACTCTCTTCCCTCCTCCGGAAGACGAACAGAGAGCTCGTCGCAGTCCTAGAACCAGCCTCAGGAATGCTAGCAACCCTCCAACAAGAATTCCACAGCATGCTCGAAGACAAACGACGCAACGAAGGGAAATGGATCGAAATATTTTGCTTTTACGAGGAGTTGAGTTACAGTGGGATAGGAGATATCGTCCCGCGTCAGTCGGCGATTCTACCCGAGTATCCTAATGCCAGCATCCATCAAAACCACTCCGACATGACCAAGTTTAGTGGGGTGACGGATCCGGGGTATGTAAGGGTACGGGGGCAGTTGTGGGTGTGGGTAGATGCGATCAAGAAACGAGAACTTGCTGATACGGCGACGATATCAGCTCAAACTGCCTCCAACGAACGAACACTATTGTCACAGGCGAACGAGTCAGAGCAAGCGTCCAATGCACCCCAGAGTGTATCCGAGTTGGAAGACTTGGGACGACCTCCGGAACGGGCACGGGGGGTTGAAGCAACACAAGAGATCGGAAGCAGCCGAACTGGTACTGTTTTGTCTGGAGGCGGCCCGATCTTTCTGGGCAATGTTAGTGCTGGGCATGACTTTACCTTTAATCAATACTCGTAAACCAAAGGATAAACTCTGGATCGAACAAATACGAATCGATCGATTTTCGGCATCCATTCAATCTACTTCTTCTTCTCCGCTTCTTCGTCGTCATCGTCGTCATTATCCTCTTCCTCTTCCTCATCACTGTCTTCTTCGTCCTCATCATCGTCTTCCGCATCCGAAACCTCTTCTCCGAGAGCCCTGAGCCGTTCCTACTACTGTTAGTTTTGTCTGCTACCAGAACATTGGAGAAACAGCAGTGGTTCACCTTGTCTTTTGTCCTCTTCTCCTCAAGATCACTAAGCACCATAATGAGATCCTCCAACTCAGTAGCCTTCTCCTTCTCTGCCTCTTCCGCTTTACGCAGTTTCTCTTTGAGGTCTTTGAGTTCCTTTTCACTTGCACCTGCAGCTCCAGCTCCACCCCTACCCTTCTGGTTGGTAGACTTTGCTGCAGCAGCGGCAGCGGCTTCAGCTTTCCTTAATTTCTCCTCCGCTTCTTTGACCTTCCAAGTCTGGTCTTGAGCCTTGGTTTTGAGATCTTGGTTCTCGGCTTTGAGCTTGTCGATTGTAGATTGGAGGGCTTCCTTGTCGGATTTGGATTGCTTGAGCTGGGCTTCTTGGGTGGACTTGGATTGCGCAAGTTGCGCTTCTGTTTCTTGTTTGAGATGCTCTTTCTCTTCTTCGAGCTGCTTGAGCTGCGTCTCTTTCTCCTCTGTAAGGATCTGGAGCTGAGCTTCGCTATTTTGCACATGCGATTGTGCGTTGCGTAGGGTTTCGGTAATGGTGGCTACTTCGGCTCTGGTTTGCCTGAGGGTCTGTTCGAGATTGCGAATGTTTTCGATGGCTTCTTGACGAGCTTTCTCTGAGGCGCCCAACCGACGCTCCAACTCAGTGCATGTTCTATGTGCGTCGTGGAGCTGCTCGTCGTACTCTTGTCTGACCTTTGCGATGGCAAGGTTGGCGTCCTTGCTCGCTTGTTGAACCTTGTTGTTAAGCGCAACGATTTGAAGATTGTACTTGTTCTCCATCTCTAGCATAGCTTGTCGGTGCTCACGATCCTTCTTCGCAACCTCCTTGTCGAGATCGTCGTGCAATTTGTCGTTAATGCGCTTCAGGGTACTGCGTTGCTCCTCGGCCGATTGCTGGGTCTTTCGATGCTCCGCCTGTTCCTGGTCTATCTTTTGCTCCAAAGTCATAAGTTGTGCTTTGAGCTCTTGGATAGTTTGCTCCTTCTCGTTACTCTCCCCACGAAGGGCATCGACTACGTCTCGGTCAACGCCATCGTGCGACTGGTGCTGTTCGATGTTTGGGTTACGATCGATGGCCCGAGAAAGTCGGCTGAAGTTGTCTTTCAAGAAATCTACAAATGCCTCGTCAAAGAAGATATCCGGTAAGCTGCCACCTCCACCGCCAGTTCGGGGAAGAACCTCAAAGTCTCGCACGAGCGGGTGACGACGTAGTCCTGTGATGGCGTCGAGATACTTGTCACGACCGAGTTTTGACATGAGTACCGGTTGTAGTTCCCGCCGTGGCACGGGCGAGTCTCTTGTTGAGAATTCGTACACAACTCCCAATAGTGCCGCACAGAGGCCGCGAATCATGACTCGATCTTCTCCGGGGGTCAGGACGGCTTGTACCAAGCTTTGCAAGCTGCTGGCTTCTCCTAAGAAATCGTCTACTGCTGCGGCGTCCTCGAATAACCAGCCTAGCAAGAGCATAAGGTAGGCTACCGATATGCGCTCATCTTCCCCGAGTTGCAGGCTTGCGATGAGATTCGCCGTAAGCGTCTGTATGCATGTGACGACCTCTTCGCCGCTCTCTGCGTCTCCCTCCTTGACCTCCATGAGAGTGTTCTTTGCTTGATAGTCATCGAAGATGAGGTGGTAGATTAGATTTGAGGCAAACCAGATTCTGTATGGGTCGCCAGTTGGAGGAACCTGTGGTCCGGCCATTAGGATTGTAAGAGCATTGGCTGTTTCGTCACCGCCCTCGTGGCCACCGATGGCTCGGTTCAGGAAGTGTTCTTGTATTTGTCTGTGATGATAGAAGTAGGCCTTGATGCACTCGCATCCTGCATTGCGCAGGTCGAAGAGATCATTCGGTGCGGGAGAAAGGACTAGGTTGAGCAGGGCTTCGATAACGTATACAGAGTGCACGCTGTTGGGAGAAGTGACGCCATTTGTAGGAGGCTCGACAATAGGTCTGACCTGCTCTTGGGCGAATCCTTCTTGGAGCCGAGCGTTGCCTCTGATCAGATCCGCGCACGTGTTGAGGGCCTCGATCTTGATAGGCATGGCGGTAGCGGGGTCAAAAGCGATGTTGAGGAGTTGGCGGACGAGGCCATGCTGCTGGAAGACGTTCTGGTTCTGTAGTGTGCCCGCGCTACCTTTGACGAGGAACATGCGCATTATGGCCAACAGCCCCCATATATTCTTGTCGCTCTGCGGACTGACCCATTCGTCCTCTTCCTCAGCATTCACACGTGCCTTCTTCGGCTTGTTACCGCCAGGTAGCAGCGCGACAAACCTCGCGACATGGCCCATCTCTCTTATGTTTGTTTGGTTGGATACGTTGAAGCGTATGAGGATAGCCAGCAGGCTCAAGCAATCTTGAACCACGACGCCGCCCTGAGTGAGCCCGCCATCGGCATGTATCATGTTGAAGACCTTTGTAAAGGCATCCTCGAAGACGAAGAGCTTCTGGAGCTCGGCAGAGGTTCGCGACAGGTCAGTAAGGACGACGAGGGCTTCGTTACGGATGGCATCGCGGGGGTCGTCCAAGGTGGCTACCAGGCGCTCGATGCCGCCGGGGGCTGTGAGGACGCATTCCTGGGTTCGTTGGGGGCGTGCGAGGGAGATGGCGCGTATCAGTTGCAGCGAGTACAGGCGGGAGTAGAAGTCGGGCTTGTCTAGAAGATCAAGCAAGAGGGTTATGTTGTCTTGCCGCTATCATAAGCTCAGCACTAGTAGATATGTAGCAGGACAGGACCTACTTGTGAGAACTGGTCGGCCAACAACAACTCCAGCTCTTCCGAGGCCTCGTGACTGGTCTCGTCGGGGTGGAAGAGCATGAGCAGGGTCTCGAGCACCACCTTGAGCGTGTCCACGTCGTCGCCATCTTTAGTCAGCGAGGCGATGAGCCCTTTGAGCGCGCCCGAAGCGACCGAGGCGGGATATTGTTTGGCGAAGCTCCGGAGGCCGAGAATGGCAGCGCGACGGTCTTCAAGGAGGCTTGCGCTCGTCAGCCTCCCACTAAGAGTGCTGATGGTGTCGGTTGCCGTCTGCTTGGGAGGCGCATTGGCCTCGAGAACGCGCATCATCTTGGGGGATTGACAGGGCTATGGCTTCATGGTAGAATATACGACGAGTGTTCAGTCATACGTATGACCATCCATGTAGCTAACGTAGTCGACTCAGTATAATCGCAACCATGGTGGGTGGAGCTCCACGTATAATTTGGCGCACGGGCTCGCGGCTCCTCCACATCCCTGCAGGGTCGGCGAGTCGGCAAAACCGCGACTCCAGGGTCCCAGCCGCGATACTAAGGAAAGAGCGCGTCTTCCATCGCCGCTCCTTCTCCCTCTCTTCCCCCATCACCACCTCCCATCAACCATCGTGCGTAAATTCGGTGATCGCGCGCCCACGGAGATTGCGGCACTAGGACTCATATCGCCGCCCCTGGATATCGCATACGGCGCTTCAAGAGGAGGACAGGGCTTTCATCGCCATTAGGCAGTCTTTTTCTTTCCCACCGCGCATCGTCGCAGCACTACCATACACTCCAGACTACTAGTACACGCGCTCTCGCACTCGTCGCAATCGCAATACTACCCTTTCCAGCTACAGTCTCACTATATCCACCCTCTACCCTCACACGTCGCGCGCCACTGAGCGCCTACCGCCATCATGGGTGTCCCAGCCATGTTCCGCTGGCTCAGCCAGAAATACCCCAAGATTGTCTCAACAGTGCAGGAGGAGTTGCCCAAAAAGGTCGGCGACAATGTCATACCTGTAGACCGCACCGGGCCCAACCCCAACGGCGAAGAGTTCGATAACCTCTACCTCGACATGAACGGCATTGTACATCCTTGCTCCCATCCCGAAGACAAGCCTGCGCCCAAGACCGAGGCCGACATGATGATGGCCATCTTTGAATACACTGATCGCTGTGTCGGCATGGTCCGTCCTCGTAAGCTTCTCTACATGGCAGTCGATGGCGTTGCGCCTCGTGCCAAGATGAACCAGCAGCGTTCGCGTCGTTTCCGCGCCGCCAAAGAGGCAAAGGAAAAGGACGACGAGCGCGCTGAGTTCCAGAAAATGCTCAACTCGCAAAAAGCTAGCCGTGGCGAGGACATCTCCAGTCTCGAAGAGGTCATCGAAAAGACCTGGGACTCCAATGCAATCACCCCCGGTACACCCTTCATGCATCTTCTTGCCGAGAGTCTTCAATACTGGTGTGCCTACAAGTTCACAACCGACCCCTCGTGGAAGGACATGAAAGTCATCATCTCTGATGCGTCTGTGCCTGGTGAGGGTGAACACAAGATCATGAACTTTATCCGCTCGCAGCGTTCTATGCCTACTCATGACCCCAACACCTCGCACGTTATCTACGGCTTGGACGCCGATTTGATCATGTTGAGTCTTGCTACCCATGAGCCTTATTTCCGTGTTCTCAGAGAAGATGTCTTCTACGACTCGGGTAAGGACAAGGTTTGCACGCGCTGTGGCCGCAAAGGACATATCCGCAACAACTGTGAATTTCCCGACGACGGCAAGAAGCTCACTGAAGAGGAAGCTGCCGAAGAGTGGGCCACTTCTGAGCACCAACTCAAGCCCTTTATCTGGCTTCACACCAACATTCTGCGCGAATACCTGGCAGTCGAGATGGAGACGCCAAAGCGCAAGTTCAAGTACGATCTAGAACGCTCTCTCGATGACTGGGTCTTTATGTGTTTCTTTGTCGGTAACGATTTCTTGCCACATTTGCCTAGTCTTGAGATTCGAGATCAGGGTATCGACTTGCTCATCAGCATCTGGCGAGATCTCGCCGCTGAAATGGATGACTACGTGACCAAAGATGGTTTCCCAGACATGCGCCGTGTGCAACAGATTCTCTCCGCCCTAGCGACTCGAGAGGCTGGCATCTTCAAGAAGCGAAAGGAGGTCTCTGATCGTCAGGCAGCAAACAGGGCTAGGCGCGAAGCACAGCAGAACGGCAACAAGCGCCAGCGAACTGAAGCAAGCGGCCCGCCTGGGTTCAAGCGTGCGAAGGAGAGCACCGACACGTATACCAGTGCAGGTATTGTATTCTTTGACCCCAAGGATGCACAGTCAAAGGAAGTGCGCGATGTGCACAAGGACATCATGCACACCCGTGACGCCCAATCCAACAAGAGCGCAGCTGCTCGACTCAAGGAGCTCATGAAGGCTAAGGCTGACGGCACTGCTGCACCTGAGCCTGAACCGACCCCAGCTTCCGAGCCCGCCTCGGAAACCGCTTCTGGAACTGAGACTCCTGTTCACCTTGGAAAGCGCAAGGTAGATGAGGTCGAAGACGCCGACAACGGTACGCCTGGTCGCACTACGCCCGTCATTCCCGACACACCTGTCCAGGCTACCGAGCCAAAGAAGAACGATGACGGTACTGTAGAAGACACCATCATGCTTTGGGAGGAAGGCTACGAGGAGCGTTACTACGAGCAGAAGTTCGGCGTTGACCCCAACGACATTGCCTTCCGTAACAAGGTCGCGCGTCAGTACGCGGAGGGTCTCTGCTGGGTGTTGGCCTACTATATGCAAGGCTGCCCCTCATGGACATGGTATTTCCCTCACCACTACGCCCCCTTCGCTGCAGACTTCGTCGGTCTCGAAGACATGGATCCCCGCAAGCTCTTCGAGAAGGGCACACCGTTCCACCCGTACGAGCAACTCATGGGTGTCTTGCCCGCCGCATCGAACCACGCCATCCCCGAACCCTTCCGTGTGCTCATGGAAGATCCTCAAAGTTCAATCGTCGACTTCTACCCTCCAGACTTCCCGATCGATCTAAACGGAAAGAAGTTCGCCTGGCAAGGTGTTGCCATCTTGCCCTTCATCGACTCGAGGCGACTACTAGATGCTATGGCGACCAAGTATCCAGAGCTCTCTGACGACGAGAGAAAGCGCAATGAATTCGGCAAAGAGACACTCATGTTCTCCCAGGAGAGCGGCCTATTCGACGATGTTGAGAAGGCTCTGTACCGCAAGGGAGAGCAGAAGTACAAGATCGATCCCGCTAAGAGTCGCGCGCTCCATGGAGAAATTGAGCCGCACGATCTTTTCGTTATGGACAGTCAACTTGTGCCACCTTTCGATGCAGATGGTATCACGGAGTTTGAGATTACTCAAGATCGGTCAATGAGGTATGTTCGAAGTTCCTTTAACTTTACATCGAGACAGTACTAACCGTCATACAGAGTATACTACGAAATGCCAAGCGTGAGCAACACCCGAGCCCACAAGTCCGCCCTCCTCGAAGGCGTCATCATGCCCAAACCAGCTCTCAGTCCCGGTGAGGCTGAGTCAGTACGTCGCTCGAACGAACGCGGTGGCTTCCGCGGCGGACGTGGTCGAGGAGGTGGAGGTTACCGTGGTAACTACAACAACGACCGAGGCGGTGGCTACAACAACGACCGTCGCGGCAACGACAACTACAACAACAGCGGTGGACGAGGCGGCTACCAAAACGGTCGTGGAGGTGGCGGCTGGGACAACAACCGTGGCGGATACGGTGGCAACCAAGGTGGCTATGGCGGTCCTCCACCTCCGCAGAACTTTGCTCCTCCTTTCCCCGGCGGCAACTTTGCTCCTCCCTTGCCAGGCAACTTCCCTCCCCCACCACCCGGATGGGTACCTCCCCCCGGTGTAGGAGGCTGGCAAGGCGGTGCGCCCCCGTACGGCGCACCTCCCATCCCACCACCAGTCACGCAACGTCCAGCTTGGATGAACGGTGGAGGTCAGCAACATGGTGCCCCGCCGCCACATCATGCACCCAACAACAGTTCGTTGAGGGATGAGCGGTTCTACCGCCCCGCCGATGAGATTCTCGGTCGTAGTGGGGGAGGTGGTGGTGGTGGTGGTGGTGGTGGATACCAGGGAAACAACCCCTACAATGACCGCCCGCCGAGGGATGACAGAGGTGGTCGTGGAGGAAGAGGCGGACGCGGTGGACATCGCGGTGGTGGTGGTGGTGGTGGAGGAGGAGGAGGAGGAGGAGGATATCAAGGCAATAGGCAGAGCTATAACTCTAACGACTATCGCTAGAGGTTTGCTTGAGTCGGATGTGGTAGGGAGAGTGTGGGATGATAGGATATGATCTTTGTACGATAGTATATGGGTTTTGATAGATTTCCACGAAAATTCCTTTCATGAATTTTTCAATTTGGAGACGGAGAACTGTGCTCGTGTTGTTCATGTGTATGTTTTGCGAATACATATATTTCTGCCCTGCTTTTTGCTGAGCGGGAAAGCACATGTAGCAGGCTGCTATTGCACTTTTGTTCCTGTTTCTCGTCGAGTGGAAGCTGTGGAGTTTTGGTGCGCGGCATGTGGATGACGGATGGGAAGTATTATTTCCTGTCGCGTTTTCTCTCTTTCTCGGTCAAACTACCTTTCTTCTTTTTTTCTACTTAAAAACAAGACAAAGCCTTTGATGGTGCGTTCTCTGCCCTCGGTGTGTCAAAGTATCTGGAAGGTCAGATATGATCTCTTTTTGGAACTCGCTGCCATCATGTACATACATCTCGCATTCAAGCTCATCATTTCGTAATCATCCTTCCGAGTTTTGAACCATGTTGACGTGCTCCCTTAGTCTTCTTCTCATCAAGACAAGCTGGAAGGCTTTTGGAACGCACATACGCTCGGTGTTGTGGATCTTTCGCAGTCATGATCATGAAGAATTTATCATTTGGCAGCTATTTTGGATGCCGGAAGAGGACAGAAACATCAACCAAAGCCAGTAAGGTTTTGGTAATTAATGTTCAGGAAGACGACTCGCACACTCGAGGGTAGTGTCGTTTCTGGTAATCTCGGTGCTCCGCACATATGACCGCGGAGTATTTGTTTCTGTTTCTCCTTCCCAGACATGTGCTCTCCCCACGAATCTTTTTGGGAAAGGCGGTAGTCTCGAACATTCGATCGTTGTCCGTGAATTTTGATCATTGAAACTGAGAGAGGAGAACCGGAAGTCTCGCACACACGAGGTGAAGTAATGAATAATTTTGGTCTTCGGCACACATGGGAGTGCTAGTGGTGGTTCTTTTGTTTTGCAGACATGTCGTAATCGTCGAGAAGTTTCTGGGGAAGAGGGTGGAAATGACCATGGATTTAAAGAACCACAGTTTTTGGCGGGTGAAGTGAACAGAGAGGACGAGGACGACTCGCACACATCAAAGTGCGCAAAGTGCGATTCTAGTCTTCTTCTCATCGCCATGAGGTATGAGCGTTTTGGTCATTTGCCATGAAGCTTGCTTACGTTGTTTTGGAGAAACGGAAGAGATGATGTGATGTAGAAGGGAAAACGTAGAAGGAGAAGACGGGGTTTATATATGCAGCCGGGTTGGTGCGGGGACTGCATGTAACGGCTGTAGGAAAGAGGAAGGCGATGCATTGCGAAAATACCACTGTGTCTGCAAAACCGGGCAACAGTGTGACATCACGTGTCGGCACGAGCAAATGTGTATTTAAACTCCTCGTTGACTTGTCCCTTCTACTCTTCAACTCACCATGTCTTGACATCCAAATTCAAAAGAAGATGAAGGCGAACAAATGGCTTTCCTCTCTTCTTCGGTCTGCTTTTTCAAAAACTGCACCGGTTGCACCGTATGTCTTCGCATTCCTCTTCTCCAAAATCCAGCCACCAGATGAAATGCGTTGAGGCCGCTGATACGAAATGGTTGATCTTCCGCGGTCTGCTTTTACAAAGAAAATGTTAATTCCCTACTTTATATGTTCGCGACTTGTCTACTCAAAAATTGACACAGGGACCTTCTATGAACTGAGCACACCGATTTGACTTGTCATCTCTTTCTCGATCTGCTCTTCGCGAACTGCTTTCTCGAAACTCTAGAAGAGGAGAATGTATGGGTGCTGGCGTCTGTAAAACCGCAACCTAGTCTGTCATGACCGGGCTGCGAGATCGCAGTGTAAGCACTTGAAACGCCGACAATTGTCTTCCATGGAGTGGCGTCGCTGCTATAGTTCTAATTGTATGCAAGTAATTGCTCCAGCTTTGCAACACCAAAACCGCAAGATGGCATTTCGATGTCGCCGAGCGCTTCGTAACCTCGAAGTCAAAGGCTACCATATTCGTGATTGCGCTGTGCCTGGAACTCCCAGAAAGCCTCTGAGATTGCTCGGTCAGTTCTAAAAAGTATGAACCCACTTGTCATGAGTGCTCGAGGCTCAAGACCAAATAACATACTTTCATATAATATGTGCAAGTTCTGTAAGCCACTAGGTATGCGATTATATCGCGACATCAGAAATACAAAGCGCACAAGGATGTTCCCGGCGATGTATACGGCACCAACGGACAGCGATTCGGCGTGTAGCTTTTCGGTAATGACAATTTTCATATTGCAGTTCTCGCGTTGCAACTGATTTGTAGACGTAGGGATCCACCGTGAATGGCTCTGAGGGTTGACATGGAGCGGCTCAAAGTTTTGAGATATGGGGCCACAAATGCGAATTCGATTATCGCAACGTATCGCAACGCACCGCATTGAAAATCTGTCGAGAGATCAGAATATGCGGTACGATGAGCTGCCCATGACGCTAGGCATCATGTCGCGAAGGTGAGTGCGCTGGGCAGCTGCTGGAAATGCAGTCGTGCGACCATGACGCATCGCGTTCGCACGATGGATTCCAAGATTACTTGCAGTGTGCACCCTTGAGCCCCCCAGCCGATGCCCTCAATACGAGAGTAATACTAGTGATAAGAGCAGAAATGCCAACAACAAATTCTTTGATGAATTGTGCAACAAGTGTGTCCGAACCTAAGAGGAGCTGGATGCTGTTGTGCGTTGCTTGGCGTAGTCCGAATCAGACAACTTGTCGCAAGCCGTCGATTGCGGGCGTCTGCATTGTCACCACGGCTTTTGGAACCTTGAGCCTGCAAAGACGCAGTATCCGCCTCCCTCCCGCGGAGAAACCTCAATGCCAGATCCGAATTTAGGATCATTGCCATGAGATATTACCAATTTATCACCAGACGTACAAACGCCATTGTAGGACATCATATGACAAACTACGACAAATTGTGCCTGCAGTGAGAGGTGCAGAGGCGTTGCCTTCGGAAGAAGTCGGCATTTCGGAAGCGAGCTGCGAGGAACCATCGGATGGTGATGGTGTGACTTTTAGTCACCACATACTCTACAACAACGATGACTGTACTATGAACTTGCCTGAAACTGGAAACGTCGGTACAGATACCCACGAAGCTCGGCAGGAGTTCACAGGATGTGGGCAAGACGCAAATGTGTTTGAGTACCTATTAAGAACAGATTCGATAACGCAATATCCAACGGCGAAAAGGTTGATGGCTACAGCTGCCCACAGGGTACAACAACATCCTCACAACAGCCAATGTCGCGAGCATGGATCGAAACGTATTGTCGCATCTCGGAGTCTAGTCCTATCATGGCTTTCGCGCGCCAATGTACTTCGTACCTGAACATCCTCACCCGCGCGTCATCCCTGTAGCCGTGCAGCGGAAAAGCCGCGGGCGCCCGGATACGACGAGACTGCTCAGTCACACGTGTGCTATACGTAATATCCGACCGCACTTGTAAGACAGATGCTTCGAGGCTATTGTGAGCCTGCGAAAATCCTGTCACGCTTTGTCAGTGTGGACCCATCGGACTCTTTTCATCGTCCGATATATCCTGGTTGCTGTCCTTGAGGAAATGCATCACCGCGGAGATGCACAACTCAGCGGGTGTTGCAGGGAGTGGTAGATGGCGTACTCATATGCGAGAAGAGACGGATGAGATATTTAGTCGCGCTGGATCTGAAGATGTCTTGTTGGTATTATACGGTTGTGTTCCTTCATTTTTCATAGAAGATTGCATGCATTGTACTTCCAGGAAAAATCACAATCACACCACAACGACCATCGCCCCATTTGGCACCCAATATTCTATACCTCTTAGACAATCTCTATCGAATCTACACAAAAAATGGGCGCATTAACCCCGTCACAAGTGCAAACCATCAAATCGACAGTCCCGGTCCTCGCCCAACACGGCAACACCATAACAACAAAGTTTTACCACGACCTGCTGTCCGCACATCCCGAACTGAAAAACGTCTTCAACAACACCCACCAAGCGACCGGCCACCAAGCACAAGCACTCGCAGGAGCCCTTTACGCATACGCCGCCAACATCGACGACATGGGAAAGCTGAGTCCAGCAGTGGAGCTCATATGCCACAAACATGCGAGCTTGTTCGTTCGCGCAGACCAGTATGATGTTGTTGGCAAGCATCTACTTGAAACGATGCAGACAGTGCTGGGTGATGCTGCGACGTCCGAGATCCTGGAGGCATGGGGTGCAGCGTACTGGCAGTTGGCGAATATCATGATTGGCAAGGAAGATCAGTTGTATCAAGAGACATCGTATTGGCCCGATTGGAAGGACTTCACTATTGTGAAGAAGGAGAAGGAGAGCGAGGAGATTACGTCGTTTTACCTCGAGCCAGTGGATGCAGATTTGAAGCTACCGGTCTTCAAACCTGGACAGTATATCTCAGTTAACGTCTTCGTGGACGAGCTGGAGGGTGGTGTGTGGCAGGCAAGGCAGTACAGTTTGAGCGATGCGCCGGGAAAGAAGCATTTGAGGATCAGTGTGAAAAAAGAGCCTGGCATTGAGATTGGAGAGCCAAGATACTTGACACATGCAGGCTATATCTCCAACCTGCTACACGACACGAAGAGCGAGGGAGACGTAGTGAAGGTCTCGCATCCATTCGGAGAATTCTTCTTCGACGCGAAAGAGGTCGATGCAGACGCACCCGTTGTTCTCATCTCAGCAGGCGTTGGTCTGACAGCTTTGACCTCCATCTTCAACTCCCTGACAGCGGAGAAATCGGATCGACCGATAACCTGGATCCAAGGCGCACGTAACTCAAAGACACGAGCCTTCAAGACGCACTTTGACCAAAGCGCTGCAGCAAACGAGAACGTGCATGCAATGTATTACTCGTCGACTCCGAGCGAAGGGGAAGTCCAGGGCCGTGACTACACTATCAAAGGTCGCGTAGATCTAGACAAGATTGACAGGAAGTACCTGCATACGGACGACGGCAAGACACAGTACTACTGTTGTGGACCCATACAATTCATGCTCGACGTTGAGGCGAAGTTGAAGAGCTATGGCGTGCCGAGCGAGCGGGTGAAGATGGAGTTATTCGGTACCGGCGGAGTACCGAGAGTTTAGGGTGTTGGTGAAATAGCGATCGGCTTAGTGATGCGTTCATTGTATTCCTAGTGATTTAGTATACCAGATTTCGTGTTAGTAGATCCAACACCGTTTAGCTCATCCGCGCGCCAGTCGCGCAGTAGATTTTGTCAGTGCAGCGGCGTACAAGCCACTAATTCGCCATGTGGGATGCGTACCACAACGCGCATGCCATAGGATGCCATTTGCAACGCTCCTATGGACACGTGCAGCGGAACGAGGAGCTTTGATGGTAGATCTTCCTAGATGGCAGCGGGAAGGTAAGGTACTAGGACATTGACCAATTCCGACGTCCCGGTCGTTCAGCAGGTCAGGCCAGATGTCGCACACTTGCGCAGACGCAGGGCAATGTTCCCATGCCTAGGATCATGTAAGAACGCGGTCTTTGAGATAGCTCGTTTTGGATAAATTGTACCCCAGATACTGACGCCACCTGGAAGGTGTGTGCAGCAATCTCTTTGTTCACTCAATAGAACAGGTAATATCGGATACCTCCAGGGTACCTTGGCCGACCGAAGTACAACTCAGCAGAAAACAACTGTCTTCGTAATTTGCCAACTGAACCGATTGATGATCATGATCATAAGGGGCGCATATGGTTCACAACTGCCAGTACAGCAGGGCCGGTAGGATCATACGACACGATAGGGCCGAATTCTGAACGTTGTCCGTTATCACCTTCATGCAGGTCGGAGTTGTACGCGCTCCCGCCGACGTCTAATTCGCCCATAGGGGCTAAACAGGGCGTTGTGAGGGTGAAATCTGGGTGGCTGGTAGCCTGGCGGGTAGAAAGCAGGCGCCAACTGAGATGACGGCATGCAGGTTCTGAGCAGAGTCATCTCTCGGGCTCGTGTTCGGAGTCACAACCGGCGAAAGGGGTAATCTTCTGGAAAAGACAGGGTGTGGGCGAGTGAAGCGCACCGTGAGCCTGACCAATGCGAGCGTCTTCTAGAAATTGCGCAGAAGGGAGCTCGGACAATGTGTGAGCCTTACGCGCAGGGTTGCGACAAGTCATCCAGGCACGCCGGAACGTTGGTCAAAGGAGCTGGGGCCGCAACCGCCGGCTGGCCAGTGGCATTTCCTGCGGCGCGATGACACAAAGCGCAAGGAAATGTGAGGCGCCCGTGCATTCGGAGACAGGAATAGCTCCCAGGAAGCCATGTCGGGTGTGGATGTGAAACAGCTGTGGGCAGCGCTGCCGTAGATGGCACAGTATGCGTTGTGTGCGCGTGATGATGACTCAATAAGAAATAAGATTTAGCTTGTCGGTGTCGATCGTCTATGAACGAGTCTGGGGAATGCGGTGTAGAGAAATTATGCTTTTGTGATGTGCTGGCACCGTGCACAACTGTTTTGGAGATGCGCTCGTGTCAGGCACAGAAACGCGACGAGGCTGGGAGTGGGTCCGGCAAATATGGGCATTGGCTTTAGGTGGGACGCGCTGCACAGACGGATCTGGCGGAAGCATACCGACGACCAGGCTGCAAAGAGCTGAAGATATGCGGGACCCCTTCACCGCAACAAGGCCAGGAGGTAGCAAATGTCGGTGGGCAGAGCTTGGCTTGGAAAAGGGAGTGAGGGAGGAACCACGTGCCTGACTTGCCTTAATGAGGATGTGCTAGAGACGCGGAAGCGGCAGGCACGCTGTACCTGCCGGGAAGGAGGTTTTGTGATATTGAGTCCCTTTTGAAGATGCCGTGCATTGCAAAGGATGCAGAGGCGCCATGTTGGCAGTTGTACATGGACATCGACGACGTTGGATACGACCTCGTGGTGGCGGTGTAGACCACGCAGACCTGCCGTTCGCGCCCTGAATGATTGCCTCGGCGGCGGTCAGGGGCGTCTCTGGGTGTCTCACAAGTCTCCTACCTCCACAAAATGGACAAGCGTGGCCCAATAGGCTGCGGGACTGCAAAGGCAATACGTTGGTTATTCAGTCGTTATGCTTCTTTTTCGCTGTCTCAAACCCGGCTGGTGCTTTGGCCCCCTGGTGGCTTCTTGTCGCCTGCTGCACGTTCTAAGCAAGTGCTATGCACCGTGCCTTCCCTCCCTTCTAGCGGCCTTCTATGTGCCTTCCAAATCTGGCCCATGCTCCCACATCCCAGCAGCCTCCAGGAACCGCTGAATCGCTGCACATGGTGTTGCGACCCAATCTGCGCGGTAGTGGAAAAGGGAGGGTGAGGCATCGTGGCGACCGCAAGTAACGCCGGAGCCGCAACTCTATGTGCTTCGTGCCTTGAGGGATACATCATCAACTCCAGTCGCGTGGTAACGTCCAACATGGGCGTTGGAGACTACCGTCGGCTTGTGGATCCTCATCTGTGCACAAAAGCGCCACATACGCCTCAAACAAGGTCGCAGGACTGCCCCAGCTCCTTGACAGCTAGCAGCGGCATGCTAACAGGAAAGGTCATGGTGAAGCTGTAGTGTCGCGAGCGCGAGATGAACGCAAGGATAGGGCCGCTCCACAGCTGGGTGCGCTGCGATGCATTGATCGAGTGTATTTGAACGTGCCCTGCTCCATGCTGTTAGAAGAATGCTTGTCCGTTCCCTCTACACGCACCACATCTCTAGACTGCTAGGACCAATCACCTAGAGCTCCAGGTAAGCGGCCGCGTCCTGGGACACAGTCAGCGAGCAGAACTGATTTTGCTGCAGCCACGATTCACCTTTTCTTTTGCCGGCCCTAGGGAGGAACACGATCGACCAGCGCCCCCCATCAGTCCACGACAAAGTTACCGACCATACCGACCCTCTTGTTGGGCGGAAGCAATCTAATCAGCACTCCGGCCCAAAGTGTCTTGTACGTCACGTCACCACATTGTCTAGGTGGACAGCCAGGACGCCAGAGCAGCAGAACCGCCACGTCGCCCCCACCACATCTTGGGTTTGCTTGCGGTGAGACTCGCAGTTTCGTGTGTCTGCATAGCCGTTCGTCTACATAAACCGCAGTGTCAGTGTGGTGGGCTTCAGACGCTTTGACAGCGACGCTGCCTGCACATCGTGGTCCCTTTTTGTCGACTAGCGCCGTCGACGATCCGCCCAAGGCCGAATCCGCTCTAGCGCCCCTACGTCTTTCTGGGCAACTACGCGCAACGAGGAAAGAAGTACCTGCAGACTCTCCAACACCACGCCCTCCATCACCGCCATCCCCTGCCCTGCCCTCTCGCGCGTCTATATCTATCTCAGGTACGTACTCCCGCTTTGCACGATTCCCTTTCGCCCCGTGCAGCCCGCGCATTCCCGCTGCAGGTCCTTCTCACCGCTCCACTCCCCTTTTCTCCTGCGCTCCGACGTGGCCAGCGTGACTGCCAGACCGACAATTTCTGGCGCGCCCTTCTTTCACCCTTTACCTTGACGCTGCTGCCACAACGCTCGCTCAACTTCGCAACTGACATCGCCATCTTCAGTAGTGCATCCGCTGCATTGACCTACGCGCGGCCCCTCGACGACTCGACCTGACGCCCTCATCAACGCCCATCTCTGCTGCGTCCTCGCCCGACGCCTGATTTGCATCATCCTTACAGGCTCTCACCCTCACTTGGTGCGCACCGTCCCGTCTCTTGCTCATCGGGCCTGCAGTGCCTTGCCGCTTTCCGTCACGCGCAACCCGCCGACCGGAGAATGGAGTTGGACACGATTCTGAATCAGAGATTAACAGCATCCCTAGGAAACGGAGCGCTCACCATGCAACACGCAATGCAACCCCAGCACTTCGGTGCACCGCCGTCCTACCTTAATGGCGGCCACATCAAGTCGGAGAACGGCTCGGAGCGTGGCGTGTCGCCTCACCCGTCAGACTCGTCGCGCTACTCGTCGCAACAACCGCAGCAGCAACTCCCCTCGTATCCCTCGATCCCCCAACAGCACATGAACGGCCTGCGCTACCCCTCGCCCTCGCAAATGCAGGCGCCCATGCCCATGCTCAACAACAGTAATTACATTCCCAACCCGCCAGACCACGCGTACGCGCAGCAGCAGCAGCAGATGGCGGACGCGCAGGTCCAACACCAACACAACGGTGGGCGCCCCGCATCGGACACGGGTCCACCTAAGGCCTTCGCGTGCTCGACTTGTGGTAAAGGCTTCGCGCGACGCAGTGACCTCGCACGTCATGGTAAGAAGCTTTGGCCCCAACACCAAAAGCAGAGCACTGACAACATGCAGAACGTATCCACAGCGGTATCCGCCCTCACGTGTGCGACTACCCCAACTGCGGCAAGCAGTTCATCCAGCGCTCCGCCCTGACGGTTCACCAACGTGTCCACACTGGCGAGAAGCCTCACATGTGCGAGCGATGCGGAAAGGTATGAAATCTCTGCTCTACTCTGCCTTCTCGACTAACCCCGAAAAGCCTTTCAGTGATTCTAGTTCGCTGGCCCGTCACCGTCGCATCCACTCCGGCAAGCGCCCGTACAAGTGCCCATACGCCGACTGCCAGAAGACTTTTACGCGTCGTACTACCTTGACCCGTCACCAGAATCACCACACCGGTACTGTTGAAGAGGCCGCTGCCGCCACTGCTGCTGCGCTCGCATCGCGTGCCTCTGCCTCGAGCAGGACTGGCCGCTCTGACGGTGGTGACTACTCCGAGACAGCATCACCGCTCGGTACGCCCTCCCCTAACGACCGCACACTCTCCCTCTCGCCCGCAAATGGTATGCCTGCTGGTGGCATGCCTGGCCTGCACCGCCAGGGCTCTGACTACGCCTACATGGGCGGTATGAACGTTCCTCCTCACATGCGTCACGAGATGCCCCAGCCTAGCCCTCGTGCGTCCCCCGCACTCACAGCTCAGTCGTACGCATCCAACGTGAGCGGCTCTCGCCCAGCGATTACCTCGCACCCGAGCGCTTACGGCCCACCGCCGATTCTTGAGCCTCCTGCGTCCGCAAACCACAACCAGTCCGGAGGCACCACCAGCGCCAACGGCAGCCCTCACATGTCCGCCATGGGCTGGCAATCACCTGGTCAACAGGCTCTCCCCTCTCCTGGAGCTCAAGACAACAACTACGTCTACCCAGAGCCCCAGTATCAAGCACAAAACGGCATGTACTACCAGCAAAACAACATCCGTCGGCCCAACAGCACCGAACCGGACCACTACAACCCCAACCACCGGGAGATGGGCAACGGAATGTGGGCTCCTGCCGTCCAATAGAGTTGCGGCCCTATGGCAGTTCTCCCACAGATCCTGGAAGACACATCCGACGTAATGTTTGAGCAAGCTCCGACACCAAGTCTGGGCGATGCCGAGCCACCGCGGCGTCATGGGTGATCTTCCCCACTGTAAAACTAATACATGCGATCCTTACACTGGTGTTCTCGGCAGGCAGGACCTATACCCTGTTCCACAAAATTTCCCTTGCTGGCTGGCGCGTCTATTGTTTGCGGTAATCTGTCCTGCATAGCGAACCCTATGGGCTTGCGGGTCATCGAGCGCTCTAGTTTTCCTGTTTCTTTCGACTTGTCCATCTCTGTTTGTTGCAAGTCTTCCCATCTCCGGGTTGAGGTTATCTGGCGGCGGTTTTTCATGGGTTTCTCGTCCATCCCTCTCTCCATCGGGAGCTCGAGACGGGATGGCAGGCGTTGGGCGTGCCTCATACACACCAAGACCGGCAAGGGCGTCCTGGCTTGTTCCGTTTTGTCTTGTTTTTCATATGCACCGGCAAATCTCTCTAGACTGGTATTTAATGAAGGACTTACATCCGCCTCTTAGACTACACTACTATTCTGCGCAAGCAGAGCCAAAAATTCAAATCTCAATAATAAACTTATTCCAAATATATGCCAGTGATGTATATGGTGTGATGAGGAGATGTGACATCTCTGTCAGTATACGTAGAGCTGTTGTGCTTCCATCGTGCATGGCGGGTATGTGAAATCGCTCGGCTGTATCTGAATGCCCTGAAGGTGTTCGCAGAACTTTTGCTCGTAGATAAAGTTCGACAACAATGCATGCTTGAGGGTGTATCCCAGTTTTGAGTACAACTTGCTCAAAACGAGGGTCTTCGTATTCCGTGTGCTGCCCTACAATCGCCTCATTGGGCTCAGCGCATTGCGAACATTACCCGTTGCATCGAAGATCTGCCCAGGCGACAAGAGAAGCCTCGTCAGCTCATTCGCAATGGTTGCGTGCTGCTAACACAGTCGTTTCACGACAGAGAAGGATATCCAAGTATCTAGCCCGAGTGAATGTCACAATATCAAGACCAGTCGTGTTCATGTTGGACCTTGAGTGAAGGTGCTGGTGGTGCCAGGCATTGACGTACGTCGTCGCTGCGCTTTGACCCTCGAATTCGGTCGCTCGGCCCTGTCCTATGCAGGCGGTCATCGCACCAGCCTCGCATTACGTCTATCCACGTCTCTCCTGCATGCCCATTTTACCCCAGCTTGCCACAACCCACGCTGCCACACCTTGCCATTCTCACCATCGCTGGGCAATCAATTCCGACGACAATCCGCGCTGTTGATTGCTTGCGCTCGTCTACTTAGTGGCACGTCATCCGCCCAGCGCTATACCTCAGCCACTCCTCTGGCGACCCTTCCCTCCCGACAGCTCCGACCCAACGACACCGCACACCGTGAGACGGAAATTACGTCGCGAACATGAGTAAAATCGCGAGATCGGTCAAGAACGTGACCAAGGGGTACAGCCAAGTCGAGGTCAAGGTCCGCAATGGTATGGAGAGCCCAAGGAGCTGCATGCACGGCGTAGCTGACCATCGCAGCGACCAGCAACGACCCATGGGGCCCGGTCGGGTCTGACATGGCCGAGATCGCTCAAATCACCTTCAATAGGTACGACGACTGCGAAGGCTACGCGAGCCATGCTGACCGCTACCCAGCTCGACCGACTTCTATCAGGTCATGGACATGCTCGACAAGCGACTCAACGACCGAGGCAAGAACTGGCGTCACGTCCTCAAGTCGCTGAAGGTGCTTGACTACTGTCTCCACGAAGGCTCAGAGCTCGTCGTAACGTGGGCGCGCAAGAACATCTACATCATCAAGACATTGCGCGAGTTCCAGCACACCGACGAGGATGGTCGCGATGTCGGCCAGAACGGTAAGCGCATCTTACGTTGCGAAATCGTACCTTACTAAAACATTGGCAGTTCGAATGGCAGCTAAAGAGCTGACTTCGCTCATCCTCGACGAAGAGCGCCTGCGCGCCGAGCGAGCCGACAGGAAATCGTGGAAATCGCGGGTAACGGGCATCGAAGAGTACCCCGGTGGAGGCCACCACGGTTCAGATGGCGGGGAGAGAGCCACGCGCCCGCGCAACGGTGAACAGCGTCGCAACCGTAGAACGGAAGAAGAAGATCTCGAGCTGAGACTAGCGCTTGAGGCAAGCAAGAACGAGGCAGAGGAGGAGAAGAAGCGCCGTGAACGTGGGGCCAGAGTCGAAGACACCGACGATGACTTGGAAAAGGCCATCAAGCTGAGCAAAGAGGAGGAGGAGCTGCGCCGGAAGGAACTCGAGCAGACTAATGCCGACCTACTTTTTGGCGAAACCACCGCACAGCCGAACACCTACCAGCCCACGGGCAACAACCAGGGATACCAGCAGCAGGGCCAAGTGGACTGGTTCGGTAACCTGATGGACCAGAACCAGCAGCAGCCTCAGAACACTGGCTTCCTCAACAACGCATACTCACAGCCCACGGGCATGCAGCCTCAGCAAACTGGCTTCCAGAATGGTTTCGGCGGCTACGGTGGCTTCCAACAGCAGCCCCAAATGCCACAACCTACCGGCTTTGATCAGTTCGGCGCTCAGCAGCAACAGCAGCAGCAATACATGCAGCCCCAACACACGATCCAACCTCAGCAAACCTCGTTCAACAACAACCCTTATGGTCAATTTGGAGGTGGAGGCTTTGGTGACATGGGTCAGCAGCAACAGCAACAACCGCAGCAGGAGCAGAATGCACTCCAGCCCGGCAGTCATAACCCGTGGGCAAGCAACCAGACTCAAGAGTCGCTCAAGCCGCAGCCCACTGGCTCCAATAACCCATTCGCTCAGTCTTTCAACCGACCGCAGCCCACTCAGACCTTCACGCAACCGACGTTGAACACGTTGAGCGAGCAGAAGACCCAGACCCAGTTCAACAACACCTCGTTCAACCCTCCAGTATCCTTCTCTCCTGCACCGGCAGCGCAACCACAGCAGCAGCAGCAGCAGCAGCAGCAGCAGCCACAGGCGCCACAAAAAGAGATGGACCCGACCGCAGCCAGACTCAACGCGCTTCTTGCAACAGGCGAAGGTCAGGACACTTTCGGCAACGTTGGAAACATGCGTATACCAGCTCAGCACACAGCTCCTGGGACGTTCGTCAACTCGGCTGGTGCGGGCTTGAACCGGGTCAACGCCAACGCTACCGGTAACAACCCGTTCTTGAACTCTCAGTTCACCGGCATGCCCCAGCAAAACCGCATGATGCCTGCGGCAACTGGCCCAGCGAGCAACTTTGGCGCCAACCCTTACGGCAGCGCGAATCCGTTCGGTGCTCAGCCTCAGCAGCAGCAGCAACCCCGTCAGCCTGGTGCCAACAACCTAATAGACTTATAGTGTGCTGGTCCAGGTGGTAAAGCTTGCGCTTCAGGTCATTCTTCGCTGCTGAAGCGCGGCATTGAAGTCTGCCCCAGATGTCACCTGTCTCTGACAGGCCTAAACTCACAAGTCACGTATGGGAAGGCAGAGAGAAGGCCGGACGATGCTGGTAGGAACGCGTGGTCATTTTGATTCCCTTATTATTATTTCCCCCGACCACCGCGGTTTTGCATAGAGGCGAGCGACGAGCGCAACGAGTCAGTGGTGGCTAGTGTAGATACAGTTTGATGAGACCATTCAACCCATGATAGTGCAGCTCATTGGTGGTGCCGCGCAAATGTCTAGATCGAGACTGGAATCATTAATCCCTATTCTACTTTCATGCTCCTGCCATGAAGTGAAAACCTTGTAAGCTATTGTGGGACGAGCACGACCTTCTTGGGTCGTTTATATGCCTAGAATGAGACTGAGCGACTATTTCTCATTGTCCATTCATGCTCCCGTCCTCTCAACATGAATCGGGAAGCTATTGTAGAATAGACACACGTGACGCAATCTTCATGCGCACTGACGTTTGCTGGGCCCACAGCCGTTCTACGCGCTATCCAACCCCGCAATCATCCACCTCCGCGTCGAGTCCACCTGCACCTTGCCGTGTCGCGAACTTCCTTGCCAGCTATTGTTTGCGCTGCTTTGGCTTATTGCCATTGTATTCACTACTGACGCCTCTCTTAGCCCAGCTATCATCGAATGCCGCGCACCTTTTAGCATTGTCTAGACCTCACGCTTGGCCAGCAGACTTCACGCTACAGTACTTGGCGACTTCGACGCGTCACGGCCAGCCAGCCATCGTTTGATATACAACCAAGACAAATACAAACACTAGTATCGCCATCTTTACAATACATCGCACTACCTCAAAAGCCTATATGGCTTCAGAAGACGAAACAATGGACCGACAAACACGCCTGGTGTCTGCCATGAGTGGCCGAAAGCGTGCCATTCAAGAGGAGGAAGCGGAAGCGCATGCGCCAGAGCCTAAGAAGCTTCGTACTCGTGGCCCAGTTGATGGCGACGTGGTCGGCAGAAAGCCTCTAGCTGCTGGAGCATCGAGCTCGCGAGCCCGCAGTGGTCTTCTCACGCCAGAACCTAGCACCTTGACCGAATCGCAACTCGAGCCTCCGGTTGACACCTCAGAGACGTCGGAGACTGGAACGGCAAACTTCTTCCCCTTCATGAAGCTTCCCGCCGAACTGCGCATCCATATCTACCACATGGCGCTCGTACGCGAAGAGCCGCTCCTCCTGCATGCTGACCGCGCGCCCGAGAAATCCGAAGACGGCGACGACCCTCTCGCAGCACCACACCGAAGCTCTTCTTCCTGGGCCCCCGGTCGCGAACCGCTCGGCCACCCCTTCCACCGACCGCGACAGTCTGGCCCCGAACGCATACCGCTAGACGACCCCATAGTCCCCGAGATCCTCCGGCTGAACAAGTTGATATACCGCGAGGCGCGCCAAGTCCTGTACAGCGATAACGTCTTCACTCTGAGCCTCACAAGCGGTATACATACCCTCTCCACACTACACCAGCGCTCGCGCAGCCTCATCAAGCACGTCGTCCTCACCATACCCTCCCACCACGATATCCTCGACGGCTTCGCCGACCTCGTCCGCCTGGGTCTGCGCTACTGCTGGGGTCTCAAGACATTTAAAATTATCCTACAAGCCAGCCTACCAGACGACGGACGGGTCACGGGCGCGACAAGCGTGTACGCCAACGCATTTCACATACTGAGATGGCTGCCTCGCGGTTGCAACGTCGGCCTCGAAGGCAACGTGAGCGATACCGTCAAGCGCGTTGTCGCCGAAGAAGGCAGATTACAGGCTGTACTTGATGAGGTGAGAGCATTCTGAAACGACGTGATGATGTGAGGCAGTTGGAGCTGACTATGTTGCAGGCGAGTTATCTTAAGCGACAGCATCAGATGCCGGAGCGGCATTAGTGATGTCGATGTGGTGGCTCTGTAATATGTTTCTTGTCCGGCGTGATCTGAGTTTCTTGAGTGTAACGCTGTTGATGATATGATGGGAAGTTGCCCTTTTTGCTGGCTCTGAGCCTTCGCGCCAGGGCGTGTTGGCGTGTCTTGCGTCTTGCGTCGTTGTCAGCGGCGAGACTATACATTGAGTTGCAGTGTTGATGATACGATGGAAGGTCGCGCTTTACCGGCTGCCGGCTTGGTGCAATATCGTGTTGTCGCATCTTGCGTCGTTGTCAGCGGCGAGACTGCACCCTGGGTTGCCATGTTGATGATATGATGGAAAGAGGCTCTTGCGAGCCGGACTAGAGACTCGCGTTGTCTCGTCTTGCGCAGTCATGAGCAGAAGCGTATACCTTGGGTTATGCTTCTCTCTTTCACAGCCCCAACTTGTGTGACGGAGTAAGCACGTGTTATTGCGTCCTGCTTAGTTGTCAACAGGAAGCCTATTATACTGAGAGTAGAACAACTTCCTCTCGCATTCACATATCGGTCTTTCGTCTTACATTAGGTCTCAACAACACGCGACTGACCAAGGTACAGCCTCAATAACCAGCGCAAACCAAGACCAGGACTCGATTTGAATCACAGGCGCATTGTCCTTTTCGTCGGGACCCGCGACTGGTCTTCTCGGCCTCTTCTTGGCAAGCCAAGTAATGTCACCTGCCATAGGAAAGTTGGGTCTTATATTTGCGATATTTTCTCGTTGAAGAGGATCTGATTGGATGGATGTGATGTTACTTTTGGAAGTCGTGAGTGGCTCGGCTCCTTCCTGTCACACAGTGACATTGGACTAAATCGACTCGACCAAGGCATAGCATCGCTCTCAGCAAATGGGTGTGACAGACAACGCCACACCCAATACTGTAATTTTATCGTAAGTTATGAATAATGCACAGCTTGCCCCTTCCCCTCGAAAAGGCGGCGTGAGATTCCTGGTCTCGAGACTGCTTATGCAGCACCTTAGCTCCTACCTCTATTGGCTAGTAGCTTACGACGTTGGGACGCCACAGGTACAGTACCATCTCAGCTCAACATTCTCGTGTGCTAGCTAGCTATTTACCGAGTAAGCCTCTCGTCATCGCACTTCTGAGATCGCATGCGCTGCTAAACCGAGGTTTGTTGCGCTTGTCGGCGGAAAGTTGTGGCGGTGACGCGTCAAATGCACCAGCGAGACGTCACGAAGCTGTTAGAACCGTCTGGAAAGACTGAATAAAGAATCTTATCACCAGAGCGAAGGCCGAAGCGCAAGTCCGAGTTATAACCGCCTGCTGTTCAGGTGCGAGGATGGGAGATACCGCACCGTGCCACCAACACTACTCGGCACACTGGCGTCCAACTTTTGTTGGAAGAACTCAGCTAAAGTGAAGCTTCTCAAATGATTCAGCTGCTTCGGAAGGTGATGGGGCAGGCGGTGGGGATGAGATAGATGTCTCTGCCGCATGCTCCGCCTGCTTTCGTGCATCTTAGCATCCACCATACATACGTCAGATCGGATCACGATTCCGAGATGATTCAGCTTTTCGTCAAACGCAAACTCCCATGGCTATCATGTACGTTCAGTATGCCCAATGCGGAAACAAGTAATCTTGGGATTGAGTGACCAAGCGGCTGTCAAGCCGCATCGATCGCACAGCATTGCCGGCAGCCATGACTAAGTCTTCGAAAAGGAGACCTTTTAGATTTGGCATCTCTGATGACTATGTTCATAACGTCGTGCGGCGAAGTCAAGGTCAAGGTTGACGGCAGCATAGTGGTGAAGTGCGTTACTTGCCTCCGCCGCCCATTGGGGCTGTTGCTATTCTTGTTGTGTTTAATCAGCAGTGCCCAGGAAAAACACGGCAGCAGAAGCCGTGACCTGGCTTTACCTAGTCAACGTCGATGTAGGGTCTAGACTAAGCTCCGTTTAGTACTTGGATGTAACCCTGCCTTCTTGCAATTAGGAACTGATCAGCGGCTCAAAAGCAAGCCTTCGCCAACGCTTTCGGGCATTATCGATCCCATCGTTCTGGTTACCGAACACACTAGCTGGCGCCATGAACTCTCCTCCTACCACTTCATCTTCACAACTTCTTTCTACACCCGATGCGCGATCAAAGCGAGCGGCAGTCAGCGAGGAGCCTGGGAAGAAGCCCAAGAAGCCCAATAGCGAGATACGAAAGCAACAGAACAGGATAGCTTCACGCAATTATCGTAAGTCAACCTGCAAGGAGCCGCTCGTGGCGACAACATCTAACGAATGGTATAGGAGAGAAGCGTAAACGAAAGCTCCAATACCTCCAGCAGTTGATCAGAGACGACTCAGAGGGCCGTCAGGAGTCAGAACCCTCGCCTGAGCAGCACGAAGTGTACCCCCGCGCTCTTTCTGCAGACTACGACATTGCAGGCGCGAATTCATCACCATACCAGATGCCGTCAAGCCGTGTCCTCGGCGCAAGCAGCGAAGTTACAAACGAAGCCGTACTGGCAGCTACTGTCGCATCCCTTGACCCCCATCAACTCGCAGTCGACCAAGCGTATCCTTCTTACCCACCTCACTGGAACACGCACATGTACTCTCCGTCTCCACCAGCGAGCATACCTTGGAACATGCCGCCAGCGTGGATGTCGAGTTTAGAATACTCTGCGCAGCCCACTGCGATCACTCGCCCTTCTATGTACCGATACAACACCCATCCAGCGCAACATTCGTTTCAGCACCCGCATACACCCTCAACCTCGCATCTTCAACGCGACTTCCTATCGAATACAGACGTCTACGGCTACGGCCCGAACTACACATCCCAGAGCCAGGCGCCTGGCAACCCCAACGTGAGTCTGCCTACCTCGTACTCGTACTCGCTGTATCATCAGGGCCGGCGGACTGATCCACGTTGAGGTTCGAGATCCTCTTCCCCCGTCTTTTGCCGCATGGCTTGGGTGGAGACAGCAAGTAAGCTGACGTGACCAACAACTAGCAGTACGCGCTTGGATGCGATCCTTCGGACTTTGGACGGCTGGTTTACATCTGAACTTCTACAACGCATCAATTTTAGCCCGCGGCCTCTCGCTTAATGCGAGAAACGCAGGAAAAACCGTGCCAAAACGTCTTTCCCCGGCGCAGTCAAGGCGAAGGTTCTATTCCGACAGGACAAAGTGTACCTAGGTACATCAGCACTGAAGAGGCAAACTTCCACACAGGAAGAACAGTAATGGCGACACAATCGACCTTCAGCTATCTCCACAGCTCGCATCGAACGAAGTATCTTACCCCATCAGGCTATTGTTCACGCGCGGAAGCCGCGAAACAGCTTACGCCAAGACAACTGCCACGCTGGTAGCACCACATCACGATATCTGAGACACATTGCCACGCGGTCTTGCGTTACTTGCTGGTGTATGGGTGAGATGGACGAGATGGAGGGGTATCTTGACTGTACCGTACCCACATCTGGGGGAGTTGGAAGAAACTTGACGACAACAACGGCGAGAATGTCCTCAGAGAAAACTTGAAAGTGACCGGGAAAGATGGTTTCGGGTTCTGCATTTGTGTGTCGTGGCTGAACGACACCAAGCGCGTTGGGTCAATAGGGTGTTTGATCGGGGTGGACTCGCGTGACGTCAGCTGACCGGTCACACTTTTGATCGGTACTTGCTTAGGTAGAGAAGAGCCAGACATGTACATGTAGAAGAGAGCAAGTCACTAGTAGAAAGGCGCATACTAGGTCTATATCTTTTTGGCAGAAGATCGTAATGCTGAAGTCTCTAAGGTTACTGTAGGCCGGAAGCTCGGCACGACGAGTAGTAGTACCTAGGTAGCATCCCATTACTGATCGTCAAAATGCAGCAAGAACCTGCACCCATCCATGCCTACATACTACACTTTCGCAATAATTTCAACTCGATGACTTCGGAAGGGAAGGTCATAGCTGGCTTCGGCTGGCTGTTCAGTATGCTCGCGTTGTGGGGTTTCCTTCGGCTAACGCTGCATGCCAGCCTTATGCACTTCGCCACCTTTCAAGGCTGTGCAACCAGCGTCATCAGCTGAACCAGTTCAGCCTGCTCTCATATGTCTACACTAAACCTGACCGACAACGCTCCAACCTAAGCCTATCCAAAGAACCAAGCAATCGCTAAACGCGGGGTTAACTCTCATCGATTCATTCTCTGCTCATGTCTTCCGCAGATGAAGATACAGATGCGACGATATCTGACCCAGGGGAGTTTTCAGATGCGGGGTTGTCTTCCGCAGATGAGATCGTAGATGCAGAGGTGTCCTCACGAAGTCGCTCAGAACTATTGTTAGGTGTTACGAATGCTTTGACGAGATGTGCTGATTCCATATAGATTTCTCGCCCGAAAACTTTATCAGTATCAAGACAAAGAGTACATCATTGAGCAATCAGAAGATCTTGCTTCGGTGCTCAACGAAGAGTATACTTTACACCAGATAAGTTGCAGCGTTTGTCAACAACACGACAGCGATTTCTATGAAGGGCAGACGGTGTTGGTGGGCACGCTGATCAAGGATTGCAAGTTCTGCCATATTCTACAAAAATGTCAGCAAAAGTTCGCGAATAATCGCAGACTCATGCGGATACATTTCCTACAGTCTAAGGTCGATCTTCAAATTTGTTTTCGAGATGTCTCTTCACAATATGAATGTGAAGATGTCCATGTTCAGTTGTATTCCCAAGGTTTGTTCGAGATTGCGACGTGAGAAATGAAAGACGGCTGACTTTGGAAACAGAAACACACGTTCAACATGATGGCTTCCGCTATGCGCAGGCCATTTGCGAAAGTGCAGGATCTGATGCTTCGATTCGCATCATGAAGAACTGGATTGATCGCTGCCGTATGACCCATCAGCATGCAGAATCAAAGCAAGGTTGGAAGCCTACACGTTTGATACAGCTAGCAAAAGGCGAAGAAGAAAGTGCTAAATTGTACTCGCCAAAAGCCTCGGTAGATTTTGCTGCGCTCTCTTACCGTTGGGGGCCAGGCAAGCATTCCCAGACAACGAAAGCGAACCTCGCCAAACGTAGGGAGAAACTGGAAACATCAGACTTTCCAAAGACTCTGCAAGATGCAATTCTGGTTACTAAAAAATTGGGTTTAGAGTATCTCTGGATCGATCGAATCTGCATTGTCCAAGATGACAAAGAGGACTGGGCGCACGAGGCATCTCTTATGGCCGATGTTTACGAAAGTGCGTACGTCGTCCTATCAGCAACAGCTACTAAGGATTGTAAAGACGGCTTTTTGAAAACTAGGGAAAAACCTCTAGTCATTCCATACACACACATAGACCCGTGGACTCGGAAGACCTCGAACCGTAAAGTGCATGCAAGACAAATCGGAAGCCACCATTGTCAACGATCTGCACCGAAGACCAACTACATACTGTTCCAGCGGGGATGGTGTATGCAGGAGAGGTTTCTAGCTCGTCGAGTAGTTCATTTTCTCCCAGATGAGATCCTATTTGAATGCCAGGATGGACGTGAATGCGAGTGTGGCGCCGCCTGCAAAGAGAACGAGGTCTCCGGCGATTATACAACATTAGCGTATAATTCTTTCCAACGGATGCGGTACCTCCCGGATGAATACAGAAGGCCATTCGGGTTGGATTGGTTGGACATAATACGGGAATATAGCAAGATGGTGCTCACGTATGGAGAGGATTCTCTTCCGGCGCTTTCAGGTTTGGCAGCACGTGTGGAACACTTGAAGCCTGGCAAATACATCGCAGGGCTCTGGCAGCGAGATATCGCATTCCAAATGGGGTGGTATCTGGACCCAAATTCTAGTATGCGACGCTGGAACCATCTCGGGAATGTGGATGTTTTGGGTCCTACGTTCTCCTGGAGCTCGCACGCGCAACCTATAAGGAACGAAGGCCTTCTGACTCCACGGGCTATATGCACTTTGAAACGCTCTGTAGTGTCTCTAGCTACACCTAATCCCTACGGTCGAGTCCGGTATGCGTCCCTTTGCTTTAGCGGACGGATGGTGACGGGAGAGGAAGTTGGGTCAAAGATCACCATGCGCTCATCCTTAGGATATGCTGGTGGCGTACGCTTGGACTCGAATTTGGAATACAGTACTGCTGCCGATGACCCGAACTACGGACCACACAAATCGGTGGTGAAGAGGATAACCAGAAAATCAGTGATCTGTTTCGGATTGTATAGTTACAAGGTGCTGGGATCAGGCAGAATTGACGCACTGTTGTTGAAGCTCATTAAACCCGGGGCGGAGGTGTACGTCAGAATTGGAGTTTTCACAGGATTGGATGAGGCTTGGTTCAATGAGTACGCAGTGACGAGAGTGATTACCATAGTCTGACTGGAGAATTAGCGGCGAAATCCATCGATGGCAGATCCGCGGCGAGACAAACACAGGAATTCGCTGCAACTCAGTCTACCCTCCTCCTCCTCCTCCTCCTCCTCCTCCTCCTCTCCCGCCTCGTCTACGTCTTCTTCCGCCCGTTCTCGGCCCAGTCGGTGGATCTTCCCGCTGTGGTGGTACCTCACCTCTGGTCCATCTATTCCGCTCATCCCTCAGATCGATCCAGCGTTCATCCAATTCCTTCGCTGCCGCCTTATCTCTACGGTCTTGACCCATCACCTTATCCGTCACGCCGTCCTGCACCAACAACTGCATACCGATGCCCTCCTCAGTACCTTGTTCATACATGCCCAGGTTCAATGCGCCACCATCCGGATTGTACGAAGCGCGGATGTCAACTTCGACACCAGCACTGTGGCGGACAAGGGAGTGGGAGAGCATGGGATCTGGGTGAGTATCCGCGACGCCATGAATTGTAAGACTCTCAATGACGCCTTCGAGACCGGCATACAGATTCTGTGACGTAGATGATGGGATCGAGAGGCTGTAGACGGGTGAATCTCCTCGGAAGCGGGAGTAGTCGTTGCGATACGCCGTGCGTAGTGGAGCGGAGCGGGGAGTAAGGTAGAGATTCCAGCCGCCACTCACTATTGGGATCTGTCTCTTGACCCGATCGATAATGGTATTGGTGGCTGAATCTCGCGACAATACTTTGTTTGTTGGCTTGAGCTTTTTGTCGGATAACGAGATGGCGTGGTACGAATGCGAGCCTGAAAATCGCAAGTCGAACACTTTGATCATGCTGTGTAGTGCCACACCTGCTACAATGCGTTCTGAGCCTTGCCGCGCAAGAGAATAGACGGGCGAGTCATTTGTTGGATCCCAGAAGACTTGTTCGCAGCCGCGTTGCGAGCGCATATCGTGCAGTCTGATGATGCCGTCGTAGCCGCCAGATATGAAAATATTGCCCGCGTCTGATGCGCCCGGCGCTGTACCGGGTAATGGCAGTATAGGGTAGACTGATGTGTGGTTTGAATGCGCCGAGTCCCCGCTGGCGACGTTGAAGCGACGCAAGGGTTCTGGTGAGAGGCCTTCAGGCCCAATGTGGTAGACCTCGATAGGTTCGGCATGGGGACCCCAACCAACGGCGACCGCGTCGTCGCATACAAATTCGCATGACCACAGTCTACGATGTGGTTGCCCGTCTAGTAAGGCTTTGGCAGAAGAAGAAGGCTCAATCGCTTCATCCGAGAAGTTGTCGCGGTCGATAGAGTAAATCGCTAGTGATGCGTCCGAAAGTGCGGTGGCTAACAAGGGCGTGCTCGAAGATGATATCGAAAGATCAGCGATAGCACGTTTTCTAAGTTCACCAGTGATGTCAGGATGGTCAGTGTTGTAGTTTTGCACCCGCGTTTCTCCAAAATCAGGGTTGGCGCTGAGTAGCGATAGCTGGCCTGATGCCGTTCCAAAGACTATGTCTTCGGAGGCCAAGTCCCGTTGATGCGGACGGAGCAACTTCAAGTTGACGATATCGTCGCGACCTTCGGAGCTGTCTGGGATCTTGTACGTGAACCACGTATTCAAGTGTCTAAACGCGTCATAACTCCACGTCTGGTCAGACGCCTGATCGAGCCCCTCTTCGCGTTGCCTGATCTTCTCGATGTTTGCACCCGTCTCTTTAGTCCGCATAACAATCTGCGTACCTGCAGACCAGGCCAATACTTCTTTTCTTTCTCCCCACGATCCATATATCTCTTCATAGCTGTCAATGCTAGGTTGATACCCCATTGTCTGACCCCGTGGGCCCCTCCATCTTTCGGCTTGCCAGGTATTCATGCTCATCGTCTTCTCCGTAGGCTCTAGGTACCTCGCGATCAGACCTCTTCGATCCCAGTTTCGGCATAGTGTTGTCACGCCGTGGACAGCATTGTAGGCATCCGCGTCCAGACCGCTCAGGCCAAATCGACCTCTGAGCAATGCTTTCCATCCATCGAGCTTTGCGAACTCGCTCAATCGGCGGCTTGCCAAAGAGAGATAAAGCAAATCTCGCGGTCGTTCAAGATTTGTCGTTATCAACGAGAGTATCTCATTCGGCAGCATGTCAATGGTCGCCATGCTGCAGCCGCCTTCCTTAGCTTTTGCTCGAGACTTCGACGACTAATAATGTAATGTTGATATTTGAAGTGTCAGTAATCAGTAAAACGATCGCAGGGTCGTCATGGTGGCGTTTATAGGGCTCATGTTTGCTGGGCGGAAAAGTGAATACCTATGTGTCTCATCGGACGATGACGACAGAGTTCTCGCTTGGTGGCGTTTGCACTAGCCACATGTGAGCCGAAAGGCCTGGGGAGTCATCGATCATGGCGACAACAAGGCCACTTTTGTGACTCTTCTTCGTATACTGCACGCCTAATTCGGTCAATATCAGCACAATCCAAAGCGGTTGTGCAGTCAGGAGACAATACCTTTGTACCTGACAATGAACTGTGCCGCTCAGCACCCGCGCCCCAAATTAGCCGGCATCTTTTCATCAGGGACCGCCACACTACCCGCTGGCTGCGTTTCCCCTGGCATCCAAACGCGCTATCACGCCGTTGAGATCACGGCAGAAACTGTTGGCTCGTTTTTGCCATGAGCCGGCGCCGCTGTTGTTGGTATCCCGCACTGTCAGCACGCCCTGTTGATCGCGGTGCAACTCGAGCCAGATAGCCCCATCGCGCCCCAAGCTCGCGGTATCTTCTCGGGTCCTGGGTCATCCCTATAAGCAGGCCATCCACCTCCGCGGATTGGCGCTGATGACTTCCTTGTTGTGTTCTGTCCTGTGACAATCATCCGCAAGTGCCAACCTTAATCCTGGCTGTTTCTGACTAAATGCGCGGGGTCTCGCGAGCGTTGCCGTCAGTCGCAACGATTCCTGACAGTCGACACTTGTTCAGCAATCCGGCGCCGCCCAATCGATCCACGACATTTGTTTTGCTGCGACGCGACGCGACGCTACTGCGCCATGGCGGACGATGAGAAAAGGGTGTTCGCCTTAATTAGCGCCATCGGCACGATTCGCGACCAGCTGCGACAGGACATCGACGGCTTGCGACAGATCCACAACCGTTGGAGAGATAGCAATGGCTCTTCCATCAACCTCATCGCGCAACTAACAGCCTTGAAGTCTAGTCTCGGTAACATTCTGGACTGGCTCAATTATGCTGTCAGCGACCTCCACCCACAGCTGGTATCCGACTTGGACGTACTAGCGCATTCTTGTGGGCTGCTGGTACGCCATGTAGATGCCCTGAATGCGCGTCTGGATTACCGGGACCATGGTGCTGTCGACGTCGCTTCCAAATTAAAATACAGCGTCGCTAGTAGATCTATGGAACGATTGCAACAGGTTGCGCAACGACAGAATGACGCCGTGAACTTGTTACTTGCGGCATGTCAATGGTGAGCTGCTAATCCGCCCCTACGTACAACTGATTCTAATGCCTGTCAGTACTGCCCAAGCGCAGCGAAAGATCCTGCTTCATAAGAGCCGCCAGATTAGGAAGGAAGATGCGGCAAATCTGAGGACGCTCACCCAATCCTCGAAATTAAACGGCGCTTGCATTACAAGCCTTGCGCAATTATCGCGATTCATCCAATGGCTGAGACTACTGTTCCACATGAAGATTGCGCGGAACGATTTCGATGGCACCCTCACACCATCTGACGAAGAGTACGAGCATATGGCAGCAATCAACCGATCCGAAGCAATAGATCGTGCTTTGGAAAGAGAAGCCACTAGCCTTCGACACGAGACTAAACTGGTCCTTGTAGGCAATGCGCAGGGCGGAAAAGAGTTGATAATGCACCAGTTGAAAGTGCAGTTTGCCGAAGGTTATGATTCGACGGAAGAACGATTGAAGTACCGCCCCGCAGTTTACCAAGTTGTAAGATCACTCATATCGTCAATCACGAATTTACTCACAGAAACCGGCGTTACACTCTCTGCCGAACTGACCCACGACTTCGCTATCTTGTTGCACGAGCTAGACGCCGGGGAGGAAGGCATATCGTCTGACGCCGTCAAGGCCATCACCAGAATCTGGTCGTGTCCCGAATTCTCCAAACTATACGTCCGGAACTTCGAGATCGACTTCCCGCAGTACGCGCCATACTTCGCGCAAGAAGCACCACGTATAGCCGAGGAAGACTACGTCCCCAGCGAGGCCGACATCATTCGCCTAACCCGATCTGGTGGTGGCATCAACGAAACACGCTTCAACTGGGACGAGCTAGACATCCACCTCTTCAACATCAAAGGCTACGTCCCCCAACACTTCAAGGAGCGCTGGTACCATCAACTCGAAGACGCGACTGCCGTCATCTTCACTGTCGACGTATCCCTCTACAACAAACCCAGCCCTGAAAGGCCCTCCGAATCCATCCTAGTCCACGAATTCGAAGGCTTTGGGCAATGGGTCAACCGACCCGGTTTCGCCAAATCCACCATCATCCTCATTCTCAACAACTTCACCCGCTTCGTCAGCAAAATGGCCTACGCACCCTTGGAAAAGCTCTTTCCCGACTACGTGCGTAACGAATCTGATCCAGAATTGAGTGCACGCCAGTACATCCTCCGGCGCTTCAAGAACATGAACCATCAGTGTCTTTCCATCTATTCTTTCTGGGTCGATCTGGATTCAAGCGACAATCAGCATTTGTACGGTGCGCTTAAGAAGACGCTGTCGCAAGTTCAGGCAAGAAAGGCGCAGGAACAGGCTTGGTGTGAGGGGCTTTCGGCTATGACGGAGTCGGATAGGCCGTCCACGAATGGGCTGTCGGTTGCGTTGAGTCCGACGAGGAGTCGAAGTCGGAGTCGGGGGAGGAAGAAGTAGGAGAAGAATCGAGCAAGGGTTGTCAAATTGATGCAGTTTGGCTGAGATAATGGACTGGTTGGATATGTCGTGGAGGCGGCGCGTTGGAACATGTGGGATTAGGGCAATGGCTGATATTTGCTATTCGGAGTTGGCGTTTCTGGGTTCGAAGATACCATGGTACATACAGGCTGCTTGGATATAGATAGCTCCGTCTCCTCATCATCAATAATATCTCCTTCCTTGCATTTCTCGCATCACCCCCATAGTAAGCCCGCATGTACGCCCGTAAACACCACATAACCAACAGCAGCCCACAGCCCCCACAATCACACCAGCCATCCCACCATCCCACATATACATCATACCACTCCTCCCGTGAAGGCACCTCAACGCTTAATCCCCACATCACACCAACCACGCCAAAAACCGCAGTCTGTATCGCAAGCCCGACACGGCTCAGCGCCTCCTCCCCATCCTCCTCCTCCTCCTCCTCCTCCTCCTCCTCTTCATCTTCCCATGCTTGAACTGCTCTCGCCTGCCAGAAGAACAAAGCGATACCCAAACCAATTACGATCCAGTTGATGCAGAGGACGTGTGCGCCATGCCACACCCAGGCAAACATAAGATGATATATCCAGGGTATGTCGTCGGTATAGAAGGCATCGACGAAGATGGGGAAGATCAGTATGAAGATATACGTTTTGTAGGCCGTCATGGCGGAATGTGCTGAGACGTCGCGGTAGGAGAAGGGGTAGTGGAGATATAGGGTCGACCTTTGCGGGCGGGGATAATCGGTATGTTTATCGTATGGATGGAAAGATAGAGTCGATGAAAACGGCACTTACAAGCATAGCCAATACAGCAGTACAACAACTGTTTGTGCTAAATCAATCCAATTGCCCACCGTTACTGGTTCGCGTCGAAAGACTTCATCTTCTCGAGTACGATCTACGATGTAGAAGAAAGTGAAAGCGAACCGTTCGGTTGCTGAGACGAGGTTGAATAGCAGGTAGTTTGTTGAAATGCTTGAACTGTTCTTCCTGGAGATGCTGTGGTATGAAGGACGTTACGGTGAGAATCAAGAGGACACTGGATGGTGTTAGCATGGTATACAGAATGTTACGGAATCAAACGAACATGCGAAGCCATACTGGTAGGTCTAAAGCCGGCATCTTGTAAGAGTTGAATGCCATTTCTAGTATTGCAGTGATAGCGCGGCTTGTGAGTATTTACCGCAACATACTGAGGCACTGGAAACTTTGCTACCCATCACTTTCCTTAATAGCTTCATCGTATACAAGTACAATGCTAATGCCTAGCATATTTGAGACATTCAGGTATGCAACGCTGATCGCGGGGGCGGCACAGCGCATTAGCGTTGCGCGCCCCCTTGCTTGCCAGCAAAACCTCCGAATACCCTTCCCACCCCAATCCTTCAATATACCACATGAGCCACGCGACAACTACAACCATGCTCCGGTCGATCTACGTCGTCATCTTCAATTCCCCTCTCTTCCCTGCGCACTGGGGTCTCTGGATCCCGCATCTCTCGTCTTGCGATCCTCAAATCGGAACATATCTCAACGCAACCGGCGACGCGGCAAGTGGCTTCAGCATCGAATTCGAACGAACGTAGCTACGAGTTTGGTGCCGATGGACGGCGGCATCAACTCCTCGCTTTGGGCGACGTTGCGGATGAGCACGTCGTTGACGTAAAAGATGATGGGAAGTGGTCTGTTGATCAGGTTGCGAGAGATCGTCTTGAGGAGATTGTGCTGGGTGTGAAGCCTCCGGGGCCGAGTTTGGTTGCTGTGGATAGTAAGGTAAGCTGGGTGATGTGTAAGCTGTTTATGGAATGGCTGATTGACTGGATGTGGTAGGTAACAAGAAAGAAGGTGGAAATACGGAATTGTCAGACTTGGATACGCGATGCGGTCGCAGCGTTGGTCGAGGCGGAAATCATGAATGAAAAAGCGCTGTGGATAGTAGAGGAAGCGCTGAAGAACTGATGGAGAAAGGTCGTTCAATTCTTTTCTACGCCTTGTTCGACTTCCACTTTCTCCCATACTCAGCTCTCACCAACAGTCTTTTCTCTTGACAAGTCTAGAGAGAACTATCTTCTAGACTCCTCGCCATATCCTACCAAATTTTCGGCACAAACATCGGCGTCTCCCTCTTCCATTTCTGATAATCCTTGCGATCGCCATACCTCTTATCGTACTTATCCTCACTCAATGGCACGCCACTAACCTTCAACAACAAGAACGACACAAAAGCCGGACTAGCCGCACACATACCCGCAACAAGCACCTGCCCACCAACGCCCCCACTTAGTCCCAACGCAGCCTGCGCAGGCTGCCTAACCAACAACCCCGCCGCCGCAATCGCAATACCTGACCACAACGTTGCCTCGCCGAAGTAATTCGGATGCCGACTCTTACTCCATAGGCCGTGTGTCAGAAATTCTTCAGAGTGTTTCTTTTGCTTTTTGCCTTGAACCCAGGCATCCTTCTGTCTATCAGCCACAACCTCAAAAGTAAGACCGAAAACAAAGATGGCGAGGCCGATGATGTCTGTTAGATAGGGTTTTGAGGATACGGCTTGCCCGAGGAGTGAGGTTGCGTAGGCGGAGCGTGGAACGGAGTTCACCAGGATGACTGGCAGGGTGCAGAGAGACACCCATGTTGCTTGTGCGAAGAACGCGACGAGGAATTTTGGCGGGGACGTCCGGATGGAGTCGAAACGGGAATCTTTTCCTTCGTCGCTGGATATGCGTTTGTAGAGGTAGGAGCCCACTATTTCAACTTCATTAGCACTTCATTCCCCTTTCTAATCACTCGTTGAGTGGAAAACGTACATCTCGTAGCCCAAATCCCCACCGCAGCGCTCAAAAGCGCCTGCCTCCACCACCACGTGCCTTGTCCCAGGCCCTGGGCGCTAAAATACTCGGTTATACCGCCGGTGATAGTACCTGCGGCTCTGGCTCGCATGTAGGGCAGTACTAAGCTGAGTGCTGTGCAGGACAGGTATGTGAAGCTGCCAGAGAGGTCATAGTACCGTTCTGTTTGCGCTGCAATGGAAGGGACGGCGACGGCAGCTTGGATACCGTATGCGAGTGCGACAGAGGGGACGAGGGTGCGTAGAAGAGGGTTTTTGAACGCGGTTGCGCGGAGGAGGGTTTGGAGTAGTGTCATTTTGTGTGGTGTGAAGTTTGTTGTTGTGGAGCTTCACGAGCTCGGAGGTGTTGTTGAAGAGGTCAAGCTTCACATATACTCTCAATCGGAGGATCTTGACGAACTCTTATGCACCTCAATGCATTGGATGCCTAGCTAATCCTACCCAACAAACACAATCATCGGTGCTACATCCGGCGCATACCGTTGTTCCAAAACGCCTGGCGATCTAGACTCGTAGTCAGGATCGATGCCGTCATTCCTCGCTTACCTCCACTTCTGACCGGGGTCTCACGGTAAGCTTCCGAGTAGCGTGCAGGAGCTCGGAGGGTTCGGGCGCCGGCGGACTCGGGTTAACGATACGAGATCCTCCAGATCCTGCTTACGTGCATAAGGATGCATATTGACGTACTGCATCGTAGTCTGGAATGTGGGCAAACGTTGGATTTGGGAATAGTGCAAGTATGATGGCAAAGACGTGAGGAAGCCCAAAGGCATAACGATTCACAATCACTCGCTCCGCTCCGAAACACCATGCAAGCCTAGCTAACCCAGCACCCAGCCACGCAACCCCCAACACCAACCATCATAGACGCGTCATTGCAAAGCACTCCAACACACAAACCCTAGTAACACAACAACAAGCACCAGCAACACGGCGATACAATTGCATTAAACGACGAATCCGAGGAGATGACGACTCCCACTCTTCCGAAGACTCTATCTCCTGAACGCGGCTTCGACCTCCTTAGTACTCCAATCAATCTCCACCTCCCCACTATATACATCTTGGTTGATAGTCGTCATGCGCTCTGATACCTTGTTGTACGTCTTCTCGCATTCTTTGAGAACCTTGAAGACGAGGTCGCGACTGATAGTCGGGTCGTCGGCGTCGCCAAAGTGCTTGTCGACACGCTTCTTGAGGGCTTCGATGCCTTTGCGGAGTTCTTTGGCGTCGTGGGAGTGGACTAGTTTCTTGAAGACTGAGCGCGAATGGGAGGAGCGTTGGGCTATGGCTTGGGCGCTGGCGCCGGGTTGGGAGAGCAGGGTTTCGGTTGATTCGATGAATTCCTAGATGATGTTAGATGTGCTAGTAGAAGACAATGATGTCTACTTACCAGAAGCTTGCCCAGCGGCCTCCGGATGACGGCGTCAACGTAAAGGTTCATGTGCTCGCTGTACTCGTCTTGAGCCTTGCCCTTCCAGAATTCTAGGACGGTGACCGAGCGGGCATCAACCTCTTCCATGTAGTGGTTCATGTTCTCAATGAGCAGGATGTGGTAGTTGAGCGCTTCCTTGTCTTCAGGATCGCCCTGTCCTTGCGAAGCCATGACGGTGGGCGACTCCTTGGCGATGACTTTCAAGCTCTCGAACATGGCCTTGTTGATCCTTTGGTACGCTTCATCGACCATGTCGCGGATTTCCAACTTGTCTCCGCCTTCTGAAGCTGGTGGTAACATGTTCTCGATCGCGACAGAGAAGTGTGGGAAGGTCTTCATGAATGAGATGACTCCCTTGCGCTTCTTAATCTTGACCTTCGTATCTTCGATGGCCCGTATCTGCTCGTCGAGAAAGCGGCTAAATAGCCCTTGTAGACGTTCGTGTATCTTTCGCAGATTTCTTGTCAAGAAGTCCTGGTCCGTCTCTGCGATATCGAGCAACTTCCGGTCGACAGCACAAAGAATGCCTACACCTTGCCTACGGGTAGTTAGTGGGCGAACAATGTATAATATGAAAATGACTTACAGAGGATCGGCTTTCGTAGCCCAGTCCACAAGGCTCTGGATCTCAGCAGGCCAGAAAGAAAAGATCTCCTCCATGACCCCCGTGACATGTTTTGCCATGACTCGATCCGCCTCGAACTGCTTGCGGATCCAGAGGTTGGGTCCACGGCGCGCTTCAGGAGGCGCGGCTTGCACGGCCTCGGGGAAGTCAAGCGAGTCAGTTGAAGTAGCATGGAAGAACTCGGTAATGAAATTCTGCTCCGTCAAAAGAACCGGGCCGGTGTCTTCAAGGATCCTAGCAAAGACGTTGAATGCGTGGAATTTGCCGTCTTGAGCCGCTGGCTTTGCCTTGCCATCTTTGTCCCCAGACGCTGATCTCAGGCCACGAGCTAGGGTCTGACTTCGCTTAACGGTCAGCTTCCTTGCCGTACCTAAGGTGGAGGTAGTTTCCGGCTCTTTCTCCTGTGCGGTAAAGAGCAGTTCTTGCTCCTCGCCAGTGGGCTTCCTTGCGAACCGTCTCCATGCTAGAATATTGTCGCGAACCTCTTGTTGATACACCTGCGCTGCTTGAGTCTGATACATGCGTAGTAGTGAGTCCCATGCTGCCCTGTCAATTTCTTTCGCGAACAGCATGATTGGGCTCAACATCCATAACTCGTTTCGACCTGCGTCATGCGCTTCTACGTTCCTCTTCAGAGATGGCTCAGATCCTTGATCATCGAGTCTCGAAAGTGCATCTTTCGTCGATAAGAAGGCTGCGCCGAATGTGATTTCCATGTGTTTCTTGAGCCTCTCGAGGAACATGGAGCCCTCATTGAGGTACCTGTCTCGTTTCTCTTGCAGAGCTTGCATCGTTGCCAAATCGCTATTACCAAATCCTGGTCCACTGCTGATCGTGCCTTGTCGAGCTCCGGCGACGAAAGAAGGGTCGATTGTAATGAGTGCCTTGTACAGCAGAACCAAAGAAGACTCAATATCCTTGAGTCCGTTGATCTTGCCTATAGGAGCGCGTCTCAATGACTCCAGCTGATCCGATGTGATCGAGATAGTGTCGACTAGCTGCTGGAGTTCGTGCTGCAGTAGCCGCTGGTTCGCAGTCTGCACTTGCAGACCCTGACTCTGTGCTTCGATGAAAGCGATATCATCGTTCAAGCTGCTCAGCTCAACGTTGTATAGGGTTAACAGACCCTCCAGCTCGTCGCACTCAGCGATCGCGCGGTCCAACATGCGCTCAACAGCCTCCACGCGATCGTCCTTCTGCTCCAGGTGATTGAGCCAGCTCCCTGCCTCCACGCGGGCAATTTCACGTTTGATGTCATTCTCCAGAGATTCGATGTGCTTGGCGGAAAGCTCGTTGTTTCCCCATCCCAGCTCAGTCAAAAGACTTTCAAACTCTAATCCCCGTTCGTCAATGATATTCGGATCTATACCAAGCTTGGATATGTTGACAATCTGTTGGTTGGACCGGCGCTTCTTTCGGCGCACCTCGGGCTCAGGCTCAATGTTCCTTGACGCTGCTTTTTCTGGAGGTGGCGGAGCAGGCTGTTCTTCAACTTCTTGGACAGCGCCAGCTACAGCGCGATCACCTGGACCAGAGACGGTGACAGACGGAACCACCTCGGTACTAACGCGCAATCGCTCTTTCGATGACCTGTCTGGTATGGCTTTGGAGGGCTCTTCGAGTTTCTTCTCGACTTCTTCTTTAGGGGTTTCTTTTAGGGTTTCTTTTGGTGTTGGCCTCTGGGGCACGAACACTGCGCTGACGCCGTCTGCTTCATCGGATGTTTTCGTCTCCTTATTGAAGAGCTTTGCAGCAGCTCCTCCAGCACGAGGCTTAAATGCGCCTGCCGCCGCTGCTGCCTTGCGAAACTTGGTCGCCGCATTATCGCTAAGCAGCGGCTTCTTGACCATTGGCCCAAGGCCAGGGCGTTCTTGATCCTCAGGCATTGAGTTGGTGCGTTCTATCGGCTCTGGCTCAGGCGCTGTCGGCTGTGCTGCAGGCGCCGCTACTTCCTCAGCTTGTGGTGCTGGTGGTATTGGCGCAGTCGGAATCTGTGGGAGTGGTGATGTTGGAGGAGGCGTAGGCTGTGGTGGCTGAGGAGGCAGTGGGTCTGCTGGAGGCGCAATATTTTCCTGGGAAACGGGCTTCAGTCTCTCGGGTATCTCTTGAGGCCGTCTCCGCGGCGGTACTTCCAGTGGTGGAGCAGGCGAGCCCGAAGGCGTATGGAAGGTCGAACGTGGCTCTGCGCCTTGGCTGTCAACACTGCGTTGCGACATTTGGGATGGACGGGGCTCCATGAGCGGCCTTCTCCTTTGGGGCGGTTCTTCTGGAGGCATGTCGTCGTTTCGTGTGAAGTTCGAACTCGTGTTGCTTTGAGCTGTACCCGGTCGACCAGCGCTTTGGGCTGTTCCAGGCCTGAGACCCCTGGGCGACGGATCTCTCCTAGGTGAGGGGTACCCGTTCTGTCTGCGTGGGTCTGGTGGCGCAATACCTGGAGGCGCACCATCCAATGATGGTTCGTCAAGGGATCTTTCTGACCGTTGCGATTGCGCATCTTCACGTGGCGGCCCGCGCCCTGGACTCAAGCTTGACGGGAAGTTGCCTGAATCCGGTGTTCGTGGCCGACCAGCGAATTCAGAATTCGAAGATTGTGGTGTCAGATTGCGAGACGCGAACTGTGGTGGGATAGGGCTTTGTCCCTGGCCAGGACGAGGCCGCATACTATCGCCGCTAGGCCGAGAGCGAATGCTTGGGTCCATTGACCGCTTTTGGCGAAGATCAGGCATAGATGGCGCGACTGAAACTGAATTCGGCATGAAATGCGGAGGCCTACGGGCGTCATCTCCAGTACTTGGTCTACCTAAATCGTCTGGTCGTCCCGGTCTTCTTGGGCCCCCTAGCTCTCCTGGAGGTCTGCGGAAGTTTGGATTTGCGCCAGGTGGAAGCGCTCTCCCGTCAGATATAGGCGGTGACTCCCCGGGTCTTCTTGGTGGCGGTCCAGGCGACTTTGGAGGCATAGGTCTTTGATCTGGTGGCCCAGGTCGCTTTTGGGATGGACTTTGACCTCCTGAACCACCTACTGCGGCAGCGGCTCGGCCTTCTGCTGTCGCAAGATGCGGCTGCCCATTGGTCAGACTGTTCAGCTCGGTCACGCTGAATCCTGTCAGGATAGGAAAGTCTCCTTTAGTGTACTTGTTGTAGATCTTAACCATACTTCCAATAAAGAACTCCTTCTCTTTTGCCGTGCCTGCTTCCCAGTAGTAAGGTTTGCCGATGGTCACAGTGAAGCCCTTTTCCCCAGCCCAAAGCTTCCGCTGAGCCTCCTCTTCGCTGGTGGGGTTGAGATGGGTGTAGTTCTCGACAGCAGTGAGTTCCTCCATAGGCCAGGATTTTCCAATGGAGAAGGTCCCGTTGGCGTTCTCCCTGGCTTTGTGCAGCTTCACCCTGCCTGTGTTCCGCACTGATATCATGATAATCCGCGCCTTCTTGTTCGACGGGGCCGAGCTCGGTGGAGGAGGGGACTGGGGGTAGCCGCCATCTTCTTGGACGCGGATATGGGTAATATAGGATTCCTGGACTAGGGTTTGTCAGTCGATGCTACAGCATGCAGAGGTGTACGCCAAGCATATATCCCAACATGCGCGGGCACTGGTGTAGACACGTACGCTGGCCCTGGTCATCCGTCTTGGAGAAGCAGCTTTCGGTGATTCTTTTTCGCTCGTCGTCGAATCGTTCTGCGCGCGACATGCCAGAGGGCGTGGAGCTGGAGGCAGAAGGCGCCCCCCTCGAGCTGCCAGGTGGGCGGCTTGCAGGAGCTCGAGGGTCCCCCGCTCCGTTGGTGTAGTTGCGTGGCCTCCCCTCCATCTTACTGTGCGGCTATCTGCGAGGCCGATGGGGTAGTTGAAGGCGTGGGTAGATGATGCGCCGATTACTGCCGCCGGGCGCTAGCGAGAGGACCTCCGAGAGCTGCCATGAATCGCGAAAGGTGGTAATGAGTCTTGCGATGCCCGGGCGATGCGACGTCAACGGACGGAGCGGTGGTGAGGAGCAATCGGGGTGCTCGATGCAGTAGTCCAGGAACAACTGCTGCCAAGTGTGCCGTTCGAGGGAAGAATGTGGGCGGCGAGTGAATAGAGGCAATGGGGTGGTGTGCGGAGAGGGACGTTTGGCGTCGTGTACTCCATATGAGACGGCAGGCGCGCGGGACAGGGATCACGTTTAGGGCCTAGCGCAACTAGGCCGCTGAACCATTCCGCCTACCGTACTTTTTTTCTTGCGCAACATTTGCTACCTTTCCCATACCCACCAGCACTCCACCGCCACAACCCACGAACGCTACACGTGTCGCACGCAATCACTACTTTCTAGAAGGCATCAAGAAACCCAGCGGCGACGAAAAGCAGAAAGAGGCATATACAGACACGATGATAGACAAGCTTGAGCTGGTAAAGAAGTTCCTCAAGAAGAAGGGCGAGGTTGAGGCTGTCACCAAGATTGAAGGGGAGTTTGACCGATGGTGTGTGTCGTCCATGAGTGAGCGCGATGATGAGGAAAGCGCGTCCAGCAGCGACTCGAGCAGCGACTCGAGCAGCGACTCAAGCAGCGAGTCTGAGGTCGAGGCAAAGCCAAAGAAGGCCAAGAAGACCGCTGGAAAGAAGGCAGCTGTGAAGGAAGACGCCTCCAGCTCCTCCAGCTCCTCCGACTCCAGTTCCGATTCCTCCAGCTCAAGCTCAGACTCCGATTCTGAGTCTGAGAAGGAGAGCGCGCCAGCCAAACCAAAAGCGAAGAAGGCCAAAAAGGCGAAGTCCGTGTCCTCATCCTCCGCTTCTTCCTCCAGCGATTCCAGCGACTCCAGCGATTCTGATAGCAGCTCTGAAGAAGAGCCCGCCAACATCCCACTTCCTGACTCCGACTCGTCCGATGCCTCCAGCGACTCTTCGTCCAGCGACTCAGACAGCGATTCGTCTAGCGACAGCAGCTCCGACTCAGAAGCCGAGAGGGAGAAGGACAAGAAGGTAAAGAAGAGCAAGAAGGCTGCTTCGGTCTCATCATCGTCTGCCTCGAGCTCCTCGGACTCTTCAGACTCTAGCGACTCCAGCGACTCTAGCTCATCCGACAGCGACTCTGACGATGAGCCTGCGAAGGAAAAGAAGAGCAAGAAGAGCGTGAAGAAGGCCCCCACGCCTTCCTCTTCTAGCGATTCCAGCTCCTCCGATAGCTCTTCGGACAGCTCCTCGGACAGCTCCTCAGATTCCGACAGCGACGATGAGAAGAAACCCACCGCGCTCGAACGCAAGGCCTCTGGCAGCGACTCTTCTCAGACTCTGCCAGCAACATCCCCCGAGCCAAAGAACAACAAGCGCAAGGCCAGCTCTCCTTCGCAAGACGCTCCCAAGTCAAAGAGAAGCCACGTCGAAAACCGATTCCAGCGCATCAAGCCCGACGTCGTAGTCGACCCTAACCTCGCAAGCAACGCCTACGTTTCCTACGATTATGCCGACCGTGCGCACGCCAAGTTGATTGTTACCAAGGGCAAAGGTTTCACCAAGGAGAAGAACAAGGGAAAGAGGGGTTCGTACAGAGGTGGCATGATTGATACCTCTGGTGGCAAGGGCTTCAAGTTTGAGGACTGAACGTGATAATCGAATATAGACGGGAGACGATTCGCAAAGCATTTCCAAGAGTAGAAAGAGGATATACGCCTTGGCGTGTAAGAATATGGCGAACACGGAGTTATGTATACCAAAAGCAGCATACCCTTAATTGGCGACACTAGTACGAGACTTTGGTCGACTGAGTGACGGATTACTGTGTTGAAGTTTGAGTTAATAGATTTGTACAGTTCCAATCGTACATTGCATGTGCACATTCCTAGTTCATGTACATGTGCCAGTCCGTCTCAGTGTGCTTCATTTCATCCAAGAAGACTCCGATTTCGTGTCGCGATGCCAGTGATTCCATGTTGTATCCCTCATCGCTTGTAGACTTCCGCAGCGCGTCATCCTTCCAGCCATCATGTACCCACAATGTCTGACACGGCACCTCGCACATATCCATACCACTCCAACCAACCGACCCCCGTCCCTCATCTTCAAGCCTTCTCCCCACCCTCCTCCTCAAATTCTACCGGCAGATTCATACCCACTCTCCTCGCGCTCAACCTAACCCTCTCCTCCTCCGTCATGCCCATGCCTGGATTATACCGCTCCAGCAGCGTCGAATGCATCCGTTGCGCCTGCACATATTGTATGAATTGCTCCGCCTGTTGTATTTGACTCTGCGCGTTTGCGTTGGGGTTCGATTGCGAAAGTGTCGAGCGGATGCGCTGTTGCAGTTTTGAGGGCGCGGAGAGCTTTTGGTGTTGGGTGCGGGTTAATTGTGGTGTTGAGGGGAGTTCGCGGAGGAGGCGCCGGTAGATGGAGAGGATTTGGGGGGTGGCCGGGGGTGCCATTGTGGGTGGTGGAGGTGAGCGGGTTGGTTTGGGAGATTGGTTTATCGAAGAGAGCCCTAGAAACCGTAGTACTCGAGACGTGGTAGTTTGTTGATGTGTTGTTGGAGAAGTTCACCACACGGAAGTGCTGCGGCGAAAAGATGCGGCAGAGCTTGGACCACTCGTGAACTTCAGATGCACCACCACTTTACCTCCGTCTTCTTGTAAGAACACAATGAACAACTTAGCGCCAGGCTCACGATACGTATGCCGCAACTGCACACAACGTCTATCTCGCCAGCATTCTACACCTCTCACGCGATCGCAAGTACGCCTACAGTCCACCGATGCATCTCAAGGCGATGCGCCGAACGCGAGGCTACGGATACAGAAGCATTGGAATGGCGATGCCAGGGCAAAGTTTAGGCCGACTGCGCCAACACGCAGTATACTGCATATGAGCAAGACGGAAAGTAAGCTGCGCGTAGAATTGACGGACGAGCAAAAACCGTCTGCCGAGGATCTTGAACGAGTAGCGAATGAACCACGACCTCTTACGATGCGCGAGAGGCGACTCCTGAACAGAGATGCACCAATGACCACCGCACAAATGCGGGCAATGCGAGAGAGCCGAAGACGCAAGAGGGAATTGGAGATGGAAAAATTAAAAGAAGAAGGGAAAGATTTGGAGATAGCGCAAATGAACGCACCTCACAAACCTCTTATTAAAAAGCCAAAGAGTCATGTCATTCGCAAATGGTCGAAGAATCTTCCCCCTGGCCGTAAAGAATCGTTCGAAGATGAGCTGGTACCTTCTCCGCCATCAGCGCCCTTAGGCAGACGATCAAAATCCGAGACAACACCAGATGCAGCACCTGAGACACCAATCAGTTCGCTCTCGCTCAATCTCAACAAATTGCAAGGCTTCAATTGGTACTGGGATACCTTTCCCCCAACCGTCGCACAGAAAACGACTGCAAACCACTTCTTCACCACCCACGGCCGCAACGCAAAGTTACTACGAAGCGTCGCGCAATTCCGTCTTTTCCCCGAGTCCGATGTACCGGAAGTGGCCTTCGTCGGCCGTTCCAACGTGGGCAAGAGCTCGTTGCTCAACGCCGTCGTAAACGCTGACATCAAAGCACTACTAGCGCGTACCTCGTCCACCCCAGGATTCACCAAAACAATGAACCTCTACGGTCTGGGCGCCGGAAACGGCGTGACCATCAAGAAACAGTCTACAGGGCGCGAAAAGATCGTCGGTCTCGGCGGCCTTACTATTGTTGACATGCCAGGCTATGGCGAAGGTTCACTTGCATCCTGGGGTACGGAAATCATGAAGTACATCACCAATCGCAAGCAACTCCGCCGTGTCTTCCTTTTGATCGATGCCGAACACGGTATCAAAGACAAAGACCGCTCTCTACTTGCTTCACTGCGCCTAGCTGGTGTAAGTCATCAAGTCATTCTTTCCAAGCTAGACAAACTGTATATTCCCGCTGCCAAAGAGATCAAACGCCATGATGGCAAAGCCCTGCGTCGCTTGTCGCCGAAAGGCAGCCCCGAGGAACTCAGAAAGGCGATGGAGAAGTTGAAATACGATATCCAGCCACCAGTGGGAGGTGGTGCCCTAGGAGAGATCCTCGGTGTGAGTGCGGAGACGCTGGTAGAAGGGAAGAGATTGGGTGTTGATCATGTGAGGTTTGCGGTGCTGAAGGCCGCGGGGTTGGATCAGAAGTTTAGGAAGGAGAGCAGTGTGAAAGAGGAGCGCAATATGAATAGGCTGCTCGAGTCGGGGGACTTTGAGTAAGTCAAAGATAGATCCAACACCCCCGTTCTCCCAACACACACCTTCACAACTTCGCCTTCACACCCTTGCCCGGAATCTCCGGGAATCCTCCTTCCAAATCTTTCGGGATCAAATGCTCTACATCCCCTATGTTGAGATATCTTGGATGACACTGCTCCAGCGACGTTATGCCCAGTAACCTCATCGTCGTTTCCAACTCATCTTTCATGATGTCGATGAAGTGCTCCACACCTTCTTGTCCATATGTCAAAGAATACAAGAAAGGCCGACCCATTCCAACGGCTCTGGCTCCTAAGCACAACGCTTTTACTATGTCGGTTCCGCGCCGGATACCGCAATCGAGATACACTTCCAGACTGGAGAAGACTTCAGGGGCGTGCCGCCGGATTTCCAGGAGGGTCAGGAGGGAGGGTGGGGAACTGTCATCCTCCATTAGCAAACCGCTCTAGCCATCCGGGAAATAGTAAGAGTGGGTGAACATACGTATCCAAATTTCTCCCACCATGATTCGTTATCACTATACCATTCAACCCGTACTTCACAGCTAGCACCGCATCTTCAACCGTTTGCACACCCTTCGCTACAATGGGTAGTTTTGTTGCTCTGCGCAACCAGGCGATGTCGTCCCAGCTGAATGTATCGTCTATGTATGTGCCCATGGTGCGACCTAGGCCACCACCTTTCTTGTCGTTTGTGGCTGCGGCGCCGCTGATGGCGGCTTTGGCGAAGGTTGCTGATTCGACTTTTACGCGCTCGTCGCCTTCTGTAGTACAGAGTCAGCGTGGGTCGGCAGCTTCTGAAAGTGCAGAGATAGGGTGTTTTGTAGGGTAGGATAGGACAAACCTCGTTTCCCCTGCACAGGCCCATCGATGGTAAACCAAACGCCTTTAATCCCGTTCTTCTCCGCATCTTTCAGAAGGGCTTCTGATGCCTTTCGGTCTTTGTTGACGTAGAGCTGGAAGAAGAAGGGTATGGCATCCTTTTTCACGCTTCCCGTTATCTCTGCCATTGTAAAGGATGCATTCGTGGAGATCTGCAGATCATGTCAGCACATCATCTTTCTCACCTTCCCGTCTTTCGGCTCGCACAGAAAACAGAGATGTCAACGTACACACTGCGCAACCCCCCTCCCCTCACACCCTCTCGCCAACGCCCTCTCCCCCTCCGGATGCGCCAGCCTCGCCATCGCAGCTGGACTAACAAAAAACGGCAACTCCACCTCACGTCCTAACATCTTCGTTCTCGTATCCACACGCCGGATATTTCTCAGTAGTCTCGGTCGAAACCATATCCGATCAAACATGCTCTTGTTCGCATCCCGCGTCACGAGGTTTGTTGCGCCACTAGAATAAAAGGCCCATGCTTTCTTGCCGAGGACTTTTTCGGCGACGGCTTCGAAATCGTAGCTGTTTATTAGGCTGGCTAGGGGCGGCTTTGAGGCGATTGATAGGATAGGCTGGGTAGTTTCTGTTGGGGGTGGTTTTAGGAGGTCGTAGGAGGGTGTTGAGGAGGAGACTTTGCCGATGCGTTTGGTTGGGGAGAGGGTTTTGGATAGGAGGGTTGGGGAGTGGACGGAGTTATAGGTTAGGGAGGCGTCGAGGCCGGCGTGTTTGGTTATTACTGGGTTGTTGTCAGCGGTGGTTTTCTCAGAAACATGCTATCTAGAACTGGGTGTGTTTTGGTGATGAACCGCAGAAGGGAATGGCAAGAAAATTCAGTTCTTTTGCATTCCTTCAAACACAACACGACCGTGAACTTCAGTAGCAGATACTGAATGCACTCACTCTCATTTCCACCAGGATGACTCGGTATGAACTCTGTTATGTCCCAAACCACATTATCTACCACTATCCAACAGTCCTCTTCGCTGGCATGCTTCTTGATCTCTTCTACGGAAACGGGTCTGTCTTCCATGTTGTCAACAGTGCTACAATACTTCGCGGAAAACCGATCGTACTAAACATGGAAGTAGCTTCGGAACGTTTGTATTATTCGCGAAGCTGTCAATTGGCGCGGAAGCCACCTCGCTAGTCGATCTACCGACGTTGATGCGGAGAAGTGGGCCCGGCGAAACGCCGATGGCTCGCAGGCAGCGACGAGCCTCTAACAACCGCAGCCGTGGCCGACACCACCAACACTGCCAAGCACCTGGTAGTTGCGGATACAATGAACCGAGGGCAGAAGGTCTCGCGAGCAATATGTCTGCATCGCAAGGACGTGCAGTCGGCAGAAGCACCGCTCCGATGGTTGCGGAGCGCGATTGGTATATGAGTAAACTTTGTTTGGCAGAGCCGCATTCCATCTAACACTATTCCATTTCATCAAAAGCACAATGCGCATTCTTATCACAGGTGCCGCCGGCTTCATCGGGCAACTTGTAGCGAAGAAGCTGCTTGACGACGAGCAGGCAGCACATTCTCTCATCCTCACCGACATCATCGAACCACCCATCCCATCAGATGTGCGATCCTCAACACGAGCACAAGCCATCAAGGCAGACCTATGTACAGAAGCAGATGCTGTCGTCACGAAGGACATAGAAGCCGTCTATGTCTTCCACGGCATCATGTCCTCAGGTGCAGAAGCCGATTTCGAGCTGGGCATGAGAGCAAACTTCGATGCGACCCGCGCACTACTCGAATCCATCAGGAAGACATGTCCAGGGGCGAGGGTGATATATGCCTCAAGTCAGGCAGTATACAACAACTCCGTCACATTACCCGTCACGGAATCTCAAATGCCAACGCCAGAGACTAGCTACGGTGCCGAGAAGATGATGTGCGAGTACCTCATCACTGAATACACACGACGCGGCTTCATCGACGGCATCTCACTTCGCTTCCCTACTGTCTCGGTACGGCCGGGAAAACCCACTGCTGCAGCGAGCTCGTTCATCAGCGGTATGATCCGCGAACCGATGAACGGCATCAAATGTGTTATTCCATTAGAGGATAAGCAATGGCGACACTGGCTATGCTCTCCTCGTATTCTAGTTCAAAATCTCGTCTACGCAGCTACGGATTTCGACATCAACCGCCTAGCCAAGTTCGATCGCTGCCTCAACTTTCCTGGCATCGGCGTCTCGGTGCAGGATATGATGGACTCTCTTGCGAGGGTGGGTGGTAGTGATAAGCTTGACCTGCTTGAAATGAAGGACGAACCTACGTGCAAGAAGATTCTATACTCATGGCCTGCTGAGTTTGACAACACCAAGGCTCTGGATCTTGGGTTCGTGAGAGATACTGGATTTGATCAAATTGTTCGGGATTATGTGGAGGCTTTCGCACCGAGACATAGTGTGAAGGGAGCCGGGCAGGCGAGCCAGAAGATTGAGAGTGTGCAAGTCAATACTGTAGAAGTGGCAGCGTGACATGCTATATCTTAGAGCTGCTAAAAGACTATCATCCCTACCGTAATACTACATCATCAAGAAGTAACTCTTTTGAAATCTTAAGCATCTTGTCACGTATGGAATGCCAAACTTCATGTCAGTAGTTCTTTATTTCTAGATAGCACAACTCAGTATTTAACCTACTAGTGCTGTACGCAAACTGTCTCATACCATGTGAATGCGTATCTTGCATGCAGTACTACCTCACAGAATTTGCGCACTGTTGGTGACCGAATAAAGATGCTTCACGTCGGCCCAGTCTATCACGGGCCCTGTTCGGCTATACATTAAGCACCGCGATCGGCGCAATCCCGGTGTTCCCCTCATCTCTCATCCAGATTGTTGCCAGCTCGCTCAAAGACCGATAATTTAGCATGCACGCATCATATCAGTATATCTCGGCCAAAATGCCGTGATTTACAGGCTTAGCTAACCATGGCAACTACGTTCATCTTGCATGGACGACCTTACCCGGCCGGGAGACATAGCTAAATGCGGGAACCCCCGCATCTCATCCTACACTAGGCTAGCCAACACCAGCAGGTAAGACGACGACGTGACTATATGAATCCAGGGTAGCAATATAAGATGCAGTCTACCCCAGATTCGTGGGGTAGGCAGTGTCAGTTACGCTCCCGACCTCTGACTACTCTCCCAACTTTCACGACCGCAAAGCCTCGTCCATTCCATCACCATGGACGTCGAAAAGCACTCTCTGGAGAAGGATCTAGCATGCGAGTACATCGAAGCTACAAATGAAACTCGCAACCCCGTCCCCGAGATCCTGCGAAACCACACACCTGAGCAACTCACCGCTCTCGAGAAGAAGCTTGTACGGAAGATCGACTTCCGTGCCCTACCCATCCTGATCGTCCTTTTCCTGCTCAACGTGCTCGATCGAAATGCCATCGCCAACGCACGTCTCGGAGGTCTGGAAGCCACACTGGGTATCGACGATGTGGAGTATCAGACTGCTGTCATGGTGTTGTGGGCTGGTTACATCTCCATGATGATTCCGTCGAACATGCTCCTCTCCATCTTCAAGCCCAGGTTGTACCTGCCAACGGTCGTCATTATCTGGGGTATCGTGTCTGGCGCTACAGGGTTCGTTCAGAACCACGCTGGGCTAGTCGCATTGAGATTCCTGGTCGGTGTAACGGAAGCCCCGTACTTCCCTGGATGTATCTTCTTCCTCTCATGTTGGTACACAAGGAAAGAATTACCGAGTCGTATCGCCACTTTCTACTCTGGATACACGCTGTCCTCGGCCTTCGGTGGATTGATCGCAGCGGGTATCGTCGATGGCATGGAAGGTCTTGGTGGCTACCCGTCTTGGAGATGGATTTTCATTCTCGAAGGGGCTCTGACGATCGTTATGGCTTTTGCTGGATATGCACTTCTTCCGAACTACCCTTCAAATACCTCGTTCCTATCGGCTGAGGAGACTGCTATGGCGCAGTGGCGACTTGACCGCGAGAATGACGGTGTGGCCGATGAAGTGAATGAATCGGTCTTTGTTGGACTGAAGCAGGCTTTCTCCGATCCGAAAGTGGTACGTATCTCTCTCATCTTATCATTGCGTGTCGACAATCGAAACCCATAAGCCATTACGTGTTGCTAACGTCGAATGCCACCTCTAGCCATTACTCGTCTTAATCCAGACATGCGCCGTAGTATCCATGAGCTTCACTTACTTCTTCCCTTCCATCGTCCAGACACTCGGCTTCCCCCGCGTGGAGACGCTCTTGCTCACAGCACCACCCTATTTCCTGGCCTTCATCTTCTCGGTCGCCAACTCGTGGCACTCTGGGCGCTCCGGCGAGCATTGCTTCCACATCGTCGCAGCATGCGTCATCTCCGCAGTTGGACAGATCATCTCCATGTCCACATACCAGACTGGCCCTCGCTACTTCGCCATGTTCCTACAAGCTATGGGATCTTTCTCTGCTTTCCAGCTTATCTTGCCTTGGGTTTCTGCAACGGTTGCGCGGCCGAAAGCGAAGAGGGCTGTTACACTCGCCTTGGCGACGGCTGTGTCGAATGCGACGAATATTGCGACTGCTTACCTATACCCCGCGTGGAGCGCACCGTGAGTCTTTTTCCATATTCCAGATGAATAATCACTAACTTAGCGATCTAGCTTGTACCGCATGGGCTGCATTGTCTTGACAGTAGCACTCCTTTGCTGCGCAACTGCGTCACTCATACTACGCTTCTGGCTGCAGAAGCTGAATCGCAAATCTGATCAGGCTGTAGGCTTGGAAGGTGTCGCCAATGGACCCGGCCTTCTTTTCCGCTACACTCTGTAAATAGGCCGTAGGCAGACATCCGGTTCAAAATGTGTCTCCTTCTGGAATGACGATAACTCACCTTCTGAGTAATGTCGATGTGAAGCTATCGCAGGGTATATCGAAACCTGAAACCCCATACCCTGGCTACCACTTGTGCTAAATCGTGTTTTGTTGTAATGAGTACATCATCCGATAACAGCCACGTGGGCGGGGGATGCGGAAACATCACCAAGTAGCATCCATCATCGCTCGTCTGCGACCATGCCGTTATCTGCATCAAAGCATCCTTGGTATACTATTCTCGTTGCTGCTTTCCTGAAACATTGCTAAACGGTGTTGCATCGATGGAGCAGCTCCCAATAACACGTTAGCGTTATGATCCTGCGCACGGGCCACAGGAGAAGAGAGCCGTCTCCCGCCGAGGAACCTCATCTTTCATCCTTCTACTTCATTCTGACACTACCCCATGTTTCAAACATCTCGGTTGAAGCTTGTACGGCATGCAATAGACGGGCTATCTATCGGGGAAATGAAGACGAGGCCAAGTCGATAGTGGTGCTGTTACTCCTGCAGCGTGGGGGCGAGAGCGCGGAGGCTGAACTGGCAGGTGCTTCGCCAAAGCTGTTTCAGCCTTGCATACTCGAAGTACTGCGCCGCAGCCTCCTGATGCTGTCCAGTATACATAACAGAATGATCTATTAGAACATTTTCGCGAAGAACTACCCTCACCCAGTATAATTTCTACTTCATCACAGTCGTCTGTCGCAAACGTGGTCTGGAGCTTTACCTATTACCACCTACTTCCGTACAGCGCACACAGTCAACCCCCGAAAAGCCATCAAGACATGCAGTCCCCCTCTAAAGACACTAAAAAGCCCAAGTTGACCCGGAAAATATTAGAACGTGAGAGCATTTACTTCTATGAGGATGTCCACAAGAGGAACTCTTTGCCTAAGTGGCTCCGTCCCATCCATTTGGGAATGAGATTCATGCGCACAAAAGTCCCTGAGGAATCCAGAGAGGATTTTGTCGCTGAGCTCAAGGAATTCCAACGTTCAGGTCAAGACAGGGCTATCGCATCGGCATCACACTGGAGTTTGAAACCCTCCAGCATCCGGGATGAATACCTCCACAAAAAGAGTTTTGACGAAAAAAAACTAGCAGCAGAGACGAGAGACGTGTTGGTTACTTGTCGGAAAGTTCAGGAACGGGCGATATATCTTTGTGGGACGAACGAGAAGGAATCCGCATGGGCGGAGTTCCTAGGAGCGAACTTCTTCAAAACATACAGGGAGGTACATGGCACTCCAGACGAGCACAGGTATGCAAATTTGTGATGCTTTCAAAGCCTCTTTATTGACTTCTTCTAGCTATTTGTTTGATCGGTGGGAACTGTAAGCAATACGGTGGCGCTTCACAGATCGCAGGCTAACTTTTATAGGCATGCTGATGTTCATTGGAATGAACGCTTACCCAGGAACGATTTCGGGAGACGAGTGCGTACTGGACCGAAGCCGGACTTGACCTACTCATTTCCCGTCATCGATCCCTCACACAAAATATCAAGATCGCACCGTTTCGACCCTAAAGTCGAAAACTTCACGCTTCCTGTCCTTAGCGAACTCCAGAAGGCAGCCGAATGTAGCCTAATCTCGTCACCGACGTCTGCGTTGTCCAAGTGGGATCCTAAGAACCCAAAACCGATAGGCGCTGCGGACCTAACATGCTTTCCTTGGGCTGTTGTCGAAGTCAAAACCAGCAAATGGAAGCGTGATAAGTCAGTGTTTTGTTATTGTCAAGCTGCGAACGCGTCTGCTGAAGCACTCATGATGAGGGAAAGACTGGCTGAGAGGGTGAACGAGCCAAGTAAGGATGCTCTGGTCATCTTCTCTTTCACATGTGTTGGTCCAAGCGTTCGGTTTTGGCTTACCTTCAGACACCCAGTGAGTATGGGCCTTAACATACAACCGTCGTAAGTAGCTAACATGCGCCAGACCAGCCGTAACATTGAGATGCGCTGTATTTGGGCAACTTCATTGGAGCTTACTTGGGGTGTCTTTGCGCTACGTGCTGTGATCGAGAACATGCGCAAATGGGTGCACAACTGGGTGAAACCGGGGATATGCAGATGGATCACTCAAGTCCGCTTGCATCCAAAGCCCTCGACGTTTCTCGCCCCAGACGGCCATCAGGTCGAGCAACGAAGAAGAGCGAAATCTCTCGAGCCACCCAATCAGAGAACATCTGACATACCCTCTACGTCACGAAAGCCTCCTCGCTCGAAGATCATTCCGCATTTAGCGAGAGAGAATACTGTACCAAGACGGACCTGCTCTCCCAGTTCATTGTCTCAACGATTGGATCGATTGAGTATTCGCATCGAAGACTCAGAACGGGATGTTTCTGACGAAAGTGGAAGCGATTGGCAGCGCTATGCAAGTAGCTCCGACGATGGAAGTTATGTAGCAAGCGATGATGCAAGCGGCGACGACGATGGCTTCACCACTGTGGAAGAAGAGACTTATGGCACAAGTCAAGATGAGGACGAACTCGACGAAGGATACTCTAGTGACGGCTCATAGGTGGAGGCTTTCCGATGACTCCGTTCTGTCTTGTTTGGTTCTATACCAGGAAAAGTTCGGCCCGACGTCAACAGCGCAATGTCTGTTCACCTTCGACTTTCGCATTAAGTTTTCTTTCACACTCTTCTTCATACAACTAATTCCTTTCTGTGTAACATATCACATGACTTTGCATAGCCATCATTTTCCTCCTCACGTATGCGTACCGTCTAGTTCCACTGGTGGGCCGGGTATGATATGCACACTCGTCGACCCAGCCTCAACTGGAGCCGACGGTGCTTCCGTCTCAGCCCTCCAATGGCCACCTACAAAGCGTTTCGAGCCTTTCGCATCACCATCCATCTCCGATACCCCGATCTCGCCCGAGGGCTCCTGCTCTGGTTGCTGTGCATCTTGCTTCCGTTGTCGTTGTTGTTTCCGCCTTCGCCGTGAGAATAAGAAGAGTACGACGCCAAGTATAACGAAGATACCCACCCCAACTCCAATGCCAGCTTTGGCGCCTGGGCTTGAGTCGGAGCTTGTATCTTGGGATTCAATGGGCAAAGCAGAATTTGATGGTCCGGCATCTGTATCGTGCGCGGTCATGGACGGACTTAGATTCGATAATAGCGAGGGAGACCTTGTGGAGCTACCGAATAATACACTAATCACCGCTGCAATAGAAGATGCATATTCCCTAGGAAACAGGGCGAGGTCGCTAGACTGCCAGAAGACTACAGTTGGTTTCGCTCGGGCCGTACCTGTTGTCAACACCGTCTTACTGTTTATGGTAACACTAGAGCATGGGCCAGGGCGGCACACCTGCTCAGTGGTGTCGATCAGCGAGAGGATGGATGTTCCCCCAGCGCTGTAAGTTGTAGTAGTGGTGAATCGGCTAAGTACAGTTGTCGTCTCCGAAAAGGTTTTCTCGCAGTAGTAGCCGTCACGGTCAACAAAACGATAAGACATATCGCTGATTTGCATGTATGTAAGCGCGTGTCCGCGGAGTGGGAGTTATGGAACCTTTGGAAACATGGGTAGCGTAACTGGGACAACAGTATGCTAGCCAATAGACAAAGTCCAAGCGAACCTCGTCTATCTCAGTGGGTGTTTGGCCATCTCCACAAACTCCTGGGCTGTACAGAGGCGTTGTCTGTTCTTGCCGATACGGATTGCATTCATAGTAATAGGAAGAAGCAACAGCATCAGTATAATATTGAAAGACAGCCCTTCCGCTGTATATTAGAGATGAACTAGTGTCTTCATAGATCCAGCGTGTTGCACATGGCGCTGGGGGCGTAAAGACGGTCAATAATGGGGGCAAATTCGTTGGAGCGGTTTGAAATCTCCAATCAGAAGTTGGTATAGTGGGGACAGTCGCCATATTGACGATACCTGGAAGGTAGAGTAAGTCGACGTTGAGTTTTAGGGAAGAAGGGATCTTAAAGAACTCCGCCAGCGGTACAAAACTTTGATCCAGATGTGGAGAGGTGACGAGCATCGAATTGTAAGGTTGGTTGGTAGGATTGCTACGCCGCATTATGCGGCGTAGTCCTTTGGCGCCGATATGTGCATGTCACGCAGCGGCTACAGCGACATCGTGTACTACACACACCCAATACCATGACAGAGTACCTGCAGCCTTGTCATATGCAGGACAGGCACACAAGCAACAGTGAGCGAAGAAAACGACGGCCATCGCTCGATTGCGATCTTCGTTATCGCGACAGATTCATTATAGCGTCCATCTCTTTTCCATTTGCTTAATGGTCTCTCTCCCGCTGCGTGCTGTCCAACTCCACCGGCGACCGCGGCACAACACCTCCCGTCCCAGCCTCAACCGGCACCGATCTTCCATCCGCCTCAGCCCTCCATTTATTGTCCACCGCTTGCTTAAATCCTTGCGAGTTTCCATCCATCTCCGCCTCGTTCGGCTGCTGAAGACGTTTTCTCTGTTGCTTTTTTCTTCGCAAGAAAAACAAGAGTATGACGATACCAATGATAACAAGCAGGCCTATTCCGACGGCTATACCCGCTATAGCGCCTGGACTTAAACCACCGTCTTTTGAGCCCGGAGATGGATCTTCTGTAGCATTATTACCTCCGAATTTAGCGTCGACCAGGGACGCGAGTGACGAAGCATAGTCGCTAGGAAAGTTCGACAAATCGCTTTCCTCCCAATACACCCCGAAGGGAGTAGCAAAGGCCACACCAGAAGATAGCACAGTCGGCCTCTGCAGCGTGGTCGGATTCGCACAAGTCTGGGAGCCTCCCGACCTTGTACAAAACCTCGTTGCTGTGTCAATACCAGAGGCGCTTTGCGTCCTATCCCACTGGTCTATAATTGTCGTCGTGAAGTTTGTGAGTGCAGTCCTAGGAGTCGAAAAGTCGCCTTGGCAGTCCTGTGCAAGAACATTCATGGACATTCCCCTGGTGGATACGTAAGCCGGGATTTAGAGATGCGTATTCAGCCGTGGGCAAACAACCTGTCGCAACACCAGCCCTTCCACCTTCGCGAGCTGCCAAAGCGCTGCTCCTCAATGCCAGCTATCGTTTGTCCTCTTGTACATATCCCTGGGCTGTAATAAGGCTGATCTAGCGGCTGAAGAAAGGGGCGGCAAGACTCGTAGTAGTTCGATGACAGAAGATTCTGAACGCGCGTCATCCCGAAATTTCCATTCTCGGATCGCCAAATAAGACTATAGTCCCCGCTTCGGATGTTGGTGGTGTTGACTGGATTTTGTATCCATTGAGTCGCGCATGCTGAGCTAGGATCATATCTAGTTGTCAGAGGGGGAGGATCACCGGATGGGCCTAAAGTGTTCCATCGCGCTAGGTCCGTAGCAATGGCTATGTTGGATACCACCATGCTTGATGTTGATGGGAAGTTGAACGGAGCGCAAGAACAACCGTTTCAGGGGAAAGAGCTTGGGAACACGGGAACTATGAAGTGGAAGCCGAGAGTGTAATAATCAAGTCGCCGAAGACTAGTAGGTTGCGGGGCGGCCACCAATCTTCCGACATGGCTGACCGGTGGCCCGCCTGCAGCCACCAGAAGGACGGCGACCTCTCATATTCAGCAAACTAACACAAGCAAGCCATGTCAGGCGGAGCAAACCCAATCAGCGGTGTCGCGCTGTCCCGCCCGAAGCCACAGAGTAACACTTAACGTCCCTTGCCGCATCACAGGGCTGGCCCCCACACCGTATCGGAAAATGGAATCAAGCTGCGAGATCATCTCGATCATTGGTTGTAGGAGCATGGATGCAATTGAACGCCGAACTGGGCGCCTTATTCTCTTTACCCACATCATAGAGCAGGCCTATCCAGGTAAGGTCGATGATGGGAGCACGACAGATGTTGGAGGATACAATGCAGGGGTATGAAGATGCGCATTCCGGAAATGGAGTGGACATCGACTAGTGCCAAACAGAAGAGAAGTAGCCAATCAACGAAGCACAGTCGCGATTAGCAGCGTGCAGCAGTGGCTAGGTGATCGCATGAGGCTGAGGGATGCTACACTGCCAGGCTGTTATGTCAATAGAATCCAACGTGAGTACCTTCAGGCTGTGCACCAAGAAAACCTCCAGACGCCAATCACCATCGCGAGACAAGACCGCGCCCCGTTTGAGTGAATGGCGTATACTCTCGTTGGTAAGATGTCGCGTCTGCGATCCATCAATTCTCATCCGTGCAACATATTCGCAAAACTTCTATCGCGTCTTCTTCCATCATGTCAATCTATATGGCATTGTGCCGCGTCTCTCCTTCTCCATACTCAGTATGCGGCTATTGATCTCTTTCCCGCTGCGTGCCATCCAACTCAACAGGTGGCCCTGGAATAATCACCACACTTCCTGATCCAGCTTCCACCGGCTGTGAGGTCCCGTCTGTCTCAGCTCTCCACTTCCCGCCCATGAAGCGCTTCAACCCTCTTGAGCTTCCTTCCATCTCCGGCACGTCCGGGTGCTGTAGACGTCGTTGTCGCTTTCTTCTTCGCCTAAGGTACAGGAGAATCACAATGCTGGCTATGACCAATGCGCCAACCCCAACGGCTATACCAGCTATGGCTCCGGGGCTCCGACTAGAGCTTTTGCGGTTGGATTTGGTGGATGGAGGTGCGGATGGTGGGGTTGTAGTGTTAGTTGGTTTCGTGGACGTGTCCCCAAATGGAACTCCGATCACTGAAGCGAGCGACGACGCGTAGTCACTAGGGAATGAAGACAAATCGCTGGACTGCCAATACACCCTTAACGGACTTGCAAGTGCTGTGCCAGACGTCATTTCACTTGGCGGTTGCCTCAACCAAGTATCGATGACAGATCCAAATCCACCGTCGGTGACCACTTTACAGAGTGACGTCGAGATGTCGATGGCCCAGAATGTGAAAACTTCTCCATTTTGTGTACTTTCACAGGGCCCAGATTGGGTCAAAGTGGTTGTAAACTGTGTGAGGACCGCCATAGGAGTTCTGATTATTTTTTCGCAGGGGTCCGACGCAGCAATCGTCACAGTTGGAACCGTCATTCCACTGCGGCGGATGTCAGATGGCCCAAGTCGACAGCATTTTGGAACTGAGTGATCACCTATCGCAACAGAGTCCTTCCCAGACAACGGAGTCTTGGAAGCGAAGCTCGTTTATCTTGGCCACAATTTGACCCGCAGTACATATCCCAGGACTATACTTTGGGGTTGTCTGTCCATAGGGAAGGCAACGTGCGTTGTAGTCGCTGGGCAAGGCAGATGATTCGTAACCCGTAAAACGAGTGTCTCCGCTAATAATGTAGTCCCCATCCGCGCGTACCCACTGAGTTGAGCAATTAGGCGGAGGGGTAAATATGTCCGTAAGTTGAGGTAATCCGGTTGGAACCAAACCCAACCATTCCTCCAATTTAAAGGCAGTTGATGTTACGACGCCGGTGGCCATCCTTGCTATTGGGAACGGACGGATCGTAGAAATACTGATACAGAGAAGAAGGGACAGAAGAATGGCAATAAAAAGTGGGAGGCTGAGCCAGGATAAGAGAGACTGACCGACACATACTAAGGTGGGCTTGGCTAGTCCCAAAAGCTTACCGGCTAAAGCCCGTGGTATGTTATCCAACAGACTGCGACGCAACATCGAATCCAATTCATCGGGACCGCCAAGGCATATACAGTGAGAAGAGACTCAAAACATTGAGAACGGTGTCCAAGAGGCGAAAGTGATGCAGTAGAAGGGCCCTTCCAGCCTTATCATTCGTCCTGTGCTGTAGGGCTGATACCCACTTGATCTCTCGAGATAAGACGGATGTAAGCTAACGCCCGACCATAAGGACTATCTTATGATCCTCGTTTGTTGCCACTGAATCAGCTTCTTGAATGGGCGTTGACAGGATTGCGGAGCTCATGAACATTAGAAAACAGGGTGGACTCGCCAAAGTAGCAGGTTAGCAGCATACATACTCACAAGTTAAATGCAAAATGAAGATGATACGTTGTATTGAAGTCAATATGACTTCCTGAGCCGCACAAATCATCCGTTCCACGCATGTCGCCTTCAACTCGCACCTAGTTAGGCGCTCCAGTGCCACGAGGCCTATGCGCCACAGCACGATGCCTCTGTGGCTCTTCCCTGTATCTAGTCGAAGTTAGCTCCATTTCCAACCACCAAAATTCGTTTTTCACTTACTTCTTAACAATCCTCTCAATAGAATCGAGTCCCTTCTCCAAAACATCCATCCTAGGTCCATAGCTCAACCTGACAAAGTGATGGCACGGCGAATCAAACAGATCCCTACGGCGACTAGGGTTCAAATCGAAGAAGATACCAGGCACAACAATGACCTTCTCCTCGAGACAAGCCTGGAAGAAGTTCAAACCGTCGTTGATACCTTCAGGCAGGTTGGACAGATCGAGCCAGAGGTAGAAGGTCGAGTTAGGCATGTAAGGGAATTTGAAGCCGATTTCCTGGAGACGGCCAATGACGAAGTCGCGCTTGGTGCGGAAATGCATTTGCAGTGCGCGCATCTCGTTGCGGACGCGGGGTGGTGACAGCATTTCTACAGCGGCTTCTTGGAAGGGCACGTTGCAGCCACCGTCGAGGTAGGAACCGCAGGAACCGATGGCTTGGATGAATTCCTTGGGGCCGATGACCCATGCTACTCGCCAGCCGGGAAGACGGAAGCGCTTGGTCAGTCCATCAATGATGAGTACGTCGTCTTCGTCGACATCTTCGACGTTGTCGGCGGCGGAGATGACGGTGCCGTCGCAGTTGGTGGTATAGTTGTATCCGCAGTAGAATTCGTCCATGATCAAGGTTGCGCGGTCTCGGCAGATATTCTGGATTTGTGCGAGTTCGGGATTGGTGACCTAGTACAAAGTCAGTGTATACCTCACAACAGTTCACAAAAACGGCTACGAACCATCTGGCCAGTCGGGTTCCTTGGGTTTGACGTGAGAATAACAGAGGTACCGCGAGCGATTTCCTCGGCAATCTTGTCGGGCGACATATGGTATTGGTCGGCCTCGCCTAGGGGAACAGGAATAGCAGCGATGTTACGGAAGAGCGACAACATCTCGTTGTACGCAGTGTAGTCTAATCTCGTCAGCTCCAGCTCGAATCCCGCGAGTTCAATCCGAACATACCAGGAATGAAGAAGCCCAAGTAGCAGTTACCCAACACAGCAGCAATACGGATCAAACCCGCACGTCCACCAGGAACAATGCACACATTCTCCCATGTGTACTGGCTCTTGCGCCACTTGCGATGGTGCTCATTGTATAGTGTCGCGACCGCCTCTCTCAGCGGCCTGATACCAGCAGTCGGACCGTACTCTCTGCCATGAGCGCTGATATCGACCTCCTTTGGCCTCTCAAAGCAGCCTTTGATGCTATCGTCGACTTCAGGTGCACCCTGACCCAGGTTTGCCCATTCTTCCGGGTGTTCGAGGAAGCCGTGCTTGTACGCCTGTTCGGATGTCCAGACGACACCTGTGGAAGCGCGCGTAGCGTCGAGACCGGCGTGAGGCTTGTGGCCTTCGTGCGACTGGCGGAATTGACGATGGATGGACGATCCGAGTTCTGCGATATGTCAGTACTTGCCGCATACAATTGTGTTCTTCCCAGCTTATAGAGACCTGATTCGTGTCTGGTATGCGACATAGCTGCGAGAAACGGCACAGGAGTACAAGGCGCGATAAGAAAAGCGGCTAAAAGGACGAAGCAACTCCAACTCGACTCTCCAAGGAAGCGCAAAAGTTGGAGGAGGTCCGATAAGAACCTCTAGCGGTCAAGATCGGAACATCGAGAACCGAAAAGCTCCCCAAAGCCCATCTTAAGCAGCGCCCCCAATTTTCTCAGATCCACTTCCATCGGGTTGTACACCTCAGGAATGACGTAGCCAAAGCAATCCGGGAGGAACAGACGGTAATGTACGTACCACTCTCGCTAGGATCTTTAGAACTCGAAAAGCGTCTCTGGGAGAAAGCGCCCTTGAGATGGCTGACTTTGTCTGCCGAGAAAGACATCGTGTGTGTGTGTAAGGTTTGGTGGTTGCGCAGAATCAAGCTTTGCCTAGCTTTCGATGATGGAGGGGTGGGTGCGCAGATCTTCGTAGTGGGGTGTGGAAGCCAGCAGGCGGGAGGACGTTCACGATATAGCTGAACCAGGTGAGCTTTGTAGAATGAGGGGCTCAAGAGGATCGAGGGCTAGATAAACAGTGTACAGTATGTAAGGTAGGTAAGGCGCATCGGCCCTTTATAACTCGCCGTACGAAGTAAACACGCGTGTCGTGGTGGCCCTCTCGCACGCCGCACGCCAGGTAGGGCATCCACCCACAAACGCATGCATGCACGCATCCACAACTGCACATGTGCGAGTCTTCGTTTGGGTAGCTTAGCCCGCAACTGTAACATTTCTTCTTCCGCTTCCTGCTTCAGCCACCGGGGATAACACAGACATGCCTTGCGACGTTGCTCCGACAATTCCAATCAATTGCCTCGCGGAGATGATAGAGGGTTACGTCTCGGATCGGCGCGTGCCTTTAGCTTCTAGGTCACAAAGGCCCTCATCCTGGGTTACTCGTCTTCACCGCTTATAACGGTGTACGTAGCGCAGCGTACGGTAGTTAGTCCTGCCGACCGCATCGAGGCCGATGTAAGAACTTAGTCCATGCCACATGGGACGGATATGCAGGTCGGCATTGGCGTGGAGAAGACGCCATGCACGACGAACGACATCGAAAGTCAGCTATGCCTGCTGCCCATGCAGTAAAACCCCCGGCCTCCAGATGTATGGCCAAACACACCCCTGTCAGCTTACGCCTCAGCACCGCCAGATGTCACAGCTGCAGCTCCAAATGTCATCACCGATATGAGGCTTGTAACACTGGTCGCAGTCCAACCGGCACCCCCGTGGCGCCCAACGGAAATAATGCCTCACGCAGCCACAGTTGCAGCCCTACAATCGTTGGCCCACTTTCGTTTCCTGTCCGCGGTCCTGGCACACGGATTGTTAACAACCCGACTATTTCCGATATATGCTTCGTCTGAAGAACTTCGCAAAATACGTTGATGTAAGTCCCAAATTAGCAATGAAGCCGGGGATACGGAGTAAAAATATCCATTCCTATATACAGACATGCACAATTACTCTCATCATATTCCTACACTACACCACCCTATCTAACGAAAAACAAAAGGGAAAAGCATCCACGCGTTCAAGCAAAACAAACGCACTACTCTACAGGCTCATCCTCAAGCAACTGCTTAAAGCTAAATGGCTCAAACGCCACACCGTCACCAATGAAATGCTTGCTCATAGCCTCGACCCAGTGCAGACGCAGCGAATGCAACATGGCACTAGTACCCTCCATGACACACAGTACAGCAACCGTGAGTGCGAACCAGAAGTAAAAGACAAAGACCATGATGAAGGCGCCGCCGACGCCGGTGAAGGCGAATGCGTTCTTCATGGTCATTTCCCAAAGGACGATGGAGAGACGTTGGTGAGCGAGTGAGAGGGCCCAGAGACGGAGGTACGAGGCTGTGTGGGAGACACAGTTGAGGCAGAATTCTGGGAAAAGGGTGTTAGTGGATGTTGCGCGTGATCAAGGTGGAGATGGGAAACTTACCGATGGTGTGAATGACTTGGTGGATCATGACTTCACTGAATTCAAACTCCTCGTGGTCTTCGCCGTGGCCAATATCCTGGGTGATCATGGCAATGCCGTCGTCGTCATCTCCGTAGCTATCACGTCCATTGGCATGACCGTTCTCATCGTCGTCGTCGAGCGCGCTCACTCGCGAGTTCTCGCCGATACCACGGTAGCCCATTGCGCGAGCCTTGTTGTGCTCGTAGCGGAGATAGAATGGCTTGAGGAACAGAAGAACGGGAACGCAAGCAAGCGCCAACAAGAGGAGAACCACTTGGATATACGCTTGACCGGGGTAAAGCGGCTGAGTGCCAGCCTCGAGTGTACCGGGACTCAAGAACATGTAAATCAACATGTTGAGCAGACTGGGCGGGCTCTCGCCACGCGCAGGCCAGTCGATGCACCATTTGTACACGATGGTAAAGGCGAGGTAACCGAAGATGGACTGGAAGAAGATCATACCGGGGACAAAGTTACCCCAGATGTCGATCTTGGTCTTGAAGTAGCGAGCGTTGACAAGCGACCACATCAAGGAGAAGGTCATGTGGGACCAACCAAGCAAGATACTGAGCTTCATCTTGTAACTGTTGGAGAACAGCAGGTCATTCTCAGTGTCGTGCCAGCGGTAGTCCAGACCGAAGGGGTAGGTGTAACCTTCGACGCGGCTAGATGTTGGGCCCTTGCCGTCGTTGTCCCACACCCACATAGACTTGAACCAGGGCAGTCCGAGAGAGAAAGCGTCGCAGTAGAGGAGACCGGTGTAGATGGAGAAGATACCCATCATGAAGACAATGTAACGACCGTAGAACATCATGGAGAATAGCTCGTCGAGCTTGCTGCGCTCAAGTCGCTTCTCGAAGTAGATCATGGCGCAAGCTGCGAGAAGCAGAATAACACCGTGTCCGGCATCACCGAACATGACAGCGAACATGAAGGGGAAAGTAACGATGGCTGGCAGCGCAGGGTTGACTTCGCGGTACTTGATCGTTCCGTAAGCATCGATGATGGTCTGGAAACCCAGTGTGAACCTGTTCGACTTGAAGTATGTCGGTGGCGTCTTGGTGGTCTTGATCTGGTTGACAATGGTGGGTACTGACAGGCCAGCACGCTCATTGACATCTGACAGGGTTGACTTGATCAGACCGAGAGAGTTGGTAGGGGCCCACGCCTCAGCGATAAGCGTCTTGCGCTGGTGGTCGTAGGAGAATTTGTTCAGCGTCTCATAGGTAGCCTTCTCTTTCTTAATGACGACCATCCAAGCTGCGAGGTTGCGTCCTATCGCAGTCAACTCGGCATCGAGGGTGGACTTGGTGTTCTTCAAGACGCTAGCCAGGTCGCTCAGGCGGGTGTTGACTTCGCGAATCTGGTCGCGGCGGAGCTCGCTATTCTCGTCCACGCTGTAGAGGTCGGCACCGAGCGACTCTGAGATCTTGCGGATCTTTGCGATGATCTCCTTGCCATGCGCGAAGATGATGAAGACGTTCTTGTTGGTTTCTTCGTTGTTCTCCGGGTTGATGATGGCCTCGGGGATCTCCGACTGGTTCATATACAAGTTACCGCGGAGAGTACGCCACAGGATGCGCTCGAATGCGGCAATGCGTTCGCGGGGGATGACACCAGCGACAAAGCCGATGTTCATGACGGTGAAAGAGCGCTCGGCACCCGTGTCGCCCTGTCCATTTTGCTCAACATCTTGGAGCAGCGGCGCGTCGTCATCATCAACAGAGTCCCTAATCTGCTCAGTCTGACCGCGGGCCCGGTCGAAGAAGCCACCAGCCTCTCTCAGGACCCAACGCCACTCTGTGAGCTCCACCTCGCGCTTCTTCAGGGTCTCGTAGCTCTCGTTCAACGAAGAGATTCTCTGCTCCAAGCTCTGGCTCTTGTCTGCGAGCTCGTCAATCTCGGAGGCGGAAGGCGCAGTGAAGGGGTTGTTGAAGTCGTAGATGGAGCGCATCGAGATATCCGACTTCTCCATCTGGGCGCGAAAGTAGCGGAGCTGGCGTTCCACGTTATCGAGGCGGCGGATCTCCTGGGTAAAGGTACGTTGGAAAGCGGTCGTATCGGCGTTGAGCTAGCACATCTTGTCAGCTTCCCATGCCATCACATCCGTCCCAGAGCTGCCAGGGAAGCTCCAGGACATGTCTGCCTGTGCTCACATCTCTGAAGTCCATGACACCAAGCTCTCCGAGGCCTGAGACGACCTCGCGGCCAATCTCGTTGGCAATGTACAGCTGGGTCAAGGACATGTCCGCGGAGCGGAACATGGTGTCCTTGTTGGGCGCCATGATGGCGGATCGAGAGACAAGACTTCGGGGGAGGTGTGCTTGTCCCGGGATTCGATGGGGGTGGGTTATGCGAGATGGTGGTTGATGGAGCGAGAGCTGCCTCGAACGCCTGCGCGATGATGATGCGGCGAACCCAGTGCCAGCTCTTAGCGTCTTGACGCGCCAAGCCCCGCTACTGCATCCATGCCAACCACATCCATTCACCATCGAAAAGCAATTCACAAGCAATACATTGAGGTCTGATGTTGTTCGCTATCGCGAGATCGTGGTGGTGAAACCAATATTTGTTTATCTAAATAGTTGACGAGCAGCAAAGCCTTGCACAGGCATTCGCCTGCATGACCTCCCTCATACCCCGATACATTGCCGCTTGCTATAATGCAAGAAGCCAGGAGAAGACCGGAATACCAAATGACGAGGAATCAAAGTTTAGCTTTATTAGGACAGAGTAGAAATATCCAAACCAAGAAAAATACAGCCGCCGAACGCAAGACGCAGAACACCATGCAAACGTTAGCAGATCATCTCTTGTGTAAAAGAGCCACATCGTAAGCAGCTGAGAAAAGGCCGATACCCGCCAGTACATTTGATAATATGAATGTTTTTGTGTCGCTTGCTGTCATGACCGAGGGAAAGGACCAAGTTACGCTGTCGAATGTGCTTCGCCTAAAACACCAAATATCCCGATCGAAAGCCAGATGCGCCATGCTCGACTGCAAGGAAGGAACTGTATAGTTGGACGTAACATGTCGAAATGCAAAACCGATAATCAGAGCGATTGTGAGATGGGACGTGGGCGGCAAGAATCTAGTCGTCTATTGTTGCGGGTAGAATGTCGCGGGCTGCATCTGCTGAGGGTAGTAGTAGGCGCCGTCCGGGCCTGGCGTCATCATACCTCCCATTCCAGGAACGGCATAGCTGGGCTGAGCGTAGTTCTCTACTGGCGGCGCGGGGTATAGCTGGGCGGAATCGACGTAGTATGTCATGCCGTTTTGCTCGTAAGCCACCATATTGGGAGGGCCAGCAGGTGCTGGTGGAGCCGCAGGAGGAGGAGCAGACACTGGCATGACGTAGCCGGGCTGTTGAGCGCCAGGAACGAACATTGGCACCATGCCGGCAGGGGCCATGTATTGCGGCTGGGCGCCGTTTTGTGGATAGTAGTATCCCTGTGGCACAAAGGCTTGTGGCTGGAAGCCAGGCTGCGCGTAAGGCTGGAAAGCGGGAGCGTGGATGGCTCGTTCGGGAATGTTGGGGGTGCCGGTTGACACTTGGCTTGGGTATGAAGGGTGACGTCCATGCTGATAGTAGGGCTGCTCGACCGCAGGCGCAGCTCCATTGATGTGCGCGGGAACTTGCTGGTGGAAGGGCTGCTGCTCTTGCTGTTGTGGGGGGTTGAAGCTCATCGATGCAGGCGACTCGATGCCAGCAACAGAGACAGTCTTCTGCGGGCGGGGCTGGTGCATCGGGAGCTGACCTTGCCAGTTCTCACGGTAGGTAGGTTTCTGTGGGAGAGGGTAGGGTGGCTGCACAGCGCCGTTCGTGGGCGAGATCATGGAGGGTCCATTGTGCATGCGAGGGCCACCAGGCGGGAGGCGAACGACAGGACGACTGGGATCGACGAAGCCACCGTTACGTGACATGATGGAACCAGCCGGGGAGACGAGATTGTCCCGACCCATCTCGCGTGCAATAGACGACCGCCTGCTCATGGCTACACTTGGTGAGTATACACTGCCTCCGTATGCGCTTGTCCGTCTGCTTGAGAAACCTCCGCCAAAGGATCCAAATCGTCCCCGACCCCTGCCGAAGCCCTGCTGGTTAGGTCGAAGGGCCCTTGGGATGAAGATGAAGGAGCGCTCTGTGGTGGGGAAGATGTAGCGCGGTGGAGCCGGGGGTAGGGATATACGGACTGGCTTGTCGCGGCGGAGGGGTGGTCGGTGGTTTGGCAGGCGAGTGTGCGACTTTATGGGGACGTTCTGGAAGTGTATAGGGCCCTTCATGTTCGGTAAGAAGACGCGGACCATGGCATTGTGCGTATGCGTCGTGGTGGAGAAGTTGCGAGCTGGCAGTGGCTTTTGGCTAGGGCCTGGCGGCACTCTCGATGCGAACATGGGGCCATTGGAAGGATGGTGTCCGGCGTGAGCGTGAGAGCCGGGCGCGTTGACGGTCTCGTGAAGGTCATGCTGCCAGGGGGAATCTGTGGCTTCCTGTGGCTGTGGCCGCATGCTAGAACACGTGTTAGTTGAATGTCCCCTTCTTGCTCTCCGCGTCTGTACGTACTTGGCTGGAGAAAAGGGCCCGCCGATGGGAGCACCCCGCCCACGTCCACGGCCTGCGGGTCTGAAGCCATTCTGACCAGGTGCATGCCGTGAGTCGTGCATGAAAAAGGCCCCGCGGTTGGGGATGAAGGCGGGATCCGAGTCGCGCTTCTTCTTGTACTCCTCATGCTCCCGCCGCCGCCGCTCCGCCAGCGTCTCTGCCCGCGATTGCGGCGCGCCAACAGCGGGTGCGGCTTCCACTGCTGTCACGCCCGTCTCGAAGTCGACCACTTCAGCGTCCTTTCCGTCTTCGCCAATCTTTAAGCCATTCATCATGATTTCCGTCTCCTTCATGGTGGAGAAGGCCACATCGGAGCGGGCGATGGGCGGCGAGGGTTGGCGATTGCTTGCATCCTGCCGGGCCTTTGCATCACGTGCTCCGTTTGCTTTCCGTTTGGGCTTTCCTTGTGTGAGAGAGGGCGCGCTGTCGACTTCGCTCAGGTCGCTGTTGTCGGCATCGGCGTCCTCGTCGACATCGCTCAGCAGGGAAGCGTCGCTCTGCGAGTCGTCGGCCAGGGTTGCCACCGACTGGCTCTCATCCTCGTCATCCGTCCGCCTGCGACGCGCGATGTTGGTGGTCCTCTTGCGGGCGGGAGCCATGATTGCGGGGTCTGGGTAGTGGCGGAGGATGGAGGCGCGATGTGGTGGGCGTGGGGTGGTCGTGGATCGGCTCGTGTACGGCGGAGCGATGACTCGGCAGCGGAGAGGGTCCGGGTAGAAGAGGCCAGCGACGTGGAAAGCGCCGAGGGTGCGGGTCCAGAGGGTGCAGCGAGTGCAGCGATTGCGGTCGTGATGGGCGAGGGCGAGTGTTGGGCGGAGGGCTGGAATCGGATCGGCCAAGGTTGGATGATGTCTGATGCCTGTGAAAAGATATGACGGAGCTTGCCGTTGCGGGAAAGCCTGGTCGCGGAACCGGTTGATGCGCGCTACTCCACAACAACACGTCTCGGAATTAGATCAAAGGCGATGATCAGGCACGAAATGATGCGCAAAAGGCAATGATCAAAAGGAGGGTGCCGAGTGCTTCCATCGTTTGCCACGTGATTGCTTTTCTCAAACATGCAGCCTTGCATCTGTTTGGGCTACAGCTGCAGGTTCCAGGCTGCGAGCAAACGCTATCCACTGCAGCTGAACATTTAGTCTACTCCTCAATGGCGCGTCATCACTCTAGGTAGCATTGCGAATTCAAGTAACAGATCATTGAGATGCAAGTATATGTGAATAGAATTAAAATGCTATCCCTCTGCACAATTACTATCATCCGACACATACCACTCCTAACCCATCCGTGTCTCCGTAGAGATGCATCCCACCCATGTCCATAACTATCCCTATATACGCCCATCAAATGCTGCGCTACTAACAAACGCCTGTGAATGCTCCGGCCTGCGCGCGTGGGCAGGCCAACCGCCCGGGGTATGCATGCATATGCTCGAATAACGACTAGGAAAACAGAAAGAAGAAAGGAAAAGCGCTTGTTATACAGATCCACCATATTCCTCCAAGAGATACCGCAGCTTTTGCAACGACATCATTGTCCTATCATGTTGGGGTCGTGGATGTAGGTACAGTTTTCGCCTTTGTTGCAGAGACCCTTGGCAAAGAACTTGCATGCCAGGACTTTGTGAGGCTTGTGATCTCCCCGGTTCTTGGGCCGCTTTCCCTGGTTGCGATCGTTGTTGCCGTTGCCGTTGCCGTTACCCTCATCACGTTGCCGCTTGGTGCCACCGTTGGTCTGCTGTCCGTACTGCGGTTGCATCTGGGGTTGGTAGGTGGACGCATCCTGCATCTGTGGAGTCCATGCCGTAGCTTCAGGCTGCTGGGGCTGAGGTGGGAAAGCAAATGGGAATGGAGGAAAGCCGGTTGGAAGTGGCGGCGGTGGAGGAAGGGCGCCGCCTGTTGCTGCCTGCATGTTGGCAATGAGTGCAGCAATATCCAGGGGCATGCCTGGCTGCTGTGGCGGTGGCTGCATCGGGAAAGACATAGGCGGAGGCTGAGGAGGGGCTTGGCCATTGCTGATGGAGTTGAGTATGGTCTGAAGGCCAGCGGGGTCGAATGGAGCGGCTGTTGACGGAGGAGGTGGCGTGTAAGCCTGTTCAACAGGAGCCGGAGTAGCGGCAGGCGGTTGGTTGGTTCCGGAAAGCTGTTTGATTATGTTCTCCAATTGACTGAAGTCGGGTACACCTGTAGGCATTGGCGCTTGTGGGCACCTGCTCGTTACTTTGTCGGGCGGAGTACCGAAACTGACCACGGTGTCAGTCGATGTGTCATCTTGCCCTTGTTCCACCGGCTCTTGGGGCGATGGTGGGATGTCGTCGGGACTCGAGTAGTAGACCATCAATGTGCCGTTCTCGCGCTGTACGTTGGCCTCCTTTTCAGGGCACGTCGGCTCCTTCTCTCCACCACCGTAGGGCGCGTAATTGCGCTGGCGCTCGTCTTGAGGCACCACGCTAAAGTCAACTTGGGACGGCGGCGGCCATGATCGCTGGTCGAAATCCATTTCCTCATCATCGTCGTCGAGATCAAGCTCCTTGTGTTGCTTGAACATATGTCCCTCTCCACCGAGGTCACCGGCATCTCGAACAAGATTGTCTCCCTTGTTGTCCATCTCTTCGTCATCGGCCTCATGGTCAAAGTACTTGACTTCCACCAGTGACGTCTCAGGCCGCCAGGTAACGCGAAGATGTCTTCGAGCTTCCTTTCGCAGACGCTTCGCCTTTTCTTCCTGGGTTTCTGCTGGAACTGGCTTCTCGGATTTGACTGGTGCAGCTTCCGGCTCTTTTGACTTTTGGAGTGAGGCCATCGTTTGAGCAAACGAAAATGCGGGCTTCGATGTTGTCGTTGCTGCAGATTTCTTGTCTTTCGGCGCGGGGACAGCAGCCTTAGGCGCAGCAGCCTTCGCGGGAGCTGGTGCAGGCGCCGACTTTTTGCTGGCCGCATTGAGAGAGGCAAAGATGCCCGACGGTTTGTTGGTTACTTGACTGACACGGGTCTTGACGGGAGCCGGCGCCGGTGCCGCTCTCTCACCAGGTCGCTTCTGAGCTGTTGAGTTGGAGCCAGTGATTGCCGATTTCGAAGCTAAAGTGGACGCGAGATCCTTCTTGACAGCATTCACAGGAGCTTCGGGTACCTTTGGTTTCTTCGTCAAAGGGTTCTCGTTCGACGATCGGCTCGCAGCGTCTGGTGCAGGTCGTTTGATGCCCTTGTTTTCTGTCGGCTCGCTTCGTGGCGGGGAGCTTGCCTTTGCCTTTTTGGAATTTGCAGCAGCACCATCTATGATTTGTTGTATGAAAGCCTTGTGCTTTTCATTTGCGTGTTTCTTCATCGAAACAAGTGCCTTTCCAAGCCTAGTCTCCTCAAGGAGTTCAGAAGTCAAGGTACCACATCGAGAGAGCACTTCGTATATGACCGCAGACAAAGGCCCGTCGTAGTCCTTAATTTTGAAACGGTTCGCCAGAAACTGATAGCACATATACAAGAAAGGCTTAATCAGTCCCAATTGATATAGCACATCGGGATGGGAGTGCTCAAGCGCAGCTTCAAGGGCAGACTTGAGCAGGTCACGCTGACTAGTTACCCGGCTTTTCAGCACGGGCAGCTCACCTAGCTTCTTCTGTTCCTCCGCTTCCGTCACAGCTTTGCTATCGGCTCGCCACCGTTTATGGATCGTGTCGAGTACGTCCCATATCTCGCGCATGCTATTTTTGATCTTGTCGGAGCTAGGCGAAGACGAAGAAGGATGCCATGTAGCTTTGACGACATCATAACGAACAGCCGCATCAGGATCATCTGGTCTTGTCTCTGGAATGGGCATCTCCTCTTCTTCTGAAGAGTCACTATCGTAATCCGATGAGTCGGTAGTACTTTCACTATCGCTCGCCTGTCTCTTGAGGTCTGTAGGCTTCTTTGTGGATTTGAAAGCTCTCGACTGAGACTTGGCAGCCGACAGACTTGCACGAAGCTTCTTGCTATCTGCGCCAGCCTTCTTCAGGTCTTTGAGTGATTGTCGAGGCAGATAGACGGGGAGCGCAGCTGGGGAGATGTTAGAGGATGCTTTAAACGCAATGTTTGTAGTGTATTGAAGCTTACTTCTATTGGTTGCGAGATGAAACGGTTCGTTGCCCAAGGTCACAAATTTGTTCAATGGAGTAGAATTAGTGGCCTTTGCTAGTGCAGCCTGGTCAAGAACATAGAGACCCCCCGACTTCCTGCCCTTCGGCATGTCATACTCAGGCACGGGCACTGGCTTTACAAACGTAGCAGATGTACGCTGCTGAGCAAAGTTGTCTGCCAAGGTCTTGGGTGCCTTGAGAGAATTAGCATTTGATAGATGACATGAGGCAATGGTGAAGCTTACTTGATAAGGAGATGCCGTGGGGCGGGTTTGTTGCAGCGAGGGCGTGTTGTGCTGCAGAGCTTGTGGTGTCACGGTACTAGCATGGCCCTGGGGAGTTTGGGTTCGCATGGGCATTTGATATGGCGACTGTTGCTGCTGTCGGATAGCATTGGGATCCATGCCTAGCGATGGGTCGACATTCGATTGTTGTCCGTAAGCGCCCAAGGAGCTCTGCTGGCCGAACTGTCCATACTGATATGGCGACGCGGTGCGAAGACCATGTGATTGACTGGTGTATGGTTGGCTGCTGCCGCTAAAGGGTTGTTGTGCGTAAGCCCCATGGTGCCAGCTTTGGGCTGAGGAATTAGGTGGCAGCGCCGAGTGTTGATGTAACTGGGCATCCCACGACGGGGTGCCGTAGCGGTCGACGGAAGGAAAGAGATGCTGGTACGACGGGTCGGTGTAGACGTTCTGACCTTGCATAGGCCCTTGGTCACTCGGCACGTGATTAGACGCCATGTTGTGGCTGGTGAAGAGGATTTTCTTGGCTGGCCAAAGTGTCAGCTGTCAGCTGCAACTGCAGGGGTGTGATTGGCGGATGACGCACAAGTGTCTGAAACCAGCGAACGGAACGAATTAGGCGACTATGCAGAAGCACTAGGCGCTAAATGGACTGGCGCAGAGTCACAAGTGAATGGTTGCCGATTCGGGGAAGGGAAAAAAGGTCGATAAAACTTCCGGTTCGGGCGGTAGTGCTGTTGTGCAGTCTGAAGGCCGTCGCAGGTCGCAGGCCCTCGGATCTGGTGGGAGATGCAACAGACCTGGCTCACAAGGCAGTACTCGTGTCCCGACGCCCGCGATGCCGTGTCGCCTAGTCCACGATGCGTACAGTAGATACGGCTTTTTATGGAGATGGCACTTTGCCTCGCGTATTATGCGATGAGGAGCACACTGCTGAGGCGCGTCACTTGACGTACGTTTGCGCGCACCAGAGCACAGCACGTGTTGTATGTCTGCGACAGCGACAGCGACAGCGACAGCGACGAGCGGCTCTCTGCTCAGCGCCTTGCGATGGCCGGCCAGACTCCCTGATGCGCAGCGCGTCGAATCGAAGATGGAGCTGTATTAGTAGCAGAAATCGAAGATGATTGTCACTCTGCCCTCCACAACGCAAGCCTTCCTCACAAACGCCGCAGCCAGCCTGAGCGCGCACTTCCCCCAAAGCAAGGACCCGAAGGTTGAATCTAGCCTCAGAATCAGATGCCCTTATTAGGTGGGCGAGAGTTCACTGAGAAGTAGCATGAGTGTCAAGAGGGAAGAAGGGGGATGATTTGGTTGTTGTGGGCGAGGTGAGTTGAAGAGCGAAGGAGCGCAGCGAAGGGGCGAGCCCGTTTTCAAAGGTCGCCTGGTCGCCAAGTAGCGCGTCGCGCTAGCCCCCAGTGGGGCGGCGGGCAAGCTCGAGCTGCATCACCAAAGGCCGAGACAGCAACGTTGGAAAGCGCGGGCAGGCAGACGCGCCACAGTGTCTTCTTTGTGAACTCTGATATTCGCGTGTACGTCTCACACTCTTTCATGTCCCCTCCGCGCATGCGCTTAATTTAGCAAGAGGCGGGTGCCAACACGGAAACAATGGCTCTCTCACTGCGGGATCGCCAGATTGGTATGCGACTGCGACATTCTTTGAGTCTCTGAATAGCACTGACAGCACGTGATAGCTGCAATCAAGCGCATACTGAAGTGAGTGCTAAACCTTCTTCAACGCCGGCGAACCACCGCTGACCCCCGAAAGCCTCAATGCCCCCATCCACGACGTCGACGCTCCTGAAGATGCCCCCAGCACAACCACCAACACCGCCGATATCGAATGGAAGGTACTGGTCCTCGATACACAGGCAAGGAACGTTATATCGGCAGTGCTGCGAATGAACGATCTCAGGGCGGCTGGGGTAGGACTAAATCCTGAGCACCCCATTCAGGTGGAAACCTGAACACTGCGCAGCCTACATTGACGCTGAGCCTTCACATTTGCTCATTTTTGAGTCGATGTAGGCTCCACGGTGTTGAGGTTCTTCCTATGAGGTGTCAGAATACGAATCATATACTAAGAACACACAGGTCACTGTACACTTCAACCTGGCCTCCAAGCGCAGCCCCATCCCCGACACACCAGGCGTCTACCTGATCGCCCCCACCGCCGAGAACCTCGCGCTAGTCACCAAGGACCTCAACGATAACCTGTACACTCCGATATACCTCAACTTCCTCTCAAGCGTCCCCCGAACACTCCTGGAAGACTGGGGTAGTCAGATTGCTGCGTCGCCAGGGGCTGCCGAGAACATTGCGCAGCTATACGACCAATATCTCAACTTTGTCACCCTAGACAGCGATCAATTCTCCCTGAACATCGAAGATGCGTATCGAAAGATCAACAGCCCGAAGACGTCGGATCAGGAGCTGGATGAGCTGATCGACCGCATTGTCTCAGGCCTCTTCTCGGTCGTCGTCACCATGGCCGTCGTACCCATCATTCGCTGTCCAACAGGAGGCGCTGCTTCCGACATCGCCGCAAAACTCGATCGAAAGCTGCGCGACCACATTCTCAACAGCAAGGAGAACCTCTTCTCCACCAACACAGCATCCCGCCCCGTCCTCATCATTGTCGATCGCAACATCGACCTCAACCCCATGTTCAGCCACTCCTGGATATACCAAAGTCTGGTCTACGATGTACTAGACTTTTCCCTCAACAAGGTCACCGTTACTGTGCCAAACGACAAGGAGAAGCCTGAGAGTGGTTCCAAGAAGCAGACCTACGATTTGACCGCGAGCGACTACTTCTGGAAACGCAACGCGGCCCAGCCGTTCCCTCAAGTAGCAGAAGACGTCACAAACGAATGGACCAAGTACACAGCAGACGCGGAGAAGATCACGAAAACCACAGGTTCCAACTCTCTCGACGATGTAGAAACCCAGTTCGCAGCTCATCTAAAAGGCGCCATATCCATGCTTCCCGAGCTCCGTGATCGCAAAGCTACTATTGAGAGTCATATGAGCATGCTGGAGTCTGTCATGGATGGCATCAAGCAGAGGAAGCTGGACGAATTCTTCCAGCTTGAGGAAGAGCTTGGAAAGGCCACCAAAGCAACCATAATGGATATCATCAAAGCCGCGGATAAAGGAAACGACCCCTGCGACAAGCTACGTCTGTTCCTACAGTGGTATCTGACCACCTCAGACGACCTTTCGCGCAACGAGCTCGACAGCTTCACACAAGCATTAGAACAAGCTGGATGCGATACGACCGCCGTAGCATACGTCAAGACGGTCCGCCAGATCACACGCATGACGATGCTCAGCTCCGCGCCTGCACAACCTGCCCAGACGACGTCATCGAACCTTTTCGGCGGCTTCTCGAGTCTAGGCAGTCGCGTTACAGACAAGTTCAAGGAAGCCGGTCTCGGGACGCCTAACCTAGAAGGTGTATTGGTAGGTTTGTTGACCCGTACATGGGACGATTACTAACATGTCTAGTCGGGCATCAAGAGTTACCTGCCAGCCAACAAAGACCTTACCCTTACAAAAGTCGTGGAAGCCATCTCTGATCCGCAAAGTGAGCGATATCCCTGGACATGTCGAAGAAATTATGCTAATTGCTCTCTAGACGCAACCTCTAGTGCGCTGAACAAGATCGAATCGTGGCTTTACTTCGATCCCCGATCAGCGAACGCGCGTGGAACCATACCGCCAGCCAGTCAGTCGAGGAACCAAGGTACTGTCTCACGCGGTATTGAAGCTTCTTTCGGACAAAGACGGCAAGGCTACACAGAAGCCCTCGTCTTCCCCGTGGGAGGTGGCAGCATGGACGAGGTGAGTAGCCAATCACATAAGACAAGACATGTACTAATCTCTTCACAGTTTGGCAATCTTCAGGCATGGTCGCAACGGACCAGCGCTGCAGGTGCTGGGCAGCAAAGAAGAGTGGTGTATGGCTCCACCAACCTATATTCCGCACGTGACTTTATCGTCAACGAGCTTGCCCCTCTGGGTGCTGAGAGTACTTGAGATGAAATGGTGCCCTGAAGTCTACATTAGTTTCAACATACAAATCTGTAGGACCTTCAAGGCAATGTAGCCATGATAACTCTTTTGAAGTCGTGTGTCGTGTGATGTAGGTATCCAGCCTTTCCCTTGAACGGGGTCTACTCACACATCATGCACGCTTCTCCCGTGCAACAACTAGTATACCCTCCATCACATCACGCCCCTACAAATAGACCTCACTCGGCGTTCAGGATTGCATGTCGTGACATCAGACCTACCTAGTAATGATCCAAGTAGAAGCACACATTGTCTCTAGAAGTACGTACTTGTCGATATCTAAACTTAGGTATGCGACACGAATGTTAGCGACCCGTAGTGTTATGATGTTGACTATCAAGTCATTGTGGACTGGTAAACTCGGGTATTGCTTTCCCGCTTCACATACTCCACCCAGTCATATTGCAACTACACCAAAAAAAAAGACTTACACGCGTCACATCATGCAGTTTCCACGATCCACCCATGATCACCTAGGTACTCGTCAGCACACAGCATACCCACACCACCATCACGACTCGGTAATCCCCCAACCCGATCCTCAACAACCCACAACCCCTACACCCACATACACATATATCCGATTTTCCACACCCCCGTCGTCTATCAAACAATTTCGACCCGAAACATCATCGCCCATGCCCTGTGCAACCTCTCAAGGCAGCGAACTACACCCCCACATTGCTTTTTTCCCCAAACCCGTTATCTCGAAACGTCGCCCGCCCCACTCATGTTTACTTTTTCTCCAGCTGCCAGCGTCTGCCTCAGCACTCGGTTGACGGACCGAATCCTTTGACAAGCCACGATATGCACGCCCTTGACATGTAAGTGTGTGCGATTCAGCAGATTCACGATGCAAGATATACGCTAGGCGTGTTTCAGATCCTTCTATGCAGGCTTCGAGGGCTTCTATGCATGACCGTGAAATGAGGTCACACTGGCAAAAGAAAAAGAAATGTAGATGCAGGGCGGTTGGGATGTTGCGATGCGGTAATGCGATTGGTGCTGTGGCTGCGGTGCGGAGATGCGATTGGTCGTATTGGCGTTATGCAGATACGACCTTGCGTGCTTGGAGGACGATAGGGCTGGCGTGGCTGGCGTGGCTATCGTGAGTACCCTCCAGACGATCAAACAGCGCTGTCACATAATCCAGGTTGCTGGAAATGTGCCGAGTGAGGTTTCAGGTCGTTTTGTGATTGAGGTCGTTTCTTCTGTTGTGTTGTTCAGCTTGTCACGATGGTGGACCGAGGTTGTCATGCTGAATGCAGAGTGAGGGTCTCTGTGTAGGCAGGGACTTGATGTGATGGAGGCTATACTGGCGCTCGTATGTGTAGAGACACGTCGTGCACGATGATGGATTTGGGAGGGGATGTAGCTATGGCTAGTTGTGTTCATGGTGAAGGATGTGCGAAGACAGCGTCGGAAAGCATCATAGCAATACATCTGAAGTCTGTAAGATATCGTGGTAATATACAATACATTCATAGCGGCTCGATATACCGCGGCACATCAATCTAGAGGCTCACGCCCAAAAAAGGTCTATCTATCACATCAATCTAAGGTGTCATCAAGCCATCCCATCCATCTATCCAGTCTATCCGAGGTATAGCCCAAAACCAATTCCCCAATAAAACGCCGAAAGAAAAAGAAAAAGATGTGTTACAGCGCAAACATGTTAGCGACGCAAAGGACCGTAAACCCTGTGATTCCTGACATCCACAGCGCCACTGGCTGCTAATCTCGTAGCAAAGTTGATGTCTCCAAAGATGGCGCCTTTGGACTGTAGTGTCCAGCTGACTGTCGGTTTGGGGCTGCCAGTGAACGGGTTCATACTGGTCAGAATCCAACCGCGGGCTAACGGGGAGTACTCGGTTCCCTTGACGACTTCGGGGACGGCGATAAGAAGCGTCTTTGAGTGTTCGAAGGGAGCGAATATGATGGCTTTTCCGCTTGATAGTGATGCGCCAGTGTAGTCGTATGTCGATGAAGGTGAAAAGGGCGCAGAGATGATTAAGGGGCCGTGTGTGCGCTCTGATGCGCCTGATGGCCAGGGAATACCCGAGGTGATTAGTTTAGAGAGGAAGTGGACGAGCGATGAGAAGACTGTTCGGCCTTCGGTAAGAAGCACGTAGTTCTGTAAGATGAGATGAGGGTTCAGCAGCATCTCGATGTTGTATGGCTCCAGTCGGGGTTCGTTTGGCTCTTGTAGGCTAGTCGAGACTTCTAGTAGCCATTGCGAGCCGCAGCTCAGTACGCAGGCCAGTGTTTGAATGAAGATGTTGCGTAAAGCTGGTGTTCGTGGATGGTGGGGTGCATGTGAGAAGTTCCACAATCCTGTTCCTGGTATCTGGTATTGAACACAGAGATCGATGATTGTACGCGCTCGCACAACATGTGCGGGAAAAGAGGGGCTGGGTTGTGTTCGATGTGGTAGATCGAGGAAAATGAGATCTAGCTGCGCATACTCGGCTCTGCCGTCCGAGGCTTGAACAATCTGACCTGCTTGGCTTGAGAAGCGTGGAGGTGGGGGCCGGGCTGCATTGGTGTCCAGGGAGGTTGGACGGCACAACCATGAGACTGACCCGTCGTGGAGTTGAAGTGGTGTGCCAGTCGTGCAAAGTGCAACCGGGTCTCGTGCCGCGATGCCGACGAGTAGTAGTGACCGAAGGCATTCGTCTTCGATGTTTGGTCTTGAAAATGGACCTGGAGGAGCCAGTGCTAGAGGCAGGCCCGAAGCGTTCAAAGCGATAGCGGTTTTGTCCCGGTTTGCGTCAAGCCTCCGCATGTACTCGGGTAATCGTGGATTGCCACCGGCTCTCATACGAAAAGTCTCCACGACCAATGACGTAAACGATTGCATCGTTGAAGATTGATCATGCGGAGTGTCCGGTCTTTGTAATGTGCCTTGGCCATGCGAACTCAATGTGTCGAGCTCTTGAAAGAATGCCAAAAGTGAGCGGATCTTCATCGAAACCGGTTGCGCGAAGGCAGTGAGCTCACTGGCAAGAACCAGTAAGTGGGTGAAGAATTCTCCTGTGAACCTTATGATGGTCTGGACCTCGTCCTCATAGTGCCGTAAGCAAGGAACCAGGAAGACATGGCTTCGGCCCATCTTCATCTCGTGGGCGCACCATGCGCGGTCAAACCACTCCGAGCTGAGTAGTCGTTCGAGAAAAGTCCTGAGGGGGCTGAATTGTTCCATGAGAGGCGGAGTAAGTCCTGCATTTGGTTGCTGGCCGGAAGGCACTTGAGAGTAGCTGTATTGTTCGACGTAGTAGCGTAGGAACTGTTCCTCGTCTGGTGTGATGGCGATGTCGTCCAGTGCTACGACAACAGCCCTTGCGTTCTTGTAAACGACATCAATAGCACCAGCAACCCCTGTCCTCTCGCTCTCATCCTCTTGTTCAAGGCAAACTTGATCGAACCATAATCCTTCGCCCTTGTTCTTTTCTCTAATGACAGCCTCAAATAACGCGGCACCAGTCGGTAGCGGGAACTGTTCGATTTCCTTCTGCCATCCAAAAGGAAGATCTCCAACCGGTGTAACGACTCTCCTTGGTGCATTCAGGGTGAATGATTTCCTGCAGTAGCTGAGTGCGATGTAACTCTGTTCCTCGCCGCGGAACTCGACGTCGTTGATCAATCGGAAGGGGAAAGTGGCCTCCAGATGGTCCTTGGGAATGAACTCTTTGGTGAGCGCTGGCGCTAAACGGCTGATATTCGCCAAGAGGGTAGTCGCATTGATGTTGGTGTTGAACGACGGTGCCGCCCATCTGTGCTGATTGATCAGAGTCTCTCGTGCACCAGATTTGACAGTCCGCGTAGTAAGACTCGAAGTGTCCAGCTCGTCTTCGTCAATGTCCAGAAAATTGCATTGTCCGAACCGAGAGTAGTACTGGAATGATGTTGACAAAGCCATGGGAAAATACATTATCCAGCTCGCTTGATAGGAAAACTGTTGGTGTCCGATGGTGGACTGAACTCTTGTACAAGGCACCCAGACCTTTTTGACTACGATGGCCTCGCTCTCCCTTCATGACCCATGATCCCTCCTTCTGCACCCAAGAGCGCCGGCGCAAAGCCGTGCTCTGGTCTTGGGGCCAGCGGTAGACAACCTGAGAGGACGGTGCCATGCATGAACGTTTTCCGTCAGCCCACTGGCGCCACAAGCGGGCCCTCGCGCACCTGCTACCGCATTGCGTATTTGCGGGGTATGATGAAGGCTTGGCTGCCTTTTGACGGTGGATTAGGATGCATAAGGCGTAGTAGGGTATAGTAGAGTTTGAGCGATCCAGATGTTCGGGTACAATTACGGGTCCGCACAGTCCTCGTAGGTGCAAAGCAGGTGACGTCGCAATCTTTCGGAAGGGGCAGTCGCGACTGCAAAAGAAAAGACACGAGCTGAAACATGCAGACTCATGGATTTGTTCCGGTAAACGCCTGGTTGCGGACTCGACATGACACGCTAGAATTTCTAGAAGGAAAAAAGCAATGTAGTATGCATCGTCCTTTAATTTCACACGGTACGTAATTATCCGGGCAAACTTGTTCTAGCGGAGAGTGATCATGATGCAGCAGAGATGCGAAGTTGAACGGTCAAGTCATGAAGAGGCTAAGCCCTACCATGGATCGTCCCAGCGCGGAAGGATGCTGAAGCATGCTGTGCCTGAGCACGATCTGAACAAAAATAGACTCGCGGCACGAGATTAACTCCCCGATCTGTGTAGAGATACATGTGTTGTGAGAAACAGAACCCAGACGCCAGCCATTACCAAGCCAGGCACGTGATGCTGGCCGGCCAAACCGCTCACGTTTTGGAAACTCAAATCTCAGGCTTGCGATGGCAGCCACCCGCCAGACCAAAACACCCTCCAAAACGCGAATTGACAAATTTCCAAACGAGCCTCAATCAATCTTTGCATTTGCGAGCCTGTCATTGGAGCCCGCGATAACGTTCGACATCCGGACGTTCTGCCGTTTGTATTTGCTGTGTTTCCGGAGCCGTTTCCGTGCGACCATGACTGGTACCGACGACTTGGTCACCAGGTAATTACTGAAAGATCCGAGAAGGACACTACCATAGTTAGAAATTGAGCGGGTAGTATTTGTAAGGATCAACTCACCCTTTCAACGCGTTGCGGCCTCGCGAACCTAGGATCACCAGGGTAGGTTCCAAAAAGTCAATCTGTTCAACACCTGTCAGCAAATCGCTCTGGTATCAGATGCCATATCAAAAACATACCACTTCAGTGATCATGTGCTTAGGGCTCTTGCAGTGAAACACCTCAACGACGGCACGCACTTGCAGCCGGGTCTTCCTTAACAGCTTGACGCATCGGTCAGACACCTCTACACATGCCTGGTACCTGTCTTTCTCCGCCTTTCCCATGTTTTTGACGTTGGCTTCTGTAGCCATTATGGAGCTGGATAATGCGGAGAACCCAGGTCTTGTCGCTGGCAACCCATCATGGTTCGACAGCGTCCGTTTGAGATGATCAGATTCCTGCCGTCCGGTAGTACCTTGACTGATAGGCGCACCTGAAGCATCCGTGGTTGCAACTCCAGTCTCCTCGTCGACAGCGTAGACGGCGAGTAGTGTGTCGCCATCTCGCAAAACGGTGCCGATGGTCCACTCCAAAGCATAGGCTGCTTCATCACTGAGATCAGTAGACACCAGGTACACACGCTGTCTTCTCAACCCGTTCTTCGCATCTTCGGCAAACTGAACGTAGTCGCCCCGAATTATTTGTCGAACACAACGGTGGGCCTCTGGGCTGGACTGGATAGGGGAGATGTTCAGCGAAAGCTGCTGGGCTGATTTAATCTCGGCAAGCTCATCTTCGTGATCGGAATGGACTGGGGTCGAAAGACCAGATCCGCCCTGGTCGAAACTTGTATGGGGATGTACCACTCCCGACGAATTCTTCCTCGATATCCTCTCCCCATTAGGGCCAGTAACGTTTATCGAGGGGTCTAGTAATGATCGTACTTTGTAGGAAACGGCGACATCCCGCCCTGTGTGGAGTTAGTGAGACGTACAAATCGATCTTGTTTGCAATACTTACGCTCTTGCTCGGCGGCAGCCAGCAGGCTCTTAGCAGTGATGACTTCTCTGCCCATGCTGTCGGTGCCTCCAGACGACTTTCTCGACCGCTGCCTGCCTCGCTCTCTCTTCTTGGTTTTGTTCCATCCGTCTTCCCAGTCTGAGCTATCCGAGGCATTGTCACTACTCTCGACAGCAGCGCTATCTTCACCATCGTCGTCTGTCGCCAGGCGCACGCCCCCACCGGGCGCAGTGGCAGTGCCCTTGACGGGATCAATACCCTTGCGATTCGGTAGTGAGGACAGTCCGCCCTCAGATTGCGCCAAAGCAGAGTCGTTCAGTTTGCGATATGCCTTGTCCATGTCAATGCGCTTGCCCGAGTCTGTGACGAAAGTGTTGTTTGATGGTGGCGCAGCCGGTGTCGGGTTCAGCATGCGCGTTGCTGGAGAAGCAGATCGGCCTGGTCCTGGTGAGCCAGACTTGGATCTGCCCAAGGGCCCACTCGCGGAGTTGTGCCTATCCCTGGAGTTGCCCAGGAAGCCGCTGGAGTTGCCATAGACGGAGGACATGGCACGAGGCTTCGCAGCCGCGTCCAGCTTGCCACCCTGCGAGACTCGCTTAGGCATGGCATGTGCGTCGATGGAGGGCAGCATTTCGAATTTGTACGCCGATTCGGGGTTCACTCGACGCGGCGACGAGGGCATGGCGAAGGGAATGCCAGTGCTTCCGCGGCTGGAGCTCCTACGCTGAGCCGGTGAGTCGACGTCCAGCATGCTGCGAATGGGCGAGGCAGCCGAGCCAGGGCTTTGCGCGCGCGCGGCTGGGCTCTCTGCGCGTCGTGCGCCGGGCTTTTGGTTGCCTTCGAGAATCTTGACGACCTCTCTCATCTCCTCGTCAATAGCAGCTTCGAGTGACGCCATGGTGGCGGTGTGCAACTGGACGAGAAGACACGGAGTCGCGTGTGGAGTGCGGACTGTGGAGTTTGTGGAGTAAGTGAGTGAGGCTGGCGACTGGTCGAAGCGGAAGGTTGGTAGTAAAACGCGGTCGTGCTCGCGGGGTAGCAGAAGTGATAAAGGGAATCAATTGGCGTCGCGCTATGGCATCATAGGCGGTGCTGTGTGCTGTCGGGTGAAGGGGCTACAAATAGCAGCGATGCAGTACCGAGCGCAGTCGTCTGGAAAGATGTGGGGTGAGCGCGTGATGGGATGTACTAATAGCAGCGGTGGGGTAGTAGCAATTCCAAAGACTGTAGCAGTAGCTGAAAGCGATGGCGGGCCGAACCGTAGTATACAGTATAGCTAACCGCTGTCGGAGAACAAGTTGTTCCCTAGCAGGTTGATGGAGGCGGACGACATGTGGAAGTCAAAGCGCGAATCGCAGACGATGAAGCTATGCACGAACAGTCAGCGCGCGTCGATGGTCGCGGGTGCTCTTGGTCCAGGCGGTGCGAAGTGGGCATGAAACCCCTCCCCTCAACATCTGGCGGTTTGGCAGCGCTTGGCATGCCATGATCACCACAGACTGCCACGCCGCTGACGCAGTGACGAGTGACGATTTTGATATGAACAGGCAGCAACGCGCAGACAGTAAAAGCCTCTGCGATAGTTTCTTGCTAGTCTTGATTCTTGAGCTGGACGCATATTGAGCTGTTCAAAAGCAGCGCGCGCATCTTTCATATGATGCTTGGCGATTAGTGAAGCAGCCCGGGGTGTGGCTGTGCTGTGCTGGCAGGACGCTGCATCCATGGACACTCATGTGGAGCCCCCTGCGGTCTAGCCAAAAACACAATAAAAGTAACCTCACCATTCCCGAACCAACCGACGTAAAAGATATGCACACGGTTGCAACAACGGCATTGATAAGTATATTATACATGGACGCTCCCTAACTAACGGCAGTTTACCTCTTCCTGGGCAAAACAATGTTAGCTCGTGCAGCAACACCAAGCTTGTGGATAGCATTGCGCCTGTCCCAGATGCCGCTCGTGCCCTGTACTACAGCAATGAGCTCCTGAGCAATACGCTGGGCAAAGCTGCCCTTTCCACTACCCATGTTTCTCCTCTTAGACGCAGCGGCCATGATCCACTGGATGGCAGCACGTCGCCGTTGTCTTTGACCCAGCGGAACGGGAATCTGAAGAGCAACACCACCTCCAGCTGCGCCACGCTGGCTTCGAATGCGCATCAGAGGCGCGACTGAGTCGATAGCGAGAGTAAGGTAAAGCACGGGATTGAGGGGTAAATGCGATGGTGGCGGCGCACCAGGAAGCAGAGGTCGAGCTGGGTTAATGGTGGGGACCGGTGATGTTCGAAGGTGCTGCAGAATCAGCGCCATATTCTGCAAGTCAAGTCAGTTATTTGCAGGCTACAATCCAAGGCTGGCTAACCTACTCGCTCCGCAACGCTCTTCTTGCCGTGTCGCATGAGCAGATTGGTGACCTGATCGACTACGGGGTCGTGGCGGTGCTTGACATGACCGTCCTTGGGAAGTGGCAGAGTAGGCATCTCATACTTGAGTCCTGGGGTCGTTGGTGCTTTGGAGGCAGCCTGGAAGTCTACGAGACCCATGTCCACGCCGCTGTTCCCACTTGGCTGTGTCGTCATAGTCGAATACGACCGTGAGCCCTTGGGTGCCATGTTCGGTGTCGTCTTGGGCTTTTGCGAGTTGAGCTTGTCCTGCATCACCTTGGGCAGGTTCTGTTGCGCCTCTTTGTCTCCTTTGACTACCTAGCACACTGTCAGCCTTCGCCTTGCCATGTTTGCTATGGATGACCCCACATCTTCAATTGGTGTGCCCTGGTTGAGGTCGGGACCATCCTCTCCCATTGTCTTGGCCATTGAGGCTGCTTCTTCCGAGACATGTTCAATCGGCTTTGCGTCCTCTCGCTTCGATCGGTCGGCGGCGGGAGGCTTAGTTTGATCAGAGTAGAGGCGACTTTGCGACGGCGCCATTCGAAGTGCTGACCGAGCATGCCATTGAGCCTGAGGCCTTGGCCGGAACGCGATCGAGCGCGTGATTGCGGGGACGTTTAATCGTGGCGGCATAGTGTTGTGTTGTGGATTCGGCTTGGTGATGTTCTTGCAAAGTGACGCCGAATATTCAAGCCGATGTCGCGCTATGAGGGCCGTGCGCGGCTGCTTGTCTTTACCCCAGATCAACCACCTGCCAACGTGTTTCCGCCAACATCATGATCTAATATTACCAGGTTGAAGATGCAACATATGTGCCCACGCTCAAAATGTGCCCTGAAGGCCTTCAATACCTTATATCCTGCGAAACTCCGGTGTACAATACAGCGTATACCTTGAGGGTACGCGTTGGGTTCTGACTTCCGCAGAACGAGCTGATTCGTAGAGAGCGTTACACATGGGAGAAAGGAACCGGTGAGACGGGCGTCATGGCCGTTTGCCGTTGGGCGTTGAGTTGAGCCTGCCGCGTCCAAGGGTCTCAGTTGCCCGTCAGTCCACCGCTCCTGTAGTCGTCACGGTCTCATAACAAACATCCTACGCTTTCTCTCTTCCCTATCTCTCAAGTCACTCGTACCAAACTGCATCATCAGCCTCTACTTTCGCTCAACGAACACAACATGGCCGGACGCGGACGTGGACGTGGACGTGGCCGAGGCGGCGGCATGGCCCCTCGTGAGCCACCTAAGGTCTTCGGGTAAGCTTCAATGTCACGGTAGTCGTCATGCGTATGCAAGAACATTTTTCCAATGGCATCTACACCTCTGTAGTCGCCACGCATATGCGAGAATCACCCAAGATACAGAAACAAAGCTAACATGCACATAGCAATGGCCGGTTCCCGCAACCCAGTGCCCAAGTCACCAAGCTCGAAAACGATATGGTCAGGGGTGATTTGTCGTCGGCGATGGCGGCAAGCTCTCTGGATTTTGTCCTACCCTCCCGACCTGCCTATGGCACCGCTGGAAGACCCATCATGCTGTGGACCAATTTCTTCGAGCTCAAGGGAGTCAAGCCGGACACAGACCTGTATCGGTACTCCCTCGCGTTCTCCGATGACAAGCTCTCCAAGCCCCAGAAGAAGCGGTTGATTGAGCTTCTCCTGAGCATGCCACCTTTCTCAGCAGCCAAGATTGCCACCGACTGGAACCAGAAGCTTGTGTCTCTAGCCAAGTTGGAACTCGACGAGAAATACACTGTCGTATGGTATCCCAAAGGCGGCGATCCTTTTCCTCCGGCCACAGGCAGTGACGACGCTGGACTGGCCAATGCTCGTCGAAGGAACACATACCAGATCACCGTCGACAAAGTTGGCACTGTCTCGCTCGCCGAACTTCTGCGCGATGTCTCACAGCCTACATACAACTACCCCTTGAAGCTCGAAGCTATCGATGCCCTGAATGCTGTCGTGACATATGGACCAAGTAGCCAGCCCAGCGTCACTACGGCAGCAGGGAATGTATTCTACCCTTTCGGCAACCATCCCCAAGCAGAGATGACCGAGTTGGGCGGCGGTCTCCAGGCTCATCGTGGATACTTCACCAGTGTCCGTACGAGCGTCAGCAGATTGCTTGTCAACGTCAACGTTACAACGGGTGCCTTCTACAAGCCTGGGTACGGTTGTTCTTTCAAGAATTAGGTTGGGCATCACTAACTCAATATCCAGTCCCCTGATCGATATGATGAAGGAGATCGGTGGGGGCCGCCTGCCGACGAATCAGAGCGAAGTTAAGCAGGTCTCTGACTTTTTCAAGAAAGTCAAGGTCGAGACGAGTCACACCAAAGACCACAACAGCCGCAATAAGGAGAACCAGGGAAACAAACGCAAGGTACACACCATCATCGGATTCTCCAAATACGGAAAGAATAGTACAAACGTCACTTTCCCAAAGGTCGTCGATGGAAAGAATACCCACCCGACCGTTCAAGCGTACTTCTGGAAGGAGTACGGTATCAAGCTTGCTTTTCCGCAAGCACCATTAGTCGACCATGGCAATTCCGAGGGGCCAATATGGCTGCCCGCTGAACTGGCCAAAGTTTTACCTGGGCAGCTGGTCCGCCGTCTCCTTGCTCCGCTGCAGACGGCCGCCATGATCACATTTGCTGCTCGCCGGCCACATCCGAACGCCACGTCCATCAATGGCAATGGCTTGGAAGTGACCAAGATCACCCCGGTAGTGAATGGACAAAACAGTAGCCTGAGCGCGTTCGGCATCAAAGTGGACCCGAGCATGTTGACTGTACCTGGCCGGATCCTGGATTCACCAATGCTGCAGTACCGCGGCCTGAAGACGACTGCCCCTGTCAATGGCACTTGGAACCTGGACCCCAGACAACTGGGTGAGGCGCCATTCCGTTCAACGAAACGATTGGGTGTGTGGTAAGTCCATGAAATCAAAAACATCATGTGAGCCAGGCGCTGACATTGGGTCAAAACCTTTCAGGCACACTCTCATAATCAACTCTGGCAGATACGATACCATCCCTGGAGGCGTTGTCGGCATCAAAGCTGATCTGGGGCAATTCAGGAAGGCCTTGATCACGTACGGGCTCGGGCCCGATCCTGTCCTCCAGCCTTGCATCGCCAACATTCCCGAGGTGCACTGGCAGAATCCGCAAGCCGATTCGACGACTTTCATTCGAGACAAGGTCTACCAAGCTATGCGAGAAACATGGCAAACGAAGCCAAAATTCATGCTTGTCTTGCTTCCTAATCAATCCGCGGTTATCTACGATGCGCTCAAGACAATGTTCGACTGTGAGCTTGGTGTTCCAAGCGTATGCTGCATTGGGAGTAAATTCACCAACAAATCTGACCAGTACTTTGCAAACGGTAAGTTCTGATAACATCAAATGCGCTCGAGATATATACTGAATCTACAGTTGCCATGAAGTTCAACCAGAAGCTCGGCGGCGTCAACCATACGGTGGATATCAAGAAAATGGCACCTTTGGACGCACAGACCATCATCTTCGGCATCGACGTTACGCACCCCTCTCCTGGAAGCGCCGGATCGGCCCCCAGCATTGCTGGTGTGGTTGCATCCACCGATGCGGTTTTCTCGCAGTACCCAGCAAGCATACGCTGCCAAGAAGGCCGGGAAGAGATGGTACAAGACCTGGAGCAGATGATCGTGGAGCGATTGTCACTCTGGCAACAGCGCAACAACCAGGCTCTTCCGAAGAGGGTGATCGTTTATCGAGACGGCGTTGGCGAAAGCCAATACCGCACTGTGGTTGAGGTGGAGTGCGCCTCGTTCAAGAGGGCCTTCGATAGGCTCTACGGCGGCGCTGTCCATCCCAAAATCTCCATCATCATGGTCGGAAAGCGCCATCATACACGTTTCTATCCGACCAGCCTGGAGGATACAGACGGCAGATATGGTACGCAGAAATTTTATATGGTACCCAGGCGACTACTGATATATTTTTCTCATGTAGGCAATCCGAAGCCCGGCACAGTCGTGGATCGCGGCGTCACGGGTGAGAAGCTCTTCGACTTCTTCCTCTTAGCGCATCAAGGTCTACAAGGTACCTCAAGACCAGCACACTACGTTGTATTAAAGGACGAGAACAAGTTCGGGGCCGACCAGCTCCAGAACCTCACGCACAACCTCTGCTATACCTTCGCTCGCGCCACCCGCTCTGTCAGTATCTGCCCTCCCGCCTACTACGCCGATATCCTCTGCGAGCGCGGCCGCTCGTACCTCCACGGCGTCCTCAAGAGATCAGATGAGACGGCGTATGATGAGAAGGCTTGGTTGGGGGTGCATAAAGAGCTCGCAGAGACTATGTTCTATCTCTAGGTTACGGACTCGTTGGATATGGGATAGCCGGGAGATGGTCAGTGGCTTTTGTATCGACTTCACTTCAATGTAGAAGTCATTGAATAGCTCTCGGCTGTCAGATAGTTTTAGCTGGAAAACATTACAAGTTGATGTATACCCCTTGCACCCTTGAAGCGGTATTGCTTTTGCCCCGCTTGTCTGTCCATCCCATCTAGAATTGGCGATAGTTTTGTTTCTTACTATCGATAGTGCTAGTACCCCTGTCCAGCGCTCACAGTCGCTCGCCTCTCCGTCCCGCAGCGCGTCCCGCAGTGTTGCTCCATAGTGATGACAGCCAATCGGAGGGCAGCAACTCCGCATGGCGCACCCTTCTGCTAGGGAGAAGTAATGTTGAACTCTACTCGAATTGGGGACGCAAAGACCAAGGGCTTGCTGGATGTTATCGTCACCACTCGGACGGGCATGGTGGGCTGCAAGGGTTAGGAACGCGTGCTGCAGGGCGTCACGGGGTCGCGGTCGCATTTCCCCGCACTAGCCCGGATGGACGACAGCCAATCAGGTGACCACTCCCAGCCACTCCGTTTCACCCCACTGCAGCCCTGGACAGCACACGGGCGATTAGATGCGCTCGCATAGGCGGGCTAGCTTATCGGCGGTATACGGGGACTCTCTCTGGGCGAGCGTCCCTCCTCCACCATGATCGCATTCCCTCTCGACTCTGTCTTGACCAAAGCGCTAGGCACCCACCACCTGCACCGTTCCTGCCCCGATCCACGCGTCACAAGGGTACTCCCATGTGCCTGGCAGAGCCTCGACACGCCCGTAGTACTGCATAGCTGAGACCGCGAACCAGCCTTCCCACGCATTCCGCCCATTCCTCCCATTCCTCCGCCACCAGCGACTGCGCGCAAACCATGATGGACACAGCCGATCGCGGGAGCTTATACGAGCACGACATCCCGTCGCTGAGCGCGTCGCTCGAAGCCTTCGACCCGGAGCGCAGCATGCACTCGGCCTACAGCGGCCGCTCCAACATGCATTCGTCGCGCTGGAGTGTGCCCCAAGACGAGGTAGACTCTGAGACCGAGTCGGACGGACCATGGGCGCCACCAGCATGGCAAAAGTCCCAATCCAGCAACCACTGGTACAGAAAGTCGCTACTCGGTGAAAGCGCCATGCGCAACAGCCCGTCCAAGTCGCCGTTTGAGTACCGCACCGATCGCGACGTTACACCCTCGCGCATACCACTGCCAGAGTCGCCCTACAAGCAAACACCGCGCACCAGCCCCGAACCCATTCCCGAGGAGGAGCAGAGATACATGTCGACCAACATTGCGTCGCGACTACAGAGCCCGGAGGAGGAGCCGCAACCGAGCGCGGGCGCATTGGCGGGGACCGAGTCAACGCTGTCACAACATGACGACGGGGGGCCAGTCGAGGGCTGTAAGTAGCGAGACCCAATGCGCGCTGTATATACTGACAGCCATAGTCATGCGCTTTGCGTACAGAGGAGAAGCTAAGTTCCGCACAGCGCCCATCGAAGATACAATCACCACTTTTGCAAGTGGCCTTCACATCTTTACGAGGTCAAGAGCCAACCTCATCTTTACCGTCGCGACTCTTTTAATGTCTTACCTATTGCTGCACCCCTGGCAAGCCAGTCTCATTCCAGATGTCGCAAATGTCGCCAGCATGGCGAAACAGTTCGAGCCTCTCCTATACGCTTCAGAGAGTGTCATTCCACGGTCGCGCGAGCTCGCAGACGCCAGTATCGCAGTGCAAGACCTGGGAGAGAGCGTCCGTGCGACTAACATGTCTGCGTCGCCAGTCATCATAGATCAGCTGGACGACCTGGGCGATAGTCTCAGGATCCTATCCGAGAAGATTACCAGCTTCTTTACCAATGTAGATGGCGATATGGACTCGTAGGTATAGCCTTCTTGACCTCGTACACCTACTGATAATTGTAGCATCCTCATTACTATGGAATGGGCCAAGCGAGAGCTAGCAAGTATTCAAGGCCCAAAGGTTGGCATGATTGATACAGTCATCGACAATGTCCACGGCGGCCTCAACGCGATTGGCCTGCTTGAGCGCAACGGCGAAGCTACAGCCGTCGGCCGTGTCGTCAATGATATCCTTGGACACACTACACAACAGCGGTCGAAAGCTACCCTGCAGCGCACGTTCGACTACCTCCTGACCACCCTAGAGGAGAACATTGCAAACGAGCTCGCACGCGCAGACGTCCTCTTCCAACTCTTTGAAAGTGTAGACCGCCAATTCCACAATCTCCACCGCTCCGTCGCTAAAGAGGAAGACTCACTCGCAAACCGCAAAGACGAGTTCCTCGCTTCCATGTGGCGTACCTCCATCAACAACAAGATGAAGATCAAAAAGTACGAAAAGAATCTCAAGCTACTCAAAGACGTGCGCGCGTCGACCCTCATCAACAAATCGGAGCTGAAAGTGCATATCCAAATTATCCATTCCGTTAGGGACCAACTAGACAAAGCACGCAAGAACCTCATCAGCCCTCTGATCCGCGCCGCGCAGAGTAACAGCTTTGGCTTGGACCAGCAGTTGAACGACTTGACGGGTACATACGGGTTCCTGAAGACGCTGAGAGATGATCAGAAGAAGAAGGTTCGACAGCAAATGTGGGGCGAGCCCAAGAAGCGCATTGCCATTACTGCTGGTGGGAAGGAAGAAGAGATTGAGGGGGACAGCGAGTAACTTGCTCACCTCTAGTCTCTCTCTTTCTGCCTCCTTTTTGAATACTGTTTCCTGGCGTTCAAATGCATAGCTTACCTCTCTTGCTTGGCTACTACTAGCTGCTGCTTCTTTCTTGATCGTTCTAGCATGGCGACTTGGTTAGATAAAGGAGCGGTGTCTTGGTTATATTTAACGCGGCGTCTCATGAGATATGTATCGTGGCGTGTTGGACATATCATATGTATGGCATTGTTGCCTTGATACTTTTGTAAGAGACATGGGTGGGATGGAGGCGTTTGTGTTGCCAACAGCTTCGTACAAGCATTACCACTATCACATACTGATATCAATCTAAACATGAATATCATTATGCTTTCGTCGTTTTCTGGAACAGGATACGACTTGCAGTGCACTGGAGTTTTGTAAAGGAGCGTACATGTTGCTATAGGTGCGGACTTGTTCCGCTCGGGTAATAGTCAAGTCAGGCACCATGTGTGCTGACATCGCCGTATGCTTAGGCGACCAGACCTCTTCAGCATGACATGTGTGTTCGTTCTAGTGTGTAATAAAATCGTTTATAAGCCATCCGAAGTAGCACTGTGAAATGATAAAACCCGCACACCTCGAGACTGCAAGTCACATCTCTCTTAACACCCTTCCATCTAGCAATCATCTAACAACCCAACTTGCATCACTACAATACACCCCACAATGCAGAAGCGCACGATCCCCTCGCCTCAAACCCAGTATCCTCCTCCCCCAGGAACTCAACCCATCACCCGCCCAGGCCCCTCCGCAGTAACCTACCACATCCCCGTCTCCCCCTCCTTCTCTAGGACAACAATCTCCCTACCGTGCCACTCAACATGGACATCCGGCCTACACTTCCACACCCAGCACACAGAATACCTGCACCTCGTCCGCGGCTCCATCTTTGTGTACCTGGACGGGCAGACTAGGATTCTGAGCGCTGCAGCCGGTGGCGCAGTATCCGTTTACGGCAGTAACAAGATTAAAGACAGTGATGGACCCAGATTAGTCATCCAGATCCCCAAGTACGCACGCCACAACTGGGGTAGAGCGAGAGAGTATCTAGCAAGCCACAGACCATCTTGTGTCAGACCACGATATCCGCTGGATATCGATGACGAAGTCGTAGTGGAAGAATGGACAGACCCAGCAGACGGAGGAAAAGCGCTTTTCTTTTGGAATCTGAACGGCATCGTCATGCAGAAACAGTATTCCGGGGCTCTTCCTCCACTTCAGCATCTTGCGAGATGGGTACTGGGGCGTTGGTGGGTGGAGTTTCAGCTGTGGAATGTGTTTTGGGAGTTGGATAACTGGCCTGTGGTGCTGGGATTGAGGGGTGTGTTTGGGGAGGGATGGTATGGGTGGCCGTTGCCGATTGGGGTTTATCTGAGGGTCAGGGATAGATTGCCGGAACTGTTATGGGTTGAGCGGGGGAAGAGGAAGGTGGAGGGGTGGTTGGAATGGCTCGTTACACTGGTTTTGTTGGGGTTGGCGAGGGGCGTGGGATGGATAGTGAGAGTCAGGGCTGTGGAGAAGGAGAGGACGCCAGTGGCATTGTGGGAGGAGTACCAAAGAAAGGGACGTAGCGGCTGACTATTGTAAACGTGTTTTGAAATCTGGATATGTCCTACCAACGCCGCTCCAGTCGTGTGTGAAGTATGCAGTCCATAACGCTCCGTACTCGTATCGTACCCATCCGTATCCCTCGGTACCCACCAGGTCTCTGACGTCTCTTTCTTAACCAAATCGACTATATTCCAAGTCTTCCTCTCCACTCCACAACTCTAGATGAGATGCTTGCTCCTGAAGTAGGCGCGGAGGTACACAACCTGCCAAGCCCCCAATCCAACCAGCATACCCATAGTGCCCAGCGCGAACCACTTGACCCGCTCGTTGGTGCTCTCATTGGTATCACGCAGTTTCTGCTCACGGCTCCTCAGGTAATCCATCTCGGTGACAATCTCGCCAACCGTCTCCTCGATCCTCCTGAGTTCCGCTTCTACGGGCTTCAGCTTGTCGACGGCTTGGATGGCGTTCCAGTCCTTGGCGTCGGCGCCAATGTCAATGTCGAGCTCAACGTGGCGGGGTGCGATGTTCTTGGACGAGCCGGACGAGGTAAAGATGTTCTCGAAACATACGTCAAAGGCCGAGTCGGCGTGCGAGGTGAAGGCGTAGCGGTTCTCGCCCACTACGTCTTTGGGACGGTGGTAGTCGTTGCCCATTGCGTCGCGGATCTGTTTTGTCATTGTCAGTAACGTCTTCAGACAGTATAATGCTCGCATGATGCTGGTTTGTTGACATGGCGCTGGAATTGCAACGTACATGCATATCCACTCTCTGTCCATCTCCGCGGTATCCGTCCAGAATCGCCGTGACAACCACCAACTGGTCCTTTGCAACAAAGTTCCTAACGCATCGCTCGTACTTGGCTGAGTCGTGTGGTGCGACCGGATGGAGGTCGAATTTCAGGGCCGCGGCGAGGGGGAGAATTGCCAGCAGCACGCAGCTGAGAAGACGTGCTAACCGGTCCATGCTGGATTGGGGATGTGTGGAGAGCTGCAGCGCTTGCGGACTCGAGTTGTTGCCCTCTTGGTGGCTCCGCGAATTGTACAGCTGTCGCAAGAGCGCGCGGAAGGACAGATGGTCCGATTGTAAGCTAGCGCGGAGTGGGGAAGGCGCGTGCGGACCCTGAACTAGAACAGCGACTGGGAGGCGCGTGTCTTGCCATCACACTTCCAGCTTCAATACGTTGAGACGACCACGAATTCGCGCTAACTTGACAGAAGTCTGATGATACAACTTTGGAAAGCTTGTCAAAAACTACATTGTTTCGTGACCGGCGTTAACCCATACCAACGCCTACCCGTCGCTGAGAACGCTCGAAAAGACATATCCTACAATGCGATAACAGCCTTTTTACCAAGCGGTAGTACCGCCATCCAACTTCAGATCATGCCCAGTCATGTAGCTGCTCGCCTTGCTCAACATGAAAAGTCCCGCAGCCTTGTACTCTTCAGGAGTGCTGAGTCTGCCCAACATGCTGTTGTTCTCCCATTCCTCGCGGCTGGCCTCGCCCTTGTCGAAGTTGGCTTGCACCATCGGCGTAACGATATGACCCGGACTCAGAGAGTTTACTCGGATACCCCCTGAGCCATCTGAATTCTTTCTTCCCCACTCCATGGCTAAGTTCCGTGCCAGTTGTACCACCGCCGCCTTGGACGAGTTGTAAACGGGCGCGATGAAGCCTCTGTTGGCAATCGTGCCGCTCATGCTTGCGACCAGGCAGATCGAGCCTTGGATCTTGTATTCCATCATCTGACGGGCGCATTCTCGGGCTGCTAAGAATACGCCGGTGTAGTTGACGTCGAGCATCTTTGCGATGTCCTCCTTCTTGAAATCGAGCGCGGGTGTGACTTGCTGGATACCGGCAGCTGGAGAAGGAATGATTAGTATGCCGCTTGCAGTATGTCTGAAAATGTCCGTACCTGCAATGAGGCCGTCGAGCCGTTGGTGCTCCGACGCAATGCCGCCGATGCACTTTCGCATCGCCTGCTCGTCTGTAACGTCTACCCTATGGTACTCCAAACTCGTACCGGTGTTGCTCTTGAGACGGGCCTGAGCTTCTTGGAATGCTTGAGGGGGGTCTGGTAGTCGGTCGAGACAATGCACCTTGCCGCCAGCCTCTACGAGCCCTTCGGCCATGCATAGTCCCAATCCGCGACCTCCACCTGCTAATACGTCAACACGGGTTACGAAAGCATGTTGTTTGCTCTAGGAATGGGAGGAGGACGGCATGCTGCACCTGTAACCACGAACACTTTCCCATCGAGGTCGAATTGGCTAAACCGCTTCTCTCCAACACTCTCGTGTTTTTCGTATGGAACTTGAGGATAGGTCGCGTCCTGGTGGGATGCGAGACCTCGGCGCTGAAGAGGGGATGTGGAAGGCTGAAATCGGAACGCAGGTGGCGCTGGGCGCGCAAAACGTCGAAGTAGCATCCTCGAAGACCGTAAAGCTGTCATGATTGATGTCGTCTGATTGCAGGTTGATAGTTGAAAGTAAGAAGACGAGAAGAGAGGAAACACAATGACGAGAGACAAGTTGGGGCGCCCTTGTGCTGACATGTATATGTCACACAGGCATGATGTAATTGCAGCTCATACGCGTACCTCCCCTTCCTTCACCTTGGCTGACAGACAAAGCATCGTGGCTTCCGCGGCGACCCAGCCGCACGATTCGTTGAGACCCTAGAAGGAAGCCGCTCCAGATGATAGGGAAAAAGCTTGACACTAGTCGCGTGACGAAGACACGGAATAACTTTTGGTGACGATGAGCTTATTGGACTCGCCACACATACGACGAGCAACATCTCACGATGTTGGCACCTGCAGGCACGGCAGGCCTGCGTGGTCTGAGTGGGTCGCGCCTATTCCCAATCGGAATCCGGAATGCGGGGCTGTGGAGACACAGGGCTGGGTGGTAGCTGTGGTGATTGGTCGCGGAGCGTGCACCCAACACAGCAGAGGTACATCATACTGAGCAAACATCGGATTGTCGGCGCTGGGTGCGTTATCTTAGATGGGGAACGTGTATTTTCCCATGACAAGAACTTGACCGCTCAGCCATACTAGCAGTAGCAGTGGAGAAGATACTCCACTTTTGCCATGGGATTCACGTCAGGCTTTCGCAGCGTTCCTTGCTTTACAGGATTTATTTTGCATGATAGTATGGCCTGGGCGGTTCGGGAGGCGATTGTATCGTGATATGGCTGACCGGGCATACTTTCAGTTGAGTCATGAATACTACGATTACGCAATTATAGTGCTAAACTTTTCGTATCTTTGGTATTCAAGGATAGATGAACTTACCTAGGTATGGATTGCGATTTTGAGGTATGGCGGGGTGAATACCGATGGGAGTCAAGGGCGCAGACTTTGTGCAACCCGCAACTCTTCCAACTAAACGTTACAATGTAGTTACAAACCTTTGAACTCTGAGTCACGAAGGCTGCTGCATCATTTTCGCGACGGGTGTCCAAACACACTCATTGCATCTACTCTAGCAGACTCGTATTTTGAGATGGATCGAAAATTACTGGGACGTTTTCAGTAGAGATAGACACTCAGCACCTCCAGCTTTGCGCCTCTTGTTCATGATGTAGTCTATGGTATAACTGTACACTACCTGGATGTCTTGTGTAAGCAAACTTTGATTTTTGAAAGGGGAAAATAACGGCTTTGGATTCTAGGAGGCCGGTCAAGCGACGGAACATGATGAGATGCTTGAAGTGCTGGATATGTCCCTGCGGCGAATAGCTGGCCTTGGAGATGTAAACATTCTCGCCTCGCGTGCACCAGTGTTGCACCGTCCTAATTGATTTCATGTTGCTGCGACCCGATGACTGTTCTCAGATGCGATCACAAGATGGATCACGGAGGGTTTGAACGTTCAGATCGCGAATGCGGTGTTGGGTTTGTACATAAGGAGCAACGGAGGGTTTTTGAGATGCCTAAGTGCGGAGAGCGAGAGCGAATTGCCGCAAAAACATAAATAAGCGATGTCCAACGTTTTTGGGTCAGATTTGAGGTGCAAGACAGTGAGACTAGTGGGTCAAGGCGGGGTAGATGCAGCATGTCTCGCTTAGAAACGCTAATGTTCCGACTTTCTATGCCGCCCCGTTTTTCATACACCTCGCAATATATTCAGACCAAAGTCGCAACCTTTCATCAATCATCTCGATCAGAGATCAACCGGCCTGATGGTCTAGTGGTATGATTCCTGCTTTGGGAACACGTGACGTGTACGCCTATTCTGCAGGAGGCCCCGGGTGTAAGTGCACCCATCAAGATTCGATATTGAACGCAAACTAATAGCGTCTAGTCGAATCCCGGTCAGGCCCCATCTTCTTTTTTTGCCTCATTTTGCGCATAGAAGAGTCCAGGTATGAGGTACGCGTGTAACCCAGACCCTTCTATTATACTTTTTTTTTATAAAACTGGTAAGTGTGCTGGTGCGGAAATGCGAGCACGACGCAGCTGGGTAACACGACATTTGATCGCAATGCAGGTGTATTTTCTAAACACCCTGTAATCACTGCGTGCTGCTGTATACCTCTCTTTTTTGTAGACTTTGCGTTATATGAGAAAATATAGAAAATCGTACACGCGCATAGGCTGAATTAGAAGTTGTTTGTTTTGACTGTTGCAACTACTACAACTGGGTCTATCACACCACAAACCGACCTCAAAATATAAATACGCAGGCTTAGTAGTCGTTATCGCGGCCTGTCCGCCACGCAGAAAAGCGATGAATTCTCGAAGCTACACTACCAATACTTATCCATCACCAACTTCAACCCCTCATGGCCAAAATCGCGAATACCCCTCTCCTCCACCCGTGTCCTCGTTCGAAACGTCCTCTCAGTCTGACCAGACTTTAAGTTCACCCCCTCATGTTCATACTGTTCTCTCTTCAACAAACAGCCTTCTATCGCCCATTTCGGTACCGCTTCCTCAAACCTAACACCCTTCTCCTCTAGCATCATACTAACAAGATCCTGCGTCTTCTTCCCATCCATCTCCTTGGTCGAATACATAGTCCTTGCAAAAGCAGAAACAGAATTCCTCACAGCATCATTGCGACAGCGCCAAATAAGGTTGTTAAGCGCCTCTGCTATCTCAGGCACAGGAAAGAACCTCGCGTCAAAATATGCCGTTCCAAGTACCTCTTCCACATTGCCCTTGACCTTCGGCTCAGGTATGGTCTTGAGAGCATTAGTGAGATGCTTGTTAAATCTCACGGAGCAGTAGCTAGCGCTTAGACTGCACAGCTTCTGCACTCGCTCGTTGAAAGTCTGCACGCCTTCTGGGAATACTAGGGTGATCTCGTCGGATTGCGTATATGCAACTGTGACCCGAGGGAAGAAATGGAGGAGATCGGCGCAGGTTGTTATCATGGCGGTGTGTATGCGCTCGTCGAATGGGCGCGCAAAATGCGAGGTGAAGCGAGAGAAGCCGTGGCCGTCCAGGCGGAGGATGATGGGCTTGTCGAGAGGAAGGGTTTGGTCGAAGTGTGCTTCGTATGATTTCATGCGCGCTGCGAGCGATAGAGGTTTATCGGTGCGCAGTACTGGTGTTTCGACGGCATTGTGGTCTGACATCGTCTTGGTCTTGGTATTGAGAATTCTGCTGGTTGACTGTGTTGACTGTTCAGAAGTAAGACTACACCTGCCTTCACCCTAGATTTAACGATGACTCATCGGCCTCACGTGCTTTCACCATATCGCTTGGGAACGATCATTGTGACCGTCACATCACTATGATGGACGAACTGGAAAGTACTCTTGAAAGCGACGTTATTCTCCTTGGTATTATGTACATCATAAAGCTTCATGCACAGCCAGCCCAATCCTGGTCATTCTCCAATTCTAAGGCAAGCATGATAAGATCGGCTTGAGCTTGTTGATGATCTCAGTCTGAACTGCAGCATCATTCATGGTAGTCTTGTCGTTTGCATCGCCAGGGCTGATGGTAACGTAGCAATCGCTTCCTCGGATCAAGATGACATCCGCCTCCCACGGCAGGCGCGTGCTACCGCACCATTCGGCATCGCGAGCGCTCAGAATACCAGTGTTGATGCGAGTGAAGATGTACTTGAATTGGCTGGGGTCGCTGCACTTGGTCTCGGATACAGCGGGGAAGTTGACGTTCAGGAACGAGTTCGCTGGGAGGTATGGCTTTCCAGAGTTGATGATAGTCGTGGTAACATTCAAAGCCAGGTCAGCATAGACCTTGCTGTGGAAAGGAGTAGGTGCGTTCCATGCAGTAGGGTCTCCTGTCACGCCAGAGAAGGCGATGGCTGGGATCTGAGCCGTCTTTGCCGCGAATGCAGCGGCGCCGACTGTGCCAGAAAAGGGAACCTGAACAGCAACATTGCTGCCGACGTTCGGTCCGGTCAGGGCGAGTTCAGGCTTTGCGCCGTTCCAGAGCTTGGGAGCCGTGACATCGATTCCCTCCTTGATCGAAGTGACGGGGAACGAGTTGACGTAGTTTAGGCGAGGGTCTGTCGCGTTTGCGCCGGTTGGGGGGCTTCCTCCCGGGCAGGATGCATGAATGCAACCGTCTGAATCAACGGTTTTCGGGGGTGCGTCGGAGGATCCTGATATAAGTCAGCATGTGTATATGGCCATGACTCGACGACTAACCTCTGCCAGACTGGTTCTCAGCGGGACCAGACAACACGACTTCATGACCAGCAGAGTTCAAGACGTCGAAAAAGGTGCGAAGGTTTGCCTCTGACCAACCATCATCGTTTGACTGAACGATGCGAACGGCTTGAGCGAAAGGAACCGCCGCAGCGAGTAGTAGGAAGGATCGCATCTTGGATAACGAATGGAAGATGATGAAGCGAATGTGTTTGATGGAGCAACCTGAGACCTATGCAAAGTAAACAGCGAGTGACCGACGTTTATAACAACACCATCCCCCCGATCTATCCTCAAGCCAGCCGCAGAGTCCCCAGTCTTGATCCACCGCTAATGTTCCAAGCATTATGCGAGCCGAACGGGCGAACAGAGGTCAGGAACATAGCCATGGCACACGCCGCAGTCTAGTCACAACGTGCGGGTAGCAGCGATCTGATTGCTCCTCGCATAAATGACCATGGTCGTGACCTGCTGCAAACATCGGCTTTGCAGCTGTGAGTGGTTGTTGACCTCCGAAACGGAGACATTTCCAAGCCTTTGGGGGTGTCGCCCCTAGCGCCTCGGCTGCAGCCACTCAAACGGGCAGGAGCGGCCGGTAGTCTTTCGCACGTGTGAGGAGCTTGAGGTGTCATTCACGGATTTTGACATGCATGTAGTTTGGTTCGTGAGAGTTCGTATATCCGTCTATCGATTTTCAAGGTACCGTTCCTGACACCGACCATATGGGATGTCACCTGGTGTATGCAATCAAACGACCCCGTTCCTTGAAGAACTATGCTACTATTACTCAGGCTATTGAGTCGTTCGGACCGCTGCGCATGAAGGTTCATGCGGCATGTCGACGTGTGAAAGTATCCGGATCCCATGGTATCATTCTTCCCAGTCACCAGAACGCCTTGTCCAAATGTTCAATATTTCTCTGTGCCCCTCGCCAGATCCTCAATATTTCCATCCCTCGCTCATACTATATGAGCAGGCTTCACCGGCTGCTGGTAGTAGTCGGTCGCAGCACCACTCTGGTATGGTGGAAGATACTGGTTGTTCATCTCAGCAGGTTGCGTCTGCGAGTGGTATGCGGTATTTTGGTATTCGGGTGCGCTGTTGTACGGAGATGATTGCTGAGCAGGGACGGAACCGCCGAATGGATTGTGCGCCGGCGCATACTGGCCTCGTTTGGCCTCTGCCTTTGCGCGACGGTAACCGATGACCGAGTAAACGAAGAGTCCGAAGTAGCTGAGGCTGCGATGTGTCAGTATTGCAAACGACCCCCGGGACTCTGAACGTACAATACGAAGACGCCGAATCCAAGCCCTACAGTGCTACCGCCCTTGCCTATATCCGCAAATTCCATGATCAAGGCGACGCCCCAGAACGCAGTTTGGAACGAGTTCATGGTGAGGAAAGTGCCGGGTTTCAGCGCATCGCGAAGGAAGAGCAAGATGGCGAGAATGTCGATGAGGAGTACTATACAGCTGAAGAGTATAATGACAATGAGTAATCTGCTGGCTATAAGCTTTGTGTATGCGCTGTTGATGGTGTGATTTACGAGACTGAGGGTTGGATAATGTCTTCCAATTCTTTCACATTGCTCAGCGAGATGCCTACTGCTCCAATGATCAAGAGCATGATGCATATTCGCACCACCCAGAAGGGCACGAGAACGCGCTTCTGCCAAAATACTGGTCGTTGCGCCATGGTGAATCGGCGCCGCTGGAGATTATCGTTGCTTGTCGGTGGCTAGGTGCGATGTTTGCGCAACGAAAAGAGAAAAGCAGGATATAAATCTCTGTTTGCAGGGCTGAGCGCGAGATACACCGATATTTCGGGAATTCGCGTTGACTGGGCTGTGAAGCGTACGCTCAGGGGAACGCCCTGCGGCGCCGTGATGAAACACGCGTTCGGCCCTGTACATCTTCATCTCCCTCTTTTAGCATGCGCGCCGCTTGGGAGCCGTCGTCGCAGCATCGCCTCTGTGCGTGGATGGTGATGGATGTGTTGGATATGGGTCGTAGGATCTAAATTGGTGTGATGCCATACATGTTCGCTGTCCTGTTGAAGAAGCAAAACGGCTGTCATGAGTTTCAGGGTCTGTGGAGATGGGCCGTTAGGCGATGCTCGTAGCCTCGTACGCGATAATAGCGCGGTGGTCGCAGCGTCGTGGCTGAGGCATTCAGGCAACGAACCTAGCACCCGATCAACAGTCGTAAGTAACGTGCATCTGCATGCTGAGTTGTGCACAAGCCTGGCTGTCTCGCATGTAAGCATCATGCTTCGATGCACGTCGATCGAATGTGGAAGGTATAGAGGCGGGCACTTTCCGCTCCAGCCATCTGATCGGAGTGGGGCTGCCACGAGACCCATGCACGCGTTGTTCCCGCCCGATAAGCGCGATAACGAGCGACACCTTGATGGGCAGCCAGAGCTTCCCCAGATTACAACACATAGCTATCTCTTCTTGAGAGCTGTACGATAGTCCGGAAGTTCTGTTCCCATCTTCATCATGGGTTCCAACCAGTCACGACCGTCCGATGCTGCTGTTAATGAGAAGTTGATGGAGCGACTCCAAGCGCTCCACATGAAGGATGAGCGACCCATGAATGAGAAGGATGGGTTTGTTGTCGTTGGTGGAGAGGCTTGTACGTTACATTAGGTTCAAAATGCTATATCAAGTCTGACTGTCGAAGCACCTCGATACACCCCGAGCGTCAAGTACCAACAAGATGTCTCTGCTGCGGCAGTGTCGGAGTGGGAGAAGGAGCTCATGGAAGACCCAAAGGTACTATTCAGATACACACGGCTCTTATACTGTTTCCTACTTACCTCTGTAGAACCGCCTCGCCCTCGCAGCTCTTAGCTCCAACTCTGCCAACGCCGTGCTCTCATCCCGATCCGCTGTCATCGCAGACACTCAGAAGTTCAACATCAAGATCCCCATGGAGGGCTCGCCCGTCACAAACCAAGCCTCATCCGGAAGATGCTGGCTCTTCGCATCCACCAACGTCTTTCGCGTCGCTATCATGAAGAAGTACAAGCTGTCCGAGTTCCAGCTATCGCAGGCATACCTCTTCTACTGGGACAAGATTGAGAAGGCAAACTACTTCCTCGAAAGCATACTGGATACAAAGAGTGAGGAGATTGACAGCCGGATCGTGCAGGCGCTGATGTCCAGCCCCGTCGGTGATGGCGGACAATGGGATATGGTGGCCAACCTCGTACAGAAGTATGGTCTTGTACCGCACTCGCTGTACCCAGACTCGTTTAACGCGTCCAACTCATCTACCATGGACCGTCTGATTACCACCAAGCTGCGCGAGGATGCCGTCCGTCTGCGTGCCATTGCATCCAGCAACGCATCGCCAGACGCCATCAAGGCGACTATTGCCGAAGAGAAGGAGAAGATGCTGCGTGAGATTCACCTGATTCTGACACTGATGCTAGGACCTCCCCCGTGCTCTACCAAGCCGTTCACCTGGGAGTACTATGACAAGGACGGCAACTTCTGCACTCTCAAGACGCGACCCACTGCTTTTGCTAAAGAACTGTCCGACAACAAGACCATCCGCGCGCTCTCCGGCACTGACGTGCACTCGCTCTTCTCGCTTGTAAACGACCCGCGCAACCCTTACAACCGTCTGCTCAGCGTAAAGCGACTCGGCAACGTGTGGAACGGCCGACCAGTTACTTATGTGAATGTGGACATGAAGACGATCAAAGACGCCTGCATTGCGATGCTGAAGAAAGGCATGCCGGTCTTCTTCGGTTCAGACGTGGGAAAGTACTCCGATTCCACCAAGGGAATCATGGACACGGATCTCTTTGAGTACGAGCTAGGCTTCAATGTCAAGCTCGGCATGTCCAAGGCGGAGCGCCTGCAGACGGGTGAGAGCCAGATGACGCATGCTATGGTGTTGACAGCTGTACACGTCGTTGATGGCAAGCCGGTGCGCTGGAGGGTGGAGAACTCGTGGAGTGAGCGTGCAGGTGACAAGGGCTATTTTGTTATGAGCGATGCTTGGATGGATGAGTTTGTGTACCAGGCGGTTGTTGACCCTAGCGTTGTCAGCTCGACGATCAAGAAGGTGCTCGAGCAGAAGCCAAAGATGCTGGAGCTGTGGGACCCGATGGGCGCGTTGGCGTGAGTGTGATATAGATTAGTGATACCTTTGATGAATTGATTGTTGCTGTGAGAAAAGATCAACAGACGTGATATCTCAGCGATGTCGTCTCATCTTCATTGTTCGGGCTCTGGTTCGTGGATCTGAGGCGGAATAAAGTGTGCGCGTCTTTCGTTGATGAAGTGGTAGCAGACAAGCGCAGTAGTGATACTGGGTGGGAACTTCACCACCGAGGTTTGCCAGAGCTGCCAACCCAACAGTGGCTAATCGCTTGCTTTCTGGTTGGTGAAATTTTAGTAAAGTACTAAGACTTGGTTAGACGGTCGCAATTCTGATGTCAAGCAGCACGCAGGGTGACCTGTTGGATGTGGTTGTCGTCGGTTCAGCATGGCCAAACGGCACTTGCGCTTCTTCAACTCAACATGAATCGACCACCATTATTCCCCAATACTCCGATAGCTGTCTAGGGTAAGTCAGGGCGCTTTGAATGTCTGGGTAAGTTTTGGGAGTGGTGTTCTGGGTGCGTTGAGTTGGCAAAAATGATTCTATCCAAACCAAACCTTCTAGATACGTTTCTGTATCGTACAGAAGGTGTAGGATGGCAAAAAGAACTTGTTTCCGACACCGGGAATCGAACCCGGGCCTTGCCGGCACTGCGCTGCTGTGAAGCTGCGAGCTTACTCTGCGATGAGAGCGGCAAATCCTAGCCACTAGACCATATCGGACTTTGATTGATGGAGACATGAACTTTTATATCGTTTATATACACTTAGCAGCATTTGGGAGGCAAGGAAACATGTTCGAAAAGATACGAGTCAGGACATCGGGCAGGGAGAAGTCGGACTAAGATCAACTAGATCAGATCAAGCTTATGTATTACAGACCCACAAAGACTCGAGACTAGACTCTGTATACTTCTAGAGCATTGTATTCGACGCGTTTAGCGCATACTACGTTGTATGTGGTCTGCGCAGCCACTGATGGAAGCTTGGTCTAGAAGACCTCCGGGACCATTTCAGAATACAAACACGTTTTGATACATTGCTCAAGACCTTCAGAAATCTCTACAGTATTCTGGTCATATTATGAAAAGCTTGTAAAGACCTCATGGCCTGGAAGCTTGCGTATCATCTCATCAGCCAACGGCTGCAACCTACACTCGCCCACCAAACGTAGTTATGATCTGGAAACATATCCCGTTACCTGCGCCGAGGATTTGCTTTCATGAACTAGTATCGAATTTCGATTTATCGAAATAGTTCCCCGATGATGTGATGACTCCCGACATCGCCGCGTCCCGCCCCGCGAAACAAAAAGTTCCCCGCGAACACCAACTTCGCCTGGACATAGCGGTCTTCCATTCCAACTCCCAAGTCCTCTCATCCACCCACTACACACACAATGGTCGCAAAGAATACGGCATTCGATCTGCAGAAATGCGCGCGATCCAATATCCTCGCATTGGAGCCATACCGATGCGCGCGCGAGTAGGTGAATATCCATGACTCTTATCGAGGTACCAGGCTCACGACGCGTAGCGACTACAAAGATGACGGCACCAACATCCTCCTCGACGCGAACGAGAATGCATATGGTCCGGGACTACAATTGAATGGCGAGGGCAAGCTACCTGGCGCAAATGTCAACGGCACCTCCGACTCATCTTCCGCGATTGATGTCGATTTGCTTGGCCTAAACCGATACCCAGATCCGTATGCATACCACAACCCTTACATTATACGTGCTGACGGGCATGCAGTCACCAAGAAGAACTCAAGCAACTCCTCTGCAACCTCCGAAATACCCACACCCACACCTCGAAGAACATAACACCCGCCCTCTTCGTTGGTGTCGGCTCCGACGAAGCGATCGATGCCCTCATCCGCGCCTTCTGCGTCCCCGGCAAGGAGAAGATTCTGACATGCCCACCTACATACGGCATGTACAGCGTTTCTGCCCAAGTCAACGACGTCGCGCTGGCCAAGATTCCCCTACAAACACCAAGCTTCGATCTCGACGTGCCCGCGATACTGAAGGCCATGGATGAGGACAAGAGCATAAAGCTAGCGTACTTGTGTTCGCCAGGCAACCCGACCGGAAAGCTACTCAAGAAGGAGGACATACGAAAGATACTAGAACACCCATGGAACGGCGTCGTAGTGGTGGACGAGGCATATATCGACTTCGCGCCCGATGGAACAAGTCTAGCAGAGTGGGTAGCCGAATGGCCCAACCTGGTCGTTATGCAGACACTCTCGAAAGCCTTCGGTCTCGCAGGCATTCGATTAGGTGCTGCATTCGCAGACCCAGCTATCGCGCAGATTCTCAACAACATGAAGGCGCCCTACAACATTCCCAACCCAACGAGCCAGATCGCGCGCGCCGCCCTAAGCCCTAAGCACTTGCAAGTCATGCAAAGCCACAAGGACCTCATTGTCAAGCAGCGCGATAGGCTGATCGAGGAGCTGCCCAAGATTCCTGGCATTGGGAAACTCCACGGCGGTGTGGAGTCGAACTTCCTGCTCTACCAGATACTCGATGCGCCGGCAGACCAGGGCGGTAAACCATCAAACGAGACGGCTTTGGCGGTGTACGAGGGCTTGGCGGAAGAGAAGGGCGTGGTAGTGCGGTTCAGAGGCAAGGAGCATGGATGTCTGGGCTGCTTGCGGATAACGGTGGGTACGGAGAAGGAGGTAGATCGCTTCTTGCAGGAGATCAAGCAAGTGATCGAGGGTATTCACCAGAGCTCGGGCAGGCTGGGGAAGAAAGACGAGCAAAGGAGGGAGAAGGAGGCTAATGATGTGGTTGCATAGATGACTTAGAATACTCGAGGTGAAGGTGAACTCTGAGCGTTTGCACTCTTGCGCTCATTCCACTCTGGGACAATCACATTCTAGTCTCAATCTTTCGCTTCGGCCTGGATCTTCTTCCTTCTCTAGAGTCGCCTAAATTTTGTTCGTCGGCTACCTTGCTCGATACTTTCTGACACCGCATTGCACCTTTCGATAATCGGCAATAGCAGCGCGCATGGACACATCAAAGCAGGAGATTGAGCTTCAAAGCCTACTCGCGGAGGGTCGAGCACTACAGAAGACCTTGGCGGTATTTCCTTCCACACTCCGTTCTCATTGGTGCTTGACCACTAACCTGCTACCGGACTGCAATGACGGACCACAGCGTGTACGTCGTGAAGTGCATCGAAGTGAGCGAGCGTATTCTTGACGCCTCAAAGAGCGTTGCTACAGCGTCTGTCTCAACCCAAACTGTCTTACAAGGTGTACAAGAAGCGAGTACAGCCGATATTACTCGAGCCTCAGGCGACCATGCCATTGTGCTGGTTCTCATCGATGCTACGAGCTTCCAGGTATGTGATACATCGCAGTCTTTGATCACGATCTGACATCTCAGCAGTTTCTTGATGAACTGTACCGAAACAAGGTGTCAGGAGGTGCTGACACAGCGAAGCGTCTCCGTGCCGTCGTGGGCGAGAGGGTTGCAGCTATACTTCCCGCAGTTGTACGAAGCAGGTACCACATCTTCATCAAGATTTGCAAGGCCTACTGCGCGCTCAGAGATCAGCCGCCCTTCTACTCACAACTCTGCAAAATGCGGCACAGACTTCGACATTCGAGCAGCCTGATCTGCAGGCCCAGAGCTCAGTCTCGGGTTCTCCTACGAGTCGCAAAATACGTCTCTGACTTCGTCAGGCAACCGAGCTAATCTGCGGGCTCAGAGAGCGGTCTTACCTCTACCCTCAACCTTCCGAAATGCGGCTAATGCGGCTTCAACGTGCGACGACGACCGAGCTGCTCAGCGAGCTCAGAGGGCGGCCCTGCCTCTACCTAGCACTCTGCAAAATGCGGCTCATGCGAGGCTGCAGTCATAGATGTACACTGAGCCAAACTATTGACGAGCAAACGCACAGTCAAGATTTGATGGCCAGCCGGCCGCCATCCACGATCCAATTCCGCCAGGGTCTGGCATGGCCATAAGAGGTGCCTCTGATCGAATGTGTTCGGGTCGTACAACCCGTGGCCGTGGCCGTGGACGAGGTTGCGACTTCTACTGATACCGGAAACCTGGGTATATGATATCAATTTTCCTGACCCTCAATAGCTGACTACGCTGGTTCCTTGATGCTAACTATGTTAGTCCCTGATACTAGCTCTGCTGGTCCATGATACTGCATTCTTGTGGCCCCTGATACTAGCCTTTCGTTGGTGATGATACCGATGTTCGTCGGTCAAACCCCACTGGATACGTCTGGTCTTGACAGAACATTTCTCTGCTCATCTTCAGAGTGTCACTGGACAAAACTACTGGACACGCGGAGAAAACGATGTAGACACCAGACCTAATAGTGTTAAGCCTACCAACCTGTAACTCTGTCATACAAATTTCAGATTCTACAGATGTCATTCCAACTCAATCACACATCGTGACTCGTCCCCCGATCCATACGCATGCTCTCTTCCACTATGGGGCCGCTTTTGCTATTCTGCAGCAAGTAGTTGTTACCCTTTCGCGATTCCTTCTCGGCTTTTCTCGTCTTCTTCGCCGCCTTCCTCTCTTTGCGCGACGGGAACTCGCTTCCGGGCCCTTTCAAGACGATTCCAGGATGTACGGCTGCCAGCAATACAAGTGCCAGCACCATCGGCACGGCATCCAGCCCCAATACATACCCTTCCGTACCAACAAGAACGTTTGTTGCCCCCTTTACCCCAGCCGAGAACTCGATCAGACGGAAGATGATACGCGTCGTGATGAGGATAAGGACAGCATACAGCGTATATGTCAGCCACTTCCATCGCGTAGCACCTGCCCTTTGACCGATCTCCCCACCTGTCTGACCTTCGCGCTCCATCTTCAGCATATCCAAATGAAACCTAACGATCAACGCCAAAAACATCAGAATGAATATCTGCTGCACACCCACACCAACCATATAGACATCCTTCCCATACCCATTGGTCTTAGCACTAGCCTGCGGATTCATCATGACCCCACCCGCAGCCTGGACGATAAAACTGAAGATATCAAGTCCCACAAACCAACGCCCTATCTTCACCGCTTCAATACGCCATAGCTTTTTCCGCGGATGCAAGAAGTACACCAGCCGACCCGCAGTCATATACACAAAAGCGTTGATCCACAGTGGCGCTAGCAGGAAGAGCAATGTAGACAGAATAACCAACGCTTCATTTTGCTGGTCTCGCGTACCGAGCGCGCGTAGGATGAAGGAGACAAACTCCCAGACTGCGCCTGTGATGAGCACCCAGCAGAAGCGTTTTCGATGGAGGACTGCGAGGCCGATGTGCGCGGCTGTGAGGAGGCCGAAGAGGATGGTGAAGGCTATGGCGGCGGCGAAGGAGGGGTTGTATTGATAGTTTGCATTGCAGGCGTAGGGTGGGACATGGCCGTTGGAGTCGGGGATGGCGGTGATGCACGTTGGTGTGGCAGTCGTGCTAGATGGGGCTGTTGACGACGGCATGGTTGGTAGAGTAACTAGATTGTCTTGTTACAGCGGACTGGTAAAGACAAAGTCTGTTTGGGTATCGAAGCAAATGCGTTACGAAGGTGGCAAAAAGACCATGAGCATCTTTATGTGTTCTGGCTCTGCGTGTGATTTCTCCTTCTCGTCCACGCAGCATTAAGCGGACTGATATCGCCCTCCAAGTATCAGCCCCCGTGGCAACACGCGTCTGTGCCTGAATGAAACCCCTTCCAGGCAAAATGGCGTGCGGGTTTCTTTGGCAAACCCTCCGAGGAAGTTTTGGCGTCCATTCCGGTGTGCCAAGCCACCCGAGGAGGGTTTCATTTCTCTCCGGTGAGCATATACAAAGCTGAACTAAGTGTTCGTGTTCCCCGACCTCGCCCTACCACGACAGCATAGCAAACGCTTGGCACATTGAAGGCCAATCATTTAGTACCGAATATCTTAGTACCGATCGTGGGTGTATGCGGGATGCATCCATGTGCGCCCACGAAAGGAGATGAAGTGGCTGTGTAGATATCATGAATTATTCGAATAAGTATTAGATGTTCATTAGATGTTCATTGTCGTAATGTGTAAATGCAATCGTGCCGGGGTATCATGCAAATCATCGCTTCAGAACGCCATTGCTCTTCCATCTCATCTTCCAATCATTTTTGCCCTCGCTTTCACGGGTATTTTCCGTTGTCGCGCTCGGCGCGCTACCGAGTCAATGCTGTTGCTTGCAGGTGCGCAGTGTGATGTGCTTCTGGCAGAGTGTGAGCGGCGTCCGTACTACTAGAACATCACAATGAGACTTACTTTGCGCCACGTCTGCATCATGCATGCAAGAGCTCCAAGATCCAGAGCTTCCAAGAACTTTTGTATGCTGCCAAGCATGTCTGACCCATTCGTGTGATATTAGACACCTCTTTCGGTGGTACTGAAAGGTATTGTGAGGGCCACGAGAAATTTCAACGTGTGTCTGCTGTCGCGCAGGTCTTGAACTCATCAAACAAGCCTGCCGATCAGCAAGCTACCATCGCTTTCGCTCGCCCGCAACTCTGGGTTCCGATACACCGTATGCGCCGGTCTGGGTAATACAGGACCTTGGCTATCCCAGCTATCTTCACTTGGACTCCTTGACTGTTCGATCTCAGGCTCTTGTATATGAATAGTCGGAACGTCTGGTACATTATGGGTCTTGGAGAAAACCGAGCGATATTTCGTCCGAGCGCTCATCTTGGGCTGACTTCCGTGCGACGGCAGAATGTCGGGTCGTTCCAGGTTACTGCACTCAATGAACTCGTCGTTACGGGAGGTCGAGCGGGAGCTCTTCGGACGGCCGATGCCCGTTATTGAACGGCGACGCCCAGAGTCACTGGCGGAGCTGAACTTGCGGGCGACGATGTCGTCTAGGACGGATTTGAAGTCGTCGAGGAAGATAGTATCGGATGCGCACTTGAAGACGAGTGCGAACCGCCAGTATGGGTTGATGCCGCTACTGGCTGTGACTTTCGCAGCGCTGACAGCAGCATCGGTAAGCAGGAAGACGATGGAAAGTAGCATGCATGCCAGCATCACGCCAAACCTCCTGTTTATACCGACAAGGGTCCACAGACTGAAGGCGTAGGTCTTCTTGATGGCATGTATCAGCTTCCATGTCGTAAATATCCACCAAGGATCGCGGAGCAGAGCCTCCCAAGGTCTCGTACGAGGATTGATATTGGAGCCGTTCTGAAGCTGATTGAAGTAGGCAAAGTTCGACCACGCCTCTGCTATCCAAAACGGTTGGACACAGATCAGCGATATGATGAAGAAACGAGATCCCCACAGTGGCAAGAAAGGTCGGATCTTGAGCCACGAGACGACGTTATGGAGGAAGTATGATATGAAGAGCAGGGTTGCAGTCGCGCTGAGATACCAGCCATATGCCGGGTCTTTGACGAAGATGAACGTGCCGTGCCAGATGGCAAGAACAAGCTGAGTGGATTAATAACTGATATACGCGATGAGGCGCTTCGCCTGTAAGGCTGTTGATGCAATGAATGCAGCACCAAGACTCACCTCAAGTAGAATAAGCTTATGAAGCCACATGCCAGAGCGGTAGTTGCAGAAGACGATCAAGATTAGAATGATCAAGCTCCCAACGTTGTATCCTTGGGCCCATGCCTCGAGAAAGCCGCCCTCAGTCGTCATACTCTCTCTGTTCGGCGGCGAAGTACGCGTCGTAGCCGTCCCGGGCAGTCGCTTCGCCATGACCAGCACATCCATGCTGCTGAGCGGTGCCATGGTTGTTTGTTGTCAATTCTCAGATCAGAGCGAAGCTGAGTCCGCAGCCATGTAAGGCGACTTTCCTCGTGTGTCGAGTATGTCGAGTACAAGGTAAGTGGGCGCGTCGACAAAGTGGGGCCGATGGTGGGTGAGAAGACGGGGTGGAGAGGCAGCAAGAGGCGTGCAAGAAATCCGGGGTATTGCTGCCTTACATACAGCTGACGCGCCGGCTTCCGGGTAGAAGGTACAGCAAAATGTAACGTTCATACAAACCTATGCCGCCCTTCCAATGTGGCGGTACCGGTAACAGGGCGGTTGGGCGGCGGGCAGAGCGAGGCTTTCAGGGCTGCTGGCCGCAGTAAGCCTCTCGCGCTGGCCACGGAAATGCGGTACACATGATCGCATTGCCAATGCGACGGACAAGCCGTCGCTCTAAATTCTGACAAACATATTGCGCACAAAGTCTTGGTTGCGCAGCCAGGCTTATTGCGCGACGGAGCAATAGGCGGAGCCGGGTGTTGGTGTGATGCGTTGTTGATCGGCGGTGATGTCAGGCGTGGCTGTGGTTGACAGGGCGGCCTTCTCATCTGCCTGACACGAAAGCGAAAACCTTCCTCTGACTCGCCGCCAAGGTTTGTTGAGCCTCATTTACGGTAGTACATTTGCACGCTCACGCCCAAGAGCTACTGCAATAGCGGTCGACTTGACTTCCACTACCTGAGGGCGAGCAGTCAGCGAACCTCGCGGGTAATATCTGTGTTGGGCAAAGACGCGACCGGTGTAAGCACACTAACTGTACGACGGAGGACGGCAACGGACGGACGATCAATGCCGTGCCTGGCGGTCATGTAAGCCATGGCAATGAAGCAGATGTCACACTGTAGAAAAAAGAACAAAGAGGTTGTTCCACGATTGCATCCCAAGGTTGGACCTTCCCACCATGATCTCATTCGATACTTCCACCAAGCAGCCCCAACCAACAAAACTGCTTCAAAAGAACATCAAAGCAGAAAAAGTCATGAAACACGCATGCGGATGTCGAAAGCTTCTCTAAAAGTCGTTTCTGTATCTATGATTACGTTACGAGGGGTGACGTGCGATCTATGACCCGATTGGCTGCACCCGCCAGGGCTCAAACTAAGCCAGGGGCTCAGAACCGTAAGCAGAGAGAACAAAGAAACCGCCCAACCTCTCTAATTTCCCCCATCTGCGGTTCCCCGGAAGCCTGGTCTCTACCCCGTGTGCGTCTTCTCTTCCTTCCCTGCAACCGCTATGCGTGTCTTGCCCCACCGGAAATCGTCCATCCTCCAAAGCGTGTAGAACTGGGTGCAAACGTTGACGTAGGCTGCAGACCAGGTGTAGGCAACGCAGCCAATAACCGTCTGGACAACATCAACGAACGAGTCGCACGATATGAGGGTGACCAGCAAGTCAAAGACGCGACGGTAGTACTCGAAAGCTACAATATAAAAGATGGTCCGATCGTCAAGGTCACCTGTTAATCTAATGTTAGGAAGATTTCATGAATCATAGCTAGAGTGGTACGTACGGAAGAATCGAGAGATGAGAAGCGCTGGGTTCTGCACCCAGTGCGTCAAAGAAGCCAAAGCAGAAGCTCGCTCCATCCAGCCTGTCGATCTGCGGCTGAGGAGGAGACTGTCGCTTGTGAGCGGCCCTAGCGTCCATCTGCGACGTTGACTGACAAAGACCGAAGGAGTAGTTGGCGCCGTAGTGTACGCCCGCGCACTGAGGTTCACACGCGTCCGGACGTGGGCGTAGTGTGCAATGACGAGACAGACGTGATCTCTGTCTTCACTCATCATGGAACGGACGGTTCGGAACAGACCATCGGAAGCCTTGGGATAGTATCCGAATTTCCCCAGGATGAAATCGCCGCATGTCTCCTCGCAGACCCGCAGTAGTTGACAGCAGCCAGGCAGGCACGTCACCTTTCCGCTTGTAAGACTCTGACGCAGGCGACGCCGATGCTGGCCAACCATGTACTCGGCGTTTTGGTACAGATAGGAAATAGTCCATCCTCCCAGAGCTATGGGGTCTGGTCGGATGTAGCCAGTCACTCCCACGATCTCATCGCCTTCTCTTGCGGTCTGCATCAGACTGTGAACGCATTTGGTGTCGAATCGGGTGTCTGCGTCTATTCCAATAGCGTAGTCCACTTTCTGGATGGATTGGGCCTCGAGGAAGCCCGAGAGCTCGGCGAAAAGTTCGGGCGAGATCATCTTCAGATCGGGGTTTGCCTTGCGCTGGTTGAACTTGTTCAGGAATGTCCGGATCAGGATGATGCCATCTCGTTTGCCGCGATTCTCGTTCTTGATGACGCAAACGATTGGAAGTCCTCGGAATTCACCTTTGATGATTTCAATGTCCATTGGACCATCGTCCCAGGCAGTGTACGCCTCCTTCATGAATGTGCTAGTCGGACGCTCAACAATGTCTTCTTTCAGATGGGCGGAAGTCGTTTTGGTCATGCCCTTGCAGCTAACGCGACCATCGCAAACTACGACGACAGCCTTCTTGTGATCATCCAGCGACTGCTGTTCAGCCAGCGAAACCAACGAGTTCATCATCTCCGCGTACGATTCGTTGTAGCAGCATAGCAGGTAGACCAAGTTCTCTGGCGTTGCGGGGATCTTGATTTGAGGCGGGTTCAATCGCTTTCGAATTAGGGCATTGATGACCATGGTAATTTCGATAAAATCCACAACGGCTCGAAGTATTAGACTCGGAAAGAGGATCCAGGAATACTTCGCCCAATCTGCGAACATGTACATTATGAAAAGGCTGAGTAGCTTTATTAGCAATTCGCATCTTACGCAATGGGGAGTGATGGCGTTGATTGACTTACTTGAACGGTATTAAGATAGTCCATACTACATATTTCTCGATTCTGAGACGACCCGTGTTGACATCTGGTAAATGTTCGATAGCGCTGCTCAAAACCTTGGAGGAGAAAAAGCGCGATCTTTTCTTGAGATTGCCAGCAATCTGAGCGCCCGAGCTCGCGGTATCGAGGACATCCATCTTCATGGGAAAGAGAGGGTGTCCTGTGTTGTGTTGTGGTGAACGGCGAGTGCGGTAGGAGCGACAGACGCTATTCTAGTATTTTGTACAAACGCCATGCACTTTTTGAATTCAGGGTCAAGTGTCAGGGTACGGACGTCAAACTAAGCATCTCCACAATGGAAGTTTGAATAATCTCTAGGACGCCGACTAGGCGATACAGTTTCAGGCGGTGTAACGCAGGGACGCCAGGGACGGTGACAGGGCTGATCACCGAGGTACCTCCAGGCGGCGTAACAGCTTTTGCACGCGTGCGTGGCTTTCCTAAAACGCCATTCTGTGGCTATTTTTCGGGTTGAACATGCGCCAGCTCGGACTTACACCGGTAGGTCCAGACATACGGACCGCTTCACACTTGATTGTACCGAAGCTAAGTCTTGGCGTGTACCGAGACTCGCTCTAGTGTATCAATACCGGGTGAAATTTTGCCATCGCAATACGGTCATGTCTCAGTGGGAATGTGCGTTCAGTAGAGTATCAGATAGGAGTAATTTAGCGAGTTCAAATATAACCTCGTCCCTAAACCATGTCGACTCTTGAAATTCCCGATTACTGAACTTGTCATTCTGCACATCTCAATTTGTACAACCACGAATTATCACCGGATTACGACATTCCCATGGAGAAGTACGATCAAAATGCCGTTGTCGCAATTATCGGGGTGGGATACGTCGGCGAACATCTCATGGAAGTCTTCTCTTCCGCTTTCCAGGTTATCGGATACGACGTCTCGGCTTCTCGAATAGAAAGATTGCGATTGAAGCACTCACGGAGAGACAGTGTCAAATTCTCCATCGATGAGAGAGATTTGAAAGACGCGGCACACTTTCTCGTTTGCGTACCGACCACCCTAGGGCTGAACGGCCAAGTAGATTCCTCACATGTCCGCAGCGCAATAGACATGCTGCAACGTTACGCTACCAACGAGTCGGTAGTGGTCATAGAAAGTACCGTCGCCGTCGGCATGACGAGAGCACTCCTTGGACCGCTGGCCGCGTCGCGCGGCATCTTTGCAGGGATGTCACCAGAGGTAGGATGACATTTTGCTTCGAAAAAACGAGGACTGGCTGACACTCACCAGAGGATCGACCCAGGCCGAATTGAGCCGCCGCCTAAATCAATACCAAAGGTTGTTTCTGGGCTCGACGACATTGCTCCGGGCTCACTGGATGCCATAACACGATTATACGAGACGGTCTTCGATACTGTCGTCCCTGTCAGCAAACCCGAAGTCGCGGAGATGTCAAAGCTGTACGAGAACTGCCAAAGGACGGTAGCTATTGCGTACGCAAACGAGATGTCAGACGCATGCCAGGGACTGGGGATCGACCCGTTCGAAGTGGCACGCACAGCCGCCAGCAAACCTTTTGGGTACCTGCCCATGTACCCGTCATTAGGAATCGGAGGTCATTGCATTCCAGTGAACCCGATCTACTTCATGTCGACGTGCAATCTCCCGTTGCTCCAACAAGCGCACGAAAAGATGATGTCGCGGCCGTCGCGCATCGCCAGCCAGCTTCTTGCAAATATGCTAGACGAGTGCCACAAGAAACATGGTTCGACGCACCGCCCCAGGCTTCTCGTCGTCGGAGTCGGTTTCAAGCCTGGCCAGTCGGACCTGTCACATTCGCCTGGGCTACAATTGCTCAACTACATGCGACAGTCGGGAGAGGTAGATCTCATGTTTTGCGATCCTCTGGTGAACCAGGAGGCGATACCCGAAGTATCAAGATTGGAAGAAGGTTCTTGGAGGCCCGACGTCTTGAGATCGTTTGACACCATCGTAGTAGCGGCGAAACAACCCGGCTTAGACTACACAGTTCTGGAAACCTTGGCAGATGTGCGGATTGAAGTTTGGAACCGATGATGGCTGGCGCAGGCGTCAGAGGCCGACACGTCTTGAGTTGCATTCGCAAAGTGGTTCTATTGGTTGTTTGGCTGGCCCTCTTGTTGTAGAATACGGTTTTCGCCTACTTAATGGTAATACGCACCATTTTTCGTAATCGGTCCGAAGAAGTGATCGTCTGGTTATGGGGTCGTTACCCAAGTCTAAGACCGGCTAATTTTGTTGCGCATTTTGGAGATCGGGCCTAACGGGCGTTTATTTAGTTCATACCGGCGCTTTAGAGCATTGGCCCCTGAGGTTCAGATGTAAGCGGTGTGCAGTCGCACTGCCACCGATGGAAACTCAAACACGGGGCAGACAGACGCGAAGCTCGTCTTACAGCCTTGCGATGGTCGGTATGGATCTAGATAAGCTGGACGGCGCCACATCAGTCAGCCAGATATCCAATTCATCATGAACAGTGCGTTGGGAGCTTACCATCCATTCTACTACACTCCAGTGGGGAATATATGCCCGGTGATACAGCCACTCGTCAACGTTGAGAGTGTCAACTACGGAAGATGTGGACCAGGGGTTAAGGATCCTTCGTGTAGCCGTTGCTGCTCGAAAGATGTGAGTAGTTGAGACCTTGATATATCAACTGCCGTCTTGCTGATCATTTCAAATAGGGCATTCGCATGACACATCCAAACTTTGCTGGTAAACATGCGTGTCTTTGGGACTATGGATTAGCATGCGATGGCACCCAATGGCCTCCGGGATTCAACACATCAGACACTCCTCGGCCCAAGCTGGGAGAAGTTCCCTACGGAACGAAGATCTTCAATTGTAAAGTGGAAAACACACTTGCACTTACATACGATGATGGTCCCCGAGAATGGACAGCAGATTTGCTGGACATCTTGAAGGCCAACGGCGTCAAAGCAACCTTCTACATCAGGACGATCAACCTGTACTGGGAGTTGATAGCCCACAAGTTCGACGAGAGATCTGCGCTTATCAGAAGAATTTATAACGAAGGACACCAAATCGCGGGACATACCTGGGGCCACAAGAATCTGGATAAGATGACTCCGCATCAGCGCAGAGACGAACAGATTAAAGCAGAGATTGTTCTCAACGACATTCTGGGCTTCTTCCCGACTTATATGCGCCCGCCGTTCAATATCTGTGGCCCTGAATGCCAGGTCGAAATGGGGGAACTCGGATACCATGTGGTGAGTTTGCGCAAAGAGGCGTAAAGGACCAAACTAACCGTGCCGAAAGACTGCAGCAGACCTTGATGGACGAGACTGGGAAGGTAATTACACCTACACGGAAGAAAACTTCCTGGAGAAGATCAAGGGCAAGAACCGTAACGGGGTTCGGGCCTGGTTGGGCCTTGCACACGATACCCATGAAGGTACGGTGCATAGATACACGCAGTTCATGATCGACAATGCACGGGCGCATGGATACAAGCTGGTGAGAGTAGGGGAATGCTTGGACGACCCGGAGGAGAACTGGTATCGGGACCCTTTGACAGGTGGGAGGCCTGTTGAAATGCCTCCAAGAGACATGCCGTGATATGTTCTTGTAATTAGCCTTTGAAGATAAGCAATGATCTGAACCAGGAGTCTGCCTGTCAGCAATGCGGGGATGAAAGTCGAAACCGAAAGTTACGTGTAATGTTTACTGAACATGTCGATGATGTTCAAAATGCGATGACGTCCTTGTCGCGTGCGGAGAGTTGTCCGTGCTTTCCGTAAACAGCTGCACCAGCAAGCGTTCATCCTGATACACCAACAACCATGTCTCGCACCGCCATACCACGTGCCGCACTACGTCTTAGCTCAAGAAGTCCGTTCTGTACACCTTCGAGGCCGATTGACGCGCTGAGCCGCAGCCTGTAAGCTTCAATCGCTGCTTTGCGCAAACCCCTCCGCTCACACCACCCAGGCCTATATTGCGCCCAACACCACAATGCTCGTTCCACGCCATCCGGAGCTTCTCCGTAAGCACACAACTACGAAAGAAGGCGGGTAAAGCGAACAAAGCCCATGCGCGAACCGATTCCGCACCACCCGTCAGCAACCCGGGTCCACTCACACCTACCGACGAGGCCTACGATGTCTCGGGCTTGGAGGCACAGATCCTTAAGGCTCTGGAGAAGCTTACACATGACCTCAGCCAATTGCGGAGTGGAGGAAAGATGAACCCCGAAATTGTGGAAAACTTGAAAGTGCAATTGGGCACGGCAGGAAACAAAGAGACCGTGAGACTGGGGGATATCGCACAAGTCGTTCCGAGAGGGAGGATGTTCAATGTCATTTGCGGAGAAGACTCGGTAGGTCAAGCCGCTACCACGACTACAGCGAAGATGCTAACACTATACAGCACGTCAAGCACATCACCAGCGCCATCGCCGCCTCACCGCACTCGCTCACGCCCCTTACACCCGAACCCTCCAACCCACTCACGATCCAGGTCCCGCTCCCTCCACCTACAGGAGAATCGCGTCGCGCAGCCGTCGAGTCAGCCGTCAAAGCTTCTGAGCGAGCAGACAAGCTGATACAACAAGGGCGTCAGGAACACAACAAGAGGCTGAGGAAGTTTGAGCTGAATCGCGATGTGCTGCCGGATGACCTTCAGAAGGCGAAGAAGAAGATGGAGGAGGTGGTGAAGAAGGGACACGAAGAGGTTAAGCGCATCAGTGACGGTGCGAAGAGGGTGCTTGAGAGTCAGTAAATAGATGGAATGGCATACTGCATCGCCGGGAAAGTATAACAGTACCACATTATGATGCGCAAGAGTCCTGGTGCCCCATGCATGCGATCGAGAGGTGTTGCGCCTGAGCAGCGTCGTGTAGACTCTGCCTTAAGTCTGCCTGGTAGAGTCATGCATGTGCTTACACAACTTCTCAGGAATACAGTGGCCAATCGAACCATCACGTACTCCCTCACACAGATGTCACAAGGATTCAATTGGACGATATGGCAGCCAGCATCAACACGAGCAATGCGAGCGGCTCAGCCTCCACAACAGTGCTTGGCGCGACCCCCCGTGCATCATGTGGTGATCTCAAGAATCGGAACATATAGGAGCTCTTTGCCGAAAACAAAGAACCAACCATGTTGTACGAGCATGAACCTCACGATTGAGAGCTATGGCGAAGATCGCAGAGCCAGACTATGTCACCATGGTTAAGTCTGATGGAGCCGACGAAACGAAGGTACCCATGTGCTGATACTAGCAGTTTTTCGCTGAAGCGATATTGACATGAGCAGGGTACTACAATAGCTACAGTGTCCATATCATCGATTGAAAGTGGTGTAATCACTCGCCTACCGGCAGAAGAGGACCTCGAGCTACCAGCTAGCACTGAGCCGAAATCGACCTTTCACATTTACGAGAAGCACGGGTGTCATAAAAGCATCACACCAGATCTCGATCCTGCTCTGGAACGAAGATCTGGTCCAACGATCAAAGAACAAAAAACCTGGCGCAAGGAGAGGAAAGAGCGTCAAGACGTTGGGTTGCCTGGTGTCGAACCAGACGACACCGCTTTCTTCCTTCACCAACCATATCTCTCCTTCCACGTACCGCCTCGCGTCCTTTACACAGGCAGCGATAAGCACACAGCACGCCCTGCTATGTTAATACACGAAGGCTGTTTCTGGAAAGAATACAAGCTCCAACTTCTCCCGTCTACCCCCGGCATACTCGACCCGCGCGGCGTAGTCCCATGGCGTCACAATGGCGGCGACAAAAAGGCAGTCAAGCACGACGACCACAAGCTCAAAGGATACAAAGTGCGGACGTGGAGGTTGTGGGGTGAGACGGGCAAAGAACACGTTCACTCCGTCAAAGCCATCCGCACGACGGGCGAAGGACGGGATCCCGATGTTATTGCCAGGACGAATGGCAAGTCTGGAGAACCTGCTACAGCCGACGAGGTGGTGTATCTGCGGTGGAACAGCCCTCTATCGCGTCATACGAGATGCTATCACTTCCAGTATGCTGGTGTTGACTTCTTCTGGAAAGGAACAGGTACTGTCAGAGAATCTCGTTTGTGTGGTTTCTTGTTGCGGTTCAACCACATGAAGCTAGTCGCTAGGCTACCTGTCGCCGGAGAGAAGAAAGAGGAATGGGTTGAGCTATGTTTGGGGATATACACATCGTCTGTTGCGAGTAGGAAGAGTGGTACTTTGGAGTTCTTTGATGCTGTTATCTTGCGTTTGGTCGATGAATATGCGCCTGAGGTGCTTGCTCGGAGTAAGCATGGAGAGAAACAGGAAGAGGAGAGTGCGAGGATCTTGCGAATGAAGAGAAGTAGGCTGTATCAGGTGTTTGTCGCTACTGCTATGTGTATGATCAAAAGCGAGAAGGAAAAGAGACATACTTTGTTGGATTTGCTGGTGAATGTTGCTGAGGGTGGTGCAGGTGGCTAGTCGTGCGGGTTACGTTTCTTTTGAACATGTACGCAAGTTCAGGATATACCATCAGGCCCATCAGCGAAATCATGGCAATGCAATCATGCAGTTTGAGTGTAAAGTGTGTTGGTGTTTTGATGAAGCCTCGGCTGGTCTTGCTATCGATAAGCCATGCGCTAAACATGGAGGTCATGACGTGGGACATGGCCATTTCTCAGAATTCCACGACGCCACTTTCCTCCAACATCCCATCTCCTTTCACCGACTCTCCTGTATGCCCGCATTTGCATTTCCGAGACAGTACATCTGCGCACGCTGTTTGCGCACGAATCGAAGACCCAATGTCTTCGTTCCATCCCGAGCCACGGCGGGAAGGCCTCTGAGGCGATATGGGCAGACGGCAACACAGCGCAAAGAGGAGGATGACGGAAAACAGGAGCAGAATGCCTCGGGAAAGAATGGCAATGGGTCAGGAGCGGACGCTGAGAAGGAGGAAGGCGCTTTCACGCGACGAATGCGGAACATGAGCGAAGAAGCGCTGGAATCGGGAGGCCATGGCGCTATCAAAGCTGTGGAAGAGGCAGGCTTCAGTGCAGACCTCAAGGCACAGCTCGAACAGCGAATTGCGTCTGCAAACCTGAGGTCTTCTGAAGCAGAATTGCCCGCCTTCGCCTCCCGCCACACGCGCGAGCTTGCCACCACAGAAGCCTGGACGGGCACCGAGTCTATCCACGATGCGAGTCTTCGTATGCTGAATGACGCTAATAAGCCACTACGACTCGGGCGACCAGCAAAGATGCCCGGCGTGCCGATACCCCAGTCGATAGATACCGGACATGCTCGGAGCAAGGAGGGGCGTGGCTTGAGATTGGCCAACGCACGCGACAGGAGTACCGTATACGCTGCCATCAACGAAGACGAGAGTATAGAGGCTTTTGACCGAGAGAAGCGGTTGCAGGACCTCAAAGACCGCTTCGAACCAGGTGCGCGTACCATTGTTCCTGGCTCCATCCAAGGCATCGCATCTCTTGCGAACAAGAGAATCGAAGATGCCATCGCTCGTGGCCAGTTCAAGAACATCCCGCGTGGAAAGAAGGCCAACATTGAAAGAGATTACAACGCATCGAGCCCCTTCATCGACACGACCGAATACTTCATGAACAAGATTATACAAAAGCAAGAGATTGTACCGCCATGGATCGAGAAGCAGCAAGAGCTCACTTCGGCAGCAAGCAAGTTCAGGAGTCGACTACGGGCAGACTGGAAGAGGCATGCTGCGCGCGTGATAGCTAGCAAGGGCGGGTCGCTACTGGACCAAATCAAGACAGCTGAGGCATTTGCAAAGGCAGAGCTGATTGCCAACCCTCTGAGAAGGAAACAACAAGAGACGCTCACCACTGTGGATGATGACGGGCACATGTCACAGATCACTTTGTCAGGAGGACTGAAGGTAGACTCAGGTGAAGGGTCCAACGCGGAACCAGTAGTCATGGAAGAAGTCGTAGCAAAAAAGGTTACATTTGATGCGTCTCCAGAAGCTGTAGCACAGGACCCGGCAGCAGCTACCGTAGCAGAAACAACCACCCAAACCCTGGAAGTACCTGTTCAAGCTCCCGAACCAACAGTGGCACCAGCGCCGTATCCCTTCCGCGACCCAGATTGGGAACGTATTGAAAGCAGCTACTGGAAAGTCGCCATCAAGGACCTCAACGACAAGGCGCGCAGCTACAACCTCCTCGCACCCGAGCTAGCAAAGCGACCCTACTACAATCTGCAGCGCGAGCTGAACTCCTGCTTCGCCGACGTTGCGCCCCAGCTTGCCGGGGCCATCCTCGAGCGCGCACGCAAACCGCCCAAGAAAGCAGATAGTTGGCAGAGCTCTGGCCAGAAGAGCGTGCTCGACAACATCATTGGAGGGCCAGTTCGCGTGCGAGATGAGCGCCGCGAGAAGCAGTATGGGTTCCGCCAATTTTGGAAAGACCTCTGGGCCGACAAGTCCAGCAGCCCTTATTGAGCCACTCGCCACCAAGGCCGATCCTCGCATTCTCATGCCCGCGGACTCCGAAACGTCTGTCACCGTGTCCTTGAACCCACTCGCTCACCGTTGTAGCTACTGCGCCCTTGCTGCACGACATCGAGAGAGGGGAACATGAT